TGGGGCTGGCCATCCGAGAGCACCGTCACAGGGGTCGCTGGGGCACCGGTGGGAGCCTGAGGCTGGCCGTCTGAGAGCACCGTCACAGCACCAGTGGGTGCCTGGGGCTGACCGTCTGAGAGCACCGTCACAGGCGTTCCTGCTGGGGCTTGTGGTCTAAAAATGAGTTAGCTGAGAATAGCAGAGAGAGATATTAGAGAGGAAGGGGTGCGACTCACTGGCCATCGCTCAGCTGGGTGGCCGGGGCTCCAGTGGGTGCCTGGGGTCTACGCATGAATTAGCCAAGAACAGCAGAGAAGAATATCAGAAGGGAGGATCCACTCACTGTCCGTCAGTTAGCTGCGTGGCTGGAGCCCCAGTGGGTGCCTGCGGCCTATAACTTGATTAGCCAAGAACAGTAGAGAGCGATATCAGGACGGAGAGCGTCGACTCACTGTCCGTCCGAGAGCTGAGTGGCAGCCGAAGTCGCAGCGGGTTGACCATCGGCCTGTTGGCTGACCGTGGGAACGGCAGCGGTGCTGGCAGGAGCCGAGGACGTAAGGGCGTAAAGGTAGATCGGGACACAGTGAGGCGCCCAGTTGCGGTCGTAAAGGTTGTAGAAATTGCCGCTCAAGCACTGATACCAAATAGCAGAGCCACCCAAGGCAAGGCTGTAATTCGAGCAGACAGAAAAGCCGCTCGTGTAGATGGCGCCAGCCTGGGGAGGGGCGTCAAATTGGAACTGATAATTGGATGCGATGTATCCTGTGCGACCAGCTTGGTCCGTCAGGACGGAATCGCTAAGGGTCAGAGTGAGGACGGTATCTTGTCGCTAGATTTTGTTAGTGTCTCTGGCCGGCCACGATCGAGGACAGCCATGTCTTACCGACTGAAGATCCCGCTTTGCCGAGGAAGAGACATTCACAGCTGTGATTCCAAAGCTGCCGCTGAACGAGGGTGAGCAACCTTCGGGGGCAGGGGAGGATGGAGCGATCTGGGAGGTCACTCCTTGTGGCATAGGTGAGGCGAGGACCGTGGCGGCCAACGCCGAGATGAGAGCGAATGTGCGCATATTGGGAGTATGTGAGCTTTTTCTTTGTTGCCGGTACAAAAGTCCAAACGAGTCTTTCAACGAAGGAAGGTAGACGCCCGAACGAAGGACAGCGATCTTACCAGAGGTTCAGAGGTACCAAGTTGTCGAGGAAGAAACGACCTGAAGCAGAAAAAGTGCAGCCGGTGCATATTTGAATGTGCTCTCATGAGCTCTTCCGACCGGCGAACGGGAGCAGCAGCAGGCAGTGACAGTGACAGCTCCAGAGGCTCCAGACGACTGCTTTAGTGTCATGTAACCCGTCGAATTGAAGCCGTCTTCTGGTGGAAGGGTGTTCCGGGACAGTGAACGACTGGGTGACACTTCACTGTTAGGTGGAAGTCGTGCATGCATGATGCCTTGACGTCCCACATATCGGGACACATCAGATATAGAGCTCAGTGAGTTGCAGCGGCGTGCGAATCATAATACCCCGCTCGCGCCGCAACGAAGCGGACATTTAATGCGTGAAGCTTCACGACAACGTCCAATGAGAACGAGTCCCTAGGCGAACCGCCTGAGAACAGTATGGGGTGTCGACCAGCTCTTGCCGGGATCAAGCAAACCCTACCGGTGGCGTCGACATCTTGACCATCGATCTTCCAAGCAAGGGATCAGTGAGGCACCTATGGGGCCAACGAGGACTTCACCTGCTCTCACAAAGCACAGCAGCTCTTTCACACTCGCTGGTTAGGGTGCGAAGTTGGTCCAGAGCTACGACCTAGCGGTACAAGGTATTCCGTGTGTGTGTATGTGTGTATGTCTTCAGTGTGGGGCAACCAGCGATCCATCGTGCGAGTCGTTCGGTTGTTCTCGGTAGGTCCCAGCCATTGCTGCTGTTCGCTCAGTCGAGACGCTTCTCCCCGCATCGAGGTTGGAACATGGTGACGTCCAGCGTCAAAAATGATGAAGTAGAGGATTCTGCACGCAGCATTAGCTGATCGGCTAATGCGTCGTGGGCTCCCCGGGCGCAGAGAGAGAGAGAGGAGTCAGTGGTACCTGCTGTGGATGTGAAAATGATCGAAGGGGGAAGGTCGTCAGGAGTAGTCTGAAAGAACGACCCAACAAAGTTTGTACAACCACAAGTCCGAGGGTCGAATTGAAGCGTTAGAAGCTAGAGCTCGTATTCTTGTGCCGCTGCACAGACCAGTGTGGCCCATCCTTTCCGCTCCTAGGCATTTTGCTTCGATAATAGCGTGGCTGATGGATGCCTGGACCACCTTCCCGGCTACTCGGAGACACACTGCGGGCGGTAGAGAGTGGGTAGGTGCGTGGTGGGTGCAGCGAGCGATGTGAGACATGCAGCCAAAGTGTGCGTCATCATTTGGAGGGGTACGGAGCAACGTCCAGCCCCGGGTTGACTGATGGCAGCAGAGGCACTAGGAACGGCCTCTTGCGTCTCACAGGATCCATCATGTGAGGCATCAATGCCCTTGGCCGGTCGACTTCGCATCGTCTGCATTCAGCCAAGAGCTACGATCTGGTGGCAGAGGTGTCGCGCCGATAGCCCGCCCTGTCTGCGCGAACCCATGCGTGGCTCGGCCAATGGACATATCCTGTGCAAGGCTTGAGCATGTGTGACTATACAGTACTTCGAGGTACCACTCTCGGCACGACCTGCTATCACTGCATCCGTAATCCGGAGCGCTATACGTTGGTCACCGTAATGTGTCTTTGATGCCTTGCCGCGAGTGGCTATTTAAACGAGGGTGAACGAAGTCAATTCGCCACCACAACAACTACATGATACCACCACCGCTCAAAGTAAATCCTCCAGCCATTTCAACTCCACTGCACTCACGCCACGAGCATAGGCCTTGGTCCCCGTGTAAACGAACTCGCTGTACATGATGGCTTCGAACTTCCTGGGCTGAGTCCTGCCACCAGCATCAGCTTTCTCATCTGCAGCCACGCGGGAAGGAGCCGAGAACAGCACCGAGCTAGGGTGTATGGCGACGGGCTGATTGGTGAGTGTCGTTTGATAACTCCCATCAGCGCAGAGCCGGGCCACATTCGGATGGAATCCTTCCAACATGCACTTCAGGATGCGGGCTGAGAGAGTCGTGGGGTCATGGTGTTCGGGAACCGAGGGATCAAGCTTCTGTGGCTGTGCTTTGGCAACTGTCTTGGTCTTGGCATTGGTCTTGCCCTGATCCTTGGCCCGAGCTTGGTATCGTTCCATCAACGCCGTCAACTGTTTCCTGACGTCCATGGCCCCGCTCATGGCGCGATGCGAGATGTACCGCTCCTCACACCAGCGTCTTCGGTCGGTGTTTTCGGCTGCGTAGGCCTGCATGGTCGCCAGGAGGGTGAGGTGGTCGCCTTCTCGACGGAAGAGCTGGCGCCGTGCTTGCTGGGCCCGGGCTTCGCTCGAGCCATCTTCAGCATCAGAGTCGGCATCGGCTCCGGTAAGGGGGGATGTCGAGGTCGGATTGAGTGGATCGCTCGATTCGGAGGAAGTGGTGCGGTGCTGGATGTTGAGGAAGATGTTTTCGACGCTCAGCGCCGAGACGATGTCGACCATCTCCTCTACACAGTCATATGCTGGGTCTGTGCTGGCGAGTAGTACCCGGGCCAAGCTCGCAGGGAGAGGGAGGACGCTCATTTCTCTTCCGAGACGGGTGATCTGGCCGGTCGAGCTGTCGAGTGCCGAGAGTTGCAGGAGGTGGATCAGGGCTCGCTCGAGAGCTCGACGTGGCGGCGGGGTCAGGAACGGGAAGTTGCCCAGGTCGTCTATAGAATGTGCTTTGAGCGTCAGGGCGAGCTGGCTGAGGTCACATCGCAGGATCTCAGGCTCCGTGTCCTGGGCTAGTCCGTAGAAATCGGCTTCGGTGTACAGCCTGTATGTCGTTCCTGGGGCATCGCGACCAGCTCGTCCTGATCGCTGATTCGCCGAGCTTCGAGATATGGGAACCGTGAGGAGAGTGTCGAGATTGAGAGAGGGGCGGAAAAGTCGTTGTTTGGCTTTGCCCGTGTCGACCACATATCTGATCCCGGGCACTGTGATGCTCGTCTCCGCGATATTCGTGGCCAGTATGATCTTTCTTGTGAACTTAGGTGTCGGCTGAAAGACCCGCTGCTGCATGTTCGAGGGCAGAGCGGCATAAAGCGGCAGGACGAGCAGTTTCGGAAGTGTCTGCGACTGCTTGGGATCTCTCTGAGTGGACTGCGACCAGGACGTGAGGAGGCCGAGGAGCGATTCCACGGTCTCTTGTCCCGTCAGGAAGACGAGTATGTCGCCCGGTAGACGCGTGTGCGCGTGGATCTGCACTATACGCTGGTACGCCGCGTCGAGGACGTCTGGGACTGGAGCAGTCGTGTAATGAACCTTCACGGGGTACTGGCGCCCTTTGATAAACTGAGAAGTTGACGGTGGGAAGCTCGCCGTTGGGGACTGTTCACCTCCGTTGACCTCCTCATGCGCCCTGTCGCCAGCACTGCGTTTGATACCAAAGAACGCCTGGATCTTCTCCATATCCGCCGTAGCACTCATGACCACGACCTTGAGCGGTAGACCGCCTCTCCCATCCTTCTTGTGTCGAAGGTCGTGCATCCTTCGCAGGAACCCGAGCACCAGATCGACGTTCAGACCCCGTTCGTGGACCTCGTCCACCACCACGGCGGAGTATTCCCTCAACCACGGATCCCGCAGCATCTCCTGTAAAAGCATGCCCTCCGTGAGGAACTTGATCCGCGTCGATGGACTGGTACTATTCTCGAACCGCACCGAATATCCAACCTGCGAAGCCGGGCTCGAGTTTCCCAGCGGCGTGCCCATTTCTTCAGCAACGCGCCGCGCCAACGAAATGGCAGCCACCCTTCGGGGCTGCGTAATGGCAATACATCCGCCGACGTTGGCGCCCACATTGACGCCGGTGCTGATCTTCCGCTTCCTGCACCACGGCTCCGTGACCAAGAATTGTGGTACCTGCGTCGACTTGCCCGAACCTGTCTCGCCCACGAGGAGGAGCACGTCGTGGTCCCTCAGTTTCTGGCGTATCTCGTCGGCGTGGCTGTAGATGGGGAGTCCCTGCCTGGTGGGGTGCAGTTGCCGCGCCCGCTCTTTCAAACCGGGTTTGGGCATCTTATCCGGCTTGTTTGATGAGGAGTCTCCCCCTCCGTCGAGTGAGCCATTCAGGTTGCTTGAAGCGTCCTCAAAGTTGACGATTTTGCCCTTAGGCCCATTGCGCCCGACGTCCTTCTGCGCGCCGACTTTCGTTCTGAACGCCTCGTCGGCGGTGCGCTTTTGTCCCTTGGGTGGCGCCATTCCTCTGGCCACTCCGCAACCACAGTACTATATCAAAAGCATTCGTCAAGTTTACACTCCTTGGGAGACCTCGACACCGGATCCCGTAGCACCAAGTCTGGACAAGAATTGAAGGATTGTGGCGCGTGTCCAAAATTTACGTGGCGCAACGTAGCCGGAGCCTCGTTGGCTGTGGCGCCGCCTTGGCAAGTTTCATCAGGCTGGCCTCCAACCAGTCGCCCCATCCTCCACGTGGTAATATTACGGGAAGCCAAAGAAGAAGAATGTTGACGTGACGAGATTGTGCAAGTGCAGCTCATAAGCTGCCTATCGATTGATATGTACTGCACGTAAGCCCACAAGGAGTACACACTGTACTATAGAACGTTGGAGTCAGAACGACGATATCATTCCTCTACTTCGACGGCCCGGAGCTGTCCATCCTTCTCTCTGAATTAGACCTGTCCCTATCTTGGCGGTTTTCCCTTCTATGCTAGGCTATCTTGGTCCCCGCAGGCATCGTAAGACGTAATACAGCGACACGGCCTTGCGCGACAATTCGCTTTAGACCCCGTTGTCTCCTAGGGGAAGAACATCTAGCACAGGGCCCTCCAGAGCAAGCCCACCGGTGTTCTCAGGCGTCAAACTCATAAAGTAAAGTAATGCGCCTTGATGTGCTCGAAGCTCGTCGTGTCCCTGAATGCCGGGTCTATCCGGAACAGATTCCCCGCCAATCGATGAAGATCCGGGTACTGGTAGCGAATCATACGTCCGGTAGTCTTGAAGAGCGAAACGTGCACGGGATCTGAACGGTCGATAGTCGCGTAGAGCCGGCTATCTCCTCCGTGGTCGCGGTACCGAAGTAGTAGGGTCCGTCTTTCGAGGTGTTGGAGATCACCTTGCCAGTAGTACACAACCCTGCGGAAGGGGTATGGCTAGGTGGCGTCGCTTCTGCGGTGCGGATTTTGTTTGTCCATCATTCGCTCGGTTAGTCCCCCGTCTCCTGCTGTGGGCGAGAGGTTCGGGCATGTCACATGAAACTCTGACTGCTGATGTTGGAGATATCAGACGGAACTCTTGCTGCGCGGAAGAAGCCGCTGGCTGATCTTTTGTCAACTTCTTGATAATCTTGGAGGACTCTTAGCATTTCAGCCTGATGCCCCTCCTCTTCTCGTCTTCACGATGTTCAAACATGACTTGAACTCCGACGAATAGAATGGCGCATGCGCTCACCATAAACAATGCCCCATGCCAGCTGCTGGCAATGCCGTGAACAATGCTCGTCAAACCATCCATGCCCACTGCGAATCCCACTAGATTTGCCGCCATCATCATGAGAATGTTGGCAACCGCGCCAATGCCACAGATGATTCGGTAAGCATTTGGTCGGGTCTTCCATTTCGACGCCGGGAATGCCATGGTCAAGAGGACTTCGGGTAGCACGAAAAACACCACCATCCACCCCCATACCAACAACCGCAACTGTATATCATGCCACAACGCCACGAATGTGAAGACGGCTAGCATATTACCGATGCCGCGAAGCCTACCAGATCCGCCACCGGGACCGCCTCCAAGTGGAACATACACGTAGCGGATCGTCCATCGGTTGAAGCTTCGATGCCATGAACGCCAGAAAGCTAGAGCGGAGTAATTGTCACTCATGCATCGGACCATGTTCTCTGGAGGGTCGATCCCGTCGACCAGAGCCCACAGCCGGAAAAAGCGCCATGGGATCATGAGTTTCAGCCAGATGTGATGCAGGTTGAAGTAGGCGAGCATGCTGAGTTGAAAAGGTGTGTAGACCGACCAATCTGGCGAGCATTTGGATATGGCAACCATGTACGCAGTGTGAATGAGAAACTCCATGCAGCAGAGAGTAATGAGAAACCTGATGCCATAAAGAATCGTCCGTTTTGTCGATACCGACGGAGATTGGTAGATGGATTGCGAGATGTAATCATTAAAGGTCAAGATGGGTCCGGCCAGATACAGAGGCGGGTATAAGACATAGGCGACGTAGGTTTGAAATGATACGTAGGCTGAAGCTGGGGCGGGCATGGTCACACGGTCCCTTTCTGATAAGGTTGAAGGATCGAGTTGTTTCTTCTTGACATTGTCAGTGGTAGGCCTGGGATCGACTATCTCACAAACACCGAGGAAGTGTGGCTGGCGGACATACCTCGAGAGGACTTCCAGCCCTTGACCGACCCAGCGACCAATAATAGTCGAAATTGAATGAAATCATCCTCAATACGGTGAAGTTGAACAGAACCTCCCAGCGAGGCTGGAGCCCGCCATAGGAGTCCAGAAACTTGCCCCAGTTACTCGCAGCCGGGAAGAAAGGCACGATTGCTTCCCCCATTACTGAGTAGGGGTAACCTCGGGCGAGTTCATTGGCAAAGAGGATGCCGATGTTAAAGACCCACGTTGTTACTGGAATCGCATGTTGCGGAAGGGCTGTAGCAATCTTGAAATTGATCAGAAGGATCAGGAGGATCTTTAGCACTGATGTACCATTCAAAGCAGTCACGTAGATCAACGCAGAGACAAAGTCAAACGCTAGGCGGCTACGGAGTCGCGCGTCAGCTGCCGCCTGGCCATGAGCAGTCGATTGGGCGATGCCATCCGAAGCAGGTGGTGCTGATGAAGTATAAAGTTCGTAGAGCCGACGGAGGGAGGGATGCAAGAACAAGAGCACCGTCAGGTATGGGATGTTGTTGCGAAACCCGGCGTACTGGGCATCAGAATTGTCCTAAAGCCTACATGAGTGTCGCGACGCAGCGTCAAAGCTCCAGCTCGACATACCACTTTCCAGCTGAACAGCCCCGGAGACAGCAAATGTTCATATTTCGAGTAGTTGGGCGAGTCCGCTGCATTTCGCGTCCGTCAGATCCAGAGTCGGTGGATGGGCTTGTTCGAACCTACGCTGCGAGACGCTGACTACCGCCCAGTACATTTGAGGCACACAGACAAGGAAGACGACCAAGTACAGATAGAATTCCGGGGTCCTCCATCGCGGAGGTGAAGCCTCTGCAGGCTGTGTCTGTGCCTTTCCATCTCTTGTCCCGTGCTTCGAGGAATCCTCATTGACCGATTTCTGGGGTGTAGAGGAGGGCGTGAAACGAGTGTCTAGGGTATCAAGGGAGTACAGCTCCCGAACGAAGGTTAGAATCGTCATAGTCTCGCAGTCATCGTGCTCTAGCTGGCTCCTGGGCAGCACTGCAATGGATCTCTCAGTGGACAAAAGAGGTAATTACTGCGCTCGGTCGCGTGTCGTTTTGGCGGCGACTACAGTAGTTAAAGCGGCATCAGGGGAAATCTTGGCGACTTCGCTGCATGAAACAGGTTGCTTCTTTCTTTCGGAGGCATTCTCAGCAGGCGAGGCACACTCATAACAGACCTTGGTCTCTTCGAGGCCAGCCTGCTCTCGACTGATGCTGGAACGGCTTTGCCTCGAATCACTAGATTGAAGACTACTGACTTAAAAGACTGGTTGGAAATTGGCAAGAATTTACGCTTTCGAGCAGAATTAACGAGATATCGAGCTGTGAGCCAGCGCCACTCAATCATGCCACACCTTCTGTAAGAACTCTTCGACGTCGTTGCATAGGTCTTCCGGCCTTTCCATGGCCGCAAAATGTCCTCCTTTGTCATGCCGCTTGAAAAATACCAGGTTACCAGTTGTTTCAATCCACGCCTTGGGGACAGGGTTGAGCTCCCTTGGGAACCACGAATAACCAAATGGCTTGTTGATATACCATTTCTTTGAACCGTGGTTGTCCGCACCAGGCCCGTAGAATTGGCGATAAGACCAGAGGCTCGTCGATGCACACCCAGTGAGCCAATACAAGGTTACCGACTCGAGAATCACGTCAAGCGAGGGATCATCGTCGGTCCAGTCCATGAACTTCTCGCCGATCCAGGCCAACAGCGCAAGCGGACTACTTGAGAGCACGAAGCCGATCGTGCTAGGGCGTGTAGCGTGCTCCCATGCATAACCGGTCCCATTATGAAGGAAGAAGTTGTGTCTTTCGAGTGCTGCTTTTTCGACGTCATCGATCGCGGATCTAATGTCACTGTCGGCAGGAGGGTTCATCGGGTGCGTGTTGAGATGAACTATCTTGCATTTGGGGTACTGTGCTGCCATTATGCGGGCTACGCGGCCGCCGACGTCGCCACCTTGGACCATATACGACTCGAAGCCGAGGACGGAGGCGAGCGTGTCGAAGATACGCGCGGCGTCGTCGGCTCGAAAGTCTTGGTCCAAGGGTGGCGCCGAAGAGAAGGTATAACCCGGCAAGCTCGGGACTACCAGATGGTAAGGCAGGTCTTCTGCCGAGTACTTCGACCGGAGGATGTGCAGCAGAGGGAGGAACTCAAGGAAACTCCCTGGCCAGCCATGGAGAAACAAGATGGGGATGGCGTCCTTGCGTTTCGAAAACAGGGCGACGAAATGAACATCAAAGTTCCCCAAAGTGTCTTTGATCGACGCCTTAAAGTGAGGGAATGTATTCAGATGCTCTTCGTGCTTCCTCCAGTCAAACTCGGTTTCCCAGTATCCCTTGGCCGCCCGAAGCCAGTCTCGTGGGAGCCCAAGGCGTCTGTTCTGTCCAGGCAGAGAGTTCTCAAAAGTCGGCGGCGCGAGTGGAGCTATCTTGACCAACGTCGCTAGAGTATCGAGATCCTGTTGCGGGATGTTCACCTTCCATGGCGTGATGGCGTTCGACACGCCATTTGGTAGAGCGTTGAAGCCACCCAGAGACATTGCTGTCTTTTCGACTCACGGGGCAAAAGGCAAGAAGCTGTGCTAAATTTGAGGGGCGTTCGTTAGTGAATACCTCTACCGAGCATGCAGAGCTGTATAAGAGCTTCTATCCATATCTCTTCGTAGCAGTTGCTGTCGAAGTTCTTGCCGTGCCAAGTGGTAATCAGAAATCCAGGTTGCACCAGATCTTCGGCTTGAACAGCGACAATTGGCTCTGGCCTGCGTCACGATGCGACAAGTGAGCGAAGGGTCAAAGTGGATTGAGAGTCAACCCCCGGAGAAATTGTGTGTCTGACGGCTGACTTGTGAAGACTAATTAGCCCGTCATACGTGCTATTCAAGCACTGGAAACGCGCCAGACCCAATTATCGGCAGCCCGCAACTTGGATTCACGACAAGTCCAAAGTCGGCACCGCTTTCAGTCGCCGTCAGTCGCCGCTCAACCATGCCGTTGATCGAAGAACTCCCCATCACCGCGACCGTCCGCGCCTCTCATGGTTGGACATATGTACCGGACACCGGCGCCCCGATTCCCGCGGTACAATTGAGCTCGCGCAAACGTGGTCGCGATGGAGCAACCATTGCCAGAAGCGCAGCGCAGGCTTCAAAGCAAGAGAAAGCTACCCAGCAGAGACTCCATGACCTGAACAAGGAAAATTACCGCGAAGCCAACATCCCAATTCCGAAGCGTGATGGCACCAGGGGCAAGGAGAGGAAAACGGAGCCGAACGTGAAGCGGATCCTTGCCTACCAGCGGAACTTTCAACACTACCTGGCGAACGAGGAAGCGGGTGTCAATGTCTATGGAAGTGCTGGCATCCTACCTCCCCCATCTATTCGCGTCGGCAACCATGCCACACAAAGTCCGCAGAAACCAACAGCAGATTCGAAGAGGCGGAGTACTGTCAAGAATGCAATATCAACGCCGGCGCCGAAGGCAGGAGCCAGACGTACAAGCTCATTGAGACATTCCAAAACCGCACCAGTGAAGAGCGAGGAATCTACCGAAGCGGGCAAAGTCGATGTCGAGATGACAGATGCTTCTCCCCACCACCAGCACTCCCTGCCCACTTCGCCCACCACGTCTCAACAATCACCGTCGTCTCGGCAAAAGCAACAGCCACAGCCTTCTCCTTCTTCCGCACCCGAAAATCCCACATCCGGATACGATCCCGCGCTAGACCGCGATCCTCTCCTTCGCACATTAGACTTGCCCAAAATGCCTTCCGACCGGGTCATGCAAGCTCTTCTTGCCGAGCCGCCGCTGAGTTACACAGCAGCTCGTGCCAAGCCCCTGGATGATCCGCCCGACCATGGCGGAACTGGAACAGTCTTTGCCATGCGCACGGGTAACAGCACGCTCATGGCGAAACCGGAGCGCAGGTTCTGCCCCGTATGCGGGTATTGGGGCAAAGTGAGGTGCAAGTACGGATGCGGCGAGAGGGTATGTGGGTTGTTGGAATGTTGGAGAAGCCACGAATTGGTGTGTTCCTTGGCCGCAACGGCATACTGATAGCATCGTGCCATGTGCCAGGCCAAATGCCTATGCGTTCAACATTGGAATGTTTTGTGTTGCAAATCATACCCCCAAAGTTCAAGCGACTCGTTGAAGTGGCTTTACGTGTGCTATGACGAAGAGGTGCTACGAAGGTGAGTCTTTTGGACCGAGCCTATCCTACCATTTTGATCGGCTGGGAGATGGTCTCGGGCGGATGCCGCCGATAGTAAGAGCAGATGATGTTTGCATGAGCTCGTCTTCACGCTGTTCTGACCCTCCCCTCCTCTCTTAGCTGTCCAACAGGATTCTGTAGGTCTCCTGTTTGTTTTTATGTGTCGGGCTGTCTTCTGCCAGCACACAATGTGCGTCGAACATATCATGAGATGACCCCCGCTAGGACCTAGAGGCGCAGTATAGTACAGGTTGCTATTGACGACGACGTTGTCTGGGAACCCTTTTGAGGTTAGATTCCCTTGTCTCTTGTGGATTTCTCGCTGCGCCCATATTCAGGGAAGGAGCAGAAGTCAAGGTCAACGATGACAGCCGCTTCGGATTGACTTCGGTCGCAAATACTCTTGCGTCAGCATCTTTGGCTCGCGGTTACCTTGACTACGTTTCATGGTCTCAAAATTCGTAAGTGTGAACTGCATATACGACGGTGATCTTCATTTACCAAAGCTGGTAAAGAAATGGGTGGAGGCGCGCTTTTACCATTCTACTACAACGAGGATACAACGACCGGAGAGCAAGGTGATTTTTTTCTCGACTCAGTGCTGTATGTGTGCGTTGGTCATATTTACCGCGACTGCCTGTCACTCGCATTCACTACAGTACGAAAGCACATGACTTTTCGTGAATGGAAGTCGCGGTCAAAACCGCGCATTCACTGCAAATCCAGCGGCATGGCATATAAATCTCTCTGACCACTTTCGGACCACTCTCTTGCCTCCTTCTTATCCATGCTGCACAAGCTTTCTGGACGGCGCCCCGCAAACCGATCATGGCGTCCCACGAGAAATCCGATCCCGTCAAGAGCCTTCGGGACCTTGCAGCATCAAAGACAGTGGAGGAGCTGGTCAAATTCGACAACCCGACCATGGAATTGTTTCAGCTGGACGAACACGTGCAAAAACTCATCTTCACCCGATTCCTCAGCAAGTACGCCCTCCTCGAAAAGGAAAACAAGCAGCTCCGTGTCAACGCACGGCTGACACCGTACATCGATTGGCAATTGTACACCCAATCCCACGGCATCATCCCCGACCCGGAGGAGATGATCGATCCGCAGAGCCACGAGTTAGAGACGAACGGCTTTGTCCTGAGTGCCAAGTTCGCCGAGCAATGGCGCCATGCTACAGAAGCGGAACGGAATGGATCGCCGGAAGAGACGCGCGAGCACGGCCTGTGCCCGGCCGTCTTCGAACCCTTAGACCTCTGGAGCCACGGAGTCGGAGGTGAGCTCGCGATATGCGGGTTTTCATCCGTCGAGAGTAATGAGTATATGGAGGAAGTGACTCCTTGTGGCCAAGGCTACTCAACCTTCGAACATAAGCCTCTCAGCAGGAGAATCTCATCCCAGTTGCTCTACTACCGCTTGACGGTGATGTTCGGCATGCCTCCACCACAACCGATGGGTGAGTGGTTGTTCCCCTGGCAGGTTATGCTCCAGCATAGAGATGGAAAGAGTCTGCTGGATTTGAACGACTCGGACGGTCAATCGTTTGAATCGTTTTCGGGCACCAAGGAGGCAAAGGAAGATGCTGTGGAGTTGCTTAGATTCTTGACCAGTTTGAAATGCCCGCATCCAGATGGACTGGTCGCTGGGACTTCCTGAGTCTATGCCTGGTCCCCTGGGGCAGTGAGCCCGGAGCGCGGAGTGGAGATGATTCTCGTTGGATATTCTTTTCCCCAGATATCACAAAGGCGAGGGGTCTCCACCAAGGAGTTCGTCCTCGACCATAACACAGTATTGGGGAGTGTCTCGGGGAAACACAAGGGACCGCCGCAAAACACTGATGTATCGGGAGTGGAAGAAGCCCAGCTCGGCGCAGCACGGTTCGTGTGCATGGAGATTGGAAGCGCAGGCATGGAGCGCTGTGAAGCTAATATGTAATGTATTGGCGCCGAGGTGCAGATCAAGAAATAGACCACAAGGTGATAGCGGGGAGCTCAATGTCCAAAGCACAAGGATGAACCTCGAACCGCAATGATTTCTCGACCTCTGGTCAATATTCAACAGCGAGGCGAAGTGATACAAGCCAAGGTATGGCAAGGCTAGCAACTCACTCATTCCCTGCGGGCCTCAAGCTTCGTGAGTCCGAACAACCCGCCCTCGTAGTACTGTAAGAGACCGCACGAGTACATGAAAGCCTCGACCTTCACTATGCCTTAATTACAGATGACGGACAACAGCGAGAAGACATGGAACGTACGGAGTACAAGCACACGACATTGGGTAAAGTATATCTTACGGAGTACAGTACTCGAACATACACAGTACGACTTGGTGGGTACTCGTCTTAAAATCACCTTGTGCGAGGTACTGTACCGTGTAAAGTCCCTTCTGTGGACCTACGGAATAGACCCGTCCTTGACCTCATACGAGCACTCGCTTACTCACTTACTCACTTACTCACTTACTCTCTTACTCACTTACTCACTTACTCACTTACTCACTTACTCACTTACTCACTTACTCACTTATTCACTTACTCACTTACTCACTTACTCACTTACTCACTTACTCACTTACATATCACGTCGTCCTTAAACTCATACCGTGGTGTACGACGTGCTCCGTAATGTACGAATCGTTCCCTTTCCGTTCACGTTTACACCCGTGGCGCACCTATGTACCTACGGGTACCTAAGTACTGTAATTACCCACTTGGGCCGCGTGTTCAGCGTTCACAGTTTGGACCCTCCAGTCAGCCGGACAGCGGCCGCGGAAAGGTTCGTCGAGCATAGGACGTCGGCCATCGCCACCGGCCTGAAGGGGGCCAGTGCAGGCAGGGGTTGGATCCGCGCATCCAAGAGGGGTCGGGGTCATCTTGAAACCCCGATCCTGGAAAGAGCTCTAAACTTCTAACCACTAAGTACGAGTATGCACGGATCGTACTTTATAGGTAGACAATACTCGTACCAGGTAACCCGTACATCTGATCCTGGGGTGCGTGCCTTGGTTGACATGACGGCCTGATTTGGACGCATGGTCGACGGGACACGGGGTGATAGTCCACGGGCTTAAGCTCCGAGGCCTGGGCTACCTTGTTACAGTAGGTACTTAGCTGTGCACTGTACTGTGTATTGTGCACCCCCTGGGTACCTAGGTGCGCCGTGCTCCCGTCTACTCGTCCACATTGCTCCTTCTAACACCGCACACCCCGCAGACACGAACGTCCCCAGCATTGAGGTACACGGCGCCGCTGGCGATGCACGGCTCGCTCTGACACGACCAGCTCCGCGGGTCCTTCCGGGGATGCAAAACGTGCGAACAGGCCACGCAGGTGGCGTTCAGGGACGGGTTTTCAAGCGAGCAGATCGGACAGCTGATCATCGATACTGATCGTGGTCGTGAGCGCGAGCGTGGCGACACTGGCGGGCTCGAGGTGGAGTACGACTCTCGTGCGAGAGCTCCCCCCGTAGGCTTTGTCGTACTCGTAGGGGTGCTGCTGCTGCTGCTGCTGTTTCTCGGACCCTTGAGCTTGGCTGATGGTGAAGACGTCGCCGTAAAAGTAGAGACACCGTTGTTTGGTTTCGAGTCGACGGGTGCACAAGGCCTGTTCCGGGGCTGCTTGAATTTGGTGGGGGAATCATGTTGGTGCCCGTCGTTATGTCTTAAGGTGATTCCAGAACGGGGTGAAGGAGACTGTACGGCAGATTCGACCGAAGAACCACGCAGTTGCTGTCTCCCAGCTGCCGCTCGAGGAAATTGGGCACTTCTGTCCGTGTCAGATGCTAGTGACCTACTCCTAAGGGTGGGTGCAGGAGGGGTGGCACTGCCAGTTTTGCCTGGTGAACGCGCTAAGGCCTCCATCCCGGCCCGCATACCCGCAGAGGTCTCCTGACCGTTTTGAAATGATATGAAATAACGATCCAGCCTGTTGAGCTCCTGTAATTCTTGGCGTGCGTGCACTTGCGTCTCGTGGTCGTCATCTTGGTCGGAACACACTCGGATCATGCCGTGGCCCCGAGTGTCGAGGATCTTGCGGCCATAGACGTCTCTAGCGTCTTCCAAGCCGGCGTCCAGGTCCTCGTAGTCGTCCTCGTCGCCGCTGCTCTCCGTCTTTATCCGTTCAGCTCTGTGCATGCCTTCGACTTCTTTCTTATTCGTGTCAAACCGGGCCAATGCCGCAGCGGCTCTGAGCTCCCGGCCACGGGCACTCTGGGCGACTCGGGGTTTCGCTCCGATGGGCCCCTTGCGGTTGACCTCCAAGCTCAGTCGCTTATCCTCGTCTTCGCCCAGGGCGATGCCGTTCTTGCCGAACTTCTTCTCAATGCGCCGGTCTCGCTTCTCCTTCCACGTCAGCTCCGGCTTGTCGGATCGACCTCTGCGTTTTCTGTTGCGGCTTCGGTATGTGCCTCCACACAATGGCAGCCGTTCCAGTTCGTCACTACGCAACGTGTTGTTCCCTATGACTGAGCCCATATCATGTAGTGTTCGACCGCCGCCCCAAAAGCCTTCGCCAGTGTAGCCCTTCGCCCATAATGCCTTCATCTCCTCGGCGTAGACATTTCGTGTCTTCCAAAAGTCCCGTCCATGGTTCATGTGGGTGTTGTGTGCCAACTCGTGCATCATCACCATTTGGACGGCATTGAACGGAACCCATCGCCCATCTTTGGTGGTGAGCACGAGCTGGATGATCTCGCCGTTGTTGAAATTTCGGCCGATGAACTCGCGATTTGGTTCATGCTCTTCCAACGTGGTGACCGAGAGGTAATGCTTCTTCATGAGTGGGAGACATTGTGCCGCAATGGCTCGTAGGAAAGTATCAGCGATCTCATACGACGCTTGATCCGACGGTGGCCGGGGAAGAGCCTTGATGAACACGATGCGGTCATTGGGATGAGAGGACTTCTGGTGATTAAGTCGCAGTGTGTTTAGAGGCATGGCGAAGAGTGAGTTGACGCACGATGGAGGGATGGAAGAACGAGAGGGGATCCAAAGATCCATTCCAATGACGCGGTTCGCGTAAAGTGGTGGCGCTAGTGGCGATCGCAGTGGCGGTGGCGTTCGTAGCACGAGAAAACGTGACATTCGTTGACACTTCAAGTCTATCTAAACATTCACCCTTCCGTGCCGTCAACAAATATTGCTTCACCAATATCAGTCTCAGCTCCGTCTCCATAGAAGTCACCATCGATACCATGTCCCTCAGGTTCCGGAGTGTCAACTTCGACAACGTGACTTTTACTGGCCGTGAGGGTCCCCAAGTCCTCGTCAATTTCGTCCTCAAACTCCAGCTCTTGGCTGAACGGCTGCTTAGCGTTGAAGTATCCAGATCGTGTCCAGTCGAACGGAATATGCTCCTCCAGAGCATCATCCCATGGCGCCCATGAGGAATGTCTCCAATCGGGCTGGCATTTGACGAGCGCAGGCGGGGACTTCTCCCACTTGATCTCAATCGACAAAGCCTTGTCATGTTCTGTTTGCTGAACGTTTCCCGAGGCATATCCATGCTTGTCCTTTGCCCCTTTCGACTGCTCGTCATTATATCCCACATTCACGCTAGGAATAACTGCAATACGGCCGTAACCCAGAGCCCAGAGGTCTTTGCAGAACAATGTCGGCTCCCCTGCGTAACATTCATCCTTGTACGGTGCCCTGAACTTGAGATGGTGCAGGAGCAATGGTTCAGCTTTAAATGCCACGGCGCCGTTCCAACAAGCAAACACTTGGAGAGGCAACTTTTCGTCGATGTGACGTCGAGCCTCCTTGTCGTTCCAGAACAGGTTGCTCGCAAACTCGAACGATCCACTCTGCGGCACCTCGACGAACATATCGCCATTCATGCTTCGGCCTATCCAGGAGTCGTAGAACTTTGCTCCGTTGTTGTCCCAATCCATTGCACAGACCATATCCGCCTGCTGATGTTGTTTTTGATAGACAAGTTCCAGGATGTCGTCGGTACAGATCGACACGTCGTTCACGAAGATGACCGTGGCATCTGCTGCCCACAGTTGCTGCTTAGTCAACAGAGGAGCGAGCGCCAGATTCCGGAGCTTGGCAAGTTCCGTCACTCGATCGCGGCCCTTTTTCCACGGGTCAATGTCGCTAGTGCCGAAGTAGTATGTTGCGTTGAGGGCTTCGATTTCTTCTCTTAACGCCGAGAGGATCTCTGTGGTGCCATCATCGGACCGGCCGCCGACAATCGACAAGACGCAGTCTTCTGGACCGAGCTTTCGCATGGCCTCGACAAGCGATGCAAGCAACCGCGGTAGCACATAGGCGCACTGGTAGAGATTGAGGGCGAAAAAATACCGCTTCTTCGGTGGCTGCTGGTCGGACGGGGCAGGTAGATTCCGGTGTGCTCGGAGCACTCCGTACCGATCCTTGAACGGCCGCGGACACTGCAATCGGTTGAAACCCGTGTCCTTGGGGTCCATGATGGCCCGGATATAGGGTCCGACCTGAGCCATTCTCGTGTCATTCAATTCTCCGTCTTCCAGCGGTGGCAGCACCCCAAAACTTTGCCCCTCGAGATATTTGTCCAAAGCCTGTGCTGTGGTTTCACCAGACTGATCGTCCACAACATCCGCAATGTCGTGCTCTGCTGAGGTGCTGTTGTTGTGGAAAGCACTATTGTGTCGGCCCGCAGTACTGGCATGCCAGCCAGGTCGAACAATCAACTGTGCATGCTCCACTATGGGGCTCGACACGAGGATGTAGAAGAAACATATCAGTAGAAGAGCAATGTAAATCGTCTCTGACCGTCTCGCCGGCCAGAACGGGGAAGCCATTTGAGCGGCGGAGGTCTGCCAGCGACGAGCAGGAGAAAGCTGAAGACCGCCAACTCACTCATCATTTCGGCCCTCGAGTCGAATTTCAGGCCGTAAATTCTTCACCCCTTGCCTCCAGCCTGACTGCTCATGATTGTTTCAGCCCCGTCGTTGGCACACGGGTGTTTCCAGCATTCCAATGACGTGGGTCGCAAATTCAAGTCCGGTCTCCTGGCTCACCTGCTGTACTGGGTACAGTAGACGCTCTTCAACGAAAGCAATCTCAGAGAATCCGTAGCGAGGCCCAAATCGATTGGCGAGCATCGCAATGAAAACGACCTCTGCGTGACATCACATATGAAATGAGAGAGCAGTGGAAGACAAGAACCCGCTCGAAGCTCACGCCTTTCGAACGCGCAGAAAGGAGAGCCTCGATCTGGAACATGTCATTCCGTGCTCATACGGCCTTCGAAGGGGCTATTGCTTTGTGCGTCACAGCTCCAAGGCCGTCCTCGTACTAGCACCCTCGTGATACGGCAGCTCCAACGATTACCGTGCTTGTGTCATGTAAATATCAACGTCTGAGCAGTGCCAGAGTTTCCGAACAACATGCGCAGTCCCACAGTCACAAGAGTCACCTACGAGCTCAGCCGAGGGCTAAGTGATGCGCAGGAGGCGTGACCAGCCGAACGGCACCGAAGACATCTCAATCGGCTTGCGTTGATCCGACATTAGTACGAGTACCACTGGACGGCACCAGTAGATAGGTGGCCCGTCCTCCGTACATCTCGCTACTGTAAGGTCAGTTGAAGCAGGTCTCCATAACCACTTACGCAGTAGACGCCAGTGGCACGACTACTGTAGGTACTGTACCCACGTACTGTACCCCGTTAGGTGCCGTGGCCTTTACCGAAGTTTTTTCAAGGCCGAGGTTTAAACCACCCTGCATACCCATTCCATCTACGGTTCACTACAAAAGTAGGTACCTTACCGCGCCTCCTATTAGCCCCTCTACCACCAATCAGTAGCATTTCTACCGCAGAGCAATATCTACCATAGATCTGCTAAGGACTGGGACTGAAATCTACTGCAGAACTACTGTATGAGAGGTCCTGTGATGCGCGCCAAGGTACTCACCACGGCCTGAATTACTACCTAGGGATTTGACCTACCTCACTTGCCACGCTTACACTTGTACATACTTCCTGTCTACATACGTCCTTCCAAACAGCCAGGAGTACCGGTATACACATTCGCCCCATCAGACTTGAAGAACCCGAGTCCTCCGACATTATATGACGAAGTGAGCCCGCCGGGACAGGCAATTGCACCACTCTGTCACATCACATCGTCCTTCGCCCTCACACCGTCCTTGATTGCAGATCTCGCGTGTCTGTTGATGCTGATATCGGGGAGTCAGTTTCCACAACACAGGCATATACAGGGAGGCCGTCGTCATCGACTCCTACAGTTCTCCCGATAAATTAATGCGACTGGAACCCGTGGCTAAGTAGCCTTTGACTGCTTTCCAAGACAGCAGTCCACAGTCCAAACACAAATCACAGTCAGAGTACAGAGTGCAAATTTCTTGCTTGGGAATCTTCTGGGGGTTCTGTACTGCCAACGAAGAAATTCGATCTTTCGAAAGTCGTCCCGTTCCGGCCATCCAGTTCAGGCAAGCTACAACACATTACTTGGACTTGGACTCGCAGTATACCGGTGGCTTGGGGGCTGCGCAATATCATCTCAAGGACAAGTACGACTGAGCGCCGGGATAAATCGACATGGAACCTAGAAAAGCATCCTCTTCGACTTCGGGCTTCTTCCAGGCCCTCCCGATAGTGCCGCCTCAATATACATCTCCCTCGACATCCCCCTCAGGCACATCTTCGCCTCACGAACTATCAGACGACCCCGTGCTAGCACGGATCCTGTCTCTCTACCTCCCCAGCCCGATCCCAGCACAGATATCAAGCCATCTGCACGACTTTTCCCGTCTCGTTCTCCGACCATCAACCCTCCAACACACCATCGACTGCGACATTGACCCGCCGACGATCCGCCCTCTGACCACCTTCGGCGAGGAGAATAGAGTCGATTCTCTGCGCACGAGCGAAGGCTGGCGGGAGCTCAAGAAGATCCAGACGCCCGCCGGCGTGGTGGGACACGGGTATCCTCATCCCCAACATGGCGCGCCTGCCCAAAACTTCAACCGCCGCACCCACCAGTACGGGACTTTGCATCTCTGGCACGGCACGGCTGCAGTGTCGACCTGTCCCATGGCCATGACGGACGGGGCAGCCGTCTTGCTCCGCCGGCATTTCGACGACCCAGACGGCGATCAACCGGGCCGGGCGGCCGTGTTTCGCGAGAGCTACGACCGCCTGGTCTCGCTGGACAACAGCTACGCGTGGACGAGCGGGCAGTGGATGACGGAACGGAGCGGCGGGAGCGACGTGCGTGGCACCGAGACCGTGGCGCGCCGGCTCACCGCACAGGAAATCCAAGCCGACGTGGCCACAGGACGGGACAAAGATGACCACAACCTGCCCTTGGGGCCCTGGCTCGTCGACGGCTTTAAATGGTTCTCCTCGGCCACTGACGCGGACATGGCCGTCCTCCTCGCCCAGACGGCCAAGGGCCTCAGCGCATTCTATGCCCCGCTGCGTCGTCGCGCCGGGCACAAGGCGAATTCGTCGTCTTCGTCCGCGTCACGCGCAACACTCACCACCGAATCATCTGCCGCCGCCGGCCAAGCATACCCTTCCGAGACGAACGGCGTGCGCATCCAGCGCCTCAAATCCAAGCTCGGCACCAAGGGCGTCCCTACCGCGGAGCTGGAACTCAAATCCATGCGCGCCTACCTCGTCGGCCAGGAAGGCCAGGGAGTCAAGGAGATCTCCTCCATTCTGAACATCACGCGCCTGCACACCGCCAGTGGCGCGGCCGGCGGGTGGGCCCGCGGCCTCGCCGTGTCCCGCTCGTACACGCAGGTGCGCAAGATCCGCGACGGCCAGCTCCTCTGCGACAACGCGCAGCACCTCGCCTGGATGGCGGGCGAGACCGTCAAGTACCGCGCGAGCGTGCACCTCGTCTTCTTGGCCGTGGCTCTCCTCGGCGCCACAGAGCAGGACTACGGCACCATCACCCGCGGCACGCTCGGCGCAGCCACCCTGATCCCCCGGACGAGGGCTGGGCAAGGAAATCTCCTCCGCCTGTTGACGCCCGTGATGAAGGCGCAGGTCTCGCTGAACAGCGTGCTGGGGCTGCGCGAGTGCATGGAGTCCCTGGGCGGGGTCGGCTACTGCGAGAACAACGAGGACGGCGGCATCATGAACATTGCCCGCCTGTTCCGCGACAGCGCCGTCAATCCGATCTGGGAGGGCACCACGAGCGTCATGGCCGAGGACGTCGCGCGGGTGCTCAAGAACCCCAAGGCCCGGGGTCGGAACGTGCTGGACGAGACCCTGGGCGCGTGGACGCGGGATGTGCTGCGCGCGGTTGAGGGCCAAGGGACGTTCTCGCGCGAGCTAGACATGGTGCGGAACCGGTATGCCGTGCTGGAGCAGACGGTTCGGACTTCCGACTCGGCTGCTCTGCAACGAAGTGGCAGAGACGTCCTGCGTCATATCGAGGCCGTCACGTGCGCTTGTCTGCTCATGTTTGACGCCGTCGTAGATGGAGACGCCGTTGCCGTCGAGATTGCTCGGCGATGGGTCAGAATGAACGCCGTGCCCAGCGACAAGGTGAAGCTCCAGGAGGAACAAGGGCCTGGTGACCTCACGACCGAGGTTGACATGGACAGGCGCATTTTTCTGGGCGCAGCAGCAATGTCAAGCCCACTGCCCGCGACGAGACAAGCGAGGCTTTGAAAGGCAAAACAGCATATAGGTCATGTTGGCTGAAGTAGCGCATGTAGGAACGACACGCCATCTGATGCTTCTTAGACACCGGCCATCCGTTACAAGCCTATGATCCATTCACGCATACAACTCACACACTCTCCCTACATATCCCGAAAGCCCTGACAAATTGGCCACAGAGGTGGGCCCCGTCACAGGACCAGCAGCCGTCATGGTTGGCACAACAAGGACCTGGTCACCGACCTTCATCCATTCCACTGTACTGCCAAAGCGAAACGTCAACTTGATCTCTTTCCTCTCTGCCGATTGCCTGTCGCCATTGAGCATTTCCCTTGCGGAAGTTTTAGTATCATCGTCCCCATCGAACCGGAAGAGATCCGCCTCCTCTTCTCCGATGCGAGACGCAGCAGTAGACCCAGTCGGTGGAGACTGCTCGTCCTCGTCCAAGGCCACCGCTGTTACCTTGACAGCTGCTCGGACGCTGTTCACGTACACGATCGCGTGGCCGCCAAGTAGCAGAATCGGTGAGTTTGACTGCCCAAAATCCGAGGCAGGAAAAGTAGCAGAAAATGACTGGTAGCCAGTGACTCTTTGATTGACATTGACGAGTACCATTCCCTTGCGAGCTCTACTCAGGGAGATGGTGTCATCAGTGTTGTCCAGAGGTTCAACGCCAATGGTACCAGTCTCACCATACTGTATATGTACCACTGGCAGGCGTAGAGTTCGAAGGGACACTACGCGTACACGAAGGAAGACCGCCGAAGGTTGTATTTTTGGGGTTGGCACCCTCGGCGGCTCACCTTGGTACGATCGCGAACGGCTGCTTAGCAACGCCTCCGAATATGTCTGATGGGCACTGTAAGAGCTCGCTCTGAGCACAGGCTGAGTTGTGCTGGCAGTAGACACATCCGCGTCCGCCATGAATGGTCCTAAAAACATAGTGTCCCCAACGGACAATAATCCTTCTGAGACGTAGCCACAAAGCACAACGCCTTGACTCGCAATGCATGTCGCTGTGTCCAGAGTGTACACACGAGATGGAGGAATGCTGAAGACCTCGTCGACATGGAAAAGCGAAGATCCCGGCGGAGACTGAGGCTGTAAGGGTCGGCATGGCACAGGATTGGATACAATAGGGAGCGCTCGCAGCAAAGCATGCAGCTTGCTGATGCCAAGACCCGTGACCGCACTCGTCATCAGGATGGGTACGAAGGTCTGTCCAGAATCACGCTGCATGGATGCAATGAGGTTGTCTACCTCGATCTGATCTCGGTCATCCATGTCCTGCCCCTCCAAGGCTACAAGTCCATATTCCGACGCAGAAGGTGGGACTGTCGTGTTGCTGAGCATGGCAGGTCTCCGGCCACTAGCCTTGATGGCAGAGAGGACTTTTGCGAGGACTAGTCGTAGCCCCGTCTTGTTTGCCAGGTCCAGTTTGGTGATGACCACCATGAATGGCACGTGTAATCGAAGACACAGCTTGAGATAGGAAAGCGAAAGATCCACATTCTCGCCTGTCCCGCCGTCAGCATGCAGCTCCGCAGTCGGAAGCGTTGCGCCAAGATTTGAGGTGTCGTCTATCTGGTCGGCTGCGATGCACAGAAGCGTCCATGCCGGTCTCCACGATATAAGGCTTCGGAGGGCAGATTTGGCGAATCTCGGGAGGCCGGGCGAATCGGACAGGAAAACAAGACGATCGGCCACGTTGTGGATGTCCACCCAGGAAGAGACATTTCCGGAGGCGTAGTTGACCGAGTGTGCCTTGTTCCGGTCATGTATGTAACCAATAAGCTCATGCGCAACCGAACTGGTGATCCCCGAGGCGATCTCGTGCCGATGTTTGAGTAGTGAAAGCCGGCTTCTTCCACGACCATTGTCCAACGTGGAGGTCGACAGGGTGCCCAGCAAAGTTGACTTCCCAGCAGCAGTAGCACCTATAAAGGTCACTCGTATCTGTTCAGTCGATGCATGCTCAGCCAAATAAGATTCGTCCGCCGGCCTTGAGGGAGTGGCTGCTTCATCAAGTGCCGCTTTTGGTACATCTGCATTTGTCGAGGCGCGCGAGTCCGGGTACACCAATACTTCGGCCACCCAGAGTCTCTCTTTGTGAGTGGTTGTGTCTCCCGGCTCACTATCTGTGTCTGCCCATTCACACGTCCCCACTGCTACCCTACGCAGCACAGTGGTGGTGCAGCCTAGGCTAGCAGCCATAGCATTCAGATTGATCAAACTCTCCTGCAACTCGTCCTCAACAAGACCGACCAGCGTGCCATCGTCAGCGACGCCGATCTCGTACAGCGCACCTTGGCTTTCTTCCAGGCCTGGCAGAAGCTTGGCCGGACGGTCCGGTACTCCCAACCTCGGAGTTGCTTCCGGAAGAACCGGCAACACCAGATCGGCATTCGAAGACGAATGAAAAGGCGATGACTGTTGCAGCCTCCAGAGCAGCTGCGTAGTCAGTTGCTGCAGTCGGTTCTGACGAGCCTGCGAGGGAGGTTGAGACGACGGGCGGTCGGGATTGGTGTCAACCAGAGCGCGAGTAGGTCCGGACACCTGCTGTTGCGGAGAGCTATAGTGGTGAGAACCAGATATGAAGGTAGTGGTAGTTGTCGATAAGAATTTCCTCCTTGGTCGAAGGAGCAGGTGAAGCTTGTACTCAGTAGGGCCGTCTTGATGCTCAGGCTCCAGCTTGACAAGTCCGTTTGGGGCATGTTGCCCCTCGACGAGACCGGTGCCATATTGTTGCGAAGGCTGGGGAGTCGAAGTCCCCGGAGTCGACCAGGGAGATTGAATTCGTGGAGGCTCATCCTGGTAGGTGAATATAGAAGCCATTTTGGGTTTGCGAGTATGGGGTTCGCGCCGCGACCTACGTCCGAACACTGTGCCGCCGCAACAGCAACAGCGATAACGACCGCGATAAAGAGCGGGTAACTGTATGAGAGTAGTAGAGCAGTTGGGACAATCGAAGGACCATTGTTGCGGTTGCTTCGACCTGTCCGACGGGGCTCTGAGCGACAGCTGGGACTTACAATGGCGACGTAGAACAGACAGCGATGGTCATGTTCTATGTCCCGGTCAGGCGATAATGTCGATGGATGAGAAGTTTGAGTCACGGCTGAGAGAGGCGTCGAGTCACAAGAGACGATGAGACACGAGTGAACACAAGGTGAGTTCAGCGGCAAACCTACCTTGGCGGGATGCAGCTCGACCACCACGACGACTCTTTGCATACCGGCTCCTTCTCCCATGACAGTGCTAGCTCCTTCTTGCCAGGCACGATGCATGCGCTTTCATGCAGTGGGTTATCGGGGACGCTGGCCCTGGAGGTTGTCTATGATCGGATATGCTCTGTCCGGCCCTACGAGTCTCGTAATACTTCCTGCCTTGCCACCACAATCTATCTAGTGCGGGGTAGTTAAGAAAGCACTGGCAGTCTCAATGACAATTGTGGCAGTTACAAATGCAGATAGATCTTGTTTCATTGCTTCCTCTCGGGTATCGTTGGTATATCGGGCTCTTCTTTCCACGCGTAGTGTCCTGACCCCTGCGGACCTCACTTCACTACACTATGGCTGAGCATCTCAAGGGGAGAAGGGCGCCTTGGGCCCGTGGCGCTTGTAGGTAGGACCTTTCATGCGGAAAGTCTGGGCCGCAAAGAGGGCGTCTTTCTTCACTTGCCCTTCTCCTCCCCCTCGGACACCTTCTCCCACTCACTGTCGGTGCTCACGTAGCCGGAGCTCTCGCCTAAGCTGCGCCGGCGTCTGAGCGCCTCGGTACTCTCCGCCATCTTCGGTTCAAGGAGGGATGGAGAGCTGTCCTTCGGCCGCTCGTGTTTCTGACTCTGACCTAATTCAGCTGATGTTGTGGTCGCCGTCACCGGCGCGGGCTTAGTAGGCGCGTCTGGTGGAGGTGCCTCCGTCTCAGTGTCACTAGCATTATCTGGCTCGGGGCTCTTCTCTTTCTTCTCCTTGGCCTTTTGCGCTTGTTGCTCCCTCGCAATCTCGGTAGCAAACCAATTGATAGAATACCAAAGTCCGCCACACAGAATCGACAGTACCAGGAAATGCAGCGAGTAGGTTGCGATGAGTAGGACTAGGAGGAGAAGCTGCAGTGTAGCAAACGCGGCGTTCGTGGCGACCAAAAGTGTAGGCGTCGGACCCGGCGTAAAGATCGAGTTCCAGAGCTCCTCCAGGAATGAAGCCATGATCGCTCAGCGGGTTCGTTCGAATGCAACGCAGTAATGGTGAAGTGGCAGACGTGATCGAGGCCGACAGCGTGAACGCGCAAAAGTCTCGAAGAGTGCGACAGAGTCTGCCCCGCCTCTAGGGAGATGTCAAGGGCTCTAATAGGAACTCAAGGCCCTGCCCAGGCACCCTGGTAATCGCTCTAGAGGCAGGCGACAGCTCTAAGAGGACAGATATTGTCTTTGAGTGGCTGCTGGCAATGGACAGAATGTGCAGACGTGGCATCGAAGGACAACTCAGACTAGAGAGCGTGACGGCACCAACATCACATCACGCTCGGGCACTGCGCCGCACGCCGCGGCCGGCGTGTCAGAAGCCTGCATCAGAACAGCCGACATCGTCCTTTGCTGGTCATGTGCTTGGTATTGAGCTCGCTCGACATCCAGGATTTGACTTCACCTTTACCTCACTTTGATTAAATCCGATCAGGTTTGATATATTGTCTCCACGAGGCTACCACGCTGCTCATATCGTACTACTGGCCGATCCGTGTATCCACACCACGTTCACTTCCATTAATTCAACGTTGGTTGATAACTCCTGGGATAGCTTCGCAGAGCTTCACATATACCTGAGTATATACGCCTGGGATAACTTCGCAGAGCTTCGCATATACCTGAGTATATACGCTTGCAACATTCTCAGAGCGAACTCGAAAGCGAGACCATCGACGACAAGAGGGCCCCTACTGGAGTATCACGGCTTTTAGAGCGACCGCGCTCAAACCTATTCTGTGTCAAGACCATCTCGCCTCCCAATACCTCAGCCGCTGCTGTGTCGGCCACTCCGTACACATGGATGGCTGTAGCGTGCGTCTCAGCCTCCACCACTTAGTGCGCACGCCCACGACCCTGGGCTCTTCCGATATGGACCATCTCGAAGCCATTTACGAAGTCCTCCGTACTGGTCTCGCATTACTCCCCGATTAAGCTGGGGCAGGGACCCTCGTCGACCTCGCCTCAGCGACCTTTTGCTCGGTTCGACAGTCCTGGTCGTCAGGCCGGGATATGAACCACGGTGACGTGTAAGCAAGCTAAAAGATTCATTAGCTCCTCTGCAAGTGACAGTCCGAGTGCCTCTATTACCATGACGGTGGCGCGAAGTGTGTGTGACCACGTGTATGAACAGCGGATCCATCCATCGTTGACGCCGATCGTCTGCATCACCTGAGAGACTCGTGAAACACATATCATATGCAGCTGAGATTTAGTATGGTAGGCCGAAAAGGGAATGCGACCTGCGAGGCTGCGTTCAGGGTCATCTTGATCTCGAGGTTGCAGTAAGTCTGTGAGCATCAAGTCGTCATCTAGGGCTGCGAAGCGCAAGGATCGCATCCTTTAACCTTTGCGTGCCTCAACTCCGATTCCTTTGACATGCGGACCCCAAAGAGGACGAGAGTTTACAAGCTCAAGCTGAACGTCAATAGTCTTAGGCATCCTCGTGCTTCGGTGCCAACGACCAGAACCCTCGATTCAGGTGATTATCTTGAGCTTGACTTCCTTCGTCCAGTCGCAATGCCCAGGCAAATGTTCCAGCCACAGCTCGTATACTTCATTCTTGCAAAAGCTAGAGTACTAGGTGAGTGCCCATCAGGATGGACTTGACATTACCTCGAAGGAGCTTCTCAAGGACCTTTGAGCACGATGCGAGGGCGAAGCTAGTAAGAGTTTTGGCGGCCCCACGTTCAGCCTCTTCAGCCTCACAGCGCTCGAGATGTGGCGCTGGTGGCCTGTGGCTGGAGCCTCGCAGGTAAGCCTCCGAGTTTCCGCGCTGGATTGCGGCCGACGATGATGTCAATTGGGCAGGATCCGGGAGGGTCCGCGACAGTGACATCCTGGCGCGCACGACGTGTCATGGTGTTGCCCGTGTCAGACCCGTGTTGTGGGGAACAGTTCCTGGACTGACTCGTTTGTCAATGTGCAATGCTTATACCAGTGCTCGCACTGTGTACGAGGAGACCTGCGAGCCTCCTCTGCGGTACAGCCCATTTAGGAACATATAAGTCATAGTCGGCGAAGATCATCATAAAAGTCCTGGGGCCAGGATAAAAGGACGAATGAGTCCCCCTGCATGGAGTAGCATGTAAATAATACATGTGGGTTACCCATCCACACATAAGACTAATTATCGAACACTGAGTGTGCTGGAACCGAGCTCCTTTGGCATTGCCATCTGCTGCCCACCCTCTGCTATCCTAGTGAGGACGACCGACACCGTTCGGGGAGGCGTTGGACCTCGAAAGTAAACAGTACGTGGGCGGACGTAAGAGGTAGACAACGTCGCGCGCGTAGTTTTGTTCTCAGAGACTGTAGACGATCAGCAAAGTACCTTTGCGGGCAGATGGTGGAGTTGGCTCGGAGCAGGCCTGTACGCCGTATTGGACGCTTCGCACCTTCATACTGGGGTACAGTGTGCTGCCGTGATTCCGTACTGTGGTACTCGGTACTTTATACGGAGTACAAATTACAGTAGGCCGACTCAACGTGGTGACCTTGCCTGCATTCATCATCGTCGACTCCGGCGTGTTTCGGTCTAGCGACAGGCGAGCGACCAAAGCTCCTCTGTGCGCCGCTTCCCAAGCCCGGAGAGGAAAAGGTAGGAGGCCGTGGAGAGGGGCAAGAAGTACGAGAGAAGCGTGGTCACCAATCGGCACCCGGAAATAAGTTGTCGGCACGATTCTTGCAGCCGGCTACGCGTGTGTTGCCTCTTTAAGCACTTAGCTGCTCGGCATCTTGGGGGCGAACTTATTGCGGCCACCGTCACTGTTCGCTTTGTTCAAAGTTCTGACCTCTGATCTCGCCATCGACCAACCAGCCACAGCTGGGAAATGCCATGGGGATACTGCCGTAATTTAGCCTCGCTCCGACCAGGGAACCGGTGCAATCAAACCAGCCAGGCGACGCACCCAGCACGCTGTTCCCCGTCCAGGCTGCGAAGAGCTCACGTCCCGGGACCGGGCAGTCATTGTCACCTCATGGCATTCCTCATCAGTATTACACCTCCGTCGTGAGCCCGTTAGGCGATTGGGATTAGTCGCGAATGAGACGCATGCTTTTTCGGGCTGGTGCTGTGTCTTAGTTTGTTTTGCGTGGCGGCTTAGCCACCTGATGCGAGCGCGAGAGGGCAAACACTGAGCCTTCTCTCGGGCGAGTTAATGACTAACCACTTACTCTTGCAACAGTAGATTGGATTTAACGGACAGGCCTGAACACCACCTGCCCGATGGAGCAATTATCTGGCTGGTACGGAGGATTCAAATTCCATCTTGACGACTCGCTAATAGGCCGTGCTCGCGACCCTGGGTCAGACATTCTGGTCACTCTTACAACGCCAGGCTGTGGTTACGGGTGCGAGGTGGCCAGTCGCCACCACCATGACCACCACCACCACCGTGCTTATTGCTTATTGTCCACATCGGACTCGCCTGCCAAACCATGCTCTTGACGAGATACCTCAGGCTCGCCGTACAACCAGGCACGGTCATTTCAAGGCCTTACGCGCGCGTGAGCATTCGGGCAGACTTTCAGGTTCCCACAACACTACTAATTTGGCCCCACTGGAGTTGACTTATGGTGAGTTATGTAAGTAAGCACTGCTGACCGTGGCTGAGGGCAGCTCCGCTCTCCATAGGCATGGGATATTGGCCGATGCTGTTGGCCAGTCATAGGCACTAATACTGGTTACCCAGGTCCTGCTCCGCGATTCGGTCCTCAAGCCCTCACCACAGTCCAGCGCGTAACGAGGTACCTGAATTTTTGTTTACCAGGCTGAGCAAAATACTCCTTTATTATCCTCACAAGCAACTCCCCTGGATCTCCAGCTAGGTACGCTCATATCGGGTTACGTTCGACGCACGATCGCGGGTCAGACTCCGCCTGAGCTCACTTGGAAGACCTTTTTTCCCAGCGGTGTTGTGCTCTGAGCGATCAACCCTGATCGCTGGCTACCGAACCAAACAACCGCCTGGCCCCCCTCCAACATTATCTTCAAACGGCCATCCGTCATCTTTAGTCTTGGTCTGTTGCGGTTCACTCTCGCATTTTACCCAAACCTGGCGTGGCAACAGGTCCCTTAGCTCTCGCGAGCCCCATCTCCATCCGCAGCTCTCGACAGCTCTGAGGCCTTCAAATAGGATCAATTGCTCTGGGACCATAGTTATGAGTAAACACACGAGGACTGTAGGGCTGCGCTAGGGATAGCGTGACTCTGCCGAAGAGTTTATCTGTCGAGGGTACTCCGTACCCGTGTCGGACTCGTGGCATCAGCAGCCCATCTCTCCCTCCCCTCAAAAGACCCGGTCATCAGCATCTCTCGTCTGTGCCTTCAACGTGCCGTGCCTAAAGGCAGTTTGGATTTCCCTATCGGCCAATCATTGAATATTGTCATCACACAGACCTGCCTTGATCACGTTAGGGTGGACCATTCACTCGTCGGCATAAATCCCAGGACCTATTCCGAGATATTATTTAGCGGAGCGGGCCCGTTGTCGTCCAGAGTCTTTGACCGCCCACTCTCCGCTCGTCTACCAGCCTGAGACTGTCAATCGTGATCTGACCGTCAAGAGGAACTTGCAACATCTGTCGAGCTTGCTCCGGCAGGCTCGGCTGTATTCTCAGTCAATATTGCGACCCGAAATTCCTGCCAGCCAACCCCATCCATCTTGTCGGCCTCGCCCTCGACGTCGGAGCGTTCATCCAGTCAAGCCCAGAGCGCGGCATATAGCGAGAGTCGAGTCTCGACCGCAGGTGGTCGAGGAAGTGCTCGCGCCGGCACTTATCAGGTTGCACGGGAGCACTCCAGATCACGAATACCGGCTACCACCATCTTGCGGTCGCTCCAGGACGAGACTCAGCAGATCGAACACTTTCCGTATCAAGATCACCCATACTCCTGGGCGACAACTTTACCACAATCACAGCAACCGCTGGCTCCATCAGACGTGCAACTGCGAGCAGTGCCTCAGTACACGCTCCAGCGGCCCGGGTTTGTGATGCCTTGAGATATCTTACGCAGCGTGATAGACTAACTAGACCACTAGAATGGCCACTCAGGTCCTGCCTATGCCGCCGTCGCAGTACAATCCAAACCACATGGCCTATGGAAGCGATATGCTGAGTCCTTTCCCAAGTATGTACGCGAGATTGTCCTTTCCTCGCTACCCGCTGATATAGGAGTAGATTTTGACAGTTTCTCAACAGGGAGCCCTGCCTACACCTCCGCTCCACCCTCACAATCGCTTTTGATGGTATCAACTCCCTCAGCCAACTCAGAGATATCGTATCGAAGGCGCTCATCTCCCTCGCCCCAGACAGCCGTGAGCGCACCCGCGATCCGGGACCGCACTCCCATCCGCCACCATAGACCCAGCCTCTCCCGCAACCCCAGCCACAGCCGGAGCGATGCGCTGTTTGCGTTTGCCAACGAACAGAATCAGTTGCACCAAACGCAATCACTACCATCGATCACCGCGATGCCGTCACACAGTGGCTCAGCGATGCCACAGATGTTCAACATGCCTGGGTACAACATGACACCGCCCATGACGAGTTTACCCCTCCAAGGAGGTTATTTCAGCACCCCGGTTCCGCCACAAGCTACACACCAAGATAGCTCGAATGAGTTCTCTCTTTCCCACCACGATAGCAAACCACATGGTTTCTACCCTGTCGGTCGCACAGCTTCGCACGCCTCAGCGATGAGCCTCCCTCCACCAGACTCACCTAACGCTTTGTACATGCACGGCCAGCCGCAGCATAGTCAGCAACCGCTGCCGTCCATCGCCATGACCATGCAGCCATTCCCACCAGTTCCGCTAACCTTGGAGTCGTCGCCAGCAGAGATTGAGATTATGCCATCCAGGCCGAAACCGCAGTGCTGGGATCACGGGTGTAACGGCCGCCAGTTTTCGACGTTTTCCAACCTCTTGCGCCATCAGAGAGAAAAGAGTGGCAGCGCAGTCAAAGCGATTTGCCCCCACTGCGGGACCGAGTTTACAAGAACCACCGCGCGGAACGGTCACATGTCAGGGGGCAAGTGCAAAGGCAGGCCCGAGAGCGATGGGCTGAACGAGACCCAAAACGAGGCTTAAAATGCAACTGGGTTTGCCGGCCCGTTGTTACGATGACATGATTCCGATCACGCCCGAGCGGGGTGACTACCACGACGAAATCACCAGGGAATATCACTTATTTCAGGTTGGCGTTGGTGGTGGCAATGGTGTAGGGGTATGGCTGCACGACCGACTACGCCCTTTTCATTCGCGGTGCTTGCACTGCTTTCCTGCAGAGGTCATAAAGGCGTGACGGCTGCGCAATCGGTCTCCGGAAGGACAGAAAGATTTGATGTATCTTGCCCCACGGTTGCAAAGATCCAGGGTCACTTACAGTTTCGCTTACTGGCTGCAATGCTACATCGTATAAACTTAGCAAGCGGACCCGATTCTTGGTTCAAACGGAGACAACAAAGCATTCCGATCGGTCACCCAAACCTTACGCGTCTGATCGCAGACGGTGTTGGTATCAGCGACAGGTTCCAGGACGCCTCACGTATACAGTCCTACCCAAGTCTCTAGAACGATCAAGAGTTCAATGTGGACGCCAGCGTTTCTAACATGAGATCGGACACAGGCAGAGCGCGAAGCACGGTTCGCACAATTAGAGCAGCTACGTTCGTTCACTAGTCCAGCGCTGTCCTGACATATCGGCATGGCCCGTGGGCTGAGGCTTGAATCAAGCAGCAACGTGCAGCCCGCTTGAGCAGCAGATCATGCTGTGCTGTGTGCAGTAACGGCACAATTTGGCCGATGGGAAACACTTCGCATGGCTTGACGTCTTACTTTTGGTCAAGCTTCTTGCAAGGACGAGTCTGCAGGATTGTCGGCGAGGTAGGGAACTCGAGGGCATGAAAACCGCATGCCAGCGCAAAATGGAATATGCTCATGGACTGCCGAACCGACACTTCAGAGCCACGGCCAGGTGCAGGAGAGAATTGGTCCAGATTTGTCAGCTTCGTGCTCGAGATGGGAAGTCGTCTGCTTGATACTTAGCTGGCCTGGCGCCTCTGCCTCGGTGGTTCCTGAACTGCCGGAGCCGGTTGGCCCTTCTTGCGAGAGACTAACTGGAAAGCAGTAATGAGTGGGCCGGCAGGGGAACTGTGGCCCCCAGAACACGGCGAGGCTGACACCGCGGGGCGCTAACGCCTGTGTCCTCGAAATCCTCGCTGCGTGCACCGTCTCAGTGCCGGGAGCCTCACACTGTGACTGGAAGAGTGACATTTCGGCCCCAGATCAACCAGGAACGGGGATCGGCGAGCAGAGCTGGAAGCTCCCGAATGGTCACTGCTCTTGGTGCGAGGCATGACGCGGCGGCAGCATCCCTGCCACTGAAAACCCAATCTAGGTATCGCTCTCGCTTGGATATGTAAGCTGCCGTCGTCATCTTGGTGGTTTCCCGAGTCGCAGTGGTACCGCGAGGCCACTGTTGCCTCTGCCCGGTACTCCGTACATATCCGTCTCCTCGACATGTCACTATACGATACATCCATCTTGCTCTATGTACTTACGCTCCAGAAATCGTCTTATTTCAGCCCTCGAAAGTTGAGCCGCATGCAGCCACCCTGACTTCCTTGTCTCCAGAACGCAACTAGACTTCCTTTGCCGGAACCTGATAGCCCTATTGAGAGCCTGGATGCCCACTCCGGCGCTGAAGTGTCAAAGGGAGACCTTTTCCCAGGTGGCTGCTTCTCTCGTGCTCTACTGCTTCTCTCACAGACCGATACTGCTGCTTCAATGGCCATCAGATTTCGTGGCGGCGAACACAGTACAACTTGCCTGCTGTGAATCGCCCCGCTGGTGGCGGTCTTTCCTCTCGCCCCCCTCCCAGGAACAAATAATATACCGGACATCTCTTTTCCTTCTGCGGTTAGGGCAAGGGGGATATCTCTCACTCAGCGGATACCACGCGGGCAAAGACGCCGCCCCGCAGGGATCTGTTCCTCAGCCCGTGAAGATGGACAGGTGCCTCTGTGTCGGTCGCTATTTATGGAGCTGCCGACATGTATATCTCAGGTTACCTGCTGGTGTGGTTACGTTTTGGGACATGATGCGATAGGAAATCTGCCTCTCCGTCGCGTCATGTCTGCTTTGACGAAGCTCGGGCTGCCACATCTTTGCAGACATCCATGTCAGCTGCCACACTTCCCATCCTTTGACATGGAACCTACGGAAGGACTCCACGTTATGGTCGTGTCCGTGCGACCTCTGACAGCAACCTGATGATCAGTGGGGATGGGCTCTATCGCGAAACCCCCACGTCTCCCTCTGCTGGCCGTTGTGCATACTGCCTGCAATTTCCCCCAGAGCAAGAAGCGGCGAGGTTGACCGCTGTGGCGTGTGCCTAATGCAACGCTCGAGAAGTCCCTGGCTAAAATGCACCGCTCTCAGCCCTGCACCGCCCCTTTGGTCGGGAAGCAAGAGCCTTGCCTCTGTTAATGATCCTACGGAGCCTGCGCCACAGGTGAATATGGCAGTTCAGAGCCCATCATCCAGGAGCGACCTGGAGAAGGAGCAGCCACGCCCACGAAACGGGCGCACAACACGGCTTTGTGTTAGGCCATCCCTATCGTTTCGAGTAAGTCTGATTTCCTACGGGAGTGCTAGTCCCTCAGCTATGACTATGTATGCTGCCCGTGCTCGTTGGCGTGTCTGCCTCGGATGGCACATGGCAGGGACAGGAAGGGGAAGGCATGCCTACCACATGAGCTCTCGCTTGTATGGAAGGACACATCCGAAAGGCGCTACCCATGATGTCTTGAGATCTGGCTGACTCGTCAGGAGCATCCGAGAAGATTGACATGACATGTTTTCTGGTGGATGTGTTTCTGCAAAAATGTCGCCACCCTGCCAGGAGGAGGGATGATCTCCACGGCTCCTACTTATGCTACTGCTACTCTCGCTGCTGCCGTCCAGCCAATGCACAGAAAGCCGAAAGTACTTCCCACAGGCCGCCATTCCACGCAAAAGTCTTGTCCAACCTCAAGAACTCCTTAGCTATTAGTGACTGCACGCCGAGCTCGTTGCCGTGTGCCCTCGGGACCCAGCGTCAAGCGCCCGCACAGGGTGTCATAATGTCCTCTTGACCAGATGACACTCACGTCTTAGCAACCACGGCGTCATCTTTCGCAACCACATCTGCAAATCATACCTTCTGAACAGCTTCCCCCGTCAACTTTGTGCTCCTCAGTCACCGTCACCGTCACCGTCAACACTGACTGCATCCTGCGTCTTTGCCACCCTCGAACCACATACTCACACTATCGGAGCACGAGCGCTGCAGAAACAACATGCTTCTGGCTTGTCTCTTTCGATTTACTTTCGCAAAGCCTACACCTCCGAGAGAACCAGTCGAGCAACGCGTAGGGTGACGTTTGCAGAAAAGGTGGTACGAGAGACCTGGTAGAGGGGGAGGTACCACTTGAGAACACATGGAATGAAACAGAGGTAAGCTCGGCCAGGGGACCTTTGCGGTCGGTCACGGCTGGGCCATGGACCCGGGCAACGTCCAGGCGGCTTTCCGTTCGCACACAGGGCGAAGGGTTTTCTCAAGCTTAGACGAGGGCGAGGCCAGACGAGCACGCCCACAACGACCTCCATGGCACTTGCACGAACAACCTCTATCGTTATGGGACGTCGCCGAAATGCGGCGTTATGTTCCCATCGCCCTTGTCGTGGTATACTCATACAGAACGACATTAGAACAAACCGCATGTCCCCTGACTCTGCCGTGCCATTCACCCAGCCGTGGTCAACGCCGGGTGGCACCTGTTCTCGGGCATATCCCGAACGATCTATGTCCGTTATACCACTTGAACAGCACCCTTACCCTTACCCGTCTAGGCAGCCAAATGAAATTCCCGAAACAGCATGTGCTGAGCTGTGGTGCAGCTAGATCCAGCACTCCCTCGTGCCGGGTTTGCACTGTATATAGTACTCGTCTCAGCATCTCAATATGGACATCATAGTGTCCATTCGCGACGCACACTCTGGGTGCGGCTCAAATATCCATCTCGTTCTCACGTGGCGTAGCGTAAGCCGCCACAATTCGGCACTACCGCTCAGCACCCAGTCGGCAATCAACCTCCGAATGGCACCAGTACAGCAGGCCACATCCGCTGAGGCATACTCCGTACTGCGTACACCCAGACAAAAGACATTTGACTCAGCAGATCTCCATATCCATATCCTGCACCGGGAGGCAGCCGGAGCGCCAACCCCGTGGACCTTGAGCTCGCATACACGCTAGTGCAGACAGATCCTCGCCTCGATGGTTCGAGCACCTGTCAAACCGGACTTCACTTTGTAATCAACCCTCCAGCCCCAGCGGAGGTTGACCGCCTCTATCGGACACCTGGATTCGCACGTAGCGAGCAAGCACCGCCCGAGAAAGTCTCTTTGGTGGATGTCGAAGCGTAAAGGTCGTCATCTGTGCGACGATGCGTATCACCGTGTGTGTACACCATCGCGTTGTGGAGATTGTCAGGCCAGAAGCAGACCCTCATCATGTGCTGTGTACACACGGCTACAAGTCTACCAGTCGTCACGGAGGGTCTATCTCCACCATGTCATAGCCGTCATTTCTAGCGCCGGCCCAAGCGGAGCGGCAAAATCTCCAAACTACTTTACAGACGGTGAGCTAGCACGAGGAATGCAAAGGCCACTCAGTCAGCTGTGCCCGAAGGAGAAAAGGCGTCTGAATTCGGGCGTGGCGGGACGGAGTAAACGAGGCGAAATGCTGGTGGACGCCGGCCAAAGCGGACGGGAAGGCAAGTGTAAACGACGCGATGTCCTGAAAGAGCTCGACTGAGTACAGTAATTACTCCGTACGGTGGCACGGGTGGCACGGACAAGGAGTCAGTCACGGTAGGACGGAGTACGGAGGACGGAGTACAAGATAGGTATGTCTTCTGTATGTACCTACGTCCAAGTAGTAACGGACTAATTACGGAGTACTTGCCCAGTACTGTACTTGGTATGCGGTTATCGCTCCATGCTCTGGACGCACGTCAGTTTGCTTGCTTACCTGTACGGAGAAGTCATTGATACAGTAGTGCGGAGCCCCTTTACTACACAGTGAGTGGTTAGCTCTTTGCCACCCACTAGTTACGAAGTACTGCTCACCTATGTAGTACATACCCAACTGCAAAACCACGGCGGCCCTGCAGGGAAGTAAGTTACTTGGCCTGCGGACGGAAATACGCAATACGCCCTCCTCGCCACTCAGCACGTACCTGCCAGCTACTAAGTAGTTACGTACTATGTTGCCAGACTCTGTAGACAGACAGAACAGACAGACAGACAGACAGACAGACACAAACAAATAAGTTCAACGAGACCTCGAAAACTCGGCCAAGACGGATCAAGACATTTCTGTTGTGTTGGTGCAAGCCGTAAGTATGGCAATTCGATGGCAATGCCAGCGCCCTGATATCGTCCAGATTACGTACTTCCACAAAGCACCGTATTGTCTTGCCGTCCTGCTGTGCTCCGTGTTCGCAACCTCATCCCTACTCTACCTATCCCGCAGCATCAAAATCGACATCAGTAACATTGTCCGGTCCATCTCTTTCCGTAATGTCATATCCCCTCCCGTCCCGGCCCGTCCGATTGAGAACCCGTCAGAATAAGCATATGGGTCCGACACTTTTTTGTTCCCTGACTTTGACCCCTGACGCCTTTTCTCATATGCGTGCGCCTCCGAACTCAACCTTTCATATCATTATAACCGCCCGTGCCGGGCCTTGAAAATCGAAATCTTGTCGTCGTAGAATAGAATCTCCCGCAACCGCCACGTTGGTTTGTGTGAACTCGACCGGCTGCCATCTCCGAATTGACTGCCTTCACCGTCGTCGCTCAGGTCATCTGCTTCGTCTGAAAGGGCGTCAAAGTCACTATCCTCATTCCCATCGGCGTTGTCGCCTGCTTCGTCGTCGTGAGAGTCGTCATGGTGATGATCTGCCGCTACATTGTGCGCATTATCAATGTGATTGTGCGCCATACCGTCGGCATCAGGGCCAAGATCATCTGCTGAAAAATCGCCGCCGGACGAGGCAGAGCCTTTTCGGGGAGTAACGTGCTCGAGGATTTCGAAACACTGCCCTTGAATGCCCAGGTAGCAGAGCTCGAGCTCGGGCCGCAGGGCAACGATATCCAGGACCTGTAGAGCCGCTTCACGGGAGTGCACTGTCCCGTTCACGTGCTCGGCGATGTGTGAGATATGCAGTGACCTCAAGGTGGTGGCGCTGGGAAGTCGTCTCAAGAAGTAGTGCCAGTCTTTGTAATCGATCGACATGCTGAGTTCGCGCAACCTCATCTTGCCGCTGGTGATGCAAGTAAGCAGGTCGCGGTTGAAGACCCATCTCCTCCAGTTCGTGTTTGGTCGGTCCGAGTCTTCTGTTCTGAACGTGCTATCGATGAGGAGTTTCGTCAGGCTGGACCGATGCCGTCGCACTGCGCCCTTGTATATCATGTCGATTGAGACGGGGGACTTGTAGGCCGTGTTTTCTTGCAGGAACAGCCATTCCAGGCTGTCTGGGACGAGGGCGTCTTTGATGAATGCGATCAGCGACGGAGACACCATGTCGGTGTGCAGTCTCTTCAGCTTGAGGCCATAATCGGCTGCGGAAGGGGCGGGAGTGCTTGGGGTGCTGGTCTGTGAACGCAGCACCATGCTTGACATCCCGTTTGACGCGGTCCTATATGGTGTGGATGAGACTCGTCGACGGCTGGATGGAGTAAAGCGTTTGCGAAGTGCCTTCCACAACTGCTCATGGTTTCGACAACCGAGGAGAGTCAGAGTTGTCAAACGCGACCAGTCGAGTGCCTTGGAAAGGACTGCTATGGACAAGTACACCCGCTCGAGTTCGAGAGTTTCTAACATCAGCTTCCGCGTTGAACGACCTTCTTTATTCGAGTCTAAGAATGAGTCACTGCTGTGGCTGGGATGATCCTGCCTGGTGGTATTCGACAAGTTGGTGGAAGTCCGTTGTTTGGGGGTGGGGGCAGGAATCATGTCTAGCTCGTCATCATGAATGGTGTAGACAGACATTAGAACACCTAACTGATTGATTTCCGTGGCAGGGACTAGCTCTTCGGCATCGTCCTCTCTTTCCGGTTCTCGAGTACCCTCGACAATCACATCTTCCACGAGAGGATCCCGGTGTTGCTCGACGTTTGAAGATGACTGATTCTGTTTGTGGTATGAAAAGGCATCGCAGAACCGATGAACTAAAATTCCCAACAAACCACCAGGCCTTGGAGTCTGATCACTCATCCCAGGGATAAGAGGAGGTAAGACAGGTGATCGTTCCTCGGAAGGTCGTGCCCACATGTCGTATTGTGCATGGGACGCCACACCCACTCTGAGTTCGGCCAGCCTGTCAAGAGATCTGTCTATGAGCACACTCATCTCTTCCGCATAAGGCAGTTCGTCGATGTCAAGCACGCTCAGGCTCTTCAGCGGTGGCAGGATAGAGAAGGTCGGGAACTCGACGCGCGGATAAGGTGGAATTTGGAAGAGCGAGGTTGCAGATCCAGCAAGGATGGAAGGCAGATTGGCATTTTGTGAACCGGGGAGCGCACCTGGTGGTGGAGGGGAAGCCAAAGGGCCTTGGTCTTGATTGTCGTGCCAGCGGACCCAGACACGTTCCAGGCGGCATGCTTGGCCGTCGTGGCGATTTCCGAGCGAGGCCAGAGCCATCCAGACATCTCGGAGGACGCCTGTGGGCATGTCCCATATGAACGTCTCGAGATTTCGCATTCTACCGACTGCGAGTGCAACCAAGGTACCGAGCATTTTCCCACCTTCTTTCGTGATGAGGTATTCTTGGACCCAGTCAGCGGGTCCGTTACCCAGACTGAATTTCCGCGTGAATTGTGCGAAATGATTGCCTCGCCGGATGTTCTTGGACATTGTTGCCGGCTGGTGCTGGGGTGGTTGGTTATGGTGGCCGCATTGCTGGCACTGGTGTGGTTGTTGAGACTGGTACGGGGCTTCGCCAAAGACATCTTGAGCCATTACCAACGTCGCCAGCCCATAAGTCAAAGCGTCCACGCCCATGCGGCTCTCAAAAGTAGCATTTGCATCGGGCCAGACAATATCAAAGCGCGCATAGATGTGGGGAATGACCAGTGCGTGGAGGGTCGAATGAGTCAAAGCGAGGGATGTCAGGTCGTTCGTGTGTGTGAGCTCTTTGAGGATCACTTGAAGTATGTCAATCGGCAGGTCGAGGAGGCGGAGAGGTTCCTTGTGAGCCGTGATCATATCCCATTCCTGCTTCTTTCCCTGCAAATGCTTCTCCAATAGGTCTTCGGTTCCTGCGACCCTCAGATGCTCCGAGGCCTCTTCAACCTCCACCGGTGCTTCCATTTTACAATCCCGGCCGATATTACAGACAGTCGACAAGGGCGCAGTGGGCGCTTGATCAAAGGCCCAGAGCATGAGCCCTGAGCCGAGTAGACCTTCTTCAGCTGGACATAAGTGTCACTGAATCGTGAGATGCGAATTCACAGTCTGGGTTGACAGCTGAACCTAACGATTGTTGGTAGGAGGACGAGACAGGTTTGAGGTCGTACAGAATGGAAGGTCCCAAGCGCAGGCAGTCTGAGTTTGGGCTTGACTGAAGTGGTGGGTTGGACTGCACATCGGACTGTTGTCAAGCAGTGCTGAGCGGAGTGTGGTCGAGATGCGCCGTCTGCGCAGTTGGTTCTCGAAATCAGTTGGCTGGGGTGCCGGTCAGGGTCACCAGCCTAGGGCCCGGTTAAGCTTAGCATCTGATGCGCCGACACCCTCCACTCCACGAGTGTCTTCGTCTCTTCACTGCTCGTCCCGCACTTTGCCCACATAGGCTGGTGAGTGACAGGCACAGGCTGCAGGGCAGGCCATACACGGCCACTCGCTTTGTCCTGAAGGTTTCGTTGCGCGGTGGATATTATGCAGATCTGGCCACTCCCTCGGTAGGACAATATAACCAGGACAAGGCACGTTCGATTCCCTTCAGATGGCCATCTTCCTGACAAACACACAGTGGCGGGGAAATGATTAGATCAGTATCAGTACGGAGCATATGGCACGTTGGCTGTTTTCTCGTGGTATAATGGCTTGTGGTTTTCGGACTTGAAATCTGATTTTAGCCAGTGTACGGAGTAATTCTGGTGGCGTTCAAGATGGGAAAAATGCAATGCTTTGTCTCAAGCCAGCTTGCCTATATGATTACTACGACGACAACAGAGGATTGTCAGGTTCCATTTTAGCTACATCAAGAGACGGGGCATGAGAAGCAAACCTGCTATGTCCCTATTGTTTTGATCCTACTAAATCTATGCGTGGTTTTTTTTCCCTGTCTGCTTTGTTCCTTCCCCGCAACAAATTTTGTCGTACTTCCCACCTCACCTCATAAACGTCACTTGTAGCTCACTTTCTATTCAGCCGTCCCTCATGTGCAATTATCATCCTTCTCATCCTGCCTGTCGCCCTCGAGAGGAGTGAAATATCCCAATCTTCTTTCCTCCTGCGCTATCAGGACATCTGCTCGCGAAGCCAGCCCAGGTCCAGCTGCGTAGTCTTTTCGTGTCCGCCCACAGCGGCCGGCGCCCAACTGCCCCTCACTTTCCCTGCTGAAAGCACGCGCTTCCACTTCTTCCACGTAATCGCAGCTATTACACTGCTTTACGATGTCCTTGGACGCGTTCCCTGACGAGGTCATCGTCAAGATCTGTACCCACCTGGATTTCCAGAGCAATGCGAACCTGCGGCGGAGCAGCAAGCGCATGGCACAGGCGGGAGCCGAAGCGCTAGTCAACAGAGTTCGCTTCCACTGCGCCGAGAAGTCGCTCAAACGTTTCCATGCCATTGCCCACGACGCTGTCCTCTGCAAATATGTCGACACCGTTGTATTCGAAGCCAATCTCCTAGCTAATATACCTTGCGTCCATACCTTCCAAGCTCATTATCATCTTGATGATCATGAGAGACCTCGGCCACCTCGTCACGATGCTTCCCCTCGTGAGAAGAGATTATACGAGCGCAACGTCGCCAAATTCAATCTGGCAATTGAGAAGAAATACGAACGCTATCTGGCTCTTTACAACACGCAGCAGGAGTTCCTCTCGTCTCCCATCTGCACAGAGATGATAGAACCAAGCATGCTCTGCTTCCCGCGCCTGACCAAAGTTGTTCTCTCCACTGTTGGCCGTTGCAAGCATGTTCTCTCTGGCAGATTCATGGAGTCATTCGCTCCCGACGTAACGATGCCGATCGAACCGGATAGCAAGCATACCAAAGATCAGCTCCGACATCTTCTGTTTCCCAGTGGCCGGCCATTGACCAGTCTTCAAGCTCTGGTAGTTCGCGTCCTGACGCCGAAATTTTTCACGGGTTCCATCCCGAGTGATATGCTGTGCCTCGCATTTCAAAATCTCAGAGTCATCAACCTTGATTTCCGTCTCGAGAAGGAAGATAGAACTAACCTTCAACGCTCGAGTGTCAGGCAGCAGTATGCAGATTTGAGCAATGGTCTCCTTCGCAATGCGCTCTGCGCAGCAAACGATTTGGAGCAGCTTACCGTTAACTTCGACGACTACGGCTACTACGGGTCTGTTGCTGATCTCGACAAAGTCCTGGGCACCAAGGCGTGGCCCAAGCTTGAGATGCTCAACATTGACTGCATGTCCACGACCGAGGATGAGCTAATGGACCTGCTGAACCGCCAGCCTTCACTGAAAGATCTCCAATTGGGCTTCATGCACCTGCGGGAAGGTGATTGGCCGTCAATCACCACCTCGATGCGAAAGGGATTGAGGCTGGATGACTTTGTCCCAACAGGCATATTTGAAGATTCCGAACAGATGTACCCTATGCATCATCTGGACGGCGACGCCTACACGGAAGACTTCAGCCACATCAGCTTGGGAGAGGCTCTTGGCTTGTGGGTCGTGCATGGAACCGAGTCCTCCGATGGAAAAGAGTACCATCCATTGCTGGATGATAAATTCGCCGATGCAGACGAACTCCGAGACCAGTACGGGCCATTTGTGGAAGACGAAGAGTTCAGCGACTCGGACAGCGATTCAGACAGTGACATGGACTGCGACAGTGACTAGGCGAGACTGGCAGCCCTGTTCTTCCTGGATTTTCTCCACCATCATGTTTGACTACGAGGTTACGAATTTTTCCGACACCATTCTGCACTGTACAGTATTCAGCACTGGCATTTCACGAGCGACGGTCGACTGCAGATACCCTCCGATGGGCGTTTTTGTCCAATATTATCTTCCGACTTCTCGAGGCGACTATGTTCAAGTCAGGGCCAGCGGACTTGCAATTCATTTGATATGGATCAGTGGAGACGAAGTTGCGCTTTGTGTTGTGGATGGAGCCATTAGTTTTGTTCAACTACTTTTTCAATGTATTCATAGCTGGAGTAGAGAGTAGACCGGAAGCTTGTACACTTACATGGCCATTGAAGGACCCCGGTAAATTTGTAACCACAATATCGAACATTTCCAGCCAGGGGGCCAGCCTTACTTCTTCCTTCTGCATTACTCCGTACCTCAGATCTTTTTGCTGACCTGACTATCGGCCAATTCTCGGCATCCGAGACAGTGATCTCATGCATTATTGAAAGCATTGTCCGCCAAAGTGGTTGTGTCCCTGCCGCATGTTGTCTGCCAGCAACCTTCACAAATATGCGTCCATCTCCCCGGCTTCTGGCAGCTCCAGCGACAGCTCCCTTTCGTCCAGGACAACGGGCACCTGCTCTCGCCTTACTCCCGCCCATACCATTGTACCGCCGGCTCCTGCGCATCCACCGCAAGAAGCTCGGGCCGGAAGAGCGCGTCTTTGGAGACACATACCTCAAATCCGAGTTCCGAAGACACAAGGATGTAGAAAACCCTCTGCACATTGTCGGCTTCCTGAGCGAGTGGCAGCAATATGGCCAGCAGCTCGAGGGCGAGGATTGGAAGGAACAAAAGATCGAGCCGGCGCTTCTGGACAGGATGAGTGATCAGCAAGTCGGGCAGATGTATGAACTTATGCTTGCGATTCAGAAGAGAGGGAGGGACAGTGTCGATGAAGAGGAGGAGGGGCCGATCCTGCGGGCGATCGAGGAGGCCACGAAGAGTGGGAGTGACAAGTCTTGAAGCGCGGCCGATGCTTCGAGTCAACCTCCAGACTAAAGTGACAATGACAATGATACGGGAAACGACGGCGTTTGATAGTAGTTGCTGTCACCGATGCCAACGAGGGGAGCTTTCGCCGACAAGTTTATTACTACTGCGGTTGCGATTGCGATTGGCACTGCGTCCGTGCCTCTAGCAATCTAGCATCGAAAAGCTCACTGCCGACTATTTCACGACCTGGTCGCCAGAACCAATACAGCTACATGTTCTATTGCTCGAAGCAACGAAGAAAGTCTCCCTGACCTTCATTCACTCTACCCTCGCCACCATGTGCCAAACCGAGACCTTCAAATCCCACACCTGCCCTCACCAATGGATGACCATCGTCAAACCCTGCGCTCCTAATGCGTCTTTCAAGAATCAATACCACACATACGAGCCGGTGCGAAAGGGACTTACGAAACTTGCACAACCAAAGGCCATCTCGGCGCCCGCAAATTCGTGCCCCAACTGCGACAAGAAAGGTGATTACGATGCCAACATGACCAGGATCATCATTCAGAAACCGTGCGAAGCCGGTAACATGGGCAATGGGTATAACATGACTGACGGGAGGGGAAATGTGTTGCACTCAACCTATGCTTACGGAGGATATGGGCCGCCGTGTGCGAAATATACGGCCGGTGGTGTAACGAGGGCGAGTGTGCCGCGGCGACAGCCACAGCCACAGCATCCCTGGGAACACGATGGATGTTGCAGAGTGATGTGAGCGTTTCGCCCGGGATAAGGGCAATCACGGAAAATGGCGAGGAGGCGACTCGGGCAGTGCGCAGCGAGTCCTACTGTGTACATCTCGAATGGTTCTTGGCGGAGGAAGTTGTCTTCTCTTCCCCGACCGCAGTACATGATAGTGTTTTTTATTTATGCACGATGCCTGGATGCTAAACCAGCGCACAGTCAGTGACACTGCAAAGTGAACGGCGGCGGAATCTTTCCCGCTCCGGCATTCCCACTGGTCTTTCAATGCGGACATGACCATCCACGCCATCTTCTGATTCCAACCTTCCTTTTCCTCTCGCAACCGATCACGCAATCCCCCCACGGGATGGTACAACCAGGAGCAATCAGCCACGCGACTCGTCTCGGGGGACTGACGGCCGAGAAGCGTGCAATCGGAGATGCCCTTCCACCACGCAGATCGCCAGACATGGCGGGGCTATGATGAGGGTGAAGTCAGCCAGCATACTGTACGAGTAGCATTCAGGATATTTGGAGAATTTCATCTCTGGCAGAGCAAGTATGAGAATGTAAATTGAAAATACCCTCTCTTCCTTGAGTTTAACTGCGCGCCTCTAAAAGTTAAGAGAGATTGATCCGTCTTCCTATCCTCCACTGCCCTTAAGACACACTCACTCTTCAGTGACAGGACAGAAACCCAGCACAACCCACTCTGCGACTTCCTGATCTCAACTGTGAGCCAAGTAAGAACTGCTACGCTACGCTCTGCAATACAATGGCGCCCATAGCGGTCGAAACGCCTCACCAACCACCACCGACAGCTCCGTCGAAGACCACCACCGGCGAGCCCGTGGACCGGACGATCTTCCCCGACGGCTTCAAGACCTCGGGCCAACACCCTCCCCTCTACGACAAGCTGTACGCCTACAGCGCGTTCCCGAAGAAAATCACGGGCCCGACGGTCTGGACCGACGAATACACCAACCGGCCCGAAACATGGACGCACGTCTTCTCGCGGGAGGAGATTCAGGAGATGTCGACTGCGGCAGATAATTTCCTGTCCAACAATTTACCACTGACGGGCATCAACCCGGAGAATTTCCCGCTGCCCGGCATGTCCGCCTCGCTCCGGTCGATGCGCGCCGAACTCCTCAACGGCAAAGGATTCATCCTGTACAAGGGCTTCCCCGTGGCCGAGTGGGGCAACCACAAGTGCGCGGTCGCGTACATGGGACTGGGCAGCTACATCGGGTACCCGGTCTCGCAGAACGGGCGGGGCCACATCCTCGGCCACGTCAAGGACCTGGGCGAGGACAGCACGCAGATCGACAAGGTGCGCATCTACCGCACCAACGCGCGCCAGTTCTTCCACGCCGACGACTCGGACGTTGTCGGGTTGCTGTGCATCGCCCGCGCCCAGGAGGGCGGCGAGTCCGACGTCGCCAGCGTCCACCAGGTGTGGAACATCCTGCAGGCCGAACACCCCGATGTGGCGGACCTATTGACGCAGCCCGTGTGGTATTTCGACCGCAAGGGCGAGGTCTCGCGCGGCGAGGAGCCCTACATCCGCACCAGCGTGTTTTACCTCGAAACACCAGCAGCTAACGGGGACGCCGCGCAGAGGGTCTACTGCAAATGGGATCCCTACTACGTGCGGTCGCTCACGCGGTTTTCTGACCAGGGCATCATCCCGCCGTTGTCACCTCAACAAGTCCACGCGCTCGAGACGCTCGAGGCCGTATGCAACCGCGTCAAGCTGCACATGGTGCTCGACGTGGGCGACATCCAGTTTGTGAGTAACAGTCACATCTTGCATGCCAGGACCGCGTACCGGGATTACGGCCCCGACAGCGGCATGCCCAGACGGCATCTCATGAGACTGTGGTTGAGCACGCCCGTCAGTGAGGGCGGGTGGAGGCTGCCGTTCCATGATGCGGACGAGAGGAAGAGGGGCGGGATTCAGGTGGATGATACGCCGCCCGTGGCGAGGTTGGATGCCGATTGAGTGTGTGTGTGTGGCGTGGTGAGAGACCGGAACCGGGGGTGGGAGATGTACAGGTACCGGCTGAGGTTGCGCTGGTGGTGGTCAAACTTGCGATCGGCTCATGTTTACAGATGTGTATATGAAGACTGCAATGGTGGAGGTACCGATACTAATATCGATGTAATCGACCATCCTGCCCGTCAGCTAATGGATCAACCAAGCAGGTTCACACTTGGCTGAGTGCTTCGCGGCGTATCACTCCTGTGCTAATTATCCCTTTCATGAAACCGAGCCAAGCCCAGAGGAGCACAGCTGCGTCCGTACGGACGATTATAACTTACAATCCATGCTACATGTACTGTATGCCGTGTTTCGAACTCCGCACTCCAAGGGTCCTACCCTTCAGCATGGTCCCATCAATGCCAGGGCCCTTCGTCCGGACGGTACTCCTCGAACGGAAGAGTCCACTGTGGGCGCCCTCATCTCTTGTCTGGTTCTAAAGCCATGGTGAACATCCGCTAAGGCGTCTCCAGCTTTACCACCTACGTTCTTGGACAGCTTCTCTGCATCGTACATCTTGGCATCAGACTCGTCGATGTCCGTATCGGGGTTGACGTTTCTCCTCGCCCACAACGTCCTGACGAAGTATTCCTCGTCGTACCTCCAAGGGGACTACGACAAACGATGCGTCTGAGTACGCTTGATTTCCTGCAGCAGTGGCAAACCTGTCATCAAGCGACCGATGCCTCTGCGCAACTTGTCGTCCCTCATCTGGGCGTCTTTGTTAAATGACCGACGGTGGTCCTGCTGCGTGGTCACGAGTTTGAGCCGCCTGAGGGATTTGAGGATGTCCTTGTCCCTCCCTTTGGCACAATTCTGGGCTCGAGTGCCTGCGGAGTCCTCGGGGCCAGCGGCGAGTAACAGGTCGTCGCCCAGCCCGTCAAGGTCGATGCCCCATCGGAAAACGTACCCCATGAGCTTGAGGTGCTCGAGGCTAGCCGGCAACCGTTTGAGAAGATTGGTCGGCCTCCACGTGCGGTCGGCACCATAGTCGCGAGGTCGATCCGGATCTGATCGGTCAATGACACATTCCTGCTCGGCTGTGATGCTGAGCTTCTTCACCTGCTTGAGCTGGGTAAGGTCGAATGCATCCTTGGAATCTACTTCCTCCAGCAGAGAGGCATCGTCAAAATGCATCTTCATTTTGTACAGGCCTGGTTGCGTACGAGCTATCAAGGATTACACGAGATGTGTCACGGATTGTGCTTTGGGCGTGGGCGACGAAGTAATATTGTACTTGAGGCGACAAAAAATCGAGAAATTACAGACCGCGCGGTTTGCTCAAAAGAGCAGACATCGAGCGCTCATCCACCTCGCAGCGACTCAATTTGAGCTTTGTCAAGGAGGCGGAGTATTGCGGGACAGAATCGCCCTGGAACCCTCGTAAGTCCAGGCCATCCCACGCTAGGCGCGTGAGTCTCGGTGCTTGCAGTAAATGCACAAGACGTGGTGCACATTGTCCTTGCAGCGGTAGACCTGCAAAGTTGAGGAAACACTCGCGGAGCAAGGGGAACCTGTGCGTGCCCAATACATGCTGCAGAGTACTCAGCCATGGATAGGGATATTCGCAACGAACATAGCTGGGAACACCTCCCACGGTCAGGCTCTTCCGGTCCGGACAGTGGGAGATAAACTGCAACTTGAATGCAGCTCCGGCCGTGTCGGACATGCTAGATCGGATGTGTAAAGCATTAGATTCTGATCGAGCCTGCGGACATACTGAGACATGTGAGAATAGAGGACTAGCAGATAGAAAGGTGGTCTTGTTGAAGAGATGTCGGTTCCTCAAGCACACGTTTGAGCATGGGTATAGCTTACTTTCAGGTTCTGGACCCATTTGGCTCGACGCTCATCAGAGTCCAGACTCGACTTGATCCTGTTCGGGCCTAAACAAGTCTCCCCGGCTCGAAAGTCCCCGGACAAGTCGATGTGTTTCCAACGGGCAGGTTCCGCCAGCTGCAACGCGTCTCCGCATGTGAGGCGGAATCGTGAAAGTAGCATGTCCTCGGCTTCAACATCGCCGGTGGCAAGATGAACTTCTTTCGCCAGTACCTCCACGACGCGGCGGAGTACTACATTGGGGAGGTCGAAGAGAGTGCGGTGGTGACCAATGATGCCTGGTGCCATGCTCATAAAGTGGGTATAGTGTTGTCAACTGGTTTCAATCCGGGGTTGTGTCCGGTACATAATAGGTGTAGGCGAGGTGCAAAAGTCGAGGCATGGTGACAAGGATCAGGTAGACGGTGAGCATGAGGAACCGGTCTGGCTAGAGTTGCAAGTCTTCTTTGTTTGCTTGGCCCGCAAAGAGAGTCTGTTCATGCTTCTCTTTCCGGCATTGTTTGTTGTTGGCAACTCTTCAGACAATCAGAGCTGGTATCACTCACGCCAACTCGTTTACTCACCAGCAGTTGTGCTATAGCTTTGCACAGGTCGATGTCAGTAATGCACGGACCACGCAAGGAACCGATCGCCATCAGCCACGTCCATGACCATTTCAACTCGCGATCTTGTAGACGCCGGCATTTCCAACTTCCAGAACGCCTTCCTTGACCATTCCAGCCAAAAACTCCTTCAGCTCCTCATTGCTGAACGGAAACCCACCCGGAACGACAATCCCTAGCATCATAGCAATCCTCGCCAGTGGCATCGAACCTTGATTCGTAAGCATGGATACCACGAATTGATGGTACATGGCCATTTTCTGTTTCCGTTCGGCTTCTTCAGCTTCCTTGGCAGCAGCGAGGGCGGCGGCTTCTGCTGCTGCAGCCGTGCTGGCCTGTGTCTCGGTCGAGGAATCGTTGGTCATGTTTGTATCGAACTCCGTGCCGGAGGGGAGGCTTTCGAGGACGATGAAAGTATTTGCGGATATCTCATGGAGAATGCGTTTGGAAACCCAGAATATACAGGCAGACCGAGCGAGAGTGGGAGACATTTCGAGCTCTGTGGCGAGCTGAGAGACGCTCTTGCTGACTGGCTGGTCTTCACCCTGTGCGGCCTTGTCCTGGAACGCGTGGATCACAGCGGCTTGCCAAGGCAGAACCTCTTCTCGCAAGCTGCGATCCTCCAGCTCCAGTTCCACGTCGACTTGGCCGATTGCGTTGAGCCAGGTCAACTTTCGCGACTGCTTCAATGCTCCGAAACCCTTTTCGTAGCTTTCCTGCCGCTCCAGTATCTCAGGCGGCACGGTGAACGACTGCTCCAACATGGACGGCCAGAACAGCCTGGACAGAATCTTGGCATGAAGTTCAATACCTCCGTCTTCTTCATCCATTCGCCCCGATGTGCCTTCTTTTTCCAGATCTCTTCGGATGACATGATCGACTTTTCGCGAGTCCAGAACGTCTCGCAACATGACTTCACACGCTTGCAACGCCGAATCGCCGAATCGAATCTTCAGGTGCTCCAGCACGCTGATTTCTTGGTTGAAATCTGGTTTGTTCTTGAGCAGTCGTTCGGCGAGTGTCGATTGGAGCTCCTTCACGAAGACGTCTTTCGTGTCGAAGAGGGTGATCAGGCTGCCGATCACATCGGTGTTCTTGTTCGATTTCATATAGTCCGGTGCTGCATCAACAGGATCAGGCAACCACTCCATGTTATTCCAGTCAAATTCACTGTCTTCTGTAGTATTGTCGCGCGCATTGTGTCGGTGAAGTTCGAGTGCGAGTTCTGAAAGGACTTCTGGGTCTGAGGATGGTTCCCGACCGTTCTCTTGGGGCGCAGTGTCGGCGAGGAGTCCAGTGACGATGACCTTGACCGTATCGTCTCGTTCTCTGAGGTATCGTCGAACTCTTCTTGCGACGCGATCTAGGAGAACGCCTTTGGGATCCAGAACTCGGAAAGAGCGGGTGATTGCGATGTAGAGCTGCAGGATCTCGATAGTTGAGGCGCCAGGGTGCAGCAGACGTGTCTGAAGGACGTTGGCGAAATCGTGGGTCAGATATCCTCTCGTCGCTGGATTGGTGGTAAACTGTCTCAAGTCTTCGATGGCTGGTGCCGTCGCGTCCCAGTCCACAATGATCTCAAAGAGTTCATCTACCCGTAAGGCACCCAAGCGAGCCACGGCCATATCCTTCCATTTCTTGATCTCGGTCTCCGGCACCCGCTGAGCGTTGAAACTGTCATCTAGACAACCCAGCACCTTGTACGCAATTCTTGAGAACAAATGTTGGATCCAGAATTCGAGATGATGATACAGGCCCTCTTGGTAAATTCCAGCGTATGACCAAGTCACGAACTCGGTCATCAGTTCATTGAGAACAGTGGCCAGCAATTTCATGACGGTTTCAGAACCGACTGCTGATCGCCATTGCGATAGCATCGACCATAACGGAGAAGAATTCTCCCGCGTAATATGTTTAGCATGATCGACCGCTGTTGGCTCGCGGATCCGATACTCTATTCCAGAAGATCCAAAGTGGCTGTGGAAAGGAGCTCCAGCATTGGTCACCATACGAGAATGCCCATAGACAAAAGACTCATTTCCAATGCCAAGGAGAAGTCTGAGTTGGTCTTTCAGGGTTCGCTGGATATCTGGAATTAGTGCGGCGGCTTTGGGGGCGAACCGACGACGGTGTTTAGGTGGTTGAATGCCGGAAGGGAACACGGACGCGAAGACTCCATCCGTGGGAAGGGTGGGAGGAAGAGTTTGCATCTTCGACGTGGCCACTACAGTCTTGTCGCCTCGTAGCAGCCAGTGCAGTTCTGCAGCCCAGGGGCCTAAGAGGGGGGGTACAGAAGGAGAGCAAGAGAGATGGCCGTGTCCTGCTCAGAGATGCTGCGCAGCGCCAAGAGATAAGATAATGCAAAGCCAAGAAATGACGTTGTGTATTTACTTTGCGTCGGACGCGACGCGACTGGGAAGCTTCGATGGAGGCCGGACACCACGGCTGCTTCAAGCACTTCGAAAGAGTTCTGCGACGAAATGTCGGCCTTGTTGAGGTAGGGTTGTTCTGCTGCCATTAAAAGTTGTTAACACTATCTGACCCGAGGCTATCATCATGCACCAGCGAAAGAATTGTGACACGATTTCGAGCCATGCCTAGTCACTACATTCAGATCACAAGCGTATCGGTCGAACAGCACTTACTGGCAGAATCAAGTTCTTCGTGTTGTACGAACGTCATCTTCCTTGGGTTCAGCTGCTTTTGGGTATGTTCTCCAGGGGGGTGGAAAGGTTGCTCATCAACGATAAAGGGGACAGTGAGGTAGGAATTATCGACATCTCCGCGCACTCTCGAAGAACCGAAACATCAGTAAAGCGTCAGACTCAAGCTCGATACGCATGTCACTGGACGACTCGTGGGGCTTCACGGTAGCCCGCAAGGCTAGCATCTGAACAAGATTGATATAACCTGCTTTCCCTGAAAGGTTAGGCATGCTGGCGTACTCCGACACTTCATCGGTTCATGGCCATCACAGAGGCCGCTCCATCGACGTTTTCTATTTATCAGCCTTGGCCCTGTCGTTCCACTCCTCCCAGATGGCCGATCTTCGACGCAAGCCTCAGCGACAGCGCATCGTTCCAAAAGTAACTCTCGCACAATCGAACACTGGCCTGCCAGTTACGTGCGTTTGGCCGGGCCCTCAAGAGCTGGATCCCGAGCAAGGAGGGCTGTCCTGACGGGTCGAATGTCGCGACAAGCGTGGTGCCCACCCAGGTGATGAATGCCTCGTTTCTTTCCGTCACCTCTATGAACAGAGTCCTCATAAACTTGCAATGAATCTGCAGGTAAGCGTTTGTCAGATAGAACATCGCACGCGTGGTATCTGTCGAATAGCAGAAGGCCATCAACGCGATTACGAGCAGTTGTTCGATCAGCGACAGCCCGCTCTTGTGCAGGAACTCTCCACATAGGGTGACGTTGCGGGCGCTCCGTGAGAGCTCGTGGAGATTGTACACGTCGGACTCTCTCAGGTAGGCGTTGATGTCCTGCTCCCAGGCATTGATGTGGGCGATCAGGTTGATTACCTGATGACTCAGCAGGCCAGACAAGGCTACGTTGGTCAATCCAGGGTGGAATTTTGCGATGGTATCGCACAAATCGGGATCAAAGGGATGCTCCGGGTAGGTGAAGGCGCCATCCCTGGGGAAGAAATGGTCGTTGACCAGGCTGACGGAGTGACGGGCAGCGTAAAAGTTCAGCCAGCTGCAAGCATGAAGCGAGATGCAACTGATTAGTCAGGGTCTTAGAGGCAACGTCGGGTCAGGAACAGGCCAGCACTTACGCGATCGACATCGTCTTTAGAAACCCTTCGAAACCTGGCTGTCATCAGAATCCCGCAAAAGGAGCATGGATTGAGGAATAGGGAACATACCCAGTTGGTCGACACCACCTCTCAGCGCGACAACCTGTTTGATGCCGAGCGTGTGCATGTCAACTGCATCATAGTTTCCCGACAAGGCCTACAAGGGGCAAACCGAATCAGTGTGCTGCTCTAGTCCTGCTGGCGTTCCCAGGACTGTGCTCACCTCGAACCCCGACAAGTTGCTCAACGTCACGATGACAGCATCGCTCGATCTTTCCGACTCCCGTGAAAGCCTCTCACGCAATTGCGAAACAGCTGACTGGTAGAGGCGGAAGGATTCTGGAGGGGCGTCCCGGCTCCCGGTGGAGGTGATGTTGGCGCTGAACGACGCCACCGCCGCCAGTGCCGAGAAGACCATGCGGTCGTGCAGTATGAACGGGATGTAACTGCGCAACAGGGCGAGGTCTTGCCCTACGCCCACAAAATGCGGACGCTGGACTGCCGTCGGAGAGTATTGCTTGACATCTGGCATTACACATCAGCTGGGTTCGCCACGAGAAAGATGGCCCCTACAGAACTGAATCGCATGCTGGATGAAGGCGTTTGCTGGAATAGGGTATGGCGAGAATGACACCTCCCGCACACGATGATTGCCAAGCCGTACAACGTCGCTGCTCAACCCCTGCGTGGCGCTGCGGCGATGGCGCGGTCTCGGCTGTTGCTGGCGACGCTCAACGGGATGGTTCTGGCGTTGTGGTTGTGGCTCGTGTTCCTCGTCTTCCTGACTTTGTGCGGGGAAGACTGGACTTATTCTTGGGTTTCTCCTTGGGCCTGGATCTGACGGACGGTCCATGACTCGATGCAGGCGGCATATCTCTTGAGAATTCCTGCTGCGGCTCGAATGGCCAAAGCAACGGTATATGACGGGCAGGCAGTCGGCTCATGGTGCGGGAGACGTGCGCTGCCTATTTACTAACAGAGCCAGTGCGTTCGTTCCCGGGCTACCGGGGTCCATGACTCGTGTTTAAAGCTTGTCACCACTGACTACGGAAAAAGAAGCCCGGCAGCATCCATCGGAGCATGTCGAAAGGGGACAGCCGACAGCGTGGTTCGTTCTGATTGAACCTATGCACAACATGATCACAGCTGGCGACCCCGAAAACCAGATAATCCGCCCAGCAAGACGCAGCATGTTTTCTGGACGAAATAGCAAGGCACAATGGATATTGGTTAGTGCACCTACCTCGATTGGCATTGAGATATACATGTATATCATAAGCCGAAGTCAACGAGCCGGGGCCCGAAAGACTCAGCGTCGTAGATCAACGATCTGTATCGGAAGCATGGTTGACAGATCGTCAACCCACCGACAGACCACAATTCCGGTCACGGTGATTGGACAATCTCGACGTTCCTCTCCAAAAGCAATTTGACGGACATGGCGAAGCCCGGCCTCAACACCCAGCTCGACTTGTTCATGCTCCGCTTACCTCGGTGGCTCCAATTGGACACCGACAACATGGAAGCACCGGCCTATGTGCACGTTTTGGGCAGGACGATGCGATAGATTCTTGCCCGCTTTGGGCTACACGTCAACGTCTATCCACCATCTGCCTTAAATGAACGGGATCTTCGCTTGCCGGCTTTCGAAGGTGTCGGTGTCGACAAACACGCTGGCGATCCCGAGAGTACGACGTGTGAGAGGTGCGGGAAGCCCGATCTCGGCATAGTGGGCGCTGTGCCCCAATAGTTACCGGGTGTAGCAAATGCCCCCCTGTCAAACCCCGTAGCGGTACCACTCCCCGCCCCCTGGAAGCTTTATTTGGCGCCTCAGGCCAGAAGGGTCCAATCAATCTTCTCCTGACCATCAACCTCTTCCGACGTTTTTGTAAGCCCGCATATCACACTGCCGGAAGCAGGTAGCTGCATTTATCGATTCGGGGTCACAGACGACGACACTCGCCTTTTTTCCTGAGCTTTTCGGCGCGGGGGATCAAGCTTCCCACTTATCTGAGACCCCGCCTTGCGGCCTCCTTCTGGCGATACTCGTACAGACTGCCTGCTGCGGGCCGCGGTCATGACTTCCATAGAATACACGTCGCCAGAAGAGTTCGCATCAGGATACAGGACTCTCCAGAGCACGTTTGCGAGCAATAGAACCAAGTCTATCAAATGGCGCAAGGTAGGTGCTGGTGCGAGCGAGCCGCCGTTGGCCATCTCCGTCGATATTATGTACTGCACAGCAGGCTGACGAACATACGTAGTGGCAACTTAAGCAGCTGTGGTGGCTGCTCGAGCAGAATCTCGACAAGATTGTCGATGCGCTCCACACGGAGCTCAATCGTCATGCATTCGAGACTCTCACCATGGAGGTGCGCGGCATCAAGGGTGACATTGTCGACATGCTGGAACACATCGATGAATGGTCCCAAGGCGAAAAGCCGGACGCAGGCTTCCTATTCGGCACACTGGGAAAGGCGTGGCTGAGGAAAGAGCCGCTCGGTGTGACTCTGATCATAGCTGCGTGGAATTTCCCACTCTATACACTGTTGTCACCAATGGTGGCGGCCATCGCTGCTGGTGAGTTTCCGCCTGTCCTCTGCCCTGGGCCTTGCAGCCTAGGCGTCTGATCTCCTGCCGATTACTGGGCGGGATGTCCCAAAAGAGTCTCTGCTCACAAGGGGTAGGTAATTGTATCTTTTTAAAGCCATCCGAACTCGCTCCGGCCACTCAGGCGCTACTGGTCGACCTGGTCCCAAAGTACCTGGATCAATCGGCCATACGCCTGGTGACTGGAGGCCCCGCAGAAGTTGGCCGCATGCTCGAGTTCAAGTTCAACCACATCTTCTACACCGGAGGCGGCAAGGTCGGTCGCATCATTGCAACAGCCGCGGCGAAGCACCTCACGCCTGTCGTCCTCGAGCTGGGCGGTCAAGCTCCTGTCATTGTGACAAAGACTGCGGATATTGAATTGGCCGCCAAGCGCATTGCCCACGCGAAGCTCACCAACAGCGGCCAGGTCTGTCTGAATGGGAACCACATCTTCGCCGACCCAGCCGTCCACGACCGGCTCCTCGAGAGGTTGCAGTTTTGGTTCGACAAGTTCCTCGAGACGGGCAATGAGCAGTTCGCCACGATCATCAATGAGCGTCACTTTGACCGGATTGCGGGGCTGCTCAAGTCCAGTGCCGGCGTGGTGGTCTATGGCGGCGACTTGGACCGTGACCGGAAGTACATCAAGCCCACGATTGTGCGGGACGTCACGACCGACGACTCGCTCATGTCTGAGGAACTCTTCGCTCCGATAGCGCCGGTCATCGTGGCAGATGTGGACCGCGCCATCCGCATCATCAGATCTATGCCTCCTCCGCTAGGCCTGTACATCTTCTCCAAGGAACAGGCAGAGATTGACCACATTCTGGACAATACCACTTCCGGCGGCGTCACCATCAACGACCTAATGGTCCACGCTGGGGTGCCTCACGCGCCGTTTGGGGGTGTCGGCGAAAGTGGCTACGGCAGTTACCATGGGAAGTACGGCTTCGATGCCTTTTCGCATACCAGGACCGTTGTCGCTCCCCCAACGTGGCTCGAGGCGGTCATGAGCTTTCGCTATGCGCCGTTTGACGTGAAAAAGGCAAAGTTTGCCGAAATCAAGAGCAGTCTCGTAGGCAAACCGGGCGAAACAATGGAACAGCAGAAGGTAGGGAAGAAGGTGGCCGTCAGCACGATGCTAAGAAATGCCGTCCTGGCTGTTGCGATTCTTGCGGCCGCTGATAGTGCTACCGGCGGGAAGTTGTTGTTTGTCCACACGATGCGTGATGTTGTTGACAAGGTCTTGCGGCGGAAATGATGAGCACCTGAGGACAGGCATATGAGTGGCAGAAGGGAAATCGCGGTCTTTTTCTACAGCGCACATGAAAACCATCTCATTGCAATCTCCTTCTATACCTAGGAAATATGAAAAGTATCTCACCTCCCTCTGTTGCGTCGTCTGACCCGCCGAGGATTTTCCGCTTCCCAGAATCCATCTCGAATTTTTGTATCTGTATCTTTGCCCTTTGATCCTTGAAGTCGAGGACTCGCCCCTTCCTACAGCGATGTCGCCCCCTCTCCAAAGACATGCAGTATGCCACGATTAAGCGTGACGAGTCTGGCGCATCTACGACAAAATTCCCCAACTTAAAATCTATCCCACTACCTGAACTCGACCGTATCCCGACTCGACTTGGCTACTGCCTGATCTCCTACAGTACAGTACAGCACTGACTTAGTGGTGCATTGCAGTGTGTTAGATCAAGCTCAACCACTCCTCAATCGATTCGAACCGCGTCATATCCACGGGACACAGGACATTCAGATCACCTCACTTCTAGGTCATACTCCCGTCAGCACCCCGTCGATATCTCCCTGAACTGTATTTCGGAGACCACACTGGATCGACATTGAGAACCTAGGAACTGTGCCCCAAGACCGAAGACGAAATACATGATACATAATTACCTCCCCTACACAGCCACAAGCATGGTTCTATATCCCACGCCCTCAACATCCCACGTCCCCTACGACCTCGTCTACGAATCGGCAGAGGACTCCTTCCTGTTTCTCGACACCCTCTCTTCGGCCACTGAGACAAAATGGCTACATTCGCGGTTCCGCGATCCTGTCTTTACCGCCACCAGTCGGGGTGGGACTCCTCTCGTCCTCGAACTCGGTCCCGGTTCGGGGGTTATCGTCGCCTTCCTCACCGCCAACGCGGGCCACATCTTCGGCACCGACGTCCTCAGCCTCAGCGTGGATGTGAATCCCCATGCCGCGCTCGCTACGCGGACGACGGTGGCGAGAGCGGTGGTGGAACGACAGCGACCGCAGGGAGCTCCCGAGCAGAACGCGACTCCGACAAGCCAGAATGCAAATGCAAGTGCCAGTGCGAATCCGTACTTAGGTTCTCTGCTTGGCGATCTCACGGCTCCATTGCGCTCAGGGGAAGTGGATGTCCTGGTATTCAACCCGCCTTATGTGCCTACCGAGTCTGTGCCCTCGTCTGTATCCGTGTCAGGGTCTGCGTCTGCGTCTGCGTCTACGTCTGGACCTCGTTCCACAGCGGCCGCACCGACACCCTCGTTCGAAGAATCTTCAAAACTCCTTGAACTATCGTACGCGGGCGGCCTTGACGGCATGGAAGTCACGAACCGACTGTTGATGCAGATTCCACAAGTCTTGAGTCCGCGTGGGGTCGCGTACGTGCTGTTCTGTCGGGGGAATAGGCCCGACGAGGTGAAGCGCGGGATTGAGGCCTGGGAAGGGGGCGGCGCGGAATCGCCGAGGTGGAAATGGCGGGCCGACACGGTGGGTTGGAGTGGCAAGACGGCTGGGTGGGAGAAGTTGGAGATTGTGAGGATCTGGAGAGAGTGGAAGCAAGAGGGACCATGAAATCTATTGAATTGAATTCGATCTGATGTTTTCTGGGACAGTCTCTGAAATCACAAGGAGGCCAGGCGACGCAGCATTCAGAGGATGGCCCCTTTTGGCTGGAGTCTACGGCGCTGTGGATATCCATACACACCCTGCCGGAGGCGTGATATGTGCGCCCAGAGGTGCTCTAACCTACCAGCCACCTGCATCGGAGCACGCTCCCTCAGTACCCGAGCCCATACCCCCGCACCCTCGAGAAGAAGAACGGCTTGTCATTCCTCAGATGGAACTCGGCCCAATCATTCGTGAGCACGTTGAAGCTCCAGAACCCTTTCCACACCAACTTGTTGTTCTTTGTGGTATATTTCGACCTGGCATTACCCGCGTGCTTGAGCGACAAATGCATCGTATACATGTACCTCGGGCCGGCGCCCTCAGTTTCGATGTGCAAGTCGCCGGGATTCATGGTGGGTTTGGGAGACGACTGGTTCGGTTGGAGCCCAGTGGTTTGGGCGTCTGTTCCTGTCATGGGGCCATCAAGGCTTGGATGACACAGGCGCCAGCGACCGCGAAGGGCGTGTTTCATCACGTCTCGGGCCGAGGGAGGGGGTGCAACAGCGCTGGTGGAAGTGGAAGGAGCGGACTCTCGGAGGAGTGCGGGCGCCGAAGAGGTGAAGTTTAGAGGATGTCCTGCCGCTTCTTTCTTCCCAGCGCGGACAAAATTGAGATTCTCGGGAGTCAAGTGGTGGACCACCTCGACGGGTTCGCTGGTGGTCAGCAAGGAGATGCAGGTACCGTCGCGGAAGAAGCGTAGATAGCGGTAATATGTGACGATATGGACAGGGTTCAGCCAAGTGCTGGCGGTTGCAGAAGCGCCTCCTGGACGGGTATAGTTGACTGTGGAAATGTAGACGCCCGTGAAGCGGATGCGAGGGTGGTTGTGGAAGACGTCTCGCCACACCGTGTCCTTTGGGAAAGAAATCTCCGTGACCAGGCTTGGAGACGGCTGACTATCTTCGTCCAACGTGTCGAATATGATCTGCCGTCCTTGCAGATCGGTGTTGAAGCTGTACTGTTGGCCTGCGAGGCCGAACTCTGGACCTAACGCAACGCGTTTCCAGATACTGTTGTCGGTCATGACATGGTAGGCCAGCTTCTTGCAGACCAGGGACAGGCGGACATAGATGGCCGTGTCCCGTATCGCAACATGCCGAAGTAAATCCAATAAGACCTCCGTGGGCAGCTTTTTGATCCCACACGGGGGAGGACGATCGCCAGGGATAATAGGCACAGCCCCCAATATCGGACAGCTCGCAAAAGAATCGATCAATTGTGCAAGAGGCAGAATATCCCGCTTGGGTTCTTCTAGGGAGTGGTGAGCAGTTGAGGGGACTGTTACAGCGGCGTTGGATGGGTTAGAATTCGCTGGTTTCGACTTCCATGCTGCGGCGAAGTGCTTGTTCTTGTACGTCTGATCGACTTTGGCATCGAGCTTGTAGGCTTTCCGATAGTGAGAGAGACTGTCCCCCAGGTTGCCCTGACTTTCCTTCTCCACGGCACGCTCAAAGTGTTCGAGCGCGCTCTGCGGCTCCTTCTTGGTGGTGGGCGTAAAGTCATCGTCGTCAATGTTACGGATCTTAAGGCCTTCCATGCGTTGCTGGAGTGGGGCGGAATTGCTGGTGCCCGCATGGTCTACATCGCTGTGGTGGTCGGAGTCATCTTGCTTGATGTCCGCCGCTGGGTGGCGAGTGGGTGGTCTGTTGATAGGCCTTTCTGGCCGGTGATCACTTGTCCTTCGCGCCTTCTGTGATGACGATGAACTTCTCTCTGGCTTCTTGGTACGAGCGGTGACTTCTTCCTTCCATTGCTGGCGGAATTTCTCGAGTTCTGACGCAGGTTCGGCCATGGTACCTCGTTCCCGGCGAGCCTCTGGAAGTCTCAAGATGAGCCTTGTTAGCCACAATACGGGACAGCCGTGGGTCACGGTGATTCCCCGGGAGGATTCACGAGACCAGGATACAGTGGAGACTGAATGATGTCTCCAGATTTGCGGAGAGCCGATGAGTTCTCACACACAGTACCTCGTACAATTGCAGAATGACGAGGACGAGGCTTGATGACGGCGGAGGATCCCAGGCCACGTGCCAGGCTTATCTAATAGCCGCGTTATCGCCGAAGCCGTGTCGGCTCTCTTGCCCCTTTTGCTCAAGCCGATAACGGCCGATGCTTCTCGCTCTTCTCTGACGGAAGAATTTGGCGTATCTCCATTTCTCATCAATGCAAGTCAAAGTCTCGATGTCATTATTGCCTCCCCCGAGCTCAACTCTCTATATTTCCTCCACAACAGACATGCAAGTGTTGCTTTGACTGCGCAGCCGTAGTGAAGCTCAGAGTTTGGCCAATACTCAGTCTCGTCCCGCAGTTCGGGCTTGAATGTCCTACTCATTTACTGCCGCACCTGCGCAGTCACTCGACGAGCATCCACTCCCTCAACACGCGCTTGGTCATGATGGCCAGCAACATTTACAAGCCCAGGGACAACAGCATGACAGAGTACAGCTCTCGCAACCGAATCCCGCCAATATGTCCGGCTCCGACAACCTCGAGATAACCACCACCCAGCGGATGATATCCGCCACCTGGGGAAGCGTCCTTACTACACTGCTTGGTATGTCATGACGCGCAAATTAGCATCACCACACCTGTACTGACTTTGCACAGTGACACCGCTCGACGTCGTCCGCGTACGCCTACAGTCTCAGCAAGCGCCTCCACCCACAAATCTCTCCCGGTTTCCCGCATACTCGACGAGCTTCAAACAACTCCCTCCGGACCTCGGTGTAAACTCATGCTGTCGGGAAGTGTTCTTCGTGGGAAACAATGGTCAGTTCTGCCTGGCAGGGAATGGCTCTATTCAAGGATCTTCCACGCTCATTGCGGACTGTGCAGCGGAAGAAACTCAGCAAAAGACTTTCACATCCACCATGGATGCTATGAAGAAGATTGCGAGGAATGAAGGATACCCGACCTTATGGCGTGGACTGTCTCCCACATTGGCGATGGCCATCCCCGGCAACGTCATCTATTTCACCGGCTACGACTGGCTGCGATACAGCCATGCCAGTCCGATTCGGAAGATCGCATCCGACACCTATGCACCTTTGATCGCCGGTTCCGTGGCGAGAGTAGCAGCTGGTATCGCGGTCTCACCTATCGAAATGTTCCGAACCCGTATGCAGGCCACTTCCGGAAACGCAGGTGTCTTCAAGGAGACCTTACTTGGCTTGCATCGCATGGCTCGGACGCAGGGATACTCTTCTCTCTGGCGGGGACTCACACTGACCTTGTGGCGAGATGTTCCTTTCTCAGGGTTCTACTGGTGGGGATATGAAGCCATTCGCAACAAGTTGACAGACGCGAGGGAAGTGGCAAAAGGACGGCATCTCGACGCTGGCCGTTCCTTGACCAGTGCCCGAGTGGCTCAAACCGACCAAGATCCCATGACGACTTTCATCGACAGTTTCATTGCAGGTTCCGGCGCTGGTGCCATCGCCGCACTCATCACCACGCCCTTTGATGTAGGCAAGACCCGTCAGCAGGTCTATCACCATGCTGGGGACGACGCCGCGTCTGTGGTCAGCGCAAGAGAAGCCGCTAAGGCGGGAAAGCAAATTCCTGAGGAGCTGCACATCACCCGGTTCTTGCACCATATCTACACGGAGGAGGGGATTGCTGGACTGTTCAAAGGATGGGCGGCCCGTTGTATGAAAGTCGCGCCCGCCTGCGCCATTATGATTAGCTCGTATGAGTTGGGAAAGAAATGGGCCAAGACGCAGAACGAGAAGAAGGAAGAGGGCAAGGCGCTGGCTTGATCTCCATCCTGCAGCGGGCACGAGTGAGTGACTAAGCGGAAAAGGAGTGATCTGCTGAAGTGTACAACACAGATGACCTGGATTTCGGGCCTTTAATGTCTGCATAGCACGGGCGCTGGTTTGGTGGCACATTGATTTCTTGACCGGAAAGGGTCGGACTTCTAGACTATTTGAAAACAATCCGTCTCATCGAGCTTTTCAAACCCGGCAATTTCCCTGCTTCTCATCTCCCCTGCAGAAATCACACATCCATCTTTTGAGTGTGATCACAATGGAGGGACGGGTTCTGGAGTATAGGCCTGAACTCACTCTCCATGTTCCATCATCCCCACTGAACGTTCTATACTTTCCGCCGCAGTCCAAACGATGATCGACCTCTTGGGAGAAAGCTTCTATCTCCCGACCATTCACGCGCTGACTTGTCGACCTCTCTCCATTCCCCCGCGCTGGGAAGATACCCGGCTCTGGAATCCCTTCGCTCCCAATCACATGGCTGTGTGCTTCCGTCGGAAGGAGAACTCCTGACCGGGCTATCTTCCCCGCATCAACGCCGTACGAGTACCGCCGCATCGCATGCCGATGAGGCATGAGGGAGGGTTGATCAACCACCCCCGATGCCGACATGCCGAATCGACAGGTAGAGACAAATTCTTCGTCGCGCAATTTCCATGTGTCTTTCCTTTTCTATCTTTTGCCGTCCCATCAGTATCCATCGTGGCAAGTACTCAGTCGACGCGTGGCAGTGAGGTGAACGCTATCGACGGCCCGGACGAATTCATATACAGTACGGAGTACCTGAATTGATTACTCCGTAGGTACAAACGGAATCGGCACGTCGAAGGACTTAGCCGAGACATTGCACTACACTCCACATTGCACTACACTCCATCATTCGCCACCGAGAAGTGCGCCTCTTACGACCATCCTGAGCGCACGCACACGTGTGTGAGTGAAAGTATAACTGCTACGCTACGCTACGCTACGCTACGGTCCCCAGGACAACCATGGCACCGGCACTCGACGTGTACGACTCGTCAACCCCCTCCAACGTCGCTGTTGGGGCCCTGGGCACGACGACGTCTGGCAAGAAACTCCGGATCCGGGCATACCCCAAGTTCCAGTCCCTGGAGGAGGAGCGACTGTACAGAAAACAGCACCTCGCCGCGGCGTTCCGAGTCTTCGCGGAGCGAGGCTTCGACGAAGGCGTGGCGGGGCATATCTCGGTGCGGGATCCGATTCTGACGGACCATTTTTGTGAGTCTGGCCGGTTTTCTCCCGCGTCGTGCGTGCGTGCATGCACGACTGGCTGACCGTTGGCGTTGGCGCTCACAGGGCTCAATCCCCTCTCGCAACACTTTTCCCAGATCAGCGTCAGCGACCTGATCCTCGTGAATGAAGACGGCCAGGTCGTCGAGGGCGAGGAGCCCATCAACGCCGCGGCCTTCGCGATTCACTCTGAAATCCACAAGGCCAGGCCCGACGTCGACGCCGCGTGCCATGCGCACAGCGTGTACGGCAAGGCGTTTAGTGCCTTTGGTCGGGAACTCGACATGATGACGCAGGATTCGCTGCGGTTTTGGAAGAGTCATGCCGTGTACGATAACTTTGGGGGCGTGGTTTTGGATCGCGAGGAGGGTAAAAGGATCGCCAAGGCGCTGGGGGACGGGAAGGCCGTCATCTTGCAGAACCATGGGCTGTTGACGGTCGGCAAGACGGTCTGTCTCTCTTTCTGCTCATGTTATGGCTCGCTGTCGAAGTGTTTTGCTAACTCGGTTTTCGTTGTCTAGGTCGACTCTGCTGCCTTCTGGTTCATTTCGCTGGACAAGACTTGCCATGCGCAGTTGCTCGCTGATGCGGCTAGCGCGGGCAGCGGACACAAGATCAAGCTCATCTCGGACGAGGAGGCCAAGTTCTCGTATAGCCAGGTGGGCACGGACGAGAAGGGATGGCTCGCGTTCCAGCCGTACTATGACGAGCAGCTGGCCAAGACGAATGGGAACTTCTTGAAGTGATTACGATGCCGCGTATGAGGTACGTGTGTATAGTTACATGGGAGAAAGCATGAGGGAAGGGAAGCAGTTCTGTAGCGGTAAGTGCATTGCATTGCCGATTAGACTCGACTCGAGTCAGCTGTGCACGGTGTGGGAACATTTTTGAGAGAGTACCTGTTCCGTTCCCGTTCAAGTCAGAATGATTCCTCTTCTATGTCCTGTTTCTTCATATCCGGTAAGATCTGATCTCAACCTCCGTCCAGTCGGGCGGACGTCGTCCTTATGTGTAACGCTTCCGAGACGGTAGTCGAGGACCCCGCCGGCCACTCGCCGGGCCTGAAATACACCTTGTCCAGACAACTTGCTTGATTGTGAATTCCATGCAAGAAGATGACATTTGGTTAGGACAGAAGGCTTGCTCCGCCCCGGACATATGTACTCACGGAGGTATACGGCCTAAGTCCGGACCCGTATACCGTCAATGACCAGTATTGTCCGAGTATGTAGCGTGCTGGGATGGTTGCTTGTAGGAAAGGTATGACTGGGGGTTGCCCGACCTGCCGAGGCTCCACCTAGGACAGTCTGTGCATATAACCGTGATAGAAGGCTTTCGTGATCTATACTGAGTGCTCGGGTCGACTTGTTCTTGCATCTGCTTCAGCTGAAGACATACTCGACAAAGCTGAAGGCACGGAATCTTGGCTTTGCCGTGCGAAATAAGACATTCGGGGAACGTGTCGACGAAATGACAACCCTGAAACGTGTTTTCGACAGATCGACGACGGGTACGTCGGTCATGGAGATGTTCTCTTCAGCCGTCCAGGGGAAGTCTCTACTTATCACTGGCATCAACTTAAGCTCGCTATCCCAGTAGAATATCCTTCGAAGCATTTTGTCCTCGAGAGGGGTTTGTTAGCTCGCAATCGGGTAATGACACTGATCCGATGGGAGAACTGGCAAGGCAGCCTAGGCGGCGAGATGGTCAAGATTCTAAGCAAAGGTGCTCGTCCTCGCCAGCCGCACGCCCTCTAAGATGTCGGAAATCATCGAGGTACGCAGGCCCAAGTCGCCCAGCGCGACCTATATTCCCGTTTCGCTGGATTTGGATCCTCAAAAGTCGGTCCGCGAGGCGGCGGCAGCGATTCTGTCCAATTCTCAGATCCAGCAAATCGATCTCGTGTTCAAGAATGCTGCCGTTACTTCGATACCGGAGCGCCAACTAAGCCCTGAAGGCATCGAAATGCAATTTGCAACCAACCATATTGGCCACTTCCTCTTCACCAATCTGATCATGCCCAAGATCCTTGCAGCCGCCAAGTCAAACCCCAAGGGAACCACGCGAATCATCAATCTCTCGTCCCGTGGAACCGTCTACAGTCCCGTTCGCTTTCAGACATCGACTTTGACAAGATAAACGAGAGCTTACCGCAAGCCGAGCAACCTTTGTATGCGGCCCTAGCCCAAACTGGCCGGACTGTCGACCCGAAGGATAGGTATAATGCTCCAATTCCATATGCACAATCCAAGACTGCTAACGTCCTGTTCTCACTGGCACTTACCTCGAAGCTCTATGCAAAGTACGGTATCCTCAGCTTCCAATTGCATCCAGGTGCTATCTTGACGGAGCTTAGTCGCCATCTTGACCGGGAAGTGCTCGCCTCGCCGGCTGAGAAATTCAAGAGCCTTATTGTAGACCTCTATCAGGGGTGCGCCACATCGTTGAGAGCTGGATTGGATGTCAGCCTGGGTCCAGCAAATGACGACTGATGGGCATGGGATCTATCTCGCCGACGCAGAGATCGCAAAGGCTTTTGCCTGGGCGCGTGATCCGAAGCTGGCGGAGCGGCTGTGCGAGCTCAGTGATACTCTGGTCGGCCAGAGGTTTGATCCATGGATCTGTCAAAGTCGATCCGAACTGAATTGAAAGCCAGAAAATAATGATCAGCGGATCGTGAATCCGTCGGAACCTCGCCTCGCTCGTACAGTCGTTGTGCCATTTGGTGTGGATATGACGTCACCTAGCGTTCGGCGCTCACCATCGCATCATCAGGTCCGTCAAGTGAGATGACGACCTTCCTGCGCACAAGTCTGCAGTAGAAGAGAGCTGACCAGCCGTAGAATTGAAGACGTCTTTTGCTCATTGATTTCTAAGGTTCGGATTCGCACTCAAAGCCTCCCTCGAGACACAGGGCAAGCATTGTCTTACTCAAATTGTACTTCGTACCATACCAGCACAATTTCGATAGCTTCCTGAACAAGAGCATCATCCTCATAACGCCTACTGAGCCCGCAGCTTCAGAAACTCCATCATGGCGCCCTCATCACTACTACGTCTCCCTCGCAGTCTCCCTTTAGTCGCTCGACCTCTCTATCCTGCGAGGACGCCTTTCCGGTCCCTCTCTTCGGCACCCCGACGCTTTGCTCAGCACCAAGACCCGGAAGAAAACCCCAACCATCAGCGAGCGGCACAACTCGACCGAGAGAAGATCGACAGAGACCCGAACGAGTACTCCAAGTCTGGCACTGATGAATCATCGGCTGGCAATGAAGAAGCTGCCTTTGACCCCAACATCACAGATCCTCAGGAGGCGAAGGAGAAGGCTGGTGAAGACAATCAGGTGAATCCACTGGATGCAAGTCCTGCAAACCCGGAGATCAGTCAGGGCACCTCAGAGGAAGAGGGTGGTGCGAAGCCGAAGCGGTCGGAGAAAAGCACCAGCAGCTAAAGAGCATGGAGCGGCGAAAGCACCGCGCAGGACAGACGCAAGCGTCTAACCAGAGTAGGCGGCCGACCATTCGTGGGAAGGAGCAAAGAGGCCGCGTGAATCTGTATATAAGAATGAGCGTGTTCTGAAAGGCAAATGTCAATGGCATTTACAGGACAAGGGTATCTAACAACATCCACGCAAAGAGCCTGAATCTAACACCGTTTGCTTGTCCAAAATCCCATCACGATTATCAAAAGTCACAGCGCTTGCCAAATCTTCCTGTTCTGATTATGTCGTCCATCCCTTCGCACCAAGCTGGACAATGTCCTTCTGCTTCAACACCCACACTTTATCCTTAACCTCGCCCTTCTCGACCTTGATTGCGGCAGAGACAGCCGCCTTCGCAATGACATCCGCGTCCTGGGCCCATGAATCCTTGAGCCCACCGTGAATCTTACCAATCGCTGAGGCAAGACTCTGTGCAATGCCTTCAGCAAACCGAGATTCTTCGCGGTGACCGATGATCAACCCGGGCTGAACAATAATCGTGTGCTCAAAGCCAATTTCCTTGATGTGTTCCTCGATCTCGCCTTTCATCTTGACGTAGCCGAACATGGAGTGCGCGTTTGCGCCGCTTGCGGAGATCAAGACGTACGTCTTTGTCCCAGCGGCCTTGGCAGCTTTGGCGAGTTCAATGTTCAGGTCGTGCTCTATCTTGTACTGATTCTCGAAGCCGCCTGCAGCAGCGCGAGTGGTTGCTAGGCCGGAGAACATGACAGATGGTGCAGGCGAGGTTGATGACAGGTGGCTCGCCCACTTGGTGGTGTCTTTCTCGATAAACTCATTGACGGGAAGGCTGGAACCTTTGGCTGCTGCAGCAGAACGTCGCGCGATGATCTCGATGCTCGAGAATGGGGACGACGGGCCGGTCGTCAAGGTTGATAGAATGAAGGACCCCACCAGGCCAGTGCTGCCTAGGACGAGCGCTTTCGACATAGTGCTCCTCGGTGGGTTTTGGTTTTAGGTAATGGTGCCTGAAGCTTGCGACTCTTTAGCAGTGGCTCTTGCACGTCCTTATGCTCTCAGTATCCGGGCTTTCGGCTTAGGCTGTGGCGGAATTCGGCCTCCTTGGAGTAGTTGCTGAAGGGAGACAAACAGGCACTTATTTCTGACAGACAGCCGGACTGGAAGTTCTCGCGAATAGTTTGTAGCCAGAACTCGCTATCTACCTTGCTTAATGCTCGTTCTTGCAGCACTCTGTACGGAGTACCTCGTACTCGTACCTAGGTATGTAGCCACAGGGCGGAGCAACAATGACCAAGCAACGCCCGGACCGAGGATCAAGCTAAGCTGAACATGGGATAGTTGCACGAGAAATGCACATCTGAGCCTTGCTCAGCCTGGCCACCCCGCATTGGTCACCGTTGCATGGGGCCTGCGTTTCGATCTGCTAGCGTGAATTGCGTGATTGAAGTCGCCGCCGCCAAAATTTTTCTGAAAGGCATCATTTCTACTGCCGATAACGCGATTCACAAACCGATTGGCAGTCGGTCGGCAGTCGGCTTTGGATGTCCATATGGTGTGCGTTCCGATTCAAAAGGTAGGCAATTTCTTGCATTGCTTGTTGATGTTGCTCTGTATCTGTTCTCTATCACAAACATGCGTCTCGAACAGCCCTCTTCTGGTGGGCCAGCCCCCGAGGCAAACACCAAGGTGGCTCCCAGTGCAACAAGGAACCTCCCCTTCGGTCAATCCCCTCCCCTGTCCTCCATCGGAGGCCCTACCTACGTGACTGCCCAGACGCTCGTCCAGCAGGTCGTGTATTCTTTGTCCGACAAGGTCTTCTCCTACTCTCCAGAAACATTTGATCTCGACGCTGCTGCGAAATCATGGGCGAAGACGCAGGAGGCGAACGTCAACGGCTACACGACGGACATCCAGTCGATGCAGATTCGCAATGGAGCCGGGTCAATAGCCATGGGATACATGTTCTCCAAGGACTTTGATCTGAAGAAGCGACATATCCCCCAGGGTCTGCTGGCGCCGTCTTCGGCGCTCCCCTTCTTGAGACCCGTGCTCGACCAACTTTCTCTGCTTTACTCGGTCAGCAATCCCTTTGTCGCTCACGTGGCAGCACTCGACTACGAAGGCGACAAGAATGGTGGTCTTGTGACAGATTACGTCTCTGCACTTGCAGCTGCAGAGGACCTGGGTCTTGCCTTGGTTGCTAGCCAGTCTGCGTACGAAGTGCAGCATATGTCGCTTCTTGCCACCCTCCTGGCGCAGGATGTCCCCTCGCTGCACATATACGACGGCTTGAGAGTCGGCAGAGACACTACCCGTGTCATTGACATTCTCGACAAGTCCGGCCTAGGTGCAGCATACAACTCGATCCTAAAATCTATCTCTGACGAAGATCGGAAGCACCTGAGCACCGAAGGAAAGGCTTTAAAGACGTTGCGTGCTCTCAATGATGAGCTGGGTACCGACTACAAGCCTTTTGAGTATCACGGCCATGAGCAACCAGAGGTCGTCCTGGTGACTTTCGGTTCGGTCGAGTCCTCACTTGCTGGCCAAGCAGCGACCGCGTTGGCACAATCCGGTAGCAGGGTTGGAGCCATCAATGTCCGACTGTATCGACCTTTCGCCGAAGAGGCTTTCTTGAAGCTCATCCCCAAAGGTGTGAGGGTGGTTGGTGTCCTCGGTCAGGTCCCTGACGCGCGAGCTGTCCAAGAAGCCGGTTTCCACTCCCAACTGTACGAAGATGTGCTTGTTGCTGCGTCGTACGGGCTTGCGATCCATGAGACGCCTGAGGTACGGGAGTTGAAATATGCTCGCGCCGAGACCTGGACGCCGTCCTCCATTTCTTCCACCTTCCAGATGCTGTTGGGTAAGACTGCCGACGACCAAGGTATTACCACTTTCTTGGACAACTCCGTCCAACGGTATTCCTTCTGGAACATTGACGACGCGCCGTCCGCATCGGTGGCCACGTACTTGGCAGAGGCACTGGCCACCGAATCCGCGCAGAACGTAACTGTCAATACGACGTACGATAATCTCATGCAAGGAGGCGTTCACAGGGTGGATATTCGCAAGTCGACCAAGTCCCTTGACGCCGCATATCCTATTACCTACGCCAACACCGCCGTGGTCGTTGACGTCAAGCTTCTGGAGAAGGTCGATATCCTGAAATCCGTGCAACAGTCCGGCAACATCATTCTCCTCCTCCCTGGCGTCAAGGACGAGGATGTCGAAAAGAAACTCCCCACAGCGTTCAAAAAGGGTATCGCCGAGAAAGGGATCAGCTTGTTCCTGGTTGACCCATCTAGGACGGCCCTCTCCTCCGACATCGCCGACCTCGAATCCCTAATTGTTCAGGCCGCCTTCCTCCGCGTTGGTCTCCGCAGCTCCGAGGAAACAGGTCTGCAGAAACTTGCCTCGGTCAACAGCGACCTGGAGACCCTCGAGCAAGTGGCCGCAGATCTGGAGAAAACGCTCCGTCAAATCGAGGTTCCCAAAGAATGGTCAGAGTGGGCAGCCGAGCAGCCCTTGTCCGCCTTGCCCACGAACATCTCCTCCAACAGCTTCGCCAACTTCGACAAGTCCGAAGTCGAAGAACCACCCTCGGTCTTGCGCAGCTGGCAAAAGGCCGCAAAGGGTCTCCTGTTTAAAGAAGCATACAACAGCTCCTCGCAATTGCGACCGGACCTCTCCACAAAGACTTACACCGTGCATGTCAAGGAAAACCGGCGCCTCACCCCGCTGACCTACGACCGCAACATCTTCCACATCGAATTCGACCTCGGCGACTCGGGCTTGAAGTACGACATTGGCGAGGCGCTAGGCATCCACGCAGAGAACAACCACGACCACGTCATGGACTTTATCAGATGGTACGGCCTGAACGAGGACGACGTGGTGGAGGTCCAATCGCGCGACAACCCAGACATTTTCGAGAACCGCACGATCTACCAATCGCTCATGCAGAACGTGGACATCTTCGGCCGCCCGGGCAAGAAATTCTACGAGGATCTCGCGGCGTTCGCGGACGACGAGACAGAAAGGAAAAACCTTCTGACGTTGGCCGGACCCGAGGGGTTCAAGGAATTCCAACGCCGCGCCGAAGTCGACACCGTCACCTATGCGGACGTCCTGCTGGAATTTCCCTCGGCGCACCCTAACTTCCACGACATCGTGCGCATCGTCGCGCCCATGAAGCGGCGCGAGTATTCCATTGCGTCGTGCCAGGCCGTCACGCCCACCTCCGTGGCGCTCATGGTCGTGGTGGTCAACTGGACGGACCCCAAGGGCCGCGACCGGTTCGGCCAGGCCACAAAGTACCTGAGCGACCTGCGCGTCGGCGCGTCCGTGACCGTCAGCGTGAAACCCTCGGTCATGAAGCTGCCGCCCCTCTCCACCCAGCCGATCATCATGGCCGGACTGGGTACCGGGTTGGCACCCTTCCGCGCCTTCGTGCAGCATCGCGCCTTGGAGAAGGCGCAGGGCAAGGAGATTGGGTCCGTGCTCCTGTACATGGGCTCGCGGCACCAGCGCGAGGAGTACTGCTACGGCGAGGAGTGGGAGGCCTACCAGGCCGCTGGGGTGATCACGCTGCTCGGCCGCGCCTTCTCCCGCGACCAGCCGCAGAAGATCTACATCCAGGACCGCATGCGGCAGACGCTCGACAGCATCGTCAAGGCGTACATCCAGGAGGACGGGGCGTTTTACCTGTGTGGACCCACGTGGCCCGTGCCGGACGTGACGAACGTGCTCGAGGAGGCGATCGCCCGGGATGCGAAGGCCAAGGGCGTCACCAAGAAGGTCGACACCGCCAGAGAGATCATGAAGCTGAAGGACGAGGGCCGCTATGTTCTGGAGGTGTACTGAGCTCCATTGAGCGAAGGAAGACCTCGGATGTATAAAACGGGAAAAGTAATGGGCTTGCATGGTTGAAGATATTGCGCGATTCTTTGGGTTTCGATGACCATGCATGATAGAATAGACGCGCCTGAACAGTCTAACATTTCTACCCCTTTAGAGACTCAAGTCGTCTGGCAGACAAGTGGTTTCGTCTTGGGCTCGTCCCTCTGCCTGTCGTCCCGCTGTATCCGCATGATCACGTTATCGCGGCAGGTAATCATGCCAGAAAAAGTAAAACTCGTCGTGTCTGCAATGTCGGTCTCCATGTCACGACCGGGAAGAGGTCGAGACGGGCACACAGGCTATACAGGACGCACCAAGGTCTCAGGTGGCCACTCTAATGTTGCAATCGGGCTCCTTTGTCATGGTCTAACACACCTATCCTCGCCAGGAGTACGCCACTACTCAATCGAGCGGATCGACTTTGCGGCTTCGTTCATCACGACAGGCTTCTCGGCTCTCCTTCTCTTCCTACCCTTATATGTGCTCTACTACATGTTGTCCAGCCAGCCAGTGTTGACGCTTGGACTGGTTGATTGTTCACGTGTTTGTTCGCTGGCACCGTTGCTCGTGTCACGAACGCAAGGAGAGCAGAAGTCTTTGGCTCGCGCGCCGCATATGCGGCAGTCCTCGTAGTGTTTTTCAGCGGCGATCTCGCCAATGGGAGCACTGTCGGCCCTAATGATTGAGGGCAGAGTTCCGATCCCAAGCGGGTTGCTCTCGCTTTCAATGAAAGTGGCGCGAGTGGTGAGGAAGGGTCTTCTTACGTAGGAGATGAAATCTCAGAGAATACCAAGTGTTAGCCTCCGTACCACATCCGTTGTCTATGGAGATGAGAATGAATCCTTATGCTTCTAGATCTAATGCAGGAGCTTCGTCTCGTGCAGATGTGAAGAGAGTGTAATGCACCACACATACTCTAGTGAATATACCCTAACGAATATATTCGCCGCCAGTTCCGCCGACACCATATCTCCGAAACTCTCTCTTGCAACCCGCGGCAGGGGGCCATTGTTGGGATAGACTGTAGCCATCTAAAGAGATACCGACAGGCTACGACCCATACAGGAAAAGAGCGACTGCTGGATCAAGGCATCCCGGCTAGATGCAAGCCTGCATGTCAGGAATAGCTGCACACACTGAGATTGTCGAGGAGCAAGACGGTAAGTTCCGGGGACACAGTTGAAGTTGCTATCCCGAATGTGACACTGATGAGGTTTCTGAAAGTGTCTGGCAACTGGAAGAAGACCATAGAGGTGGCTAAAAGGTTTGTGGGCGAGAATGAGACGGTATACGCCGGAACGACATTGTTATCCTTGCCGACACCCGTCACGGTCACAGTACATCCCGATGGCACGGCTGGCGCCTGCGGAATTCCGTTCATGAGGACACATGCGAGCCAACCGGAGTAGATGTCAAAATACTTGGAGGGAGAGGCGGTAATGTTGCCGAAGGGCTGGAGAGTGAGCTGGCCAGCCTGGATGAGATCGTTCACGATGGTGCTAGAGGCCACATTTGGTGACGACTTTGGGGTGACTCCATTGACGGTGCCCAGCAGCAAGCTTTCTGACTGGACGCTACTATTAGCCAGACTGAAACAATTGACAAGGGCAACGGGGAACCCACCGAGGTGCCAAATCCGCTGTATGTGTGTCCATGATACATGCCGACTGGTGTGAGCTGAGGAACTAGAACGATGCCAGCCTCATCAAACTAAGTGAGGGCAAAGTGTCAGTAGGTGAATCTTCCAAATCTTGAGATCCGTGTGACAAGTGGAAGAGATCGCTCACCGTGTCCGTGGTGTTGGCGCAGGACTGGCCACTCTCTGAAGATCCGGTTGGGGAAGGGAGGCAGTTGACCAGGCAAGCCAATTTCAGAAGTGGCAGCAGCAAGACTGCAATGCAGCCTGAGAAATGCATGGCGGTAGGTTTGATCTTCGATGAGGTTCGGCTGGCAGGTCAAGCTGAAGAAGTATAGAAGCTGGGTTGTTTAAGTCGTGCTTCGATTTGAACGTAGAGGAGAAGGAGGAAAGCAGCAGACCTGAGATGGGAATCAGGTGAATATAAAAGCAGTCGGGAAGCTCGCAAACGTCATTCTTGCCTCGAAAGAAGCCAGGAAAGGGCGAAGAGATGGCACCGTCCTGGAAAGAGCAGGAGCGACACACGTCCAACCCAGCATCCTTGTTTTATGATTAAGGACAATGAGTAGTCGCAATCCCAGATATTGCATCGATCAGCTCAAGTTCCTCTCTCCTGAATAGCTTGTTGAGGCCTGTCTTTCCTCCAAAAGGCGCCATGTGCTTCCCCATGCCGCGACAGGTTCAACTCATCCAGCCGTCAGCTACAGAACTTCAAGGAGAAGATGCGGCATTGGTGGCGACAGGCCACAGGAAGTGGCGGTCACCATCATGTCGGGAAGGGTATTTGTGATCTGACCACAAGAGAGGATTCGTCCCTTGAGACGGCACCATGATCCTTCTCGTGGTGAGAGCTGCTTGGAGTAGCACCACGAGGCTCCTCGCATGAAGGTGATGTTGACTTTGTGCTCAAATTGATCTGAGGCGAACCAAGCAGCCTCCTTGGCGAGCCCAACCAACCGAATATTCGCCGGACTCCCGCCGTCCATATCGAGAATGATCTCATCTTAGTCGGCGGCGCCGTCGCTATCGGTTCATGAATCTGATGGTAAAACTCCTTGACAGCTCTATACCCAAGATCATGGTATCACGGCTGCTACGCCCAATGGTCGGTTGACATATGGAGCTTGTGGGCTTCAGATAGAACCGGTTTCGACAGCCACCAGGAGACACAAATCACTGACCAATGCTACAACCATTCGGTGCCAGCTTACCCTCCGCACTCTTCATGCTTCTTTCATTCTTCGGAGCGCTCGTCGGCTACTGGGCCATTCTCAAACACACGTCGCTGGTGACAGCAGCCTTCGCCGGCAATGCCAACGCCCAAGCCCCGTTGACTGGCCTACCGGAAGCGTTAAATCCAGAGCTCACGAACACCATCGGAAACGACCTGATCAAGCTCTATTACAATGGCACAGGCCCAGTCCCTTCGTATGACAAGAAGTCCCCGATACCCGAGCCCATAACCCCTCTGAGTGGACAAGCAATCGAGGCGTCGGTTGTGGATGAACTGCTCTCCATTGTTGAGACTCCGTACTACCCAGATATATGCTCGAAATGCGTCGCCGCGGGCCAAGTGCTCCATGTTGCTGCCATTACCCAGCCCGTCTCGGTCTTTACAAGCGTACTCATCAAAGCATGCAATGCTCTTCCCCAGATCAAGGCCAAGCTCAGGTCAGCGTCTTGTGAATCGCACTTCAGCGGAGTCGGAGGATTTGGCCCTTACCTGGCACAACTCTTCTCGAAGATGTCCCTGGCAACGGGGGATATGCACCACTTCTGCTCCGTCAACTATAATCTCTGCACAGAGGAAGCTCCGATCCTGATCGACGAAGACTTGTACTTCACTCCAAAGCCAGAGTCAGCCAATATCGCCCCGGAACCTTCCGCTCAGACATTCAATGTGCTTCACCTCTCAGACTGGCACCTTGACCCCCGATATGACATCGGATCTGAAGGCAATTGTTCAAACTACATGTGCTGCCGGCCATACTCGGTCAACACCGAGCTATCCACTGATTCTCGCAACCCTTCGATCCCAGCCTCGAGATTCGGATCCTTTCTGTGCGACTCGCCTGCTGACCTGGCCCTTTCAGCTTTCGTCAATATGCCTGGTTTCTTCGACATGGACGATCTGGCTTTCAGCATCTTCACCGGCGACATCGTTTCGCATGATCCTGAAGATATACTTTCACAAGATTATGTCTCGTACGAAGAAGAGGTTACTTTCAAAGTTTTCAAGCGGATGCTGGGCGATAACATACCCATTTATGCAGCACTTGGAAACCACGACACACTACCCGTCGGATTCAACACTCCGCATGCCATGGACCCGGATGCGACAAACAGCAGCAGCAATATCATGCAATGGAATTATGACCTCGTGTCTACCTTGTGGTCCAGCCACTCCTGGCTCAATGATACTGAAGCTGAGTTTGCGCGCACCCACTACGGTGCATATGCCACCACCACATCTCAGGGATTGCGTGTCATTTCCTTGAACTCCGATTTCTGGTACAAGGAGAACATCTTCAACTATTGGAACGTCACCAATCCAGATCCCAGCGGCATCCTGAAGTGGCTGGCAGACGAGCTCTCAGCGTGCGAGAAGAGAGGTCAGCGAGCCTGGATCATTGCTCATGTGCTGTCCGGGTATGATGGCGCCTCGCCAATGCCGAATCCAACGGCGTTGTTCTATTCTATAGTGCGCAGGTTCTCCCCCGCCACCATTGCAGCAATCTTCTTCGGGTAAGTGGCTTTCGTCGGTGCCAGAACTAGTACAGGGCTACAAGCTGATCATTTCTCATCGAACAGACACACGCACCAAGATCAATTGCAGATCTTCTATGACTATCTTCCATCCTCGCAGGTCTCCGTCTCCGATCCCAGCAACCCAGACGTGCCACGCACCCTCCGTGACACCACTCAAATTGACATCGCTAAGCCCCTGCAAGTGTCTTACATCGGTCCTTCGATCACCCCTCTGACAGGTCTAAACTCCGGCTATCGAGTCTACCAGGTCGACAGCAAGACCTTCTCCATCATGGGCGCGCAGACATACATTGCGAACATGAGCAACAGTCTGAAATGGACAAAGCCAGTTTGGGAATTCGAGTACGACACAAGAGAGGCGTATTCAGTCAGGTTCAGTTTAGAAGACTCGGACCCGGACTCGGACTCGGACTCAACTGAACAACAACGGGACGACGGCGACAGCAAACACGGGCTAGGCATCGAGTGGCCTTCTCAGTTACCTCTTAATGCCACGTTTTGGCACCTTGTCACCGAGAAAATGCTCAACGACACGGACTTTGCAGCCGATCCACCGGCAAAATCGCCGCTGCTCAAACTATATGAATTGTACGAGGCCAAGTCTAGCACCCACCCTGATCGTCGTGTCAGCGGCGGAACAGAGAGTCCGGAGCAAAAGATCTGCTTCATACGAGCCGGAAGCGGCTATCTAGGCCGATACTGCAAGGAGAGATACGGTGGTGGTGATGCGGGGAGTCTGAGAGAACGGGAGTTTGCGATCAGGTAGTTGAGTTAGGGAGCCCGTCTAAGTGGGTATGGAAGACGTGCAAGAAGACAAGAACAAGCCCAGATGCTCGGTCGGCAAAGATATTAAGCTATTTAAGCGTAAGCCGGTATGAGCGCTATGATTATCAGCATGTGAGAGATGCTGCATTTGGAGCTTCCTTATCAGGTCACGTCCCCAGCGAAGAGACTGGCTCGTGACGTTGACATGCATGTATTTAGAAACAGTCAGTGGATAGGCCTCACAATTCACCCAGAGCTCGACCTATATCAATTCGGCTACGAAATTGACTACGTGAGGGACTCACCCAAGGTTTCGTTTATATCAACGAGTGAACAACCGGCGGTTGATGGAGTTGGTGACTTGTTGTCTTGCTGCATACTCATGAGCGAAGCGACTTCACTCTATATGACTGAGGATGCATGCACCGCATATAACGTAAGTCACTGTAGCCAGCCCTCGCGTGCGAGTACTGTACTCCGAAGAATATCAACTTTCCGATGGAGCCGTTGCTCCCATACCCTATATCTCGTCTCGAGGCAATATACATATATCCAACACAAAGATCATTTTTATCACCCTGTACATCTCTCTTCCGCGGGCCTGTATCCAATGCCCAACCCTTCCATCAGCCTCCTCTCCCTATCCCACCACGTATCCGCGTCATCCCACTCCATGCCCTTCCACCGCTCATCGTCCTTCTCAATCGGCGTGCCCTGCAACAACGACTCAATCACCTCTTTCTCTCGCGCCACCTGTATCTGTTTCTGCTTGTCGTTGTCTTTGTCTGTATCCTCGTCGGCGTCGTTGGTGGGCGACAACGCGGGCCCGGGCCTGTTGTGCAACCTCAGCCTCGGTCTCGGTCCCTCGAGATCCAACACGCGGCCGTTCCCGCGGTTGCGCACGCCCGAGGAATCGAATTTTAGTTCGTGGACCTTGGCCACGAACCGGCGGATGTCGCGCTGGAAGGTCGTGCCGCCGCTCCAGCCGAGGACGGCGCAGCCGACGGTCCGCCAGGGGGAGATGATGATGTCGACGCGCCGGTGGATGTTGGGGTTCTTCTGCTTCCTACTTGCTTTTTCGTGATGATCACTTCCACTTTCACGTTTATCTCCAGCTCCGGCTCCCGCATCGTCTGCAGCGGCACGGTCGCCTTCATCGAACACCGGGTCCTGCCACACGCACAGCGCCTTGTCGAGGCTGTCGAACCCGTGGCCCCTGTGTTGTTGGGCGCGGTACGGCAACGTCGCCTGCCCGCGGTCGCTCGTCGTCGTGTGCAACGTCAATGTATGCGTGATATAGCCTGCGTCCTCGAGCGAGCAGACCACTTCTCCCACTAGGTCCTTGGTCTTGGACTCGTCGCGGTGGGAGACCACCACGTCAACATCGCCGCAGAGGGCCTTGCCGCGACGGTATCCCCCTACTATAACGCACTCGACGTCGTCTTTCGTGCCGAATTTGTCCTCGGGAATCTTGAGAACGCGGCGTGCGTGCTGGAGAATCACGTCGTTGATGGCCTTGACCTCGGCCCGCGGGATCTTGTCCGCGAAGTCGTCCCAGTATTTGAGCCCGATCTGCTGCACGCGCGTGAGCGACTGCCACCCGAACTCGACAATGTCGTCTAGTTCCCGCCACCCGTGGTCGTAGTAGAATCGCCGCGCGGTCTCGGCGCCCACGCCCCAGATGTTCCAGAAGAGGCGTAATACGTTGAGGTCTGGCTCGGCGTCGAGTTCTTGTACTTCTTGGATGTGGCGCTCCTCGTCCGTGGCCGCGGAGTCCTGCCATTCGCGCCACAGGGACGCAATCTTCTGCTCGCAGCCCGGGAGGCGGGTGATTTCTTCGGCGTGCTCGATGCGGTGCGGGTAGGCGGAGATGGAGGCGATGGAGGTGCCATATGCGCGGACGCCGACGTCGTCGAGCCTCAACAGGCGCGCATCTTTGATCTTGGTGAGCTGGGAGATGAAGGCTGAGTTGGGCGTCGTCAGGAATGTCGACCGGCAGCAGGAGTAGTGCGCGTAGGGACCCGTAGCCCAATCTGGGAGCGGCGGTAAGGGATGTGCGGCGATGTATTCCATCTCGGAGGTAGTCGTGCGGTGGAGTTTAGGGGCTTTGTGATGTTGCGATGACGATGAGTCGTGACCATGGTCGCCCCAGCGGCGGCGCCGGGCGGGAAGACTTGCGGCTTCAGCTCTGGCACGCTCGAGGATCGCAGAGGGGTCGGGTCTAGATGAGCGACTGGGTGATGATGCTTGAGATGCTGTGGTTGAGCCGACTTTGGCATAGGTTGTATGGGTCGGGGACGTTTTCGGCGTCGTCTCCCCATCCGGCCTGGGGACAATTTTAGCGGTGTAGACGACGTAAGGCTTGTATGGGACCAGCTTGCCCTCCTTTGAACATGCATCCAGCCAGGCAAGTTTGACGACGATGATATGGTTGGACAGATCTGGCCAGATGACTTCAGGGGAACGGGCCGCATCTTGCGGAGAGCGTTCTGGAGAGGCCGACACGGTGCTCGAGCTGGCCTGCCTGTGTATCGTTGAAGGACCTGCGCCATGATCGCTCGAGAGTCGCGCTTTCTTCTTCGGCGGGCCTTCGTCGGGTGGATGGTTGTTGCCATTGCCATTCCGGCCATGCTCTGGCAAGGCTGAATCCTCAGTCCAAACCCCTTGAACCCGCAGGTCAAAGGCAGCGCGCGTTTTCCGCGCGACGCGACCTACGAACAGTCTCGCTTCCTTCGCATCGTAAGTTATGTGGCCTCCTGACTGGTAGATCAAGTCCTCTGTCTCGTGAAGTTCCTCGGGCTGTAAGTGACTCTGAAGGACGAAGACAGGGGGCGCCGAGCTCAGGTCTATCCTGTGAGACGAGGTTGAAGGCGCCATGATTTGTGTCACTTATCCAAAATTGACTTGCCCGACTAGTTAATTGTTGCTGTGTTTCGGTATCCTCGGTGAGTGCGGCCGCTGCGATGAGAGCCATTCAGTCCGCCGCACGTACCCCGGAACCGTCATGTCATAATGTTCCTCTGCGAAGACCATACGAGGCGCTTTGGAAGCGCTTGCGCATCATAAGAGAAGAGGATCGAATCTGCCTGCCTGAGAGAATATGCCAGGTATGTATACTCGTATTCGGAAACTACAGGTAATTCCACAAATGTCCGCACCAATGCCCTTTGCTTGTGCTGGGTCCGTGCTTCGAGTCCGTGTCCGACGTCATAAATGCCAAGATCTGGGGACCGGCAGCCAAGACGAGGCTGAGAATTCGATAAGGCTGACAAACGAGGCTCCGTCACCGTTGACCACGAACGTGACGCTTCCTGCAAATCGTTGGATAGGACCACCACCTAACCACTTGGTGTCGCCAATGCAAATCCACTTCGAGGTCCCTCATATGCACGGGTGACACAACCACAATCGCTATACAGATGGATGCTGGCTCGCTGCTTCGCTTGCTAGCTCAGGTGCTGAGCTCGATGAATCCACATTGCGGTCTGCGTGAAACCATTTCTCTATCCCTTGGTCTGCAAAGCCTCAGCCATATGATGGTATGTTACAAACGTCCCAAGAGCACCTCCCTTTGTGCCTTTTCCCTTCCTGAGATCTCATTTCGTTGGAATTTACTTCTTCCTCCTCCCAATACTCGTGTCCAGATTGCGCACAGCCCAAGCTAGCGTGAACGTTACGATGAACCCGATCACAATAGTGACGGGTTTTCTGAAGGCTGCAAGAAATGGATACTCATACGTCACCACGACCGTGACGTCCCTAGCCTCATCGACTACATTGGTAGCCGAGAGTTTCAACTCTGTTCTGCCCAGGGTATCCATGAAAGTTTTGTGCAAGCTCTGTTCGGCACGAAGGGTAGGCGCACCCGTGCCGCCGTGGGTTTGCCACTTCACGTTCTTCGCACCTTCGGGCAGAATGACACGAAATGTGAGATGTTGGTATTGAATGCCTTCCGGGTTCCGGGGCCCTTCTAGGAGTGGGACGGCGAGGATGTACGTATCTGATTGGGTCTTGAGCTTTCGCAGGGCCGTAGAGAGGGCGTTGTTCCAGCCGATGCGGAAACTATACTTCCATCCTCCGAACAACGGATAGCGAGGTTTGAGTTCAAGGCTGGCTTCGCGAACGTTGTTCGGGCGGAATCGTGAGGTGGAGACGTTGCCAATGTCGTCAGTAAAATAGGGGTCGACGCTGCCTGGTTTCAGGGGGACTTTTAGTTCTCGTAACGCGGACGTTGAGCCTTGCCCTGCGGCTAGGTAGAAGGACTGCGTTCCCCATGCAAGTCGGGAGAATTGATTCGAGAGCGTAGCCCCGTCGTGTCGGAGCCAGTATCTTTCCTCTGTTGCCAAATTACCTCCCCAGTGGGAGACTTCGACGTCTCGCTCGAGGGCGGTGCAGACCAGGAGTGGCTTGTTGAATTCATATCGGACTGTCACTGGGTGGGTAGTCCCTGGCTGGACTTTAGCCGTGTCGTAGGGACCGTATGTAAGTGATGAACCCTGCTTTTCTGGGTCCGCAGACGAGGTTAAGCCGGTTGTCGTACTATATTCTGGGACGTCTGCCGAGGGGAACTTGACTTTTGTCTTCTGCTTGACTGTCTTGTAGACAGACGGAACATAGGCGGAGAAGTTGTAGATCAGGTACTGCTTCTCCTCCTGCTTAATCGAGGCGGGCAGGGGTGTTAGAACACCCAGCACATGCCAGGAGACGGAGAGGGTGATGGTGCCTTTGGGAGGGAGAGGCTCGGCGAGGTGAATGACATAGTACTGGGTCGGCCTGTTACGAGTCAGCATACACTTGTTGAGTTGTCCCAGTGGCAGTGCCACCTACTTCACAGATCCGTCCTGGTCATCCAGTACTGCGGACAGCGCAGCGATGGAGACCTCCAATGGGGTATCTGGATTCTTCTTGTCGCGGGCATCGAAGCCGCCTATCCTGCCCATCAAGTCATATTCAAAGGGGACATAGTAGTCAGACTGAGGTGATTTGTCCGTATTTGTGACGAGGATGTTGGTGGTCTCTCTGACATAGCCCTTTTCGAGGTTGATGGTGCGGACGAGGTTTGTGTTCTCGAATACTTGCGGCGGCTTGAAGTTGCCCGTCAAGATCTTCTGCGTGATGTGTGGTTCGGTGAGGTTCGACTCCGCTCCGAACACACCGGCGCAAAGCGCGAGCAACGCGCCTGCCACCGACAAGAGCCTCATATCTGTACCCCGGGAGATATCGACTTAATCCAGCATTGTCGTTGCTCGTTCGAACTGGCCAGTTGGACTTTTGGAGAAAGTGCAGCTGCGGAGGGAACGTCGTAGGCCGGAGCAATAGACGCTCTCTGGCTCTACGGGAGAGCATAAGTGCTCGAGCAGATACTGACATTGACATCGCATTCATTGGTCGAAGCTCTTGGACATATTCAACTCCAGCGCTCGACTGCGAAGACGACTGAACCTCCGAGCGGTCGACAACGACAAACGCCCACCATGGCGTCCAAATTCGTCCCACAATTGATGCGCCAGGCGACGAGATCGTCCCTTCCCAGAGCTGCCCGAAGACAGCTATTCCAACCCCGATACTTCTCGACCTCGCCTTCGTCAAGAGAGGATGAAACCCACGCCATCTCAGTGGTAAGTGACAGTGATCCAATCCACCAGAGACCACCGTACGCTGACAATCCGACTTCCAGCACCGCAACTCGCCCTTCAATAACCCCTCCATCCCTTTCTCCTTCAACGAGACAAACCTCCGGTTAATAGACGAGATCACCAAACGGTATCCTCCTCAGTACAAGAAAGCCGCCGTGATGCCGCTTCTCGACCTCGGCCAGCGCCAACACGGCTTCACCTCCATCAGCGTGATGAACGAAGTAGCCCGCATACTAGAGATGCCGGCGATGCGGGTCTACGAAGTCGCCACCTTCTACACAATGTACAACCGGAACCCCGTGGGGAAGTACTTCGTCCAGGTGTGCACAACCACGCCGTGCATGCTCGGCGGCGTGGGCTCGGACGTGATTATGAAAGCGTGCGAGGACTTCTTGGGCATCCACAGCGGAGGCATGACAGAGGACAAGATCTTCTCGCTCCTCGAGGTCGAATGCCTTGGGGCGTGCGCCAACGCGCCCATGATGCAGATCAACGATGATTACTACGAGGACTTGACGCCCGAGACGACAGTGCAGATCCTCAAGGCGCTCAAGGACTCCGAGACCATCACTGGGTACGATAGGAGCAAGATCCCCCGGCCGGGACCCCAGCCGTATGAGGGCAAGCAGAGGATGACAAGTGAGCCGCGGATGGGGCAGACGACTTTGTTAAGCGAGCCTTACCACAGCAAAGATCATATGCGTGCAGACGGAGAGCTGTGAGGCGCCCCCAAGCAGAGGTTTCGAGGCGCGTTGAATGGTACGGCTCGGGGGTTTTTGGGCCTTGGAGTTGTGTGACCAACCCCACGCCACTTGCGAAAGACGCTTCCGGGCCAAGAGTGTTGTCCAGACATTGTACATATACGGACGAAGAAGAGGGGCGCGGTGAGAACACACACATTCACACCACGGAATCAGAGGCTGGGGAAAGAAGCCATCTACTGCAAGTCACAGGTGTCATCATCGGCGCACATGCGATCCGTGTGCAAGAGAGATTGCGAATGTCCGTCGTACCGATTCCCCTCGACGATCCAACGCCCACGCTTATGTATCACAAAGGTCAAGTCTATTTGCACGTTCATTTTCTCGTATGTTTCATACCCGTGCGAATTATGCATTCCTCAAAAAGTTCCGAATCCAGCCCAATCCATCTCACACTGCTCGCTGGAAAAATCCCTACAGTTAGCTCCCGACGATCCCGTCGTTCCATCGCCGTCAGTACCCATGTTTGCCTTCTAGGTGATACCCGTACCGACGTCCTTAGTCCTTTCAAATCGTCATTTCATGTCGGATCATTCTTATGGTCCATGACCCAAAATCCAATAAGGGCCGCTAGCCCACACCCAACGCCACGGCTCATCCAAGCGCCCATGGCATGTGACGACGAAAGATCGGCCGGTGAGTTGGACCTGCATAGAAGATGCACTTCGAAGAGCGCGATATCAAGATTGAAGTTTGTGTGTCTGCATACTCGACTGACCCTCGCTATCGTCAAACCAAGCCTCCTAAGCCATGGAAATAGACGCAAAGGGTGCCGAATACCACGCCGTGGGTACGTCCGCTTGTGTCGCGTGTTGGAGCTTCCCCGGCGATGACGAAAAGACTGACCAAGACTGAACGCCCGGTATTCCGCTCCCAACATCAAACACCGTGTCAAAATCAGGCAGTTGAACGCCTCCGGGACAAGTGTCGACAGGTTCTGGTTCAGGCTCTTCCCAGGAGTCACTTTCCGAGTGACCCGGCAAAGGAATTGAATCGCCGACTTCTGATGCCTGACTGGATGCTGACGAGGAGTTGATGCCGAAGGACGGCTCAGTTGGTTGCCAATCGATGTGATCTGTGTGCCGATTCGAGTAAACCATCGTCCAGGTCAAGTCGCCTTCAAACTCTTCGCCATTAGCTGGCTTCTCAACATCACCCTCATTCGCCTTGATGGCAACTGGCTCCAAGGGGCAGTCTCTGATACGTCGGTCAACAACATATGTCTCAACCTTAGCCTTCAGCCTCTCGGGACCGACAGGGTCACTTGCGACAGACCACTGTTGACGTCCACCGTTACTAAACCACCCGCTGAAGGAGATTGAGGCAAGTCTCAGTTCCGTCTTGAAATGCTTGATCATCCTCACCCAGCACTCGCGGCGATCATCACCGCCTAGAAGAGTGATGTTCGAGAGTTCCAGCCGACGCAGGGTTCCCGAATGGATCCTTAGGAAATGCATTAGGTCCTCGTCGTGGCAGATGCAGGCATCGATGATCAGGTTTTCCAGCTTTGGTATAAGGGGTTTGCAAAGCCAGACACCGGTCGAGCTCTCCACCAGCCCACAAAAGTCCGACATCAAGTCCTCATCGGAGTAGTGGTGGTGGCTAGTGCTGCAATCTGTCAACTTCAACCTTAACGTCCGGAGTCTCTTGGCTGATCTGAGCATCTCTCGGATGGCGTCAATGTGGTCGGCGGTGCTGATCAAGGTGTCGTTGCGGAAAGAGAATTCAAGGTATCGTAGACTGTCTGTGGCATTCTTGAAGATGCTCACTTGCTGGAACACAGCAGACGATTTCATCGGCACTAGCCCGAACATCGCACGGCCGTCGATCCCCTTCGCCTTAAGCTCTTGAAGACGACAATCGGCAGAGAAAGCGGCGGTGATGAACCCCTTTGCATATGATCTGCCCGAAGCGCCAGCCAAGGTACTCCAGCTCACCTTTTCTGGGTCGACTCTCAATCTTTTGCAAAGCCTAAGGTAGAAGGACGGGACTTCGTTTTCACTAGTGGTGAGGTACGCCACGGCGCCATTGCTGGATTCATCCTCATATTCTCGTATGCAAGCTTCTTTCAGGTTGGGCATCAATCTCAGGGCTTTGGCGAGACACGCTACCTCAATCGACATATCCTCATAGGGCTTAAAGTGGCCAATAAATGTCGTATCAAGAAGGGAAAGTTCTTTGCTCCTTTCCGCAGCAGTGTATGGCAGGCTGGGATTCGGAGAGACGTCCTTGATTCGGGTGAAGAATGCGCCAAAGCGGGCATCGTATGTGATCTTGGTAACGAGTCGGAGGACCTTGGAACGTTTGAGGGCTTTGGCGAAACCGAGAATAGAGTGATCATTGGGGACCAGGACAACTTCCCGCCACAAGTAAGGTTCAGTCAAGTGGGCGAGAGTCTTGGACACCAAGCGCAACTGTTTCAATGTGGCACCAGAACATCTCTGGATGAGGAGCAAGAAGATCTCGTTTGGAAGCTCTGGCAACGCTCTAGTCGTGGACTGAAGTGAGGTGAGAAAGACCTGTTGGGAAGTCATGGTGACTGAGAGACTAGATCGCATTGGAGCCGGAGTGAAGGTGCGTGGTGGCATAGCATGGAGAAAGGCGAGGAAGATAAATCACAAATGAGGCGGCGCTGAGCACAGACTTCCTGTTGAGGCTTTGAGACGTTGCGGCTGCCTTTCAACTAGCGCGGTTGCCTGCCGAACCTGTGAGTCGAATGTCGCAGATGTCGAGGGGACGAGATGGTTAGCGAGACGGGGATCATGCGCTTCAGAAGCCCCTTGGCAGTAATACTGGATCGCTTCTTCGCATCTACGGGCATTGATGGTTGTGCTGAGGGATATCGAGAGCCACTTGTGTGGAGCCACTTGTGTGTCTTCCAATTCAGGACCGATCCGGAAGTTCCAGACGACAAGTCACAAGAACAAGTCCAGATGCGGCCAATGCTGGCTCAGCGGGTTCTCTTTCCCCAAGCTCCGACGACAGCAGCACCATACAGACGAGATTCACGAGTACACACCGGCGTTCCACCTTTCCTGCAATGAATTCCCCGCTTCACCATGCTCGACAGTGACTTGCAATCTGGAAGACGGCAAGGATGACCGCGCGGGGTCTGGGGTCATCAGTCCAGCGCGGAAGTGCTGGTGGAGCACGGAGTACCGAGTATGGAGTATGGCCCAGGCAAGAGTGCAAACCTTCGATCAAGGAGTAATAAGCCAGATACACACGAGCAGTGTGACTGTTCCCAGCGCATCCCGGTCCAATGGATGACTTCCACCGCGAGAACGCCCAGCACGTCCACCAGAATTGAGCAACGAACTATATTGCTATTCTCGTCTTTGTTGGATGGCTCGATCAGATGGCTGGCAAGTATCTGTGGCCGCGCTGCCCAACCCCTTCACTTTGTGGACAGCTCAAACGACTATTGCTGACATCTACGGAGCTCTTTTACGAATAGCCTCAAGCCTGATGGAAGACTATCATCCATGTCCAGCCTGGTCGAGGATTGACCAACGTTTTGAGGGCTCCGTGGATCGTGGTTGATCGCGGAAATCCTCGCCATGGGAAGGTCGAGTCTAGGTAATGATACGGTCTAGCGACCGCATTCTGTAATCGAACCCTCGGTGGTGTTTACGGCCATTCGAACATACCCCCTTTTGACTCTAAGCGAGGGAACGGCAGTTCCTTGATAATGTGAAGGCTGTTCAGTGTAATAGTGATGGTCGAAGTTAGCTTTTGATCTCTCGTCATTGTGCTTGATGTCAGATAGAGAAAAGTCCCGGGCGCTGTCATTGCTTCTGTTCAGTGGGCCCGGTGGGTTCAACAGCCTAGCCAACCCTGGACAGCTCGAAATCTTCGGGGGGCACGTGCGCCTGTAGCGGTTGCCATTGGGCCAGATTGTGAGGGGCAGGGAAGCCCGGAGGCCCGGGAAGCCTATAAGGCTCAGCTAGCCGGCAAGCTTCAGCAAACGAGGTACGTCTTGCGTGCACAAGCGGCATCATTTTGATTCCCACGGGCAATTGCCTTTGCTGGACGAGCAGGAGCTTCAGTTGATAGCTTTGCTTCCGCTGCAGAAAATGTTCTTCAAACTCTGTATTCTCTAACACGCAACTCTGCAAAGGACGACCTATCTCGGCTGCGTATTATTCCTCCTATCGCCTTCCTCGATGTCGTAGACTTCCAGCTCACACAACCATCATGAAGTTCGTCCTTGCAATCGCCCCGCCTGCGTCATGAACTTTTACTGACGATACATCTGATGCAGATTCGGTCTGCAGCTCAAACAGTCTCTGATCAAGGACTATTATTGGCACTACATCGCTTACGATGACCTTAAGAGCGCCCTCAAGAAACCATTCATCAACGGCAAGAGCGGAGAAAGAGAACCGTGGACGGACGACGATGAGGCCAACTTCATTCGATTGCTAGAGGCAGAACTTGACAAGGTCTACACATTCCAAAAGCTGAAGAGTCAAGAGATCGTGTCGAGAATCAGGACGGCTGAGTCTGAGGTCAAAGATGTTATCGAGCGGAAGGAACGTCAGAATCAAGCTGGCGCCGACACGGATGATGACCTCGAGAATGACTTCGACCTGCTCGAGGCCGACCTCTCCGACATTATTGCAGATGTCCACGACCTGGCGAAGTTCACCCAGCTGAACTACACGGGCTTCCAGAAGATCATCAAGAAGCACGATAAACAGACTCAGCTGATCCTTCGTCCGTCGTTCGCAACCCGCTTGAAGGCCAAGCCTTTCTTCCAGGACAACTACGATGCCTTTATTGTCAATCTCTCGAAACTCTACGATCTGGTTCGGACAAGAGGCAGCCCGGTGAAGGGGGACAGTGCCGCTGGAGGTGCTCAGCAGAACTTTGTCCGTCAGACCACAAAATACTGGGTCCACCCAGACAACATCACCGAGTTGAAGCTCATCATCCTCAAGCACTTGCCGGTTCTCGTTTTCAATCCCAATAAAGAATTTGAAGAGAAGGACTCGGCCATCTCATCCATATACTACGACAACCCCGAGACATGGGAGTTATACATGGGTCGCTTAAAGAAGACTGAGGGTGCAGAAGCTATCCGACTGCGTTGGTACGGAGGGATGGAGAACGAAACAATTTTCGTGGAAAGGAAAACACATCGTGAGGACTGGACCGGTGAGAAATCTGTCAAGGCTCGATTCACCCTGAAAGAGAAGAATGTCAACGCGTTCTTGGCTGGGAAGATGACCGTCGAAGAGGTCTTTGCCAAGATGCGAAAGGAAGGCAAGAAGAGCGTCAAAGAAATTGAAGACTTGGAACAGCTTGCCCGCGAGATCCAATATCGGGTCATCAGCCGAAGACTTGTCCCTGTCTGTCGCTCCTTCTACCACCGGACAGCATTCCAACTTCCTGGTGACGCCCGTGTGAGAATTTCACTCGATACCGAACTCACTATGGTTCGCGAGGACAATCTCGATGGCCGGCAAAGATCTGGGAAGAATTGGAGACGAATGGACATTGGCATTGACTGGCCCTTTCCTCAGCTGCCTCCCGAGGATGTTGAACTTTTCCCTTATGCCGTCCTGGAAGTGAAACTGCAGACTCAAGCCGGCCAAGAGCCACCCCAATGGATCAGAGATCTGACAGCGAGCCACTTAGTCGAGGCCGTGCCCAAGTTCTCGAAATTCATTCACGGCACAGCGACCATGTTTCCCAACCGGATCAACCTTCTGCCCTTCTGGTTCCCCCAGATGGACGTCGACATCCGGAAACCTATCACTCACCGTTTTGGAATTGAGAGACCCGCCAATACAGCCAGCTATAGTACCAGCGATGTCGACGACGACGACGAGTACGATTCAGACGATGCCATGGCAGCCGACACTCAGACCACGGGCAAGACAACGCCCATGGTCAACGGCTCGCAGAATGACGACGATGAGGGTACCAGGAGGCTCAAAGCAGCAAGACAAATCCTTGCTGAGCACAGCCGTGCTCAAGACAGGGACGATCTAGACGACCATAACGCCGCACCAGGGAACTCGCTTGACGAGGAGGAAAGAGTTGCCGCCATGCCTATTCATGACGACGAGTACCTGTACGACTCGGAAGCTGATGACGTTGAAGACGAGCTCGAAGAAGCCCGCCACTCCAACTCGTGGAAATATTACCCTTTGCTTGTGAAACACCACGCCCAGTTGGCTACCGATCACTTCCTCAACTTCTTCCACAAGATACCCACGACCACACCATTGCCGCAGAACGGGTCTGTTGCGGGTGGTGCCAACCAAATGACGGGCGGTGTCCAGGTTAAACGCTTCAAAGCACCCAAGGGCAAACGGATCCACGTCCCCGTCCGGGTCGAACCCAAAGTGTACTTCGCCGCCGAACGAACCTTCCTCTCCTGGTTGGAATTCAGCATCATCATCGGGTCCATCGCCGCCACGCTGCTGAATTTCGGCGATTATGTCAGTCTGATCAGTGCATGGGGCTTTACCATTGTGGCATGTGCAGCGCTGATATACAGTGTCGTTATTTACTGGTTGCGGGTGCAGATGATTCGTAAGAGAAGAGCGAGCGTGAGCAGGTATTACGACAAATATGGCACGACAGGCTTATGTATCGGGCTGCTGGCCGCGACAGCAGTGTCATTCTTTTTCCGCATCAAAGAGGACGGGTGGTTTCAGAAACAGGCGGTTGTTGGTGTAATGACTGAGCTGTGAGATGTGGGGCATGAGCTTATGACACCAGCGGTAGACGCGACGAATGTCAAATGGGTAAAGCAATGCTCATGTTGACTCTGGATGTCAATGACTACTACAACGCCAAGAGGGTTGAGTCTTACTACCGGTGGCCACGTCGACAACATCAGTGCTGTCGACGCTGTGATATGCCTTGCCTTGCATTGGTTTGGTTTGGCTGGATAGGGTCTTGTCACGAGCAAAGTCTTGGACACATACTCCGTATTCGGGCCCAGAAACTCAGCAGGCAAGCACGACTGAAGAAGTTCGATGCAGCCAGCCATACGTACCTAGGGAGTACAGTTCCTACCCAAGAGCCTTGGCATCAGCCAGATCAGATCATATCGGGGTAGGTTATGAAGGCCGACTCCAGCACAGTATCCACACCAGCAGTAGCTGTGATGGCATTGTTGCGTGGCCTGAGGACAGACAGACAGACAGACAACAGGATACGTACAGGGTACAGGGCACAGGATACCAGGTAGTCCATAAGGGATAGGGAGTAATGAAAGCCGTGATCTGTATATGTGATGGTGTACCTTGGCAACCAGTGATATAGGTACCTTGATACCTTGGTACATTCACAATCACTAGACTACCTGCACAGATGTAGTCAATCCGCGTGGACAGTGTCTGTACAGTTATGAGTGCATATGTGTGTACCTAGGTTAGGTATCCATGTAGGTGTTCTCGAGCACGTTAAATCAACACGTTATGCGCACCTATTTATGAGCGGATCATTGATTCCGAATATTGTAATCTGCCTGCCTGCCTGATGCATGCGTGCATGCTCATCTATGTCCACCTGAATAAAGACGCCCAACTCAATACCCGCTTCAGTAATGCACAGTGTACAGTGTCACCAACGTACACTGTCCCTCCTACATTGGAGCCAACCATGCGTCCGTCCTGCACACAGACACCCCTACACACATACACACACAGATAGTCATCCGGATGTGACCCATGTTCCTTTCCTGACACGAGTCACACGCTTCCAAACGCCTCAACCCATTCCGACTCAGGCCCAGGACAATCAATCAGTCGTCCTCAATGTCGTCGTCGGAGATGTACATCTTCTCCACTCCCACTAACGGTGGCGCCTCGTGATTCAGGGTGGCATTCTTCCCGCTTACCGTGCTCGAACCTGTTCTCGTGGAGAGGGGCAGGGTGGTGGCCATCGCTTGGTCGCCGTCGTCGTCTTCGGGACTATCATCGGCTGTAGAGAGATAGCTTGTCGGTTTGAACTTGGTGATCTTCTCGAGGGAGGTGGTGTCCTGGTGTCTTGCGGCGAGGATGCGCGTCCTGTATGGGAGCAGTTCCAGTGTCAGAGTGTCTTTGGCGTGGGTCGTCGGCGGAGGCAGAGAGTCTTGATTTTGCTCATCTCCATGGTCCATGAGCGTAGTGTATCGGATATCTTTGTCTGAGGGTTCTGATTTAATTCCCGGAGGTGGCATCGCTGTCGAAGTCAAGTCCCCGGCTAGAATCCGTGATTGCCAGGTCGCAACGCCTCCGTCATTGAACGGGCCATCGGTGCCAGATGTCGCTGGTCTGCTGGGGGCAATCCGGTCACCGTAAACATACATCTCCAATAACCCGTGCACCTCCTCTATGGGCTTCCAGAGCCTCAAACTTGCCGGGTAGAACATCTTGAACTCGTCTCCTCTTTTACCCCCAGGGACTGCCGCTCCCGCTCGATTCACCGGAAAGGGCAGATTGAAGAGTAGTCCTCTGGTAGCCACGTTGAAGCTGATCTCGTCTTGGCGGAGCGTATCCGATGACCCGGCTTGAAAGTTTGATTGAATAATGCCGGCATTAGGGTTGGAGGTGTTGCCACGGCGGTTCGGACGGCTTTCAGGATTCAGTACATCGCTGACCGAAAGGATCTCTGAGCAGCCCTCGAAGCTGACTTCAAAGTTGTCGCCGCCGCAGGAGAGGATGTAGTTCTCATGGACAGTGGAAATGAAGGTCTGAATGTCTGTGCCGATTTCGCTGAGCAATGCTTCTATGTCCACTTGCGAGACTTTGGGCGTGTACAAGTGCATGAGGTGGTCCGGGGGCTTTGGGGGTGGTTCGGCTCTGGTGTCCAAGACACGAGGATCCTCGCGCTTGTTGTAGACTATCTTGCCCGTGGCGTGAAACATGTCCAACGTTGTTTCGCGCTGGCTCACCAGCGCAAGCGAGTTTCTTTCTGTCTCTGTAAGGACTGGATTATCCTTGGAAGAGCGCTTGACTTTCGCCGCCACGGTCCCTGACCATTCAGAGTCATTGTCCCCTTTGAGGCACAAGAACTCGAGGGAGTTGATCGCACTGCGAATGTCTCCAATATCAGCCAGTCTTGCGATAACCCCGGGACCCGGCGTACGCCTGCGCCGCGAGTCTCTCGCCTCTTTCTTTACCACTATGTCGAGAGCCTTTGTCATTAGAGTGGCGGCAACAGGGTTGAAATCCATGGTTGTCACAAATGAATGGTTTAGAATCTCCGGTCCAAGTAGTCGGTGAGCTGTGAAGCTGTCCGCTAGAGCGGTGGACGACGACAGAAGTGTCTCGGATATGATTATGACAACTGGTGAAGAAATATCATTGGAGCTCTGTTGTCCACGAAAAGGCATTGCAGGCGCAGTTTTTGCTCGTGTGAGAAATCGTAAAATGACGGATCTGAACGACTGTAGGGCACTGGAGGATCTCGTCATGGTTGCCGGAAACTCCTCAATGACAAGGATTTGATCGCTTGTTACACCATCCGCAGCCTTTCCGGTAGAGACATCATGGTCGAATGCCAGGCTGCCGAACTGGCCACCTCGATTTAAAAACTCATCGAACTGTGCGGAGATTGAGTTGTACGGGCCGGATTCCGAGACAGCCGGATTGTGCCAGGAAACTACTTGCAAGCCCATAGCCTTCGCAAGCAGAGACACAGTTGTAGTCTTCCCGCTACCCGCAGGACCTTTCAGGACGAGTAGTTTCTGGTTATTCTGACCATCAATCTTTCCTTGCAACCAACTTTGCACATCAGAGACCTTCTTCTTGTGGACCATCAGCTCCTCAAGACTGGTAGGACCGTACCGATCGGCCCACGGAGCGTGGCCCTCTACCTCTGCCCGATCGGCGCCCGGAGCGTTGGTGAAGGTTCGAGATGTTACGGCGGGCTTGACGAATCTCTGGCTGGACGGAAGGCTTCCCCCATTTGTAGCCGCCTTGTGACTTCCCCCGGATGCAAGTAGACCTGGATTGCGCCGTTCTAAAGGCTTGCTTGATTTGTCGATCTTCAGGCCAAGATCCTGTAACGTCTCGTCCGATAGATCGTCGTCCTCAATGGCATCGCTCAACTCGGCACTGATCTCGACTTCCAGCTCTGGCGTCTGTGATTTCTTCCTCCATCTTTGCTCCTCACTGGCCTTTCCAAAGAAGGTATGCAGAGATTTGTTCTTCACGGGCTCATCTTTGACCTTGGTATTCTTTCGCGACTTTTCTGGCGAGGGAATGGGAGACGATAGGGCTGTGGTCTTCTTTGCAACAGGCCTTGTTTTCGTGCTCTTGACCGGAGACACGGTGGTCGAAGTTCTGCCATCGAGTGTGATTTCGCGCTGGAAGCTGCCTTTCCCTTGTTTTGAGGAGGGGTGGTCGAAATCCACGTCACCGTCGTCCGATAAAGCAGTGGTGGATCGGCGTTGCCGTTTGGCAGGTCGTGGAGCCATTAGCAAGCATGGCTGAAGTGGTTTCGCCTATGAAGCTGATGAAAATGAACGCAGTACTTCTCACATCCGTATCGCCATTGCCGGAAAGTGGCATTTACAACTCAACTAATTACATGGAGTAGGAAGTCGTGATACTATCAATTCGAGGAAGCGGAGGGTCACGTGACAGCCCGAGCAGCGCGGTCCACGTCCCTCTACAGAGTTGGCGGTAAAAGGAAGCCTGGCTGGATGAATTCGATCAAATCTATATACTGAAAGCCCGCTTCTGCAAGCACAGCATCGTAAAACTCCATATCCTCATGGCTTCGTGGAATCATGGACCCATATACGTTCCTGGATCACTGTCCCGGGGAGTCATCGTCTCGAAGAGACCACTTCGGTATCCCTGCTGCTGAACATCTTCCTTAGCGTACTCGTCTTCTTGACCTTCACTATCGCCTTCTCTTTCTTCTCAGATCTACTGCTCTTGCTCCTCCGCGACTTCGACGAATCCTCGCTGGCAACCACTGTACGGTCAGGATCGTCCTCAATCCTCCTGTGGTGTTTCTTCTTTCTCTTCTCTTCTCTTCGCTGCTCCTTCTGTCGTTCCTCGCTCCTATCCCTAGGAATAGGCAGGTGACCCATGCTCTTCGCGGCCGTAGGAGTGATGTATTCACCTTCAACACTCGTGGCCACACTAGCAGTGTCGGCATCCGAAATGCCACGCCTCCAGTGCTCGATCCGGTCGAGCTCACGGACATCCAGCATTTCATCCACAGGCTCGTCTTCTTCCTTGTCGCTGACATGCGCCTTGATCTTCTTGATGATCTTGTAGCCTCCAAACATGACCACCGTGATTCCCACGCCGACACCCACAGCGATGAGGAACTCAGGAGCCGCAAGCATGGCAAAGACGGACGGCGCGCCTGCCTTGAACGCCGCGAGCGCACCCGGCGCCATCTTGCTCGCCAAATTGCTGATCTCAGCCAACGTCAGTGCAACGGCTGCCATGGCGTCCGGGTTCCCTTGCAGATGTGCGATCATTGCTCGCACACTATGCTGGGCACAATTGGCTTCATCGATGAGCATCTTGCACTTCAACACCAGGCTTGACATCTCCTGCTTCTGCAGCTTTTGCTCCGTCTTTGGGTCAAGCATAAGTGACTCTGGGTGGAAGTCTCCGTAAGCGAGATCCATGTCGATGTCTGAAACCGAATGGGATCGAACAGGCGAAGGGCGGTGCGGGTGTTGGGTCTGCAAAGGCAGGTCTGTGGTGCGACGGACGAGTTCATGGCCCGCAGGTGCGTGCGGAGTCACCGGCGCCGAGTGGTTGTGACCATAGAGCTCCTCGTTGAACGCTGCTAGGCCGACATGTGGGCGGCAAGGCTCCTCGAGGTACCTGGGAACATCCGCTTCGGACTCTACACGAGCATGATATCTCCTTGGAGACTCGGACGAGTAGTGGCGCTCGGGGGTTGACGGACGTCTGTAGGCTTCCTCCACCTCCGTTCTATGGCTGCGATGTCTGCGTGATCTCCGAGTTGTGTCTGATCTTGCGTCCTCTGCGATTGTCACGGCCTTCATTGCCTTTCTCAGTTCCTTCTCCTCTTTCGCCCTTCGTGCGTTGACTATCTCGGCCTTCCGCTCGAGGTAGGCCATCTTCGCCTCTTTGAAGACATTTTTGAGTTGCTTGCTTGTACTGACCACCTTGTTCGACCGATCAATGATTGCAATGGTCTGCGTGATTGCGGCCATGGCCGCTGCTCGACAGGCTTCTAGGTTGGGTAAGTAAGTGTGCTTTGTGGGAACAATTGGTCAAATATACAGAGTCAGGAAGGGCAGTCTGGTCCAACCGCCCGTTTGGGACTATTCAAATCGCATGGCTGGGAAGGAACGTGGCGGTCAACAAAGACGGAGAGGTCGTCAACAATGAAACTTGAAGGGCAATAGCACAGTGCTCTTTCTCATGATGAAAGAGAGCTCAGGGAAGTTGGGCGGCAAAATCAGCGGCATTGTCACCCATTAAGAGGGCATTGTCGCAGGTTAAGTTGCGTGTTCCTGGCTGATTTGGCGGAGAGACGATGATCCCCAATGCCCAAGCGCCTGCACAGCCACACCAGCCACACCTGTGGCTTGCGGAAATCTGTGGCCAAGGCTCAAAAGCCGCTGCTCTTCCCAGCTGAATGGTCTTCGCTCTGTATCCTGACCTCTTGCTTCTGTTGGCTGTAAGCCTTACCGCATTGGATGCGCCTGCAATCAAGCGCGCAAGAGCAGCTGGGAGGGTCTCTTAGCACATGGTATTACTCGACAGCGAGACCAGCGCCAGTAATGGTGCCCCTCGCTAGTATTTACTCATTGTCGGCAGCCAGCAGCTTCTCCACCGCCGTGACCTTGTCTTGCATCGTCTGTGGCTTATCTGTCCGCGAGCCTACACGGATATCGCTCTGAATCCGCACAACGCCTTTCTCGTGGAGAAGCGAGTGCGCTTGGCCGATCAGCCGCATGACATCGTCCCACGATCCCTCTGTTCAACCAAGCATAAGCAAATAAGATTAGCTAGATGAGTAGAACAGAAGTCCTCACCAACAGTAGTCCCCGCCGAGTGCATACTGTACTTGAGGCCACTTTTCTTCAGTAGTCGCTGGACCTCGGCGATCTGTGCTGAAACCGAAGCGGTCGGAGTGCCGAGAGGAATGAGACAGAAATCTGCTGTGCATTTTGGTGGTGTGGCCAGGCTGATACCCTGAGAGGACATCGTTGCTATCGATAACAGAACTACACGAGTTTCTTGTTATTCGGTAGCTGGTACAATGATGGTTGTGCAGATGCTACAGTACTCGAATGAGGTTTTGGTGGAGAGTCCAAAGGGCAAGGCTACGGGCATGAGGGGATTGGAGGGGAGCGGGAGCGGAATTAAGGCGCCTGGAGGAGATGGAGAAATCTCAACGTGAGGGGAGAAAAATGCCTGATATGAGACGAATTTCCGGATTTTGTCCCTGAAATGATGTTCGAAACACGACAGTTTCAGGACCGCGTAGTGTAGTGGTTATCACGCATCGTTCACATTTGCTGAACATTATTCCGATGAGGTCCCAGGTTCGAAACCTGGCGCGGTCATTTTGTTTTTTGTCCGTGGTTTGCAGATTTGACGGCAACCGGCTAGCTGTAGCAAAAAGCTCTGTCCTCGTAGTACACCAGGAGCTAAGACAGTCACACCCCATGAGTTACATTCTTTACATACCAGCGTCATTCTATGCGGCTGAGAAGCTGCTGTTTCTGAAAGGCAGCTATTAGCCGAGCACTCTTCCAACCCTTCTCATTAAATCAGGAAACCTGGGCAGACTCAAGGAATGAGGGGCCTTCAACCTTCGCGGTAAGCTGCTTGTACAGTAAGCACTTGGGCTTAGGACTCTGCCTCGTCGGGAACAAGATCTGTACTCGAAGATACCCCTAGGTTGCTAACCATACGCTCGATCCGCGCAGCACAGTGCCGAGTCTATAGCCCCTCGGCGTATCGTGGCCGGCCGAGTATAGTACTTTCGCTTCGTCGACGATGAAGACATGCTGGCTCGATGTCGAGTGGATTACACTGGTGCTGGAGGTAGCACGCTTTACGCAGACGGTGCCCGAAACGAATCCAAGGCCAAACCCCCAACAGGTATCGTGTCGAAATCGGCAGGAACCACTAGTCTGATCGATCAAAGACTAGGCGCATGAATGCATGCTTATGCATTGAAAGACCTCCCGCTCTGGCGTCTGTAGTCGCAGGAGAAGGCAACCGGCTGTTGACCGCATTTCCAGTACATCCGGCGTCTCTCTGGTTGAGGTCACGCATTGCAGTCGAGCACAGGTGGTTCTGCCGATCATTCAATCTCTCCGAACTCAGGGATCCCTTGAAATGCAATACCATCTCATACCCTAGATCAGTGCAGACACCAGAGCTTCATTCGAGCGCTGGGATACCCTGTTATCGCCGCCCTTTCGGATCCATGCAGATAGGTAGGGACATCGAGCTCGGAAGACGGCACAAGAAAAGCGGCATACCCGGCACAAGCATGCCATACCCATATTAGGCAGGCGAGGGGACAAAGAGCTCAACATCATGATGAAGAGAGATAAGGGAACACAAGGATCAGCATAATAAGAAGACATCGCCACATGAAAGGTGCTCGCTCGCTGAACGATGACCCCTGCAAAGTGGAAGTGTCTTGTAAGAACGGGTCAGACTTCCGTGTCTAACGTTTGTTGCCACAGGCTTGAGGCTTGCCATGACCATAACAGTCTGCAACCCGAAGATGAATTTGATGGTGAGATCAAGCATCCAGACTTAGCATGAAATTCCATCCGTCATGGAATGGCAATCCTCGGATCCATTTCAGGATGACCATCTTTTGTGGGAAAACGTGGAAGAGGAGGGGTTTGTTCAAGAGATCCCGTGTTATGCAGCCAAGGCACCCTATGAGCTGGACGATTGCACCGCTAGGAGACTCGATTCGAGGTCTGCGTTGTCCATGACGCGAGGCAAAACGGCAAAGGCGTTAAATCTTTCACTGGCTGACAAGAACAGTCTGTCTGGCCTCGGGCTTTGTAACATACTCAAATTTAGCGGACAATTTGTTTGGAAGTGTCCAAATACTGTGCAGACAGGCGAGAGGTAGAGACAGGGCTGAGTCTGAGGATAGCCGGAGTCTGACTTGCTATCCGGTGTGGAATTCGGACTTTCATGAGGCTGAAGGGAGAAGGAGGCCTTGCTGGGTGGCCTCAAATCCCATCGCCTTGGGGTTGTCGCATGCTGGCTGTTTGGGCAGATCGCACACCGGCAAATCTCTTGAATGGAGGAACCGGATGCACACACTCACATCGGATGCATGTGCGAGATGGATCTCCTGCACGCTTGCCTGGCTCGATACCTAGGTATGTATCAGCATACACCATTCATCCCACACTCCCTCCTGACGTAGGAGCGAAGCTTACCACCCTGTCCAGGCACTGCTGAGCACATACACCCTCTCGTCCTGGGGCCGACAGATACGAGACATCCGCCCTGGAGCTGAAGCCCACAAATTCAGAGAAACGAATGCAAGTAATTGTCCTGTGGCCAGTGCGGCAGAGGGCGACACGGTGAGGGGCTTTCCTGGGGCCCCAGGTCCTGCATGGGCTGCACACCGGCTCGAGGAATTTACACAGGCACGTACAGGTGATGGGCTCGACGGGTTGTCGGCACGCTCGTATTTCGGCGCAGGCAGATAGAGCCACGCAGTCAGCGCGTCATAGACGTTCGGAATTCATCTCCGGCGCTATCTCTACTGTGCAATGCTAGAACGGGTTTTGTTTGTATCCTCCACTTCAACACGGGTCTTGAGCGGCAGCGGTTGGTGTGCGAGTGTATAGAGCTTAATGTGTAACCGCCCGGATGCGTGTGCCTGAAAATCCTAGATCTGGTTCTCGGCTCCGTCGTGAGAATTCCAGCTTTTGAAAAGCCTCAGTCGTTGCCGATGCGAACAATCATCCACTGGCCATCTCAAGGCGCTATCGATGCGATTAGACACAGCCAATGCCCAGTGAAGCGGTCCACACACGTCCACATAGCTTTGGTGGATGATGGACAGTGACACTAACACATGATGGGGACGTAAAGCAACTTCAATCACTGGGTGACCACACGGTTGCGCCCCCCGAGTGTAGACGTCGGTTGTCAATCAATTGTTGGGTTGCCACGTAAAATGAGGATGAGACCCATCCGACACTTTCCGTTACCTTGAGGACTCTGAAACAGACCCAATGCCCTTTGTAAAGGCGCTCAACGGCTCATCTGCGCCGCGATGTCGGTGAACCGACTCATTGTTGGTAGGCTACTTCGACCCGCAGGCGCTGTGTGGCGACAGGATCGCGTCCCCTCTGTCGGGAAGCAAGCACCTGTTCTAGCCAGGTCAGTTTGAAATATGGCATTTCGATTCGAGACAGTTTGCAATATGTTGGACCCCATGACCGTCCCTTAAGTCTTGAGGCGATTACAGCAGGCCGCGATCAAGGCAGCTTGTGACAGGTGTTTAGCGAGGTCGTGAACCACCGCCAGTGTAAATGGTTGTTGATGTGTCGTGCAACGTCGGGCGGTGGCCATGCGCATTCATTGCAAGTGAGCTCTTGGTAACCAATCGGAACGACCTCGTTAAACATTTTTCAGCCCGATGCTGAAATACTTTACACCCTGCACTTGGTAATTCGGGTGCAAGGGCGCTTAGCGGGCACTTTACGCTAAGAAGGAAGAGTTTTCTGGCACCGACACCGCCTGTCGTCGCCAGTCTCCCAAAGACTGTACCGCTTCAGTGAGTGGCGTGATCTCGACCGAAGTGCTGGAAGGTATACAACATGAATCAGCGTCTAGGAGCTTGGCGGCATCATGGACTTTGACTGGAAGTAACTGCTACGTATGCATTAGCTCGTGGTTCGGTAATCAGTGCTAGAACGCTGGACCACGCAAGTGGCAGAAAAATATCCCGGTACACTGCGTAGGGCCGGTCCTGCACAAAATAATCAAATGGATACAGTCGAGAAGGGCGTACTAAGGCATTGTCGGAAGCCGATGAACCTGGGGCCCCTTTGCCCCCAGCGATCAACACTGTTCGCTACTACCTGCATTGTGTAAGCAGTATTTTGAGTGCAGTGCATGCCCATTGAACCAATTGCTGTGAACCTTCAAGGTCCCTGGGTGCTTCGATCCAACGTCGCTTAGCGATCCGAATACGATGTGGAAAGAGTGTCTGTAAAGGTACACAGGAGAACGAGGCGCCTAATGTATCTAGGGGTGCGATGTTGATGGGTACTTACCGCCTAGATGACAAAGCCGTGCTCGCAGTGCCTAACGCACTGATACATGATCTCGGCGGTATCCCGGTCAGAACGACAAGGCGTACGGCATGCTCGTTCCTTGGCGGCTAGCTAGGATATACCCATCTGGGGAACAGGCGGCCTCAACGGTGCGTTAGTATGCGACGAAGCCGATCTAAGCTGACTCACCACGCAAGGCAGAAGCTTTCGCTGCGCTAGATGAGATAGCTCATTGAAGCTCGGGAGGATCCTTGTTCTACTATTGTTTGGGCAAGAACCCTCAGTGGAGAGCTTTGTTTGCGTGACGGGCCTTGCATGTTCAATCATTGTAACGGAGATGTCGGGGGTTCAACTGCACCGTGCTCACCGTGATAGCCAGCCTTGTCAGACTAAGATAGTAATCAAGTTGACGACTGGGGAAAGGCCGGCCTTCTGTATTGAGGCATGACGGTCTTGCAAGGCCAGAACCTTGGGAAGCTGAAGGGATCGAAGGCTTCACAGAGTAGCGGCCTAGCTCGATGCCGAACACACGGCATTGCGTGGTGAGCACCTGCACTGTGCATATTCCAAACCTCAAGTCGGGCGATGACTATCGAGAAATCACCACGCGTTGACTCGGTCCTGCCTCGGGTCGAGGCGGAATGCTACAGCGAGCCTCGGATCGTGTATCTAGGTCGCGGGGGTGTGTACGGAGTACGGAGTATGTCTTGGAAGCTCATAGGACTGTGGGCCTGTACGGCTTGAGGTCCATTTATGGCACCACCAAGAGGATCCACAGACCATCAATAAACATGGCAAGAAATCAACACGGTTGAGCAGATATGTATGCGATATCGCGCAACCAGGGGATTGCTCAGAACTCGACCGTGGCCAGTCGCACACTTTTGAGATATCAGCAAGCTCGAGAAAACGGTTAGAGCGGCTAGTTGGGCTAATGCACAGAGCCAGTTGCCGAGCTCAAGGGAGCAAATGCAGTAAATAAAGAGAAAGCGGTTTGCATGTTGTTGACCGAGTTTGTCATGGTGCTGTACTGTTGACCGGTGTATCGGTACAAGCCTGACACTTACACTTGAAGAACCCGTCGACTGGGTGATCACGCCAAGCCAGATACTGGGTGAATGTACGAGTTACCTGTGTACTCCGCCTGATGGAGTGATGTGCCCCGTTCAGTGTTGACCAGTATTGCCTGCTTCGAAGTCTGCTCCGGCGACCTAGACCCCGAATACCTGATGTGCGCAGCACACCCAATTACTGAAGTCGTGAGTACGTGAAGAGGATGAGTTGGCAATGATTTTACGAAATGGCGCTCTGAGCTGGACCTCGCTCGGTCGCTGAAAACGTGAACAGCAGCCAGATACGCAAGCTTGGAGCAGATGCAGATGCAGAGAGGCTCCCCTCCCCGCTCGTGGCAACGCACCACTTTGCATGTGCGGCTCCAGCATGGCTGGCTGAAGGCGGTGACGACGAAGGCGATCATTAGCCCCAACCGGAGCATTTCACTTGTCAATGGGGTCTTGTGGCTTTTCCAATGGCCATGTTCAGAGCGAACACACGGAATGGATGGCGCAGCGAGCTCTAGACAAAGCACAACAGGCAGCATCATTGCCCGTATTTCGGGCTTGCGCGCACTAACCCGAGAACGGCTGGTGGTCTCTATTGTCTGAGAGTCTGGCGCAAGAACGAGCAAAGGACGGCGCAGCGTCAAGGAGGGGTCGTGTCAGAGGCCCCGGGCTGCGTCGACGTGGCTTGCCGTGCTCCTGCGCATACGGGCCACAGAGCACGGCAGCAGGCAAGCTGTCACCATCTCGTGCAACCGTCAGCAAGATAATCCTAGTTTACAAGTTTATATTATTGCCAGGACCGGGGAAGCGCAGAATAGTAAGAGATCGACCGGGGCTCCCCTGAAATGAGAGTGCTCGAACCGTGCGAGAGTTTGTAAAGCCAGGAGCTTAATAGGTGTCCTGTGTCTTACTCTTGCCCATTGATGTAGCCGATGCGAGATCCTTGACGACATCATCCTGTCGAGGGTCAATTGTCCAATATGGTTCGTCCTGAGCGACGAAGAGGGGCCGAGGCGAACAGTGCGCTCTGGAACCATCGCTATCAGATCAAAGCTAACGGTCGACTTCGGCTTCGTATTGATCGCGACCGGAAAGGAGCGACTGCAGGAAAAGTCGACGCCGTGCAGAGGATGAGCTGCAATTCGGACAACCCCCGCAGTGAATACGTAGTAATGTCCAGCTCGCGAAGCTGGGGAGCTGAAGCATAGACCCCTTGGAGGAAAATGAAGGATCCTTTCCAGGCTATTTCGGGCCGTGGCTATCAATTGGTAATGACAGGAACTCTTTTCGTTCCCGCACTGATGCATGGCGGGCGGATAGCTTAACCCTGTCGCTTCCGAAAGGCAAGGTGAAGCTGCGCAGTGCCTGCCGTGAAGGCTGGTGGGTGGGTGGGTGCTGTTGGTGGGGTGGGCTGAAAATGCTTTCGAGGGCGGCGGGGGCCCGCGGGCCAGCAAGCATTCCTGTCACACACCAGTGATTCGGCTCGAGTGCCTCAAAAACTCGTGCAAGGCGTCCTCGGCGTGCATTCCATTTATCTTCTTTGGGGCCGTGGTCTCAATTCACTTGGGTCTATTGGTGCAACGCTCACGTTGCAGCAGTATAGTCGCGATTCCTTGCCGTCACCAGTGCTCGCACAATGGCTATGGACGATGACGAGAGTAACGGCACGGGCGCAACAATGCATTGACTGAGAAGTGCCCAATGCCACAAATGATGAATCAATTAATCAATCGAGAACCTTAACTGACGAGGCTTTTGAGCTGGGACTGAAAGCTGGGTGGAGCTCGATGCATGCCGTCATCACCAAGCCTCTCTTTCTGTCCCCAAGACGATCACCGGCTGACGAGCCCAGGCCTTCTGTGTCGCTCCTGCTGCTGAAGTGAGGTGGTGATGATGGCCATCGTATCTCCATGACAGTCACAAAGGTAGGTACGGTAACTGTCCGTACCTGCCCTATGTACAGTACTGTGTATCTATCAGGTAAGGCCACATTCAACCCCACCTGCAGGAGCAGCTGCTAAAGACGCAACGCCCGCAGATTTTATTGCCTTGCCCAGCCGAACAGCCCTTGGCTTAGGCTCAACCCTGCCCCCTTGTCACTGTCACTAACCTAAAATGAGGGTGGTGAGTGATGAGTGGTTCGTGGGCCTCTTCATGCCTTCCCTTTCTCGAGAATCTCGTGTCTCCATCCGTCCATCATCGGCCCTGTGGTTGCCGTCGATCTTTTTTCATCTCACGGTGTCCTGTGTTGTTGTCTACGCTCGCGTCCCTCGCCTTACTCTCGCTCACATCACGTTTAATTACCACCCGCCTCTCGTTGAAGCCTTGTTGGACCATCCACATTCGCTTGCAGCTTATCGACTATTTGACTTTGCGATACATCGTTCAGCCTCCGCCCCTCAGATAATGCTAATCTGGTTACAATCCCAGCGTCAGCCACCCGCCCCAGCTGCCCACACTTACGCGCCTTGATCAGGCTCAGGCCCTGGCCCAGGCTGCGAGCCTCAAGAACACAAGAAGCAAGACTCGACTTCCTGTTGCGTCCGCCGGGACGCCAGCACATTGAAACTATTACTCCCCCCTTGAACCGCCCAAGAGCCTCCTGTCATGGACTCTCCTACGGAACGCATGCCCATTGCGTGCGTACACTGCGCCAAAGCAAAGGCAAAATGTGACAAGAAGGTCAGTCGGTCTAGGCTAGGAGTCGCATTGGTCTGCAGGCAGAGTGGCGCGGGGTGCTAGGACGGTTCAAGAGAACTGCTCCTGATACACTCGCTTTTCACCGAGCTTCGCGATGCCAGGCTTCCGCGGCGCATCCCATCGTATGCCCTGTACTGACGATGAGAACCCCAGGTGCCGTGTTCAAGATGTGTGAGCAAGCAGATCGTGTGTCAGTCACGGGCCACTCGGCGGTCCTCCCACAATCCCAATCGACGGAATCCCCTCCCACGACCGCACTCTGAACGTGCACTACATTCTTCCGCCTCATTCCATGTATCACAATTGTCTCATTTTTCTGGCCCACCTCCAGGCGCAAATGGAATGTCCCCTAGTGAGCTTGTCAATCCCATGTCCTCAGACGTTGGCTGACGAACCCGTACAGACGGCATGGGACATCATACCATCCCTCCGCATCGGCTGAGCCTCCCAGACGCTCACCACCCGATTCCGATCGCTCCCGCCGTGTATAGCTCAGAGATGGAACCGCAGATGATGAGAAATGGCTTCGCACACACGCCCCCTGACATGATCCCAATCACACCGATGATGCCAAACATGTCCCACATGGATACCTTCGTACAGATGCAAGGGACCCCTTACGACCACGAGAGTGACAATCAGTTTCTGGCAATGACCAGCGCTCCAACAAGCATGATAGATTTCGACTCCGCCAATATGCTCCCGGACTTTATGAGCCCTCAGTCGGCCATGTTGCAGGATCACACGGAGCACTTCCTCCTGCACGGTAAGATGGGGATTCAGACTCCAAGTCATATTCCCCTTCCGATCCATATCCCCGATGGCGGGACGCCGTTTCCCGCTCGCATGGAATTGCAGAGCCCCTATGGTTCCCTGCAGTACCGGCCACCAGCCGGCCTCTCGCCGTCAAGTTCGTCTAGCACCAGTGGTTTGCAAGAGCCGGACGCGGTCGTGGCCGCGCATCATGCGTGGCCCTTTTTCCAGTGCAACCGGGTGGACAAGCAGTATTCCTTTGCGCCCCCCAAGACAGCCGCCATCTACCTGGAGGGTCTCGCCCAAACACTCCGGAACCAGACCACGTGGACGGCATGGACGGCTCAGCTTGATGAGTCATCGCTGGACATTTCGACAGAACGGAAGATCGCGACTGAGCAGATCGTAGGATGGTCTCGAGAGAAGTTGCTCGCCATCACTCAAAGCTTTCTTCACAAGGCGTTGGACATTCACAAAGCTGATCGTGCGGCTCGAGAAGACTCACCTTCCAGCCCGGACTCGAGCAGGGATGCATTTTTGATGTTACCCCCGCCTGAGGTCATGCAGTACTTCCTGAGAAGTTACGTTGTGCGATATGAGCCATACTACTCGTCAGTTCCTGCTGGCCGTCTGGATCCCAACGTTTTGATGCAGTCGAACAACAGCAAAGCAGCAAGCCTGCTGATCTTACTCATGGTTGCTTCAGGCGCTTCAGCAACGGCCACAGTGGAGGCTAGATATGTCGCCAGCGGGTTGACAGAGGCTTGCCGGATCTCGCTCTTCGACACCATCGAGAAAGATGTCCTCCAGTCCCGCGAAGTTTTGGTGCTGCGCTCTGCGCTTCTCTTCACATGCCTTGCCGCCTGGTCGGGAGATAAATGGCACATGGACGTAAGTGACACATTCAGCACTCCTGACCTTGCTCCTAACTCACCAACCTAGATGGCCATGGGTCAACGCGGCATGTACCTAGCTGTAAGTTCGCTCTCCTCTCAGATTGTGGCCTCGCTAATCCTGTGATAGATGCTCGCACATTCTGGAATGCTGGACACCACGGAGTCCGCAATCGACGTTGGAAAATGTAAGCAGAACCCTGAAAAAGCATGGGAGGAGTGGAAGGAACAAGAAGGCAAGCATAGGTATGTGGGTCCATATGGAAGGGGACGAGCAGAACTACGTCATACTGACACGTACCAGACTTGCTCACTCGTGGGTAATTGTCGATCAGGAGATGAGCTTGTTTTCAGACACCACTCCCTTGTTATCAGTAGTAAACCTCCATGCTCCGATGCCCGACTCCGATGACCTCTGGCATGCAGAGACTCCATCGGAGTGGGTCGAGCTTCTTGAGAAAGTCCACGGCTCGACATACCAGAGTCCTGCCTCCGTCAAAGACTTCTTCACCGGATTCGTCGACGGCGACTTGGCTGGGAAGGAACTTTCGCCGACCCAGCTTCGTTTGCTGTTGCATCCTATTCAGGCGCAAGTCTGCCAGCTGCGTCAGTTTATTGCGTGTCTGCCTGACGGCACCAACCATGCCAAAGCATCGCGTGCGATATCCAAAGCAGCAACCATGGCTCGGCTAGAGGATATCTCTTCTTTGCTGCAGCACTGGTACTCCATCAGCAAGCGAAGCTTCGCAGGCAACAAAGGTACATGTTGGACGACTTGTGCCAATCTCATCATGTATCACCTAATATCGCTGAATGCCATAACCAGCTTCAAGGACATTGAGCAGTTCGCTCGCCGCGAGGTAGCGCTTGGCTCGTTCCGGTACGCGTCGTGGTTGCAAATGCGATGTATAGACCAGGCGGAAGAAGCCTTGTTCCATTGTGGACAGATACTTCGCTTGATTCGATCGATGCCACGTCCAGTCCGGCCGCCGTGGTGGTCAGGTGCAGTGTATCGAGTGGCGCTGACAGGCTGGGCAACCAGCATGGCCAGCAGCGGAAACGGTCGCTTCTCACCAACGCACGCCTCGGCAGAGCCTGACAGGCCATTTGCGATCGACGACCTCACTCCTGAGAACGAGGCGATCAGCAGATATATGAAGTACCAGGAAGGCACACCCATGCTCAGCCGCCCTGATGGGTCCCTTGCCCCAATGGATGTCCCTTCTAACGTCCTCCAACACTGCATAGAAGTGTTGGAGGACGACTCCTCGATGCGACTGACAGACGGCGTCAAGCGAAAACTCCGCATCTTCATGGCCAACTGGAAAGACAATTGACACCTTTATACTCTGCCAAAGAGCAGCAGGCGGGTTGTCAAGGCTTCCCTGGTCAACCTCACGAACCAACACCAGATATCATGCAGTAATAGTTGGTTTTCTCCACCGACAAGGCGTGATGTTACCGCCTTTGTACAGACGATGAATGTACATCTGATGTCTTTTAATGATGATGACGGCGGCATTGCAGGCGTTTTAGAACCGGGAATATCGACTTGAATCGACGACTTGAATCGAATGAGGGTAGGGAAGAAGGAGATGAGGTGGACCACTGAGCATTGTCTCGCCTCAACAAGAGAAGCTGTTGTGTGCTCGACGATACCCTGGGAGGGATTCTGATCTGGAAGCCATGTATTTTTGGGATGAAAAGCTCTCGAGCGGCCATTTATTGATGTCTAGGTGCTGCTTTTGGACATCGGGGCCTGATCTGGAGTCTCTGTCAGGCAATACAGCAGATTTGGAATCCACCATGTGACCGGGGGAACCTGTCAAGCAGGCCTTCAAGCGTCACGACCTCATTTTTCACCTGCCGCTTTGTCGTACATTCTTGGAGATGGTAGATATGAAGCCGCTCAAAGCATCGTGTTCGTGGTCTTGTTATACGTGAATCCCGGTAAAGTGGGATCTGCCCAGGTCTTTTAAGACAATGGAAGAAGCACTAATGAATGTCATTGCATCACGTCCCGGAGCTCCAGCAACAGACTCCTGCAGCTTAGAAAGGCATTCACGGGCACTAAAGGAGATCATGGTGGTCTTGCAGCGGCCTACTGGTGTACTATGTCGGCCATCGGACATGCCTTCATCCCGACAAGATGGTTTGGGTAACTGCATCCGTGCTAGATCTGAAGCACCAGACCGAAGATCACAGCGGTCTTGGGAGGTCGGTGCCAATTGAAGCCAGGGAGAAACGACGGTTCTAGCGTGCTAAACCCATTGGGAAGCGTTAGGACTTTAGTTACCCATAACGTGGTCTGTCAACGCAGCGGATACATCAGAAGCGTTTCGGAGCGGAGGAGGATGAAGCAAAACAGCACGGAGCGATGCATGGGGAGGAGGGACCACTACGGCCTGGTTAACTAAGGGGCTCCGGAGTCGCATACGGGGCGTCAAGAATAGCCAAAGTCTACCGTTTTGATCTAAAGACATATTGAACAGACAACCGGAAGCAAAGGCAAGACGGTATGGCCTATATATCAGAACGATGCCAGCCTTGCTTCTATAAGGAAGGATCGCTTGAATCCGATATGTCGTGAGATGTTCCATAAGGCTTTCCAGAGCCTTGTCAACAAGGTGCCTGAAAATCTCTCCTCCCCTTGATGCCTAGCAGTAGTGGTGAAGGTAGCCCCCGGGAGGAGGTGGGGGCGCATGTTGACGCCATCGTCGGCCCCTGGATATTCCTCCGTCCTGGGTGCCATGGACAGTGTGCTTGAGTGCTAAAATTGGAGAGATTGCGTTAAGCCCTGCTAGTGCTCGGAGCACTGCGCCTCGAACTGGCTAGATCCGTAACTTTCGATACATGCAGTACGCATGCTGCTTGAGACCAGCTGGACGTCCGTGGCAGTTCAATACTCGGTATATACTTGGACATTGCTTCAAGTCGTAGCTCCGTGCCAGCAACATGACCGCCGCCTAGTTCACGTCTGTCCAGAGACAAGCTCAATGGCAGTATTGTATCAGACCCAGCGTCTAAGACATTTTAACTTGCATACAAACCACTGATCAAAGCCTTGCAGCCTCAAAAGCCCCCTGGGAAGCTGTCAATAGCGAGTCAAAGGCAGTCCGCTTAGTCTGTTGGTCTATTGTATACAGTACCTAGAGCGGACAACATCGAGAGTCACCCTCTCTTAACAAGCACGGATGAGAATCATTGAAATGTCCCGCGGCCTGCACACGTACCGGGGTTGTCAGTGTTTATTTCCGTCACTTTCCCAACATGTCGCGCTCTCCTCAACTGGAGCCGCGGCCTTGCCCTTCGCTCACTACTACCTACTGTTCCCAAGGAGCGGCTGCTCGGACGAGGCGAGTGTCCGGTTGACGGGGCGGAACCTCGCCATCTATCCAAGGATATGAGCCAGAGATGCATTCCTTGCTCTTTCGAATCTTTTGCCGTTGCACGTACTCGTACTTCCACCGATTGTGCGGATGTCGTACAGCGGTCAATGTATATTCAAGTACCAACCGTAAGGATCAGATGGCCCGATCACGCCCGCACGATAAGATCAGCCCCTCCGAGGTGACGGCCCCTCAATGGCCTGCCCCTCATCTCAACAACTTTTCAGCGTCCTTCACCGCCTCGAACTGACGGGTTGGTGCGCAAAGAACTTGACTGGTCTATTTTGCTGAGGCAGGCAGTCCAGACCTCCCAAGAACATGCCGACTCACCGACATGGCATCTTCTTACAATCAATAGTAGTAGGGGTAGTCGCGGTGCGCCAGTCGCACTCCGAGCTAGTGGCGGGCGAGAGAAAGAGCCACCACACAAACTCTCCTCTTACATCCCCTTTTATACCGCGTGTGGACAACTGTTTTCTTTTCCTGCTTTTGGCGGTCAGTGCATCAACATTCTGTGTATTTTCATTGTCCTTCGCCGTTTCTCCAATTACTTACCATTCGGTTGTCCATCATTCACTTGTCGGTCACTCCATCGTTACCTCCCTCTCACCTCGTGCTTAACCCCTCAAGATCACTCATCATGAGCGGCAAGTCACAAATCCGCCTCGACGGCAAGGTCGCCCTCATCACTGGTGCTGGTCGGGGCCTCGGTGCTGGTCTTGCAAAGACCCTTGCTGAGCGTGGCGCCGCCGTCGTGATCAACTATGCCAGCTCAGCCAAGCCTGCCCTAGCTACCGTTGCCGAAATCGAAAAGGAAGGCGGCAAGGCGGTTGCCATTCAAGCCAACATCTCCAAGACGCCCGAGGTCACCAAGCTCTTCGACGAGGCCATCAAGGCCTTCGGCAAGCGTAAGTCAAGTGGGAGCGGTCCAACGGTCAGGATGGTGTGCTGACTGTCGAAGTCGACATCGTCATCAACAACGCCGGCATGGAAGCTTTCTCCAAGCCCGAAGATGTCACCGAGGAGTTGTATGACCAGGTGTTTGGTCTCAACACCCGTGCCCAATTCTTCGTCGGTCAACATGCTCTGAAATATCTCAGCGGTAAGCGGCGATCCGTCCAGGTCACGTGTGTGTTCAACTGATGATTTCGTCCTCTAGAGGGCGGCCGTATTATCTTCATGTCATCCATCGCTGCCCGCCTGGGTGTCCCTAACCACGCTTTGTACGCTGGTTCTAAATCGGCTGTCGAGGGGTTCGCTCGCTCGTTCGCTGCCGATGGTGGTCCCCGCCGCATCACTGCCAACGCCATTGCACCCGGTGGCATCAAGACCGACATGTTCGCTCAGAACGCATGGCACTACTCTCCTGGCGCGACCAAAGATACTCCTATTGAGACGATCGAGGCCGGTATCGCCAAGCTCATCCCCCTTGGCCGATGTGCTGTCCCCGACGACATCGCCAAGGTTGTCATGTTCCTGTGCCATCCTGACAGCGAATGGATCAACGGTGAGTTCGTCTGTGATTGAAGTTTTGGATTAATCTCTGACAACCGATCTTTCCAGGTCAAATCATCACCCTCACTGGTGGCAGCGGTATTGCCTAAACGGGCCACTCCGCCAAACCGGTTCTTGCCCATGATGGGCTTTCTTCAGTGCATTTTGTGGCATCCAAAAGCGTGCCTTGAAAGAGTACAAAAGTTCTTTTGGTCTAGCAAAATCGGGTTGATAGAAACGCCTCCCTCCTGGGTTGGGTGATGGGCATGCAGGAATTGGAGCATCAGGGCGAACCAACAGGTAGATACGAGACGAGACCAAGGTTGGACACAAAGTAGATTATATGTCTTCGAACTTCTGAAACGACTTACGAGTAAACTGAGCTCGGGTCACCTATCCGACTCCTTGTGGCAGAGAAGCGTACCGCCCTGCCGCTCTATCATGCAGAGTGCTGTAAAGAATTATGCATACGTACTCCGTAAGTACATACAGTAGATAACCCACCTCGTTCGTGCACTACTCGTGCTTTGGAACAAGCGTCCGGACAATGAATGGACAAGACCGTCGACACGGTCGTCCACTACGGAGATACAGGTGGCTACCAAACCTAAAGCGTCACCAACGGCGCCTCGCAACCTCCGACACGCCGACCTCGTGCAGCTATGTAATACATACTGTTAGGCTTTACTCCGCAAAGGACGAATCGAAATATGTACTCCGTACACCGTCCATTCTTCGATCGATCAAGACGAAATCGATGCCCGTCGCGGACTATTTATGCGTACGACCACCTTGTAAGAGGGACGCGAATGTAGTTGTACACGATAAGTATCTTTTCAGCAGCCAGCAGCCAGGTTAACGTCCGAATGGTATCTGTGTTCGAACTTCTAAGTACCTCGCGGGTCATCTTAAGGTGGAAATAGCAAGGGCACAAACGGAGTACGGTAAGCAGTTTTACTTTTCCCAGGGCCAGCGCCGGTAGATAAGCTTTTGATGCGAACGGTCTTTGCGCGACGATACACTTGGGACCGGGTCGAAGTTGTTCACACGGAATACACTATGGAGTACGACGTAATCGAATGCGTGGACCACGTGTCGGTCAATCACAGTCACCCCTTGCTCCGTGTCTGTGCTCAACGGACCGCGGCATTACACCTTGATTCGCATCTATCCTCAGCGGACCGTGGCATAGCACCTTGGCCCTTTGATATCTGGCTTGATGAGGCACAGCTGCCTGCTCATATCTCCCCAATACGGACGACAAACGCCTTGTCGTGATGACTCTTACATCCGTTACTGCTTTGAAAAGTTGACAACATGCTCATACATCTACAAATGGAATCAGACTGGCGTCGGTATCCGCAGGTCGAACGTACAATGAAGCTGGAACGCCACTGTTTGACTGTGGAGCAAGGACTACACCATTTATGATCTATTATGGCGGGCATGGGTGATTCCTCGACGGTAGGATTACACAGGCAGGAAAGGTTATCTGCTCACTAACTACACAGTACGGCCTATGATGCTGCTGATCAGCTTCGAGCTCAAATGATGCCTGGGAAATTCAGAAGATTCACCGATTGTGAATGTGGATGTCCCCCTCTCAGTCAGCGTTCCCACGGCTTCGACTTTCAAAAATCCAGCCTCACCAATTGTATGCCACAGAATGGGAACAAAGCGACGATAAAGGGGAACAAGTTCAGAAACGAAGAAGACACATGTTGTTATTGTCAAACATCGAGCTCTTTGTTGTCGTGATCACAATGGCACAAATTCAGCTTTGTCTCCGGGCTATAATGATGGCATTGTATCGACTCGGACTTTATGCTCGACTGCCCAGGCTCCATGACAAAGAGGCCGGCGGGCAGATCAAGTTGTGAGCAAACATAAATGTCTGCCGGATGACCGAGTCTTGGGCGATCTGTCAACGCACTCTTCAACCAGGAAAATCAGCTGGAAAGAGAATCCACCGACCGGTCAAACAGCAGGGAAATTCTCCTGGTCCTCAACTGGGGAGCCAGCGCTAGGATAATGGCTGATCAACTGAACAAGAAATCTTCATTCGCGGCCCTTCGAAAATGGTATGCTAAACGATCCAGGTCCGTGGCCCGAAATGTCCAGAGTGAGTCGCAGCATTCAACCGCTCAGATCCAAGACTTTCTGACCTATCAACCTGGTGCAGAACTCCGGCAAACCGTCCAACGCAGGCCACGACTAGAGACTGACCGCCACGAAGAGGCACAACGCAAATCTCAGTACCTCGAGTTTTGCCATGTTCCGACTGAGCTAGACTGCATCCCTGCTCGACCATCTGTTTCGACCATCTCTTTGCCTTCGACGGTCGCGACGGGTTCAAGAGCCGGAGTTGCCCAGCAGTCACCACAGGAACTTCAATCTCTGCCTCGTCCTAGGCCTCGAGCACGACCTGCGGTAGAAGGACCCGAGGACTTTGAGCAATTTCGCTCTGACTTGCGCGGACGCTTCGAGCTGGAGTCGACTGCAGCCCAGGCACAGAAGCAACCTCGATCCCAAACCAAATCATTCACCATTTACCTGCCCGAGACTCAATTAGCAAAAGAGCAGCTCCATGCTGGTTCGAAAGCCAAGGCGTTCAGAGCATTCTCCGGGAGACCAGTTGAGAAAGGTCCAGAGAAGATTCAAGCATATCCGGGAGCCCCCAAGCGAAAACCAGTAGGTTACGTTCCTCCCACCCTCCAGCCTGGCTATGTGGATGGAGTTCCGCCTGTTCTACGCGCGTGCCACAACACAACTAACCTGGCTCTACCACAGAACAAGCCCAGTGGGACAGGAGCTGCGATCAAGAACTACAGTTACCCGCTTGTGGACTTCCACCAGGGACTGTTCATCAATGCTAACCTTTCCGAGGCGAGCATCTCTGGGCGGCACCAAGACCCGCGCATCCCCGCCATGAACTTCACAAGCCGGGGACTCGCTGATGAAGTGAATGCGGAGCTCACCCGTTTGCGCGTCCCGGATGAGAAAGAGGTCATTCGACCAAAGTCAAAATCCGGCGTCCCAGACGGGAAGGAGGTAGTCCGCCCCAAGTCTCGTGCCCTGGACGAAAAGGAGGTTGTCCGTCCCAAGTCGCGTGCATGGATGTCACCCGGATCTCCCCTCAATCAGAATGCTTACGAACTCGAGGCATCCGCACCCGGTTTTCCCCTCATGCAGGCCAGAGCTGTCAATCTCCGTTCTCAGACACCGCGAGTCGTGCGAGTGAGAAAGCAGCATGAGCTTCAAACACCTAGCCCTGTTTCTCCCTTGTCCGGCGATGCGGGCAAGGTCGACTTCAGAGAGTACAACTGGCCTCGGTTCGTCGACAAGGAATGGGTCGATCCGGCGAAGGGCATTCGCGCCGGTATCGATATCGACGCCGAGGAATTCTGAAAGAAAAGTCGTGATCCCGAGATTGAAGATTGGAGACAACGACTTATGAGGACGGAATGACTCGTTCATTCCTTGTTCGGAGGTAAGTCTGACTGCTTTCCTGGTTTAGTAAGTTATGATCACGAGAGCCGATCCTTGTGCGTTCGGATTGGCCTTAGTTGTGTTGATAATGCTAACCGTAAAAATAATAACAATAATAATGGTAGGAGAATAGTGTCGACGATGGTGTGCTTCACTGCGCAAGTCATGTGTGCTGCTGTTATTTCTTCTGTTCATTGTCCCGTGACGCGATCGATCTGTGGGCGAAGCTCGGCGATGGACCGGATTGCCATATATGAACTTCCGAATCACCAAAGTTGCGGTCAAGAACTGGAGCCGTGAAGCCGTCTGTTTGGCCCACAGGGCGACGCGTCGTCCCACTGATCTCTTTCATTATTGATCGTCGTTGCGAGGCTGCATCGCGGGCAGGTGAAAGCGATGCACGTGACGGCGGGGCAGCGAATCCTTCTCGGGATGATCACACCGAGGGCGATTACACAGTAAATGCCTGCAGGATCCTGGCTAGCTGCTTCGTTGTAACTCGTACTCGTGCCTTCACACGACAAGTATGACTAGAGTGTACCTCAAGTAGTAGACTACCAAAGACTTTTGACCTGTTATCGAGGGAACCCATTTCAAGGCACCGCTGTAGCTCAATTACAGCTCGCAGCATGCACAACACAGAGAGCTGTAGCCCTTGGGGGTGCCTAGGCCCCGAATCTCAGACCTCGGCATGCCTAAAGGAGCCCAAGGTCAATGGCGGAAAGGATTCAGCCTCAGGCACGCCAGTGAGAGATGCCCCTCCGACGCCCATCACTTCCCGATATCGCGTCGCGAATTCCGGTTCCTCGATTCCGTGTCTGATGGGCTTCACACTGTGTTTCCGTTGTGGTACCGAACCCCACACTGCGCTGATCAAGAGCCATGACCTTTATCGATACGATCGATTCGCGCTCGCTAGGCCATTGTCTCGACAAGGTCGCTCAGATTCCACGTCAAGTGCCATTTCCTTTGTCCATAGTTCCGCTTTCATCGACTCTACACAGTATTAGGCTGTAAGGAGAGCGAAAGTCAAATCCAAAGGTAACCTTGGGCGGACAATCGAAGCTCTTCGCTAACTTTGACTTGTTTCTGACGCCATCCGGTGGTACTGAGTCAGCTCGGTATGATCATTGTCTCCCGTTCGGCAAGAAAGTACTTGTACCGTCGCTGGCCCGTCCAGCTTAAACGCCTGTACCTCGTCTTCGCCGGGCTTCTTTCGCCTCCGGAATTCGTGCTGGCTGGGGAGCGTGAGGCCTCGCTTCGCGCTCCATTTGGAAAACTCTGCACGAAACCTCCCACGCCTCTGATCCTCTGACGCTTGCACCCCCAAATTTCAGGTGACTACCGGCAGAGAGGCGCACCCTTCCCACATCGGCGTATCCACTCCTCCTTCTCCATCTCGCAGGAACAAGTGGGGGACTTATTTCCCGGTGGTCGAGCACACTTGACAAAAAGGCACTTTCGGGCTCTTTGCAGTCGCCCACCGGTCCACAGTACTCCGTACTGTGTGTAGATACGACCGATAATCAGTCCGCGTGGACCCAGTCCTCACTGCCACAGGTCTATATGTGAGACAGCAGCTCTGGACACCCCCACTAGGCTCTGTGTGTTACATTCGCCGACCATCTCAACTCCTTGTCGCGGGCACCATTTCTACACCGACTATCATCTCGTGTACCGCCCTTAACAGCCATCTCGCGGCCCGTTCTTCCGGATTGCAGCACTCATCTCCCTAACCACCAGCTCCATCCACCCGGTGCCCGTGTGAGTCCGCCACCACCCGCGGTCAATTCGACGGCTGCCCCTCCGTCATCACACCTTCTGAGTTTCCTAGCTTTCCGTCCACGCACACCAGACGCGACAGAATTGACGAATTTGCACGGATCATTTGCCTCAATTCTCCCGGGACTTTCTGTGACCAATGCAGGACTGGACTCAATTGCATTCATGAATTCCTTAGAGATCTACCTCCCTCGGTGACACTGCTCCTCTGGGGTTCCGGAACACCAGCGCCCGGATCGGTACGCTACCAAGGAGGGCCAATAGGGCACAATGTACAGGAATACTGCCCAGAATTATGGCCATGTCAAATACGTTCCGCCCAACGCTCTCCCTTCGCCTGATAATACCAGCGATTCTGACCTGGAAATCCTCGACGCGCTTGACGAAAAGAGGAGGCAGCTAGACGAGGAAATTGCCCGGTTCAAGGTCGCAAAGGAGCGGGAGTTTCGAGAATTTGAGAGGGAACTGCGGGTGAAGAGAAAAGGGACCCGCATCGGCGGCCATCTCCCATCTGAGCCGACATCAATCAAACAATTCACCTCAGCCCCCTCGACAACAGCTTCTGCTCTGAACTTACTGGCCTCTGCTCAAAACGGCTCCCCCATCGGAAGGGCAGGGCCTAAAGCGAGAAGAGATGGATACCTGGCCGATAAGGTCAAGAGACCCGCACCACTAAGCGGGCCTACTCTGTCTATAGAGAAATTGAACATCACGGGCGAGACTACGCCGCCGTTACATACCCTTGGAACCCCTCCAACACCAAGTCTCTTGATGCGAACAAGGTCTCGCTCTCCAACCGATCCAGCTGCACGGCCAACAACGCCACCCTTCTTACAAGGAGAGAAGGAATCAACGCCTATGTCAACGCCGGCGCCCTCGAGAGATCGGTCTGATCCCTTTGCAGGGGTTTTCACTCCAGCATATCTGCCCCTGCTCGAGTCACGAGACCGTACCGCCTTGATACGCAGTCCTCAGATTTCGAAGTCTGCAGACGAGGAGAACAAACGGCTCCAACTCGATGCGAGCAGTAAGCTGCAGGCGGAGAGACAGAGGCTCGAGTCATCTCAGTCGCTACCTCCGCAGCAAGTCTCTCCTACGATTGTCACGACCAAGCGGACGAAGTCTTCGCCAGTACTGCCCAGTGCGAGCCTTCCCAGTGCTTTGCGGACTGCGAGTGGAGGGGGCCGCCGAAGGAAGCACGTCATGTTTCAGCTTGCTGATCTCAAGGTCGTAGACCCAAGTAGTAGTTACGAGGAAGGACCGAGTCCGGAGATGGAGGAGAAGCAAGACGTGATGGATTATCGAGGTCCGGGCATGCAGAGTGATCATGGCAGCGACGCGGGTAAGCAATATAAAGGGAGCCCCAGACTACCAGTCGAAAAGGAGAAAAGACAAGGACGGGGCAGAAATGGCCGCTTCGTCTCACCTATCCCTTCACCATTGGCGAGTCCTAGTCCGAGCTCATCGCCTTCACCAGCCCTGCATGGCTCATCGCCCCACCTGTCCCCAGTTGAGTCACCGAGTCTCGTCCCCTCCTCTGTGGACGAGACCACAGGCTTCTCAGGCGGTCTTGCCGGCGCAGATGATGGGGGCAGCGGAGTCGGGTTCTTCGAACTCGACGAAGAGCTCGCGAGTCCAGCGCTCCGAGAAGGCAAGCCCGTCGAGACATTCGACCTCGACGTGGAGGAGGAGGGTGTCAACGAGAACGCCGCCGGTGCCACGCGGCACGGCCTTGGAATCATCCCCTCGGTGCAGGTGGGCAGCGTGCCCATCGACATCGTCAGGCCCAGCAGCAGCTTTATAGGCAGTTACGGGCATTGAGGTGCGCTATGCCCGTCCCGGGAGGACGGGATTTGGGACACGTCATGAAAGGAAAGTTCAATCTCCAAAAAGCAAGGTCATTCGGAAGTTTTCGGGGTATATCGGCGTTTGTCTGGTAGTTCTCTGGGGTATTTAATACGGGTCGCTAGGTACTCGACAAGCAGACCCTGGCATACGACATAGTGGGCGGATATGCGGATGGGTGGGCGGGCGGCTATTGTGAGCGATTTTGTTCAAGTTTGGCTTGCAATGTGTTATGCGGTCGTATGCTCTTTGCTATGTGGTACGCGGTACGTGGTACGTGGAACGTGGTATGTCGTGCCCGTCGGGGTCGGGATGTGGTCAGGCTTCCGTGTGAGGGAGGATGAGTGCACACCTCCACGTTATGAACACGACGGGGTCAGGACGAGTACAGCGACGGCGACTCGAAAACGTACTCGGATTTGGACTCGGACTCGGACTCGTGGGCTACATATTATACCTATCTATCTACCTACCTACCCACATATATGTATCCAAGTCTTGGACATGGGCGGTAAAAGTGAACTTTTCTGCACGCTACGTTACGCCGCGTTGTCTTGTCATCTGTTGTTGCATTTCCCTTGCTTTCCTATATCTACATGTTGCACTGACTGATGTCCTAATGGCTGCCACTGACACGGATGGGCCATCCCAGCCAGAGCCAGGGTTTGCTGCGCCGTTGGGTGCAGCTGGCTTTGTATGGTATGGGTCATGAGGACCCGGCGGTGGATGGTTGATACGTTATGTATTTGTAGATGTGGAGATAATCTCTCAGATCTACTCCGTATATCGGTGCCGATACATACATCTACATCTACATCTATATCTATATCTATATCTTGCCCCGTGCGGACATGTGGCCATGGCCCAAGGTTGGCTCGTCATGTTCATGGGGGGTTATCGTATCGGGCCTACCAGGTAATTACCTGGTACTGTAGTTTACCGTCCAATATCACAAAGTCACATGTATATGCCCTGTGTACCCCGTACCTACTTGTGTACTCCAGACTATATAGCGAAACACACTCACCCAAACTGAATCTGGAGGTGAAGGCCACACTGCAACTACAGTACGGAGTAATAATGTTGCTATCCTGGGTAGTAGACCCCGTACTCCCGTACAGTGGAATACATATATACACTCATATATACCGAGGTATGCGTAGGAGACATATCGGTAGGACTTCATCCCCCGACTATGTAAGTCTGGGTCAGAGGCTGAGTCGAGTCACTTCGGACACATAGGGTTAGCCTACTACGGATCTGAGTCGACTGACCGACTACCTAGCGACCAACGAATGCCTCAGTCTACTACACGCATCCACGTCGAAATGAGCCCTTGGTCCACCACTACCTCGTGGTCGGCTATGTTTACACGCGTGGCTCTCGCTCAACCCTCAAATCAAGGCCTGGCCTCGGAACATGGCCTCCCTAACCTCGCGGATAATGTCCTTGCGATCCTTGCCGCCCATCAGCACGATACCGCGTCCCCGACGATTCATGCGCCCCATGCGGCCTAGTCGGTGGACAAAGTCAATGGTCGTATGCGGGACGTCGTACAACACGACGTGGCGGACGGCGAGGGTGTCGACGCCGCGGGATCCGAGATCCGTCGTTACGAGGACCTTGACGTCGGGGAGATGGCGCGTGGGTTTTGCCGGCGTTTTGCCCGAGCCGGCCGGAGCTGGAGTGGTGGCCCGGTCGAACGGCACAAAGTCCCTAAAGAGTTTCTTTGCCGGGTTGGTGGTGGTGGCACCTGCGGGTTTGGACGACCCGTCGACTTTCTCTACTGATGTGAACGATGAGAGGATCTCGGCTTGGCGCTGTTCCGCCGTGTCTCGAGTCAGGGCCACGGCCTCGACGCCCTTGGTCACCAGGTACTGCGCGACTTGGTCGGCTTTTTCGCGCTCGTTGACGAAGACGAGGATGTGTTTGACCGTGTTTTTGGGGTTGAGGTCCTCGTGCACGGCTTTGCCCAACGTCCAGATCACGTCGGCGCACGCGAGGTCACGGTCACCGCGGTAGGGGGCGCGGTCGATGTCTACAGCTCCCAATTGCACGCGGCGCGGGATGGTGTGCAGCTTCGGGGTGACGATGCGTTTGCAGTCGGGGAAGCGCTTGTCGATGAATTTGTCGAGACTGTTCGGGATGGTTGCCGAGCAGAGGATGAGTTGCTTCAGAGAAGGGGCCGCACGGTCGATGATTTCGCAGGTCGTTTCGGCAAAGGAGCGGTCGAAGAGGCTGTCGGCTTCGTCCATGACGAGATACTGGATTCGGGAGAGGATGTTGGGTTCCTTCTTGGCGATACTGGCGATGAGGTGTGGAGACGAGACGAGGATGTCGATCCCGGCAGGGTTGAAGAGGCGGTTGCGGATCACGGTCGGGGTGTTGGAGGAGGAGATGCCGGCAGAGCGGTACTTGATCGTGTGCGACATGGACTTGACGGTCTTCGTCACTTGGGTGATCAATTCGCTGGAGGGGAGGAGGATCAATGCTCGCGGACGGCCCATTGATGCATTGGGTGGTGGTGAGCCGTCATCCAAAGGATCCGGGTCGAAGACCGTGTTTCTGTCTCGCTCCTCTTTGTCCTTTGTTTCCTGAGCTTCACGCTCCAGTTGCTCGTTGTGGTCGAGTTCTTCTTGTTGTTTGACGGAGTTGATGACAGGTAAAAGGTAGGCCAACGTCTTCCCTGACCCAGTCTCTGCGGCGAGGAGGAAGGTTTTGTATTTGTTGTTCGGGACGGGCTTGCCTTCTGCGTCGACTGCATTCTGCTTTTGATATTCACCCTTCTTGCTGAGGAGGGCCGGAATGGCCAGCTTTTGCACAGCCGTAGGTGTATACTCGGTCAGATGCGGCAGGACTTGTGTGTATATCGCATCGACGACAGACGGCATCAGACCCAGGTCCTCGAACGATGTGATCTTCTCCATCTGTAGCTTGAGTTTGTTCCGCTGGCCATAGGATAGAGGAGCTAGGGTCTGTTGCATTTTCAGTGCGTGGAACAGCGGCCGTTCGTCCTTGTCCTTTTTCTTCTCTTTTCGCGAAGCCGCTGATTCCGTGGCTTCTTCTCCACTTGAGATGGCCCGCGTTGTTGGCTTGGAAGACGATCTCACAACTGTGGTTCTCTCTCTAATCTTAGACTTGATGGCCATCCTAGCACGTGAGGGAATCGCTCGAGGTGGTCGCGGCGGTAACCTTGCAACGGTCTGATTCATACCGGCAAACGGCCCGGGTGTCTCCTTTCGGGCAGACTTCCTTTCCATTCCTGATCTGCCGGCATCTTGAGTCAGTGTCAATCTCGAAGGCTTCCGTCTCTGTCGCATGGCCAAAGCCATCGTCCGTTGGGCCTGCCATTGTCGGGTTGCGGGCTGTAAAGTCGAGATGAGCGCTCTGAAGCGGCAGGCCGGACAAATCGCCGCGCTCGAAGACATTATCTCGCTGTTCAATGGTGTTCACTCCCATACATACACAAGCCCAGGGCGCAATTGCAGTCTGGGACTTTTTTCTTGCGCTGCGCGTCGTCGCGTTCCACTGTAGCCGGACCCCTGCAGGGCCCACTTGCGGTTGTCCGTTGTTGTCTCGGGTGGACGCCGTTCGTGTTGTCTGGCCAACGCGGTCAACGGCTGGCTTTGTTTTCGTCCCCATGCAAAGCGCCCGACAGCTGCGGGGCCCTTTCAAGTTTCACTTGCGCCATTCATACTCCGTATTCTTCAACGAGATCTCTTGGATGACTACTCTCTCCTTCAAGAGTGGCCGTCATTGCGGTCAAGTGATTTCTTCTACACATTCGTTTCTGCCTGTTCTCAAGAGTGCATAATCAGGTAATCCAACACGCCGCAGCTGGTCTGCCTCACCAGGCTCGGCTCAGCTTAGACAATAATCTGCCATTCTTGCGCTCTACCCACAGTTCCTCAGCCCTTCATTCCATTCTCTCGACCAATCCAGTCCATCATCCATGGTCTGAGCTCGACGTCTACGTACACAAAGCCATTGTCGAGCACTCATGGCCTCCGAGGTACGTGGATTCGTGGATGTTGGGCTCCCTTCTCACTTCTCTCTCAGGTTCCACCTCTGCGCATTCAGAAGGGCAGCGGCAATGGCACAAGCACTTCGCCATCTAAGCTGCCCCGAGTGACCAACCGTCCCCTATCTGAGCTCAGTCCCATGGCCATTCGAAGAAACTCTCCAAGTTTTCCGCAGGGAAAGGTGCGCCTGTCCTCCACTTCGATACGACATCACCAAGTTGACATGATAGCAGGGCAAAGTCTTTGGCAACGAGAACTCCCCAGTCACGTCATCCCCTTTTTCTACAGCTTCGCCACGTCTGTTCTGGCAGGGTCGAGATCCGAATTCGCCGGCTAGAGACGCCACCGAAAGCCCGCCAGTTCCTTCACCGCAGAAGCGATCATCAATTGAAAACCTCAAGAGAGCTTCAAGAGTCAAGAACAGCAGCATGTTCGAGATCGAGCAGAGGCACCATTATGATCCTTCACGTCCCTCAATCCTCGATGGCCGCCCACAAAGCATGCAATTCCTCAGACAATCATCACCTGTGCGCGTTTCCGATTCAGGGCGTAAGGAGAACCTTGCGCCGACTAGCACGACCTCACCAGCCAGACCGACAGTGGAAGAGCCTAAAGAGGATGCAAAGTCCATCATTGATACTGTCACGCCTCTGTCGCCGAGCAGGATGAACACTTCTCCCACCAAGTCCTCGCTCTCGAACAAGACAGGTTCAGCGTTTCGGCGCAATGGGTTTGACCCAAATACAGGCGTCTGGGAGGACGATGAGGAGCTCCACGAGAAACAGCTGCCGCTTGGTCGCGGCCTCCACCGCCATCACAAGAGCGTCACTTTCGACCAAGCCCCTCCACAAATAAATGAGTATGAGATGGCCACGCCTGCCCCATCTTCCATCGCGTCTGGTTCTCGCCAGGGCAGCTACGACTCTGCCGACGATGATGACGACGAGGATGAGGAAGCTAGTTTCGAGAGAGGCTCATCCATGGACCATGATGACAGTTTCGACGCGTCTCTGGAAGACACAGAGAAGACGCCTGTTGTGCTTCCCGAGGATTGGCGCTTTATGAGCCCCGATACCGCAAACACCGACCTTGCTCAACACGAGGAGGATGTGTTCGAGGATGACTATGGCAGTCCTGCTCCAACTGCTCAGCCTGGCACTGCTTCCAATCGGCCTCACCAAACCAGTGCAAGCTCAGTCGACTCCAATGGCCAGTCTCGCCCTCTGCCACCTCTCCCTCCCTCGGTCGGAGCCCAAGCCAAATCAAGGAGTGATAGTCTGTCTAATGCATTCGAACGTATCAGCGTCGCCTCACGATCACTTCCCGCGCCTCCGATGCCAGCGGCAACCTCCAAAATTGACATCCTGAATATGAGAGTATCGACTTCCCTTTCGGCCGAGGATAGGATTCGCTTGATGGCACTGCAAGAGCAGGAAAGAGAACGTCGAATGAGACGTATGGGCTCCAAAGAACCCAGCCCTGTGCGTAGCACCAGCGCAGATGACTCTACCACCTCAGACCTGGAGCCAGTACCGGTGCTCTCCGAATCGAGGAACTCCACACCACAGCTCTCGAGAGACTCGATACTTGCAGGCCTTCGTGGCGAAATTGGGACTGACAGTCGAGAGAGCAGCGAGGACATCCCAGATGTGCCTCGACGGCGAGACCTGGCATCTCTTGACCCAGATATCCCCATTCCGTCAATGGAGGATCCGACCCAGCCACGCATCAAGGAGGAAGAGACGGAAGAGACTGACTTGTACTCCATTCCCGACGCATACAGTCGCCGGGTAGTCTCGGATTCGGACGTGAGCGCCAACAATGACGACGACCTTACCAGCCAGTACTCCCAGCCATCGCTTGCCTCCTTTGTCCCATCTTCGGCCGCTGATGAGGGCCAAGAAACACCAAAGGCACAGAGCCCGGCGCGCGAAGTGCTCTCGAAACCCGCGCTTTCACAGCGCGTCTCATTGCCTGACTTTGCGGACTTCGGCGAGGCAAGCAGTTTCGACATTGGCCTTGCGCGGTACTTGAGCAACGAGGAGGAGAAACCCAAGCAAATAGTCCGCCTGGAGTCAACCACGGAATTGCCTGATCTCGCCGCATTACGTCAATCAATTCAGCGTTCATACACTCCTGATAGCCAGCCCAAGCAGCGGTTGGGGAGTCCAGCAACTTTCAGTCCGGAGCAGGCAGTGCCAGGTAGTCCAGATTCTGTGGTGAGACATCCCACTGCATCTGACGAGTTCCCCAGCCGTGCAAATCGCGAGCCTGAACATAAAGTGGATGCCCCTGAAGTCGACAATGATCGATCTAGCAGTCCCTCAGAAGCCTCTGACACCGGTTCCGTCTTGATCAACGGGAGAGAAGCTTCGCCTGTGTCCCCTATTTCAGCTGAATTCGAAGACACACCAGAAGTCGCGATCACGGAACCGCTCCAGGATAGTCTGACCGACGACAAGCCTTCCGAGCCTCTATCCATCGAAGCCGAAAATAAGCGGGTTAGCAGTTTGGTGCCCTTGGACATTCCCCATGGAAGCCTGGACGAAGGCCTTGGCCTAGGTCTGGAGAAGGAATTTGACCGAGTGGTGGAAGCCCAGAAGGTAGAGTTTGAACTCTCTTTGCAACGCCTTTATTACCCTTTCCACGGACGTTTCCCATCGACTGAGCTCCCGCTCCCAAAAGCGGAAGAACGAAAAGGTTTCAACCCGATGGAAAATGTCCCCTTTCTCCCCAAGCCCCGTGGAGCGCGTCCTCCCCCAGGCACAAGTCTTGCTCTTTCCCCCACTACATCTAGCCACGGAGAATCATTTGCTAACCCGGCTCGCTGCCGACAGAGAGGTTACCTGATGCGACAAAATACCAAGATCGTGGTTGCATCCGAACGTGTGTCCCAGGACGAGTGCAGGTCGCCTGGTCTCCCTATCGTGACCGAGGACGGTTTGCTGGGTGTACCAACGGAGGCCAACAACGTAGTGCCTTCCCCACGCAAGACGAGTCAGCCAACCTGGACCGCTGAGCCATGGAATGGCAAAACTCGTCGAAAGAGTATCAGGGTGGGAGGAGAAAAGTCCATGAGCAAGCGAAAGCCTGTTGACGGAGCCGTGCCACCCCTGCCTGGGCTGCCCAGCAATGTCCAAGAGACGCTCGACGCAGTGGCTGAGGATGAGATCGGAGAAGAGGATGAGTGGGAGGAAGGCGCTGAGCGTGGTCGGTTGTTTGTCAAGGTTGTTGGTGTCAAAGACCTGCAGATGCCTTTCCCGCAACGTGAGATGATCCTCATTGTCCATTTCGGCATGCGCTAACAGCCACCTAGACGAACGTACCTATTTCGCCCTGACGCTTGACAACGGCATGCACTGTGTGACAACTGCCTGGCTCGAACTTGGTCGAAGTGCACCTATCGGCCAGGAGTTCGAGCTGGTTGTGCTAAATGACCTGGAATTCCAACTCACCTTGCAGATGAAGCTGGAGGAACCGAAGATCGAGCGGCCACAATCCCCTTCCAAGCCACCTGCCTCGCCTAAGAAGCAAGGAGCTTTTGGTAGGTTGTTTGGTTCGCCCAAGAAGAAGAAAGAATCGGAGGCCCGGGCTCAGCAAGAAGCGCAGGCTGCCAGAAGGCCCGTAACCCCACCATCCGCCTACGAGCTGGTGCAGGGGCTGGTCGCGAAGGACGGATCGTTTGCCCGAGCCTACGTCGCATTGAGCGAGCATGAGAAGCAGGCATACGGTCGACCTTATAATGTCGACATCACCTGTTTCAACGAGTGGGCGCTGGAAGAGGTCCTTGTTGGGAGCTCGCGAAGCAAGAAGGGTGTAACACAACTTCAGCGCCGTCCGCCCTATGAAATCGGTAAGCTGGAGTTGCAGCTTTTGTATGTGCCGAAGCCAAAAGGGGCCAAGGATGAAGACATGCCGAAAAGCATGAATAGTGCTATCCGTGCCCTCCGAGAAGCCGAGGACCGTCTTCACCAACAAGCCAACATCAAGGAGTTCGAGGGCTACCTGAGTCAACAGGGAGGAGATTGTCCGGTAAGTTGAGCTTGTCCATCGAGCGAGAACGAGGTGCTGATCGATTGTAGTACTGGCGGAGACGCTTCTTCAAGCTTGCGGGTTCCAAGTTGACAGCTTTCCACGAGACAACTTTGCAGCCACGTGCTACCATCAACCTCGCCAAAGCCACTCGTCTGATCGATGACAAGACTGCCCTCATGCAGAGAGAGACTTCCACGAAAGGTGGGGGTCGTCGCAAGAGTGGATTTGCTGAGGAAGAAGAAGGCTACATGTTTGTTGAGGAGGGCTTCCGCATCCGTTTCGGCAATGGAGAAGTGATCGATTTCTATGCTGATTCCACTGCCAACAAAGAAGAGTGGATGCAAGCTCTCTCGCAAGTTGTGGGCAAGGGCGTGCAGAGTGGCTCCGCTCCGATCAAAGGCTGGACGGAGATGGTTCTCAAGCGAGAAAAGAAGGTCAAGGCTGAAGCACCGGCACCACGTCCCCGAATGGGCCATCAACGAACAGAGACGTACCACGCCAGTGGGGCGATTAGCCAGGCGAGCAGTCCCGTCAAGTCTTCAGCTCGTGAAGAGAGGCATCGAAAGACGAAGAGCATGATCATGTAGGGCTGGAATGGTAGTGGGCACTTTGGAAAAGGAACGATGGATTCTGTACAGGGGCACCGTGGTACGCACACGTTGGATGGGCTCTACGGAGAGCAGGAGGTGTTGTATCAGGACGGCGGCTTGGATGGGAGTGTTGGAACCGGAGGATCTGAGCTTCCGTTTGGATGTTATGGGCACACGATTTCATGCACGGCACGATCCATGAGGAAGCCAAGGTCGGTAGACAGGGCTGGCCAGGCTCGTCATGAACGATGCTGTGATGTGCATAAAGAGTTCTCCTAGAAAAACGAGCGTTCAAGACCTTGAATGTCTGCAGTAGACGATCAAATGGGCCCCCACAACACGACTGGCCCATACGTAAGCAGCTTCGCACTTGGACAGCGATCATCATCTGGTGAACAACCTCGCCCTCGTCGCATCATCGCCATACCCTCAAAATGCGATCATGGGCCTTGTCCGAAGCATTGCGATTGTGGTGCTAAGCATCTCGCTGATCGTCTTCATTGCGCTGTTCGGCCGACTTCCAACTTTGCGGTAAGCGGGCGTCTCACGAAATGCATCACATTGTCAGTTGGTCTTTCTCACCAGATTATCCAGGAGAACGCCGATCGCCTTTCTGCATCGACTGCTGTGGGTGTACATTCCCAATGTCCTGGGCCATGTTGACGAACGCCTGACTGGCCGGCGCATTACGCGCAGTCTGGCCCGGACTGGGGATTATCTGATGAATGAGAAACACCCGCTTGTGCTTGTATGCCAAATCAGCCGCCCCCTCCCAAGTGTGACTGACGTCTTTCTTACATATGTGACACCTTCTACTCCAGATCTTCTTCGTCGGTCTACAACTCATTGGCGAGACCTTGTTCATTCCCGCAGCATGGGACCGGCTCTCGTTTGCGCAGATCGCGCCGCTTCCCCCGCTGATCATTGCGCCGCTATGGTTCCTTTACCTCTGCAACACGACGGACTCGAACATCACGCCCCAGAACCACCGGTCCGCCATGCTCGCTTATCCGTATGACTATGCGTTGTTCCACCCCGGGTACTTCTGCTCGACGTGCCGGTTCGCCAAACCCCCACGTAGCAAGCACTGCTCGATCTGCAAGGCGTGCGTGCAGAAGCAGGACCACCACTGCATCTGGATCAACAACTGCGTCGGCCGGGCCAACTACCTGTGGTTCAACGCCCTGCTGGTGAGCATTGCCGCGCTGCTCGTCTACGGCAGCCATCTGGGCCACGGCCTGCTGGACGCGCGGCTGCAGGACCGGCTTGTCCCGCCCGCGCTCACGAGGGGCAGTCTCACGAGCAAGAGGTGGAGCACGCGTCTGTCGTGGAACGAATATGCGCATGCCTGGGCGTGGGCCATCGCCGTGGAGTGGCGCATCGGGGCAGTCGTCATGTTGAGTCTCATGTGTGTTCCCCTGGCGTTCGGGTTTCTGGCGTATCATCTGTACTTGGTCTGGGCCGGGATGACGACCAACGAGTCGTCCAAGTGGAGCGATTGGAAGGAGGATATCAATGACGGCGTGGTCTACCGGGCGGAGATGAAGGCGCTGAGGGAGACGTTCCCGCCCTTGCCGGAGGATGTGCAGCCGCGCGATGAGGACGTCAAGTGGCCCCGGGGCGTGCGAGCGCGGTGGTGGCTTGTGCGTACGAGGGATGGGGAGAGGCCGAAGAAGAGGAGGAAGCCCAAGCGGGATGGTAGGGTAAACACCCCTGGAAACGACGTGGATGAGCGCGAGGACCTCGGGCAGGAGCAGGAGCAGGAGAATGAAGAGGAGCCGGATGGGAGATGGGAGAAGGTGACCAGCATTGCGCAGGTGGAAAACCTCTATGACTTGGGGTTCTGGGATAATTTGCTCGATGGCCTGTTCAATCGCGGTTGAGCTACTGTACCGGACTTCTGTCTGCAGGAGTGACCAAAAACGCGTGTCCTCTCTTTGCCGGAGCTGGTAAGAGGGCTATGACGCGTGGGCACTGGTTATACAATAGATGTGATTTCAGCGTGAGCGGGAGGGAGAGCATCTCAAGATGCAATTACTACTGCCCTTCACCAAGATTTCTTCGACGCAATAGGAGACCGTGAGGGCATGATGATGTACTAGAGCAATAATACTTACTATGAGGTGTCCAAGTCGAAGTACCCTCCACGATTACAGCCTCGCTGCCGTAGGATAGCACCAACGTGTTACTCACAACATACAAGCATTATGGTACCGCCTAGACTCTGCATATGGTCCGACTGCAATCTCCATCGTACATCACGACGCGTGCGAGTGATGTTCCTTGTTACAAATCACGGACATGCGCTCCAGTCGATACAATCTGCAGTCCAGAAGGCCCTATCCGGATTCTGAAATACCTTCCCTTCGACCACTTCCTTGTCGCATTGCGCATCAGACGGCCCGGTCATCGCGTTGCACCGTCCGCCAGGGTTGCTGTCAGGTTGCAGCCCGGCCCAGAACCATGACACTCCGTCATGAACAGTATGTCGTTGACGCCAGTATCAGACGCGCACCACCCAGCGACGCGTTCAGCTCCGCCGCCGCCGCCGTCAGAACTGCGGTGCCTGCATTGTCTCCAGTGCCGGCCATAACATGCCACAGGACTTCAATGCTATCCACCGCCAGATCATCAGGGGCAGATTTGGCGTGAAAGGGTGATTTGAGATTATTCTCACCCTTGATCCACACAGCACCGGACTCGGGAAGGAATTGACCTTCCTCGTGTTCAAACATTGAAGACAACGAGAGGAACGGTTTTCCACCTCTACAGCCTGACGAGTCCCGAGTGTCGAGCGCAATAGTGTGAACGCTAGTGTGGAGTAGATTGTGACAAGCTTGAAGATACGATACGGCGGAGTAGGCGGCCACTTACCGTCTGCGGCGAACTTGCACTCGCGGAAATCTTTTGGATCATTCACTTCCGTCCTGTTTGCATTGCAAAGCCGTCAACCTGCTCCTTTACTTCAACTTTCGCATCCGCTGTCGCATCTCTCACCAGGCCGGTCGCATTCCGTCAGCGGTACGATTCCAACCGAGCGGACACCCTCGCCGGTATCCCACAACTCTGCCAAGTCTGCGCTACCTCCAAGCGCGGCAGTGACATCCTTCTCGAGAGCATCTATACGCGCCTCAAACTCCGGCTTCCTCCACAATGGATCACTCACGAGATCCGTGTCCATGGGTGGCGCTTTCAGATTTTGGCGGAGCGTTCTGTATGGGCGCTTTAGGAGGTATACGGAGTCGCAGTCCCTTTTGACAGATATCTCTAACAATGGCCCAGGCACATTATGGCACGGCATTAAGGGATTCCGAAATTCACCATATGGCGAACGACGGATAGGCATGATCACAGCGATCAAAGCCCGCGCGCCTGTGACGGGAGGCAACTTCGGCGTATGGGGAGGCATGTTCAGCACATATGACTGCGCAGTCAAGGGCATCCGCAAGAAGGAAGATCCTTACAACTCCATCATTGCAGGTTTTCTGACAGGAGGCTCGCTGGCGATAAGAGGAGGCTACAAGGCGGCGAGAAACGGTGCCATCATGTGTGCCATCTTCCTTGCTGTCATTGAGGGTGTTGGTATTGGCATTCAGCGGCTGATGGCGGAGAACACGAGACTCGACGTAAGTGTGAAGCCCATCTAAAATGTGGTCGACCGGATATACTAATACTGTACAGCTGCCTCCTCCACAACCACCTTCCGAAGCTGGTCGGGTACCAGCGTGACTCGTGGAAATGGCGACAGTTCCGCATTTTATTTGAAGCAGTTATTTCAACTTTACCTAGCAGCGCTCGCTTCTCGGTTCTCTACTCTTCTCTCGCGAGGATGGCAAGCCTCTTGGCTGTCAAATGACTTCCTCATAAATGCATAGCGGGGCCACAGGCGCAGACAGTCAGGCGGGAAAGCTCCATGATGTGAGACGAGTTGACCGAGTGGACATGCCGATGGTCGCCATGTGCCCGGCTGGCCAGCAGATGCCTCCACATTGGCTGGTTTGGTGGAAGTCGCTGAGTTGGCGCTTGACTGCCCGACTCGACGGTGTAATATAATAAGTGTACAATGAAGGGAGCATGGATAGATCAGTCTTCAACTCAATGAACCATTTGATGTGTGTCAATAATGTAATGTAGAAATCAAGGCGCAGTCACGGAGCTGCGAGGCTGTGAAAAGCGAGCAACTGCCTCATTCATCTTCCATGTCGTATACTACCAACTTCTGAATGTTCCAGCAATACCGACTCTTTTCACCTAGACTTACAGATTTCTCTTAGTTACTCTAAGATTGTCTCCGGCGGTATCTGTCATGCATCATGGGAAAAATGCCTCTAAAACTGCGGGCCTGGACGATGCAGCAAGAGACACCCTCGACAAACAGGCACGCGTGAAGACCGCTGATCTAGGCTTCCATGCGCCAGACTACATCCTAGACGATATCATCCCGGTCACAGACCCCAAACTCATCTACAGCAATATTCATGCCCAGCGCGACCGCCGTCTTCGCTTACTTATACGCCGGTACACGAACCAAATCCAGTACGGCTGTCGCAATGTTAACTGCGCAACTCCGACCTGCTTGAGCTACCGGAGGAGAAACAGTACAGCGCCGTTGAGGCAATACACCGAGCTGAGCGCAAGAACATTGGCGTGTCAGTTGGTAGAAGAGTATGGTCGAAGTGGCAAGGACACAGCATTGGGACTCTGCCCAAATGAGCCTGTCGTGCCGTGGTACGAGGATCCCACACATGCTAAGAGGAGGAACAGTCACGAAAAGCTATCACCACAGAGACAAGAGAATGGCCATCTCCCAAGGCGGGCGAGCCGCATGCCGCATACAAGAGACTCTTCCAGGCAATCGCCGGTCAATGACCATGGACCACGAAGACACGGTCCCGATGGTGTGGTTGAAGCAGGGAGGCGCATTCGCAAACTGGATTCTACCATTGCGGAAGGACTTCCTGAGGTTGCTAACCTCTTGAATACAACTGTTCTACGACCGAACCCGGACAACAAAGAAGCCAGAAGCGAGGACCTTACCCGTGACCTGTCTCATTCAACTTCGACTCCCACGAAGCCGAAGGATCTGGCTTCCTTTACACAGACACTATTTGATCTAGTCCCACTGCGTATCCTCAACTGGCTGCCTGTTAGGACTGGCAGCAGTACTGGAGATGACGCGGTATCCGCCGCTGGTGCCACCCATCAAGAGCAGACTCCTGCTGATGCCACCCAAGATAGTGGCACAAGATCCGAACAACGTACCACCGAAACAGTAACAGATGGGACAAGCGATCAATATCATGACGCGCCAGCAGTCCGCCAGGAATCCACGTACTCGCTCAAGACATTAACATGGCAAAACGTGACGTGGCTGCTGTCGAAGGACCGAAAAGAAGATCCTGGTTACTATGGGCGATTTACCCCGTTTATTAAACAGAGCTTCGCATATTGTCTCAGTGATCCTGAAAGGCTGTGTAAGTCAGTCAAAGATATTCAGGAGAGTGTCAGGTCTGGCGCATACAAGCCGCAGGAGAAGTGTGACCCAGCCACCAGAGCACAATGCAGCCATGGTCAGCACGTCCCCTCTGTCTTGCCGACCTATTCGGTCGCTACAACAACACCGGGCGACATGCGAGCGCTATTGTACGGACTCTCCACTCTTCAAACCTTCAACGAACGAGATCTTCTCATGACCAGCGTTCTGGAAGCACTACAACACTCGTACACCCTGCCGTCGTGGCTGCAGAGCTGGCAGTCTGGAAAGCGTCGTCGTTCGTGCAGCGCAAGTGGCGAGAAGGCGTTGACGAAGAGACAACGACCATCTGACGACGCGAACGCTTGCGCCGCTCATCCCTCAAACGTCGTGGGATCCGACTTGCTGCTCGAGAATCATCTACCTGCAATTCACCTGGAAGACCCCCAGGTGACCGAGCTCTGTCTTGTGGCACTACTGTTCCTCGCAACCACCATTTTTAATCCTAGAATACCTGCGTCGTCAAAAGCCGCTCGCTGGCTAGACAAGCAAGATTTCATCAGCTTCAGGGATGAGAGAAACCTTGGGCTCGCTCATGCGTCTTTCCGGAGGCACTTACAATTCCAGAACCTCGCAACCTTGCGCGAAGTGATCGAGGCTATTGATGTGTCCGAGGACTGGTCCGTACATCGGCTGCTTTTAGGCTTGATGGATGTGATCAGCCATCGACTGACAATTACCAAATGGGCAAAGACGTTGAAGGCCTCGAAAGGCGCGAAGTCGAAGCAATCAACCATCGTCGAATCAATTGTCGCTCGATTTGACCGCAACTTGCTTTCCCAGGGTGAGGCCGATAAATCCAGCTGGCTCGGCACAGCGGCCGTCGAGCTGGTGAGAACCGTAATGCTCACAGATTGGGATCGTTCTGCCATCATCCAGCGAGGTGGACCTGTAGGTGGTGCACTGGAGCTGCTTGCAGAAATATACCGCCAGAGGCAAGACTTGGAACTGCATCACGGTCTCTTCTGGATGCCCTTCATTGCAGATGCCTTTGATGACATGTCTATGCCTTCGGAGTGGCTGTCTTTTCGAGCCGACAACCGTCGAACGCATCTCCTCTCCTTCTCCTTTCTCTTCCGGCCCGAGGTCCTGGTGAAATACTTCCGGGCAATGAACATCGCCATTATGAAGAAGGCCCATGAGGATGCGATTGTCGTTTTCAACGATACAAGGCAATACATTTGGGCAACGCCAGCAATCCCAATCCACGGCGCGAAAGAGGTGTTGGCTCATCTCAGACCTCATATGGCCAGATACTTTGTGCTGACAATCCGGAGAGATGATATTTTGAATGACGCCATCAATCAGATCTGGCGCCGTCAACGGCAGGAGATAATGCGACCCCTGCGGGTGCGTATCGGCAAGGACGAGGGTGAAGATGGCCTCGACCATGGTGGAGTCCAACAAGAATTCTTCAGACTTGTCTTTTCGGAAGCGTTTCGACCCGACTATGGCATGTTCACAGTTGATGACATGACTAGAATGGCCTGGCTTCAGCCAGGTTCACTGGAACCGCTCTACCGATTCGAAGCGTTGGGCATATTGATGTCACTGGCTATCTACAACGGCATTACAATTCCTATCACCATGCCGCTTGCTTTCTACCGCAAGCTTCTCGGGCTCAAGGTCAAGAAGCTTGACCATATCGCAGATGGCTGGCCTGAACTGGTGAGAGGCTTGAGGACAATGTTGGGATGGGCCGATGGTGACGTCGGTGACGTGATCGCCAGGACTTATGAGTTCAGCTATGAGTTCTGTGGCAGCACCGTCACCGTCGACATGCAAAAGTTTGGTCGAGATGATCCATGGCCACCGACAAAGCTGCGGACGAGTAAAAGGGGCAAGGAGAAATCGAAATCCGCATCTTTTGAAATACCTCTGGATTCGGCGTTGACGCCGCCATCTCACACGTCGCCCAACTCGAGTCCTACGATCTCGACCGCTCCGATCCTGAGCCGAACCTCCTCCGTTGAGCTCAGGGGCATTTCGACCCCTCAGAGTATCGACAGTGATGCGCTGGAGACCCCACAAGTCGAAGAAGCGGCTCTCGTCACCAATATGAACCGCGCGCAATATGTCAAGGATTACATCCACTGGCTCACGCACAAATCCGTTGAACCGCAATATGAGGCGTTCGCCCGCGGCTTCTACACCTGTCTCGACCGCACCGCCCTTTCAATCTTCACGCCTGAAGCCCTCAAAGTGCTGGTCGAAGGCTATGCCGATATCGACATTGACGAGCTTCAACACACGGCCACTTACGACGAATACGCGGCCACTGATCCCACCATTCTCGATTTCTGGAGCGTGGTTCGCAACATGTCACCAGAACAACACAAACAACTACTCGAGTTTGTGACGGCGAGCGACCGTGTCCCTGTCAATGGGATGAAGAGTGTCACCTTCATTATCCAGAAGAACGGCGAGGAGGATACGAGGCTGCCTAGTTCTAGTACCTGCTATGGTAGGCTTTTGTTACCGCAGTACTCGAACAAGAAGACTCTCGAGGAGAAGCTCACCAAGGCGATTGAGAATTCGGCGGGGTTTGGGACCTTGTGATCTCGACGTCTCCGCCACGGTTGCTCGCATGGCGAACGCGATACGAGATAGGGTGGGAAATCGAGGTATAGATGCAGGGGCTAAAGCGAAGAGAATTGAAACGGCGCAAAACAGACGTGCGGGTTTGGCAGTAACATTCTTACCACCGTGATTGTCGTGGTGGAGACGGAGGAGTATCAGTCTCATCCAGAACTTGGGTCTTACGAATGATGATTACGTGTGACGCACGCCTTATTGAGGACTTGTCTTTTCACGCCTCGACCGCATCACGTGCAACATCTTTCGTCCCATCCCGAGCACCATGGCTGATCAGCTACGGTCCATCTCAGGGATAGGCTGGTCAATGAGCATGGCGTTCTCATCGGCTTCCCGCTTGAGTGGTCCTGTTCCCGTGGCGTTTCCGTAAATCGTAGGACCTTCGACCACGCCATCCATGTCCATGTCCATGTTCATGTCCATCTCGACATCGCCATCGACGGTGTCCCCCCGATGCTGACCTTGATTCTCGGAGGCGAAGAATTCCCGCTCCGCCTCGTCCCCCTCGAGCAACCAGATTTTCACGTCGCGGTCCTTGCCACCACTGACCAGTAGCCCCTTTCCTTCCTTCGTCCTCCCGAAATCGATCCCCAAGACGACATCCCTGTGCGCGACCTTTTCACGCCAGAGGATATCCTTGGTGGTGACGTCCCAGGCGACGATCTCCCCATCTTCACTCCCACTGGCCACAAAGGCCTCGAGTCTTCTTTCGCGACTGGCGCTCTCGTATGAGTGGCTATAGCTCCCGACGGCGCCGGAGAGGCTGTACCGCGCATTCACGTGGCCCTGGTACGTCTTGACGCAGCGGCCCTCGACGTAATTCCACAACCTCACGCAATTGTCCAACGTCCACGCGCAGAGAAATTTGCCGTTGGGCGAGAACTTGACGCTCGTGACGGGCTTGCGGTCCTCATCGACGAGCGTGCGCAGACACTGGCCCGTCGAGGCGTCCCAGATGCGGATCAGCCCGTCGCCGGCGCACGAGGCCACCATCGTCCCATCGCGCAGGAAGTCCACGCCGCCCACGGGGTCCGAGTGCGCGGGCAGACTGCGCATCACGCGGCCCGAGCGCACGTCCCACAGGAAGACGGCCTCGTCGAAGGACCCGCTCACGAGCATGTTCCCCTTGGGGCTGAAGCAGAGGGAGTACACGTAGTTGCTGTGCCCCGTGAGTGGGGACGGGGCGATCGGGAAATCCGACCCCAGGGGGGACCAGAGGAGGATCGATTTGTCGTCGGACGCAGAGGCCAGCGTGTAGGGCGGTCCGACGGGCGACCAGGCTATCGCGTTCACGCCGGCCAGGTGGGCGCGCAGCGTGCGGATGTGTTTGAAATGTGATTGCGGTACCGGGTTGGCGGGGACGGAATAGATGTTGATGGTGTTGTCGGCGGACGAGGTCGCCAGAAGGGTCATGTCGGGCGAGAATTTCAGGCATGTTATCCCTCGGGCGTGGGCGCGGGGGAGGGTGACGAGGGGCGTGAACTTCAGGGCTTTGGGTTTCAAGGACGGAGGAGGGACCAGTGGCGGAGACGGGGACTGGGACTGTCGTGGCGAGTATGTGTCTGATCTTCTTGATCTTGACCTTGACCTTGATCTCGTCCGTGATCGCGATCGTGATTGGGTTTGTGATCTTGATCTCGACCGTCGCGATCGCTGTTGGTGTTCGGGTGCGGAATCGTAGGTCGAACTGCCTGTTGGACTTCTGCTCTGGCGTCTTCTGCGTGGGGAGCGGCTTCGGCTCCGGCTTCGTGATCTGTCCCTACGGGGTGTATCAATGCGGCTGTTTTCTGGACTCCTACTTCTTGAGGTCGAGTAGCTTCGTCCTCGATTCATGTCGCGTGCTGGGCGCGTGGATTCTTGATGGCGCGACGAGGGAGCGGGGGTGCGTGGATTGGCGGCAGATTGGCGCGACGAGGAGGAGTCTTGGCTTGACGTGCGGCGTCGCTTTGGCAGAGGGTACCGGACAGAGTCCATGGTGGAAGAGGATATAACGCTGTCTCATCGTCTGAGCGCGGCCGTGGGCATTCTCACGGCCTGCAACGTGGGTGCAAAACTTATACGGCGCAGCAGAAGTCAAACGTGCAGAAAGACAAGATGCTACTGTGAAGCACAAAACCGAAGTCCGTAGTAGGTACACAGTATCAGCTTTGCTCGAAGCAAAATCTCGAGGACTTGCCAAAGCACCACTGCTCAGGTACCTTTGGCGAGCTGATGGACGATTCGCCGCTCATTGTTGTTTTTGTAACACCTCACATCAATCCTGCTTCAAGATTGAAGGCAAATACGCCAAGGCCGCGACCATTGGATGGCTGACTGCGTGCAGTCTCACCATCGATCGAAGTACCGATACCGTCATGCCTGGATTCCATGCCCGAGGCGAGGTTACAAGTGATTTGCCGTCTACATGGCCTCAACCTTCTCATCCGCGGCGCCTGCCTGACGGTCTTCGGTTCCCGGTGTCTCCGGGGGAGATCAGTTCTCGTCCCTGAGAGCACGAACCTTGTTCTCAAGGTAATCTATGATTTTCTGAGGAGCTTCGGCAGAGTCAAATATTTTATCGATATCCAAACTGTTGAATTCCTGGTCATCTATCGGCTCCAAGCCGAGATACTCTGCCGTGGTCATCAGACTGCTGATACTGGAGGCAATCCTATGTACATCGCCCCAACTGGTGGACCCTGGCAATGCATTAGCATACAAGTAAGTTTAAGAGTCGCTACCAATCGTTACCTTCGATAACTTCGCGAATTTCCTCGAATCTGGAGTAATAAGTATTGGCTGCCTGATGGAAGTCTGTCTCGACCTCCTGAGCTTCGACAGTCAACGCTGAATAGTCTGGGTACGTCAGGTGGATGAGGTTCTGCTTTAACGGCTCTACCACGTTCTGTCTGAACCCCTTTTCCAGGGATAGCAGGCGTCTTCAAAGGTCCACTGCATGCCTGTCAGGAAAACTCTTCGACAGGAACACAAGCAAAACTTACTGTCAATTTGGCTGATCCGGTCATGGGAGCAGATCAGACGCTTGAAGGGAATTGATATCGGCACTTTGTCCCAGTAGTCATAGTACGGGGCAGCCATTAACACGTCCACCGCAAGGCGCCTTTCGATGGTCACTTGCAGGCGTGCCAGACACATGTCGAGCGTAGGGCATCGCCATCAAACGCAATACGTCGTGAGCCTCTCAATCGAGAGAACCAGCTTTGACGACGTTGGCGACGTGCAAGCTCGAGTATGATTAGTCGAGCCTTGTGTATGATGGCACGAAAAGCATGGTGGCAGTTCCTTAGGGTTATAGGGTCACCAGGACCGGAGATATCTACTCCCCCTTCTTGATGGTTCGGAAGGTCTGTATCTGGTGTGTCAGCATTCTCGCCCCTATAAAAATGTCCGCTCTTTGGAAGATACGCAGTGTCGCCGAACATCTTGCCTCGGAGCCGTATCCAGGACAATCTTGTGGTTGTTGATAACACCAGTCGAGACGAACAAGAGCACCATGGTACTTAGCACCTTTTAAGGGCGCCGGGTAGACGCAACCTCGTTTGCTCGGTCTCCGCAACCCTCCGCTCGTGACGAGGCGTAAGCGGCGGCATGCGTTGGCAGGTGTCCTGCATGTACCGATCAGAGCATGCTCTCCGCAGATAGCTCTTTCCAGCCTGAAAGTCTGCGGTGCGTACACGAGTAGCTGATGAAGACGCTCTTGCAATGCCAGCAAGGATGATTGTTGCATGTTGTTATGACGAATGGCTTCACCTCCAGTCGAGCCTGGCTGGCTGCCGCCAGACAACAAGGCTGGAGCGACTGAGGCCGGAGCGATCAGGGAAGGCATGACCTACAAGCTCAGTTCTTCCACTACACCTACGCAACTCGCTACGACGAGATACATTTCCGGGCATCACAGACCTCGACGGCGGACCCTACAACTCCCGCTACTGCACGCTGGCGGCACCTCCTCCACTCATCCCGTTGGATCCTATCCGCCAAACTCTAAATCGATTCCTGCCCAAACGGCTTCCATATACCAGGGTTGAAATGGAAGCTAATTAACTTCGACGACTTCCTTGCGGGCAAACCTCCATCGACCATCTCGCCGGTCGTGGATAAAGTGACTCGCCTTATCGTTGCCTTTACTGGTGGGGCTTCGCTCGTGGTCCCGATGCTCATCATGAGCCTGCCGTCCACAAGCCAGACGAAGAGCCTCATCACCGTATCGGTGGCCGTGACACTTTTCGCCCTGTTGCTCTTCATGGGTGTCCGGACCAACAACTCGAACACACTGGTCGCGACAGCTACTCATGCCGCAGTGTTGGTTGTGTTCGTTAGGACGAGTTCTTGATGGTGGGGGACATATTGACGTCTCGACGTCTGTGCAAACTTTGACTCCTTTTGGCTGGATGAGGTTCAGCCCAAGTGTAGATGAACTGAGCAGGTGAACAGTTGTCGTCTATGCCTTAGGTATCTCTGTCTTCACCTCAAGATCCCATACCCTCAAGACATAGATTCCAGCAAGAACAGCAGTGGCGTCGAGCTGTGATTCATGTACACAGGCGTTGAGCTAGCCATTGCGGCCTTGCAGCGTAAGTCACTATTTCGGACTCCATTGTCCCACAGACGAGAGGTGTTACTGTCAGTGCAGGATGAACGTTGTTGTCAATGATGACTTGATCATTCCACTTCGACTCATTCGAGCTTTGGACCTTCAGTCTATGTGGTCAAATGCGTCAAACTCAATGTCCGATACGATTCCAGTAACCCTCATCACCATGTGCCCATGCGGATCTCGTTCGCCGACTTTCTGCCCCACAAACTGCCATCATTGCTCACTTCACCATATGTCACGCGAGCCAAGCCATCCACCACGATCATGGTTCGCTCCTCAATTCCACATCACTCCCTCTGTCTCATCAACACCCAAACCACTACGGTAACGACCATCATCGCGGCGCTGACCACGAACCCAATCCACCCGACCGCCAAACAATACGCCACAACACTGAGGCTCAAAAACACAAAAGCAAGACACTGCAACAACATCAACCACATGCCTCCCAGGCCCAGCACGACAATGCCAAACACCACACTTCTTTCCCCAGCCGTGCGAGTCCCGGCCCCGCCTCTCCAATGCTTGTACCCGCGCGCGAAAGCATCACCCACGTGGCGCCGATGAAATACTAGGCCTATGGAGACGAGCGTCGCCAAGGCGAGGGAGAGAGTGAAGAATAACCAGGCCAACGCGATGAAGGTCTGGATTTCTGAAAAGTAGCGGTGCGCGGAGCCGAAGATGCCGACTGTTGAGGTGAAGGTTATGAGGGAGCCGAAGGTGGAGAGGAGGAATGTCGCCGGGAGGAGAGCGTCGAGGAAGCTAGGGCGGGGGATTAGTTTCAAGAGAGCGGCAGGAAGGTCGACGGATGGAAATGCCACAGGCAGAAAGTTCAATGACGGGGATGTGAAACGCAAGAATGTGGAGTGAATGCAATGTAAAGAAAGACTCACCGGAGAGCAGGGGGGTCAGCAGGATCGGTAGCCATTGCCATTTCGAATTGCTGCATGAGGTACTCGAATGTCGAATCGAAGCGTCTCCTGATACCTATCTTCCGTGTTGAGAAGAAACGGTTTGTTCGTGTTCTCTCAGACGCAGTCCCAGATTTTTCCAATAGTTGGGACCCCGTCACCGGGACTTCACTCGAGCAACCCGGGTAGTTATTCACAGACACAGTGTCGATACGACAGCCTCTGCCACCAAGGCAGTCAACCAAATAGGCACTCAAGTAGATACCGTGCTGAGGGTACAGTATATAACAGCCCGCGCACCACTTACCATAGCCTTTGCCTTTTCCTCTGCCTGTCCGCCCGCCTGTTCGCTCTGCCAAGATATCACGACCTCTGCTGAACGCCCTGCTCCGCCCTCTGGCTGCCTTTTGATGAAGTGGGCGTACGCTCCCGCGCGGCTCACCGAACGACCTCTCTGCGAACCTCGGGCAACCAACACCCTTCGATCAGTTCGAGCAGATGCAGACACCAAATGCAATGGAAAAGCAAAGTACACTGTGCCAGCAGTATGAGTCGAGCAGGTACTGAGTACTCGGCATGATGCCGCCGAAACCTCCCATCCGGGCATCAAGTACCTCACCTACCTAGCTCTTGTGTACGTCGTAGTACGTACTCACACACACATACACACACACGGCGCGTGACCGACCTGGGCCCATGCAGGTCTGCCTGCCAATATGCCCGCGTGCCTGCGTGCCTGAATGCCACGCGGCCGTTTCAAGAAACGTCCGAGAAAAAACAGGTTTCATGATTGAAGAAGACCCGTGCTCTCGGCGAGCAAGGACAGGGACGGGAACGGGGACGGGGACGCCCTAATCCATCTGGGGGACTATCATGTGATGCGCATACTGTACGAGTGCATGGATGCTTGGCTGCCATGGATGCCACGTTGACGCATGTTTCGGGATATCAAATCAAATCAGGACACCAAGGATGTGTTTTGAATTTCGGGTGCTTCAATGTGGGGGAAGTTCGTTTGGGGGGGCCGAAAATTCCGCGGGCAGTCTGCGACGGGGAGCGTCGTCTTGTGTGGATGTAGCCAGGAAAGTCCGAGTGTACGATCTGAAGAAAAGGAAAGCATGAGCGCAAGGAAACATGGAGTGAGTCGCATCGAGTTGACTAGGTAGTTCGATTCAATGCAAGCTAAGCTGTCCTGCGTCAGGGTTGAATCGTACGTACGAAGCATGCTAACTTGCTCCAAACACTTTGTCGTACTTTGGTCCTGTTGGGGCTGTGGTACTCGTACGAGGCAATGCCCAAAAGTATGTTCTTTCACCAATCAGACCCTGTACGTGGATAAACCCTAATTTCAGCCAATCAGGTCGCACGGATTGCATCAGCCTTACGCAGCCTCGCGATAGCTGGCATGATGTAAAACCGGCTTTTATCACTTAATATCACTCTCCCTCTTACCACTCACTCGTAATTATGCCTCGCCGTGGCCGGCAAACACCATTGTAACTTCGCATTGCTATTATTACTCTTCGATTCTTTTTGCCTGATCTCGAGTTCACCCAAATCGCTAACAAACTTAATCTGCAGCCTAGAACTTGTTAGAAGATCTGGCAAAATGCAGTCGACCGCGCATCGAACCCCCACAACTTCCAAGACCTCCTCGCCTGCGCTGGCGCCCTCGATCGTCCTGGCCGACCACATACTATAGAAGAAGGCTCCGAATAGTCATCTCAAATACGTCAGATCATCCTTAACCACGACCAATCCAGCTAGCTGAAGTCGCTCATATTTGGCAGGCTTACACCGGGGTTAAACTGAGTCGTTCGATTATCGAGCGAGTCGCAAAAGAATATCGCGATCCCGAATGTCCCTAGTCAATTATCCGCGTAGTCCAACCTCTTATCCCTGCCCTCTCTGTAAATCATATGGAAAACCGCCTTCTCTTCGCTATCTGGGCTCTTCGGAAGCTTCGCGCTGGCGCACTCTTCATTTTCACTGATGAAACACTTATAGAGGTCGGTGGTGACCCTCTGTTAGGAACAGCCTATAGCGATAGGCAGAGAGTAATAGTGGTGGGATTCAATGATATTAGGTGTCCCTAGACCTCTAGGTCAAACAGGACTCAAAGCATGAAAGGAGGGTAAGACTCTCATGCGAGCTGCATGAGAGATGAAGGCGTCCTCTTGGCAGGCTTAGTAAGCTCTGGTCGCCATTCCTGACACCCTCGAAAGAAGCCTAAAATAAGTCGGCTAAGAGGATAAATAGGTGAACGATGGGAAAGAGCAAAACCCCGTCACCGAGTTTAATTCAACTTTATGATTTAGTGCGTAGTCTGTCTTGGTTAGGATGGGCCCTTTCCGATTAAGTTCTGGTCAGCTGAAACTGAGGCAGAGAAACAATCAGCTTAAGAAGTCCTAGATAAAGAGAACACCGAGCGTAAAGAGAAGGTCAATAATAAGAGGAAGAGAGCGACTGAACCCGGCACTTAAGAACACCGTGTTCTTTGCGATATTACTGATAAGATTAACAATGAGAACAAGCGCAGAGCTCGAGAAGGCCAGCGAGGTCGTCTCCGCCATAAAACCCTCGACAAGCTCTTCCCATATGAAGATCTCGAGCGAGGTGATCGAACAAAGAACGGCGTCGACTGGTTCCGCCATCGCGAGAACGTCTTACGAGTTCTTCTCTATCCTTTTTACTTTCAGCTGCAAGCGAAGCACTACAACAGAGAGGTCTGGATTATCGAGGACAACGCGTCCCCACACACCAAAGCAGCAGAGTATGAGATGGAATACCGTAAGAGAATGGGTATACGAGCAGTATAAACTGGTGGTAGGCCTTCTTGGCCCTCACATTCGCCTGATCTTAATCTAATAGAGCCCTGTTAGTCGGACCTCAAAGATAAAGCGCACCCGCGGTTTCATACCCTCTATGGACAGTCAAAGCAGGTGGTACAACAGGCGCACAGCATCGTGGTAGAGGAATGGAGAACAGCGAAGATCAGAGAGGCAGTTGTTAAACACTGTAAAGAGTTCCCAGTGCGTCTGTTGCGAACCCTTTCGCAACAGGGCAACAACACCTTCCTAGGCTGACAACGAGGTCGCCAACGTATACAGACATGACATAGCTGAAAGGACCAATCAGAGGGCGAGGATGGCTCTTATACATCATCTTCGTCATAATCGCCACAGCCCCAAACGCCTTACCCAAACAGGCGAAGAACATACTTTTGGGCATTGCCTCGTACGAGTAATTCGTCTTGAAACGGGGGGCACATGGAGCAATCACAGTGCACACAGTACAGTAGCAGAGGCCACCAGGGTGGTCCGAAAGTCAAAACTTCTTGCATACCTAACCAGTCGTAGGCTGCAGGCAGGCGGATCGAATGCATCAAGATACGGGGCTTTCGGTGTTCATGAGTTATGGTATGGAGTTTACTTCGTGCTGAGTACCCTACGTATGTCGATTGATGCATGAAAACTTGTGTGACGCTTTCATACAGATCGAGACCGAACTCGCACAAAGATTATACCTAGGTAGGTAATGTCTGTTATTCAATTAATGGCCCTTGATGGCCGTGGCTAAGCCTCCAGTTGCATAGCATAGTCGTAATGGTACATACATAGACGCATGTACAGTCAGGTCAGGTCGCAGATGAAAAACGTACGGGTGGCCGACATGAAAGCGGAGCGACGCATTGGTCTGCCACTCCAGACCTCTCTGCAAGATCCAAGCAACCAGAACGGTAAAACCTGCCTGGCCTTCATGGCAAACCCACTCTCGTCAAGAAGAAGAAGAAGAATCTCAAACGCCTCAGAGTCAATGAATCAATAAATCGCCCGGCCTTCATCCCACCGCCTCGTCTCCAAACTTGACCTGTCCTCGTGCTTCACCAGACTGGCCTCACCAGGACTGCTGCTCCCCTTGATCAAACCGCCGGATCTCCTCCCTTCCAGTCCCGGCGCCAGATCCACAGGCCCAATCCACTCCCACACACGACTGACTTCGCCGGTCTTGCCGCCTTCCCGATTGCCAGCTCTCACATTCGAGTTCCCTTCGACAATCCTCCGCACGCTTCGCCAGACGCGCTCGCGTTCCGAAGCACTGAACACGCTTCTGAGCACGTCATCTCGGAGCTGTCCAATACTGATGAACGGCTCGGAGGCACGCCCTTCTTGATTCAGTGCAGCTTGGGTGGCTAACCTATCCAATGTGGTGGCTACCAGACCTGGAATCCGCGCCGTGTTTTGCTTGTAAGTGATGATCTGGCTGCGACCATACGCCAATCCCGAAACAAGCAGGATCAGAATTGCAATAGGGATTCGATTCTCTGCAATTGCTCGTAGTACCGATCGTCGGATGGCGCAGGTGAAGGGGAGTCTTGCAAGCGACGAGGAGGAGAGGAGCTGTCTTCCAGATCTGTAGATGCGAGAATAGGACTTCGAGTCAGTCAGTGAATCGCTAAAGAAAGTTTTGACGGATCAAATCCAAAGCGTCAGGGAGGAGGAGAGCTTGGGGTGCAATGACCATCACGAGGAGATGGCCAAAGAAATCAACGTGCACGCCTAGGGGGTGGTAAGGGGGAGCCGCGACTGGGTCGTCAACTCTTGTCGTAAGGCTGTGGGCCGGAGTGCAAACGCGAATGTCACTAGAAACGTACCGATCCTGGGTAACCTGAACCTCATCTCTGCCCAGTATATCACCAAGGGCCCCGCGCCACAAATCCTCAAATTCCTCGTCGGTCATGCCTCTTCGCTTCATCTTTGATACTGTCTGCTTAAGGTCTTCTTCCGTTACCTCCAGCTGGGACTTTGTAGACTTGGCCACAGCTTTGACCGCCTGTGTCTCCCGCGCGACTGGGTCGGATGGGGTCGTGACTTCTTCACCACATTCGTATGAGGCTCGCCGTTCGCGGAGTTCCTCGATTGCTCGATCTGCGACGGCTTTGATTCTTCTTTGCTTCTCACTGTCTGGCTCACACGTGGGAGGCAGTGGCACCCCACCATTCAAGCTCAATGGATGAGACTTCAGGACAAAGTCGTTCTCACACTCCACTTCCATGTTCGGATAGCAGACGGCATGTTGCGGGCATGGTTCACAGCTCGGTTGGAGGTTTTCGTGCACCCAAGCGGGGATATGCGGATTGGACGCCAGCGACCAGTTAGGCTCGCCAACTCCACAGTAACCGACATTGATCTTCTCTTGTCGATACCATGCTCCCAGCGCAGCGAGAACCGATGTGAGGATAGCCAGAGGAGCTGTCTTTGCTATGGGCCCAGCGGGCTTCTTCTTCTTTCGTCGGACAAGAGTAGATGTCCTCCCCGGCACCAACTGGCCATTTTGCTCGGCCTCTGCAAGCTCGCGAGCAGCATCAGGAGTAAATTCTTCTGTCGTTGTGATGCCGTCTTCCGTGTCCGCAGACGTGACTCTCGAGACAGGGAAGGAAACAGCCGACCGCGAAGGGGGCGAGTCTTCTGGCTTCAGGGATGCAGACGTCGTCTGTCCGCGCTTACTGGTGGTAGTCGATGACAAGGACTTTCGGGAGCGTGACGCAGATTTGCGGCGATCTGACGCAGATGGGGGGCTCGACCAGGACTGAAACGGGTTCTCGTCTGAAAAAGGGCTGGTGCCTGCTTCGAGCGACTCCCTCTTCAGCCTGGCATCTGGTTCCTCGATCTTAACGGCCGGTTCCAGGAAAGCCTGAGTGGGCGCACTCTTTCGGGGTCTTCGAACAGTCGACTTCGCTTCCTCCGGTTCGGTATGTTCAGCATCCGATGCGCGTGGCGTCCTTGTAGTACTCCGTCTACTTGGAGTTTTAGTTCTTTTAGAGGTGGACGGGGCTCGACCAACAGACTCTTCAGCTGTGAGATCTGACTTGCTCTTCCTGCTGCGTGGTGTCCTCGGAGCTCTCGGGGGTGGCATCAACTGTCTGTCATCTTCCTCATCCCCAGATATGGTGCTTTCTTGGCTGCTGGGAACATCTGTTATGCCTTTGCTCGTGCGCCGCACTCTGGCTTGCGCCCGCAGTAGTTTCTCCCTCTTCGGTAGCAGTTCATTCTCGAGAATCTCCAACAGCTGACTTTTCTTTGCCGAAGATGGGTAATGGATGTTGTGCGCGACGAGGATAGACCGCATGCGCGGGACGGTCAGTGTATTCAGGTCGAAGCCGGCTTGCAGATAATAGAGTTCATCCTCGTCGGCCATGGTTGCGACTGCGGCCACAGGTCGCTGTGCGGGTACGATTATACGACGGCGCTCAAGAGCGGAGCAGCTGCAGCCACATGGAAAGGTGGCGAGAAGTCAGACAGGACAAACTGAATGAAGGAAAATAAAATTGCCTCCGGTAGAGCGTCAAGATCAGGATTGTAAACAATGGCGCACTGCTTGCTGAAAATAAACCAATCAGAAGTGAATCACGCAAATCATGTGACCGGCATGGCGGGAAGTAGGATGACGTACGGGGTACGAGGTACGGAGTACTCACAGTGGCGATTTGCTGGAAAGGCAGCAGCAACTACTATTGTCGAACCTCTGCGGCGCGATTGCTAGGAGGAACAGGTTGTTTCCATTGCGTCTAACTGAAGTAGACGGTGTATATTCGTGCCATCAGTCCCAAGCTCTGTGCCTCTCATGCCTCATTTAACCCTGAAATAGCCCAATAAGTGGAATTCTCAGCTAACATGTAGTCGTAATCTCTATTCATACAGTCATTCGATTGCCTTCCTTATGCTGTAAACATGTCCCAGACATGTTTGTAATGCAAGATCCGTAATATTCTACACTTCTCCCCAAGCTCCGCCGCTCGCCAGAATGCTGCCACTTCCTACACTGCCTCCAATGTCCCAATAGTTTCGACTCGAACCGCTCATCACCAGTGAGGCTTTCCGGCTGCTGCGCACACTCTCGCTGGCACAGCTGCTTGTAGGTCTCTTGCTACTCGTCCTCGACTCCCTCCGGACCCGTACGGGAGATCGTTGTGTTCGAGCAATGAGAGGATGATTTTGTCGTATGATCGCAGTTCGAGTAGCTGCGTCTTCAAGTGGCTGTCTCGAGGCTTGAGGGGATTGTGTCGAGGATCTGCTCACGAACCTATCTCTTAGATATCGGAAAACCATCTTCAGGTCAAGCTCCCGTTCCCAATATTCTCGCTCCCGCTGCAGACTTCTTGAAGAATTCAGTGGCGAGGTCGCGGAGGACGCGTCTTCCTCAAAGCCCCAGCTTTCAGCATGCGCTGGGTCTCGGACTGTTGGTGGGAAGTTGGGTGTCATTGCTGATGAAACAGTACCGTGGACCCGGGCCTCCACTGCGGACGGCACAGAGTTCTGTCGCTTGGCGTGGGCCACCAGCACCGGCATGCCTGCATAATCAGGACTTCGGGAGTAGGTGGCGAAAGCTCCTGGATGTGGCGATAGTTGGTGCACGAACACTCCCAACTCACGAGCAATGCGCTGGAGCAGCTTGTCCCTCCAAGTCGAATCTTCGACATTAGGAACCACAAGCGTCTGCTCAGGAATCGCGGATAGGGGATTGCTGGACGATGGTCTCTGCTCGAGTGCCTCCTCTGGCAAGGATTCCCCAAAGATGACCGACAGAAGTGGCTCGTCAATGCCGATAACATCGCGGATAAACCTTCTCGTAATGCGACGCCAGAATGGTTCGGCCTCCTCTGACTGTTCACCTGGTTGCGCCATATAATCGCTCTGCTTCGGTGTTGTCCCAAGCACGTCCTCATTGACAGAGGCAAGCGTGTCTTGGTACATGGACTGACGCGAGCCTCGCCTCAGCCGTCTGCGAGTCTCTCGTTCCACTTCGTCCATCAACGCTTGACTCTGTTCAATCCGCCATTTCTCTATTCGCATTCGCTTTTCTTCGCTAGCCTGGGCTTCAATCTCGTCGATGGTATCCAGCCTCCTCTGCACGCTTGATGGCCGGCGATGATGTCCGTCATGCTTTCGTTTCGGGTTGTATGCTTCGTGCTGCCATAATTGTTCAAGAACCGGTGGGCTTGAGGCCTGGAAGGATCCGAGGCCATCATGAGCTGGTAAGACAGGACCCTGAGTCTGGTTGGAGATGGTGGGGTACAGGGGAGATTCTCTGAATGCATGCAGTCCGTCGTCGAGACTGTCTAGCTCGCCGTCTTCCGTCACATCTTCATCGAAGGCGGACGATTCGACTCTGCCTGACCGTCCAGCGGTATTCAGGGAAATGTCACTTGCTCTTGATAGTCCTGCTGTTTGACCTGTCTGTGTCCTGGTGATAGTCGACTCTGCGGTGCTGGGGGAGAAAAGCACCCATTCTTGTGATTCCGAGATAGGTGTTGGTTGTAGATGTGTCTGCGATGCTGAATCTTGCGACCGGTTTGCGTTGATGGCGATTGGTCGTGGAGCCGCGGATTGTTGTTGGAATGCCATGATTCCCAACCCACGGATGTCCACAGTCGTTGCGCTACAGGTTGCACGACCCGATACAATTTCTCTAGACCGTGGTTAGGAAATGCGATAAGAAGGCTTGACTCGATGATAGATGACAAAGGCCTGCAGTCTTTGTGTCGTCAGTCTTCTTTGTCTCACTCTTCCCCATCTCGGAGATGTATACCTTGCTTAAGGTGGAGGTCCAGCTCCGACTGAGGAGAAGGGTGATCAATAAAATGCTCTTTCGGGAAATGTAGGGTCAGATGGTCGGTCAACAGGGGTAATGGAAACCCTCTGCTCGAGTATAAGGTGGCCGGTGTATTAACGGTTGTGGTTAGGGAGTGAAGAAAGGGGAGATGGTGTTGGGCACAACGAGGAAGCAGGTCGTTGGCCTGCACTTTCAGGTTAGTTGGGAGTGTGACACGTCCCAGCTACGAGTGCTGTGTAATGGTTGATAGAACAGCTGGAAGGACTCTCCGAAAAAGGACGGAGCGAGACCAGCCGCAGGTGCCAGATGACCAACGCGGCGGCCAAAGGCGCGGTGCATGACGATATGCAAGATTCCTTGTAGGTCATTCTGCTATCATAGGCCTGCCCTGCCCTCCACTCCCGGCTTAATCTTCCCATCCCTTGGGCTCGTTGGCCGAAAGATAAGAATCCGAAAGATCTCCCATCTCCCTCCCGCCTAAACGCTGAATCCCACGCCCATTTCGCTCAGGGCGTTCGTGGAGACCTTCGCTACGGACTCGGGCGGCTTTTCTGACTAACACTTCCTGATCAAATGCGCGCCTTCCTCTGATAAAACACGCGACTCTTCTTTCATCTTCTGTGACTTCCGCCACCCTCGAGGAATATTACCGCTTCCAGGCGGAGCTACTTCATCCGTGAGGCTGCGAGGTGGCTTTGGTCTCATCATGCATGACCTTAGCCAGCTGGGGCCAGGATTGAGACTTGTTGCTCAGGCACGCAATCTGGCATTTGTACGGAGTATTGGATCATGTACTCGGACTATAGTTGAGCGGCTTTGGTCACTTCCGTGGTGTCGAGCCTCAGGAAGTGGATCATTTCCCGCGTCACGACTCGTTCTCGTCAATATGATGTTAGTACTCGCATTCAGGCACGACAGTCATAAAATCGACCCGGACATATGGAATGACATTCAGTGATAGGTGAGAAATTGCTTGTTGCCTTGATTGCATCATTTTCTTCGTTTTGAAACAAGCTTTTGCACAGGAGCAACGTGAAACTTGGATTCATTTTGTCGTGGGGGACAATTGTTGTCTATGGTTATCGCAGGCACTCAATGCACTCCCAATCACCCAGTCGAAAACCATTTGCGGGCTCACGACTGTCTGCTGGGGCAGAAGAGTAGCTCGAGCGAGCAAGCACGCACTAGCACATTGTCAGATGACCATTCGCCGTGTTTGCTGCACAGTGAATTCCGGTTTGAAATCCGCTTTTCAGCCTCGCAAGTCCTCTCCGTAGCTCGCGCACCCATCCATGACATTTATGCCTCAGCAGCAACCTCACTGCCGCCCTCGTAAGCACCGGGGAATCGCTTCATGTTGTGTTCGATGCTGCCCTTGTTCCTCAAGAATTGAACGTAAGCGCCATCAATCAAAACACGACCCTCTTGCTTGAGCTTGACATATTCCTCGCGTCTGAGAGGTGTAAAACCCCAGTTCTTGCTGACGATGATCTTCTGGCGACCGGGGAACTTGTACATAGACCGCCGCAGAGCCTCGATAGCAGTGGCACGGTGGGCGTCTCGGGTTCGGACGGAGAGAAGAATTTGGCCAATGTTGACACGAGCGACGGTGCCGTTCGGCTTGCCCCATGCACCTCTCATACCAGTCTGAAGTCTATCGGCACCAGCGCAGGACAACATTTTGTTGATGCGGACGACATGGTACGGGTGGGCTCGGATACGCAGGTGGAAGCCTTCTTTGCCGGCGATCTTGACGAGATACCTAGGAGTTGTGTTAGACCAGATAATATCATCTTGAATCATCGTTAGACGTACTTGTTGGCGCAAATTCGGGCGGCCTCAAGGGCTTCAGAGCTCAGTTGTTCGTACTCATTCGAGACCATGTGCACGCAGAGAGGAAATTCGTCGACATTGGCGCGCTTTCGTCCGAGGTCGAAGATACGAATCTTGGGGTCAGGTACACCGCGGTTGAATCGAGATTTTGCTGCGAATCGTCAGCCTGTGCCGTCGTTGGCAGAACATCAAAAATGACTACGTGAAAGACAGTGCGGTCTTTCGAAGAGCGGGTGAACTCACGATAAGGCTTGTTCTTGCAGTAACGGTAGCAGCGAGCAGGTCTTCTAGCCATTGTGACGAGTTTGTGGACTGGTTTGCACTTCTTGCGAACGATAGTCCCACGGGAAGGAGTTGTAGATGCGGCGATGACCCTATGTAGAGGTTGAAATGATTTTGGATTTCAAAGCGAAATGCCAAGCAAGTGGGCGGCAATGCGCCACCTAGAGCCGCACAACTTGCCATTTTGAGTCACAACCCGGCTTCGGCAGATTTTGGAGCCGAGTTCTCCTACAGAGTGCATGGCACGCAGGCAATGTGCCTCGAGGAGACCCGTGGCCTGCCACAAGACCGAATTTACGGAGTACTTCTACAGGTACTCGTAGATAATAGCTGAGCACGCCAGAAGAATTTGCAGAACGTTCATAACGCTAGCTTGAGGATTGTTAAACTTGTAGAGTAAGCTCAGCATTTATTGCGACTATCTTCAACCCCTCCAGGTTCGGTTCCTATCGTGGTACGCAATTTCAAACCATGGGCCGGCACTTGCAAGAGCATTTCCTCTGTCTCATGCATTTCCATGATGCAATCGGCTTGCTTGAGGAATTTCATTACATGACAGGCGACAACATCTTTGCACGCATTTTGCCTCGCTCACGAAGCTGCGCCGAGGATATCAGAGTCACCAGCGTCAAGGACGGCCATGGTTGAGCAACGGTAGAGCTTGCCACAAGCTGTGCCCAGTTCAATCTAGAACGGGGAAGAGATCGTGTTAGCTGATGTCCCTCCAGAGCGCGAAAGAGCTCCTTCTCAGGGCCTTGCATGTTCTATATCACTCACGTTGTTTCCCGCAAAATGGTGGACATTTGTCTTTGAAAGCATAGAGTAGTATTCGAGCTCGCTCTTGCGGAGGGGGGGCGTGTTGCCGGCGATGATGACAAGCTTGGCCTTTCCGGACCGGAGGCACTTGAGGGTTGACTTGTAACCAAGGGAGACTGTTCGAAAGAGTTAAGACTTAGTTCGACCACGTTTGGGCTCGACGGGAACCCACCTTTACCAGACTTCATCACAAGCGCCAGGCGCGAGTTGATGCTGTCGGTTGTCTTCTTCGCTTTCTTTGGTGCCATCGTTGCGCTCTACTGGTTCTGGGAGTAGAATGATTGAAGGGTGCGCTCCGGCAAGTTGATGTTTGAAGGGTTTACTGTGAGGTGAAATTTGGTCGTGTAGCGCAAATCAAAATGCGAAAATCGCAGTGCAGGTGATGTGGCCTTGGCAGAATGGTCGACCAAACAGCTCCAAGTGCAGTCCGGCTGACCACTGTGCCATCCTCTCCCCATGCCGCAAGCAGGGGGCATGTGGGCCTTGTTTTCCTGCGTGCCAGTGCCTCACAAGCAAGGACTCGAGGCTCCGCTGATGCTCCTGCTTGTTTACTGCACGAGACTGGCTTGCGCCCGAACAACCATTAATGTTGCACTCGAATTTGCCATAGCTGATGAGTTTGCCAGCTTCTCAGCAATATCCCGCATCTGTTTCCCAAAACATGACCCATCAGACCTGTTCAAGCTGAACACCGACGAGGCGCAGGCTCGCTCTCCCACCAATACCCACGTCGATTCCAATCTCCAGCCAATACCATCCACATACTGCAGACTATTTACGTAGCAGTCAACAAACCGCATCGGAACCCATCCACTCGGTGACTCGCGGTCTGACACCCTCCTTTTGGACTCCAGCGTGAGCCGGTTACTTGGTCCTATACCCAGCAACCTTCATGGCGACGCCCAACTCGAGAACTCCCCTCTCTGGGACCCCGTCTCGCCGCACCCCGAACGAGAATAGTCCCGGCAGGCCTACCTTTGCAAGTTCTGTACCCTCAAGTACTGGGACTGGCCTTGCCAGAACTCCCTCCTTGCGGCAGGCTCGCCCTTTGCGGAAAACCCCAACTCGCACGAGTATTTCCCTTGCCTCTGGCGACCACGAGTTGGAGGACGAAGAGGCCAGGTCAAAAAATTCCGAACTTGTAAAGGAGATCCAAGATCTGCGAGATCGGTTTGAAAGAGCCGAGCAAGTTTCCCAGCAGTACAAAAATCAACTGGAAGCCATGCGGCAGGATTTGGACAAAGCCTCGCAGGATCAGACAATTGCAGAGGAACGCGACTTTCAAAGCCGAACACAAGTGGACCAACTGAGGGCAGAAATCAACGACCTGAGGCGAGAGAATCGAGAGCTGGAGAGGCAGCGTGCGGAAGATGAACGGCTTTTCCAGCAGGAGCGAGACAAGCACACCATGAAGGAAGCGCAGCAACAAGCGGCGATCAACCGGCTGAACGAAGCCCTGCGCCTGAACGGCATCGAAAGATCCAACGCGAATAGAAGTGGGAGCGTGACTGAGACCCATGTCCCCAAGGAAGAGGTGGCCGCAGAAAACGCCGCACAGAGAAGCAATACTCCAAACCTCATGCCTGTCTTGCAGCAGAAGGAGGACACCATCAACGCCTTGCAAATCGACCTGGCCGAAGCACAGCTTAGGTTGGCCCAGCAGGAACATTTGCAAGACGCACGCAGGCTTGATCTGGAGAACAAGGTATCGGAGTATCAGCGATTAAATGCGAAACTTAGGGAGGAAAACGAGAGTTACGAAATGCTTCTGAGTGAGAAGACCCTCAAGGGTGAATTCATGCGTCATGATCACAATCAAGATGAAGCTCGCGGAATGAGCTCGCTCGCAGAGGAGCTTGAATCCACGGAGGAGACCGAGGACGATAATGCCAATGGCCAGACCGAGGGATACAAGAAACTCGACGCAGACAACAAGGTCTTGAAGGCGGAAGTCGAGGCCCTCCGCTTATACATCGACAAGATTATCGGGCGATTGCTGTCCCACGAAGGTTTTGAGCACATCATCCAAGACAAGGACGATCCACCACCTCCTCCCGCAAAACCCAGCGTCGAGAAGGCACTGCCTGCAATACCGGATCAGCAAGCAGCCGCTCCGGCTGCAACCATAGCCGGTGCGGCTACCGGGTTCTTGCAGCGGGCCAGGTCTGTGGTGCAGCGACCAGGGGGCAAGGCACGTCCAATGTCGTACATACACCCGACAGCAGCATCGCCGTCAGCCAATGAGAATCCGGATACAGCTCCAAGTATTCCGCTGCACCGGGGTCATCGTAGGGCGAGATCCGATCAGGCACAGACTGATGCGGCGGCCGCTGCGGTTGTGCAGCAAATGACCCGTGGCTCTCCTATGAGAACAGTTTCCGGAAGCCCCCTGAGCCCGGGCATTCGACCACTGAGCCCGCCATTACCGCAAAGCCATGGATCTTACTTCGGCGCTGCCACTTCGACAACAACACGAACGCCGTCAGCCTCCGGTAACCGTGTGAGCAGTTCCGCCAACAGTGTGATGAGCGATTCGCATAGCGATGAACAGAAATCAAACACTGACGGGAGCTCGATTGCGCCACACGTGGGTGGGGAGCGGCCGAACCCGAGCAATATACCTGGAGCGGTGATGAAACAAAACCAACTGAGACCGCTGAGATTGGTACAAGAGCAAACAGTCCCGGATGATGAAGTTACAAAGCGCACTAACAGGGGTAGTATCTTTGGATGGTTCCGCGGAAGTACTATCGAGACTCAGGATGAGTGAGGAAGCTGGGAAGAAGTTATTTTCACCGAATACCCCCTTTGAATAGCATCTGTGACTGGAGTGAAGAGCTGAATGACAGAGACTAGACCGACACCAGGCATTTTCACTCGTGCTAGTCCACTCCCGTTGCCATGAACAAGGCGAAGTAATGAAGGTTCAACGTACCTCGTCCTCTACTGCCACTGGCCGTTTGCCCTTGCTGATTGGTGCTCGTTGACGACTCGGCAGCCATTATCATGGCATTTACAACGTGACCCCGACGTGGATTGGACGGCTAATGTCGGATGCAGGAACCGGGCTGCGCGCATTGCTGGTCTAACCTACTTAGGCATCCCGCTTTCCGCTAAATTGTGAGATGCGTGAATTCTGTCGAGGGCTGTCCTTGTGCACGACGGGATTTCTTGCCTTTTAATTCGACACCACCGTCCTCTTCAGAGCCAGTGTGCAGTCCCGCTTCTACCACCCGGGCGGGCCATATGGCGGCGTGGCCAATGCGGGCTGCCAACGGCGGGGTGAGGCGTCATCTCGACTGACTTCGCGATATCGGTTTGCATCCAACTTTTCTCGAGTCACGTAACTCTGCCACATGAATCGTTCCTTTATCCGTATCACCTATAGGTTTCCTATTTCTTCCTATCCACGGCTCTTCTTATCGACTTACGCATACAAACCTCAGATCCTGATACATCTCTCCAACTGCACGGCCGTCCCTTCTCCTACAAACTCGCCCCAGGCTCAGCGACGATTATCTGCCTCATTGCGTTGCCAATTGCCAATCATGCCCTCCCAACCGATGATTCATCTCGTCCGCCACGCCCAAGGCTTCCACAACTTGGGCACCGAGTTCCACTCGCTTCCTGACCCTCGCCTCACACCGCTCGGAGAATCCCAATGCGCCAAACTCCAGGAAGAGCACTTCCCCGCCGAACGGCAACAATCCATCTCCCTTATCACCGCCTCGCCCTTGACGAGAACACTGCACACCGCCTTCCTCACCTTCAAGCCCGCACTGTCGTCCCAGGGCACCAAATGCAAACCTACAATCCTCGCAATCCCCGACGCCCAAGAGACAAGCGACTACCCCTGCGACACGGGCTCCGACGTACCTGTGCTCAAAGCATTCATCGAAGAACAGAAATGGCCCGTCGACCTCTCCCTCCTCACCGACACATGGAACGTCAAGACTTTGGAAAACCGTTATTCTCCAGCATCCGCTGCGATCAAGGCTCGCGCACGAGATTGCCGCAAGTTGCTGCGTGAAAAGGCACGGGATTTGGCCAGCAACGGCGACGAAAACGTGGAGATCGTCCTTGTCACCCACGGAGGGTACTTGCACTATCTCACCGATGACTGGGAAGACGCGGCCAAGCTCTCCGGCACAGGGTGGGATAACACCGAGTATCGCACCTACACTTTCGAGACCTCCTTCCTCTCCGACGACGATTCCCAAGCGCACCTCACGGAGACTCGAGAATCGCGCCAACGTCGAGGCATTTCGCACCCGATGCCCGATCACGAGGAACAGAAGGGGTTGTTCGACCGGGTGATGCAAGGCTGGGAAGACCAAGGATTGCAAAACCCGGCCAAATTGTCCCCTGCTGTCGCGGATGAAGAGGCCGCCGAGGAGCACGGACAGCAGCCGGCGGATCTGCAAAGGCACGTCACTCAGGCGGCAGACGAGGCCGAGAAGACGGAGATTAACACGCAAAACCAGCCTCAGAGCGTCACAGTCAGGGGTTGAGAGTGACCGTACAATGCGGAATGCGTAGTTGCGACGAACCATCCGGTCGCGAGAATAACGAGATGCTTTTCTCTCTTGACGAAACTTCTTCGATCCTTAACGCCATGTATGACGATTGGATGACTGGCGCTGTGGTATTGGCGCCTAGAGTGCCAGCTTGGACTTTATTAGGAAGGAAGAAGAGGCTGTTTGGCATTCATTCATACACGACCTCACCTGTTCTCGACAGGTGCCGACTTGCACTTTGTTGGGAAGGAATCAGGAGCTATTTGGCGCTCATAGACGGCCTCGCCACGACAGGTGAGTGACAGGTGTCGAGGCATGAAGAATGATCTACTAGAAATAAACTAGAGCTTAGAGGCACATAGAAGAATACTGGTAGACGGCGCTCAAGTCGTGTGGACACCCAGAACCAGAAACAGAAAGCGAATCAGTCGATTTGATTTCCATCTGTGCCATACCATAGACTTCGAAAAACCCTTGCGGTACAGTATGTACCCTGTTGTCGAGATTTTATGGCGAGCACACCAGAGCGTACTTTGCCTGTCAGACAGCTCTTCCATACAAGAGCCTCCTCCCAGCGCCATTCAAGTCCCCTCCATACAGGACCAGTACCTTGGGAGTGAGTGGGTACATAATGCTCAAGATTCCCTCGACGCCCCTTCCGTGCCGCCCATCCACGCGAAACCCAGTTCAGTGACTTGTTCTGCCGGCCCCGCACGGATCTCTGGCCCGCCATCGCCATCGCCAGCGATGTAACCATCACCCACATTGTGCTCGTGCTCACGCTGAGGCTCATCCCCATCCCCTTCCCGATCCTTACTTCCCCGTCTCAGCCCCGTCCGCCCAGGATGCGACCCACCGGGCAAATCGCAAAGCCGACTCTATCGCGCGACGCGGTAATTGCCCCTCGCCTGTTCTTGCTTGAACCCCTGTTCCTGGCTGGGCAAGGGTCCCCTTTTCCTCACACCGGCGCGTGGGTCGTTTGTCGTCGGCGCGGCGGCGGCAACTACCGCATTGCCCAGACCTGGGATGGAGCCTGGTGCGAGCTCGCCGCCTCGGAGACCGGGGATACCAATGCCGGTGCCTGTACCAATGCCTGTGCCTGCGCTGCCACCACTGGTCGTTCCTGGCAGAGGGAGTGGGAGGGGGAACCCTGGTGGTATCTGGACTGGGCTTCCTCCGATGCCAGGGGGTGGCGGCGGCGGCGGAAACCCAGGCGGGAGATTGAGTTTTGAAAAGTCAAGCGGTGCAGTTGAACCCCCCGCGCCGGACTGCTGTTGTTGCTGGGACATGGCCAGGAGCTGTTGGAGGCTTTGGGCGTCCATTCCAGGAAAGGGCGGCGGGATAGGCGGAGGTGGTTGATGTGCGTGGTGGCTCGACGACGACGGTCGGGCGTTGTTGTTGTTCCTCTGCAGAATGGGGAATGGTGGGAAGGACGACGCCGGGCCGTTCATTCCTACACCCATGCCTATGCCTGGCAGGCCTGATGGCATGGCCGACAAGCCTGGGAGTCCCGGGATTGATAACCCGCCAGCTTGGTCACCTATATTCGCGCCCTGGTCCTCCAACCCTTCAGCCTCGTCCTGCTCTTCCATCTCCTCCTGCTCCCTGGCCTGCTTCTTGCCGAATTTCCGGTCCCACGTGCCTTGGGCCTCGGCGCCCTCCTCGCCGAGGTGGAATTGGTCCTTGAAACATGTCGTCTGGCCCGGTTGCGCGCGGGACCAGAAGCGCGTGTAATGGTCGTTGGAGCCCGTTGCCAGGATGTGGCCCAGCGGGTGCCAGTCTAGCGACCAGATTGAGGAATCATGCGCATGGGGTATGCGATGGGCGGGATAGATTGACTGTGGGGGAGCGGAGCGTGGGTCGCTCGTGGAATATGGCGATATCGTGGCGGTAGAAATTCCCGCAGGGGTGTTAGGTTCCGTGAGCAGGTATGAATGCAACGACCCATCGTCGCCGCCTGTGCTGATTAGACTGGGATGGATGGGGTGCCACGACAGCGTCGTCACGCCTTTCTCGTGCCCGCGCAGGATTGCCACGTCGCGCATCATCCGGAGGTCGAAGATGCGGGTCTGCCCGTCTCGGCCGGACGTGGCGAGGAGTTGATCCCGTACGCGGCTGAAGACTGTCGCGGTGATGGCGTTCTTGTGGCCGTGCAGGGTGGTCAGGCTCCGCGTGGTGCGAGGATCCCACAGCCGGACACTGTGGTCTTTGCTCCCGGAGACGACCAGGCCCTTTTGAGGGTGCCAGTCACACGCTTTGACGTCCCAGCCGTGGTCTTTGAACGTGGATTCGTTGGTCGAGGAAGTAAAGTCCCAGATTTTCAGCGTGTTGTCATCCGAGGCGGTGACGAACTTGGCGTCCGAGGGCGCGAATGCAATGTCTCTGATGGGCGCGTCGTGGCCCTTGAATTGGTGCGGATTGTTCAGTGTCGGTTGGAGGTAATACACTGTGCCTTCGTCGTTGGCGGCGACGAGCCAGTCTTTTCGATTCGACCACTCGGCCGCGCGTAGAGAACTCGAGCCCATGGCGGTAACGGTCTCAAAATTAAAGGACATGCCGTTCCAGAGCATGAATTCTCCATTATGCACGCCGGCAAGCAAGCGACGGCCCTCGGGCATCCAGCGCACCACAGTGACCGGCTTCTTCGATTTGCCTAATGAGGTGTGCAAGTGACGGACGGGTATCGACTCGGCGGGTGCATCTTGTCGCGCCGGCGGCGGTAAGATGTCAATGACATAGCTCTGACTCGGCCGTTCTTGCTCGTAGTGCCATGTGCCTTTCCACGCTGGTCGCCGACTGTTCATCCACTGAACCATGGACGAGCCATAGTCCGTGATCGGTCGCGGTCTCCTGCGACGGAAAGCACCTCCGTCTTGGTCATCGTAGACATTGGCCATGATGACTGAGCTGTGCACTCATTTGAGCAAGATTCGAAAAGGTCGACCACCTGTCACTGCTGGTGGCCCAGACGGGTCAGGCTCAAATGACTCCTGGTTTAGACAAGACGCTCTGTTCAAAAGGATGTTCTCCTGCAAAGGGAAGAACAGCCGGGGCTGATGCGCTACGAGTTGGAGTCTCTGAAGTCCTAGCGAGGCGCGTGCTAGTGCTCGTGGTTACAATGAGCGGCATACATAGAATTAAAGTCCAAGCGTCGAGTCTCGCGAAGCCGAGTTACGTGATCACGTGATTCAAACAGTGCAGTGATGGCGTTGGATCTATTCGCTGCCCATGATGCAGCCAAAAGCATTTGACATTTGTGGGTAGTCTATGAACATGACATTTTTAAACTGTTGTCCGCGTTCTATATCACAGCGCGACCTTGCTAAGCTCGCCGTACTTCATCTGCCACCAGAAGAAGTATATCATTGCAGCAAGAGGTTGGCCCACGATCACGAAACTGAGCCAGAAGATACAATTGCCAGCCACTTTACCGCCGAATTTCGCAGACTTGGACAGGACTTCGGTGACTGCAATCAGCGGTAGCTGCAGGACCATTCCCAGAAACGCCACTCCAAGGATGTTGTGAGATGGTACTCCGATGGCCAGTTCATGGAGAAACCCCGAGAAGACAAACACCCAAGTACTCGCTGCCTGATGAGACCAACCCCGACCCACGAGCGGCGAGTAGATGTGTCTTCGCATGAAGTGATAGACGGGCTTGTTCCAGGTCGACCAGTACTCCTTCAGGTTGATACTATTCCACCAATCTTCATAGAAGACCCGGTCACCAAACATCATGATCTCCGCCAGGGCGTTGAGGAATGAATGAAACAAGGCAAAGAACCCAGCAAGCCAAACAATCATGGCTATGGGTGACAGTTTCATCACCCGTTCCGCGATCGAGGATATATTAAACGAGGCCATCCCGCCTAACGAGTTGCGCAAGAGTGGAACTGCATACTGAGCGCAGACAAGCCAGATGAAGACGCTCAGAGCAACGATTTCTCCAACTCGCTTGAAGACAAAGGTCCATCTGATCCGGTCTGTTCGGGGGTAGCAGGGCTGGTAGATCAGTGTAGGTGCCCACCAGAAGTAGCATAAATTTGGGAGAGTAATGTTCTTTGGGTACGGGCAGCTGGAGTAGAACTCAGGCAGGGCCGACTCGGGGCCTCCAGGGTTTAACATGGCGTGTCGTAGGTCCCTGTTCGTGAACGCATAGGAACAAGTCTTGAGCCAGACAACGATGGCGTGAAGTTCGCTAATTGCCCCCAGACCGGGATTGTGAATGCGATAGTAGACCCACCAGCTCGAGATGGAGAGAGCCAGCGTCGCGTTCAGAGTATGTGCAATAGCAATCAACCACCATGTGTTCAGGAACTCTTTCGTTTGCTTCTCCGTCTCGGGCTTTTTGTCGGCATCTGGGTCGGTCTTCTTTCGTCTCCCAATCACTCCTTTGGCATGCTCCATAGCGACTCTCTCGATAACGTAAGCGATGAAGAGGTGACATGGCGTGCAGGCGTAGAGGACCAGTGCCGTTTTGACGTCTCGGCTGCTGAGGTTCGACTTAAGCGTGATCAACAGTCCATACTTTCTGGCGTTCTCTACGACCAGCCGCAGGTTCATGACGATGATGGTCAGGACCATGAGGTTGCGGAATCCGAGGAAGCTGGGGCTTGCCGTCGTCTCGTGGCTGAGGCAGGACGGCTGCGCTTTGGAGTGCGGAGCTGCCACATGTCGATACTTGCTACGGACCTTGCGTGTCGATGGAGGAGACTTGTCGGCGGCTTGGGAGGGAACTTGGACAGGTGCTCGCACATCGTGAAGGCCCTTATCCGTGATGTCTTGAGTCTCGGTAATCAGGCTGTGCACGGCGTATGCCATGGTAAATATGGGACAGATGCTAAGATACTATCATGCAGATGCGAAGAACGAAGGTATGCTGTCGGTAGTCCTGTCGAGGGCGTAATGGATCAGCGATCAGCCATACTCAACGGGGTACAACCAATTGTCCAGCATAGAGCTATGGCAGGGAAGGAGCATGCGGGATGACATGACGGAAAGCATGAATCCTATCTTCAAGGGGCTGCAACGACGTAGGACCCTTCCTCTGCTCTGGGCTTTCGTCCGGATGGCAAAATGGCAGAATGAAGACGCACATGGCACAAAGCATCAGATGTGACGCGACCGTCGGTTCCTTTGCAGCGGAGCAGGGTGAGGTACGAGTTACGAGGCCGAGGGGTTTCAGGCGGCGGGCACTGGACAGAGGAGCGTTTCTAGTGGGGACAAAAGCTCCTTAAGCCCTTCGGAGGCCTGGAAGTGCTTGGGGTTGGGAAGGGAGGAATCTTGGGGCGTCACTTGTTGGGCAGGTCAACTGCAACGGGCATTGGTCCGGCGAGTCCCAACTCTTTTGCTGTGCCCTGAAACCGTACATGGGCGTTACGGAAGGTACCTGCAGGTGAGACTGGCAGTCTGTGTTTTCAGGTCTGAGAAGGGATCATATTGTTATTCATTTCACGGGCCTCGATGTCGATGTACAAACATTCAAGCACCGAGTCGTTCCCCCAGTGCTTCCTCCTGTACCGCAAAATGTCCCTGTACAACGCATGTGCTCTTCTTCGAGCATAGTGAGCATTGTGCTTTCTCTCTCTCTTTAAGCACAACAGCATATCCGGCAAATGCCATGCTCAAAAGCGTTCAGCTGGGCACCATTACCGTCGGACAAAACTCGTGGCACGTTCTCTTGTGACGGGTATGCTCGAATGCGAGTCGTCAACTAGGTCTTTTTCTCTCCCAAGGCTTTGTGGACCCCTTCTTTGGCCTTATTAGCCTCGAGATCCTCGTCACTGTCCCCCTCACTCTTCTCTTCAAGTTCAGCATCGATCTCATCTTTCTCCGTCGGCGGTCCCTTGTGTTCCGGATCAATCGCCAGTTTATTCACATCATTCGCTGCTGTTTCGCCACCGCTCATTTGCCACTCCATAAGTTTCGTGAAGGCACCGTCTGGTCGACTGCTGAGTTCCTGGTACGATCCCATCTCGGCAACACGCCCATCGCTGCCAAGACAGATGATTGTGTCAGACCGCTTGATGGTGGACAGACGATGGGCGATTGAAATAGTTGTGTTGTTGCCCCTGAGCAATGACGCGAGCGCTTCATTCACCAAAGTCTCGGACTCAGCGTCGAGGGCAGAAGTCGCTTCATCGAGAACCAAGACGTCCGGGTCCTTGACCAATGCTCGCGCAATGGCGATTCGTTGCTTTTGGCCGCCAGACAACTGCGTCCCACGTGCACCAACGGAAGTGTCGAGACCATCGGGAAAATCGCTGATAAACCGGCAGTTTGCTCGCCTTGCAGCACGCATAATTTCACCTCGCGTCGCGTGAGGTCTGCCGTAGGCTATATTTTCGGCAATGGTGCCAGAGAATAAGACGGGTTCTTGGGACACAATGCCAATCCTCCGCCTAAGCGACTTGATGTTCATGTTCGCGATGTCCTTCCCATCGATGAGGATTCGACCTTCTGTGGGTGTGTAGAACCGCAAAATCAATGAGGCAATTGTACTCTTCCCACCGCCCGATGGACCAACAATGGCCACATTGGCGCCTTGAGGGATCTCAAAGTCCAAATTCTTGAAGATGGACACAGCAGGCCTTGTAGGGTAGCTGAAGGACAGGTTTTCGAACCGAATAGGCCCGCGTGCTGACACAACTTTCTCGCCCTTTGTAGGAGATATCGTAGGCTCCCGGTCCTGCAACTCGAACAACCGGGATGCAGCTCCAACGCCTTTCATTAATTCGGAGTAGAACGATGACAGGCCGAAAAGGGAAGAACCAGCGTAAGCTGTGTACATGAGGAAGGAGGTGAGTTCTCCAATGCTGATGGTTCCGTTGGAAACCATCCCGCCACCGACGTAGAGAAGGGACAAGATGGTCATATTGCCCATAAAACCCGTTGAAGAGAAGAAAGTCGCGCTGATAATGGATTCTCTTTTGCCCAGCTCGAAGATCTTGCGGACCTGGGTATTATACCGATGGACTTCGAGGATTTCGCCAGCAAAGGCCTGTGATGTTCGCACATTTCCCAGCCTCTCTTCCGCAATCTTGGTCAGATCTCCAACACTCTTCTGGATTTTTCGGCTTAGATTTCGAATAGCTCGTCCATAGAAGAATGCGCCAATAGCCACTGGAGGGAAGAGCAGGGTTAATATTCCTGTCAGCTTGAGAGACACCCAGGCCATCAAGCCGAACCCCGCCGCACCAGAGACAAAGGCACGAAGTCCATCCGACAGATTCTGTGTGATGGATTTGCCGACGATAATTGTGTCGGAACTAAGCCTAGAAATCAAGTCGCCCACACGATTTGCATCGAAAAACTCGGCGTTCTGAATATAGGTCTGGCGAAACAGTCTCGACCGCAGCCGAGCTACTATCCTCTCGCCCACGATTCGAAGGATGATGATCCGGCCATAGTTTGCGGCAGCACCAGTTGCCAGGATAGCCAACAGAGCGGTGTAAAAGGTCGTCAAGTTCAAGCCGAACAGCATCTCGGACTTCTGCTCGCCTTCCTCGCCATCGGTCTTTGCTCCGCCTTTGGTGGCTATATCCAAGATCTTGCCGATCGAGAACGGGATGGACATGGTAATCGATGAAGATATCAGAAGTAGCAAGAATGCCCATCCCAAGACCCGTGCCTCGGGGCGTGCAATCTTGATCAATCGCCATATCTCTCCGAACCCAGCACTCTTACCAGCAGCACCTTCCTTTGATAGTCTGGCGCTGAGGTTGACCTGAGACGCCTGACTCGCTTTCTCACTTTTCTGAAAAGCTTCCTCCTCATTGTCGTCGTTCTCAGACTTTGATCTCTGCTGCTCCTTTATGACCGGCGTCGGTGTCTCGAACAGCGTGCGGCTGCAGGTGAAGTGTCGCGCCTGTGCTGCTATGCTTGACTGGAATGGCACGTTGGTCCGGCAAAATGCGCGAGTGGGTTTTGTAAATGACTGCGGCCCCCGAAGACTGCGGACCGGCGCAGAAGAAGCAGGTCTCGCCCACGCCTGCACTAAACGGCTTGATATTCGCGAATGACGTGGAGCGGAGTTGTAGAGAGAAAGGAGGATGTTCTGGTCAAGCTGGTTCAACCGATAGCCATGTTGGAAAGGCCTGAAAGCAAGCAGCGCTGGGGTGCGCGTTGCAATCATGCCTGGAGCTGTTTGAGTGTTAGTGTTTCAGTCGTAATTGCGCACCCCGCCTCCTCCTCATGTCGGCGACAATCGTACGGCAGGAAGGTCTAGCATGAGCTGCAAGATGGACATCGCAATGAGAACATGGAGAAGTGAGAAAAGACGCCTACAGGTTGTGCTGGACGCGGATCAATGACGACGGGGCGGCCGATGGACGGAAAGGTGAAGGCCGAGGCCGATAGCTCCTTCGGGGCTTGGAGCTCCCTAACCAGTGAAGCCCGTGCGTGCCCGTGCCCCCGGAGAGCCCCTCTTGCCCTCTATTTTCGAGCCACAGGTGCGCCTGCAAGGCTCTCAGGCCCCCAATTTCGACCCTTACGTCACTGACATGCCACTTGGGGCACTTGAGGCTGGCTCACCATCACCGTCGATTCACCTGCCGTGCTTCTAGAACAATCCTGTCGACACCGACTACCAAATCTAAAAGTGCAACCCGTTCCCCAATCGACCTCGACCACCAAGCATCATGCCGATCGACTACAACAAGTGGGACCGGCTCGAAGTCTCAGACGACTCCGACGTCGAGGTGCACCCAAACGTCGATACCAAGAGTTTCATTCGCGCAAAGCAGCGTCAGATACACGAACAACGAGCCCAGCGCAAACACGAGATCGAGACTCTCAAGTATGAACGCATCGTCAACGATGGCCTCCTCGAACGTATCAATGCCCTGTTGGATGCTCTCAAGAAGCACCAGGCGGAGGCAGCCCAGAAGAACCCTGACGAACTTGTCTTCCAATCCCTGATCGAAAGTGCTGGTGACCCTGCCAAAGATGAGCCGCCCAAGCCTCCAGAGGGTGTGTACACGCATCAAAAGGAACAGCCGCGGTATTCGAAGATGATGGGCGCATTGATAGATCAGGTCAAGAAAGAGGTGGATGAGAAGAAAGATTCCTCTACAGACAGATATGCGGACTTTGTGCAGGGGGTCAACGGTCACCTTACGAAGGTTCAAAACTTACAGCAAGACCTTTTAAAACGGCTGGCACAGCTGGAGAAGGAGGCCACCGCCAAAATCACAAGCGAGGACATCCATGTCGGGTTTGACTCTTCTCATGTCAACAGACCAAAACCGAAGCCAGCAAAGACCGAGAAGCCCAAAGCAAACGAATCGACCAAGACCGAAACAGTAGAATTGCTGAATGCCCCCAAAGGCATAAGCTCGAAGACACGCGAAGCCCTTCAACCTGTAGATGGAGGGGTTTCGTCCGGTGCAGAGGCAGACATTGAAGACGGATCTCTTATCGAGAAGCACGAAGACGATGACGAAGAAGAGGAGGTGAACATCAAACTCACACCTGAAGGCAAAGAGTTCGCGAAGATCAGGATTGGCGACTATCGTGCGTGCCTCCAGTATATCTCAGAGCATCCTGAGATTGTGAACGAAAAGACGCAAGATGCACTCATGATCGAGGCGTTTAATGCCCAGATGAAGGGCCAAGACGCCTATGCACGAACGTGCGTGCACCAGAGTCTCCTCATTCAGTACTGTCGACAGCTGGGCCGCGACGGCGTTGGGATGTTCTTCAAGCGCATCACGACCAAAGGTCACCAAGCGCAACAAGTATTCAACAAGGATCTGGCCGAGACATATGGCAGAATCAAATTCCGAGCCGCAGAGCTACAAAAGGAGGAAGGAAATGATCCGGCTGGCGTAGAACAAATCCAACTTCATGCCGTCGAGCCCGGAACAGAAATCCACATCAACGTGCCACAAGCTGAGTCGGATGATCCCGTTGAGCAAGAGGCACGCAAGATTTTTGACCGCTTTCCTCCCGGCCTGCAACGAGCGTTGCAAAGCGGAAGTCTGGACGAAGTCAACAAAGTTCTGGGAAAGATGAGTGTCGAGGAGGCTGAAGAAATCGTCGAGCTGCTTGGTCAGGGCGGCATGCTAAGTCTCCAAGAGGGTGTGATTGATGCCACCAACGAAGAGGGCCAGAAGAGACTAAAGGAGATTGAAGAAGAGGAGAAGCGAAAGAAAGCTGCCGGTGAAGCAGGCGAAGCTCAGGGCGTGGGCGAGCCGGGCGACGCTGTTGATGCATACGACGTTGATTGACGCTGACACCAAGACAGAGGAAGCGTCGGTCAGGTATCTCTATGGCATCATAGTGGGCAGGGGAATATCGTCAATCCCACATGCGGGAGACAGCATAAAGTCTGTTGTTTCCATGACTCGCTCACTAGAAGCATGTTTGCAAAGATCCTCGTGTTGACAGACTCCTGCCTTGTAACGAAGAGCTGTTGACTGTGCAAACTTACACCCCGCCATGCTGCTACTATCCTACTTCCAAGCGTGACTACAGTGATCCTGCAGGACTGTGTGATGTTGGTTGTGCTTCGCCTCCCAAAGTTCTATACACAATCATTGGCTGTTGAGATGGCGAGCACAAGTTCCCAGCGCTAATGCACCTCATCACGAAGCGCATGGCAGCGAGGCAGACATCCCGACGTCCGCAACCAATGGCCAGTCAGTCCAGTCTTCGCTTAGCTCTACTCAGCCTTTCTTCCTCGAGAATGTCGACGACCTTTCTGTCATCGATGTGAGCAGGATCAATGACAGAGCTCCTCTTATATCATCATGGCTCCCTTGGGTCTCTCTAGAGAGATAGATAGCTCAACCCAGTTGGCTATCAACCATGCTGTGCGCAATCAGAATCCCTTCTTTTTGAGCTCCGTACCAGCTCGCGCAAGCCGAGATTCACGGCCAGCTGTAATATTTATGCCATGGACTCAGGAACGGATGACCAGAATGAGGTAATGCCGCACACCGGCCAGCAGTCCGCCCTGTCATGGAGAACTGCCGCGCCCACTCAGCAGGAGTGGCTTTCCATCAAGGATGTGTTTACTCAACTCTACATTGGCGAGAATCGAAGACTGAAAGATGTCAGAGCCATCTTGTCAAGGAGGCACGGCTTTGACGCCAGCGAGAAGATGTTCAAGCGGCGCATCGCAGAATGGAAGATTCATAAGAACTACAAGGCCAAGGAGAAGGAGTTGCTTGCGAAGCGTGTCAAGGCCTGTGTTGAGGCCGGCCACGATGTCCACTCGATATCGTTCCGCGGCAGGCCCTTGAAGCTGGATCGTGTCAAACGCCACTACCGGAGCGACAAGAGGTTCACTCGGGTCTGGGAGCAATTATCGCAAAGTCCCGACGAAATCTGTGTCGAGGAGGCCGCTGTCAAGGAGGAGTCTCCGTCTAGCAACACGACCATATCCAGGACTTTCCTCGAGCCGATTACATCGCCCGAGTGTGCAAAGACACATGTCCACGGCAATGCAGGTCAAGATCTCGCCGCCGTCACCGTTCTTCCGCCAAGAGACTTTCACAACACTGAAATGATCCTCTTCCACACCAGAGAGGCAGTGCAGTGGCAGTTCACCGCTTTCACTCCCCTCAAGTCGAAGGAACTCCAAGCTCGCTTTCCGGATATGATCCCGCGAGAGGTGAGAACAGGACAGACCGACCAGGTATCGGCGTTCTGGCTCGGTCTTTACCGTGGGTTCGACTACTTCCACACTGGCAGAGCGGACGACGCGTGGACCACCTTCGACAGTTGCTGCAACATGGTGCAGCCGCTGATCAAATCTGCGCCTCTGCAATTGTTGTCCTGCCTGCTCGTCCACTTTGCCACGCCCTGGGAAGGCCTGGCCGCCTTGGAGCAGCAGTTGCTCGGATTCATATCGTCGATGGCCGAGAACTCGCTAGGAGAACATCATCCCCTTGTCAGGGCTCTCACGATGATCAAGGCAGCCAATCTGCGCGATCGTGCAATTGAGTCAATGATGCAGTTGGTGGTCGAGGGCTACATGGCGCACCGAAAGTCAGACAATTCGTCGCTATTCGCTCTACGAGTTGACCAGATTGACGCGCTCCGGAGACGCAGGAACTTCCAACACGCACATTTCTTGTGCCAGCAGCTTCTCAGGGACAGTCAAACGATGCGCCCAAAACGGTACAGAACCGCGTTGGCAGCTCTGGGGAGACTGTATGCCGAGCAGCACGAGGAGTTCGCCCTCGAGGGAGTGGCGCATAGAATCCTCGCTCACGAAACCTCTGACTCAGGTTCGGCGAATAGCAGCACGGCATCCTGGGCTTGTGATCAACTTGCCACCCTTGCCATGAGTCGTGGAGATTATGGCCTCGCCGAGCAATATCTTCGTCGAGCGGCCTCGATGTCTCATGCTGGTCTACCCCACCGTGGGCCCTCGACGGACTTACTCCTCAACCGCCTCGCCCTTTGTATCCATCAGCAAGGCAAGGAAGTGGGCGCCGAGAGAATCGGGAACGGTTTCGGGTCTACGAACGGATGTGCCACCAGTTGAGCACTATTGGAACTGAAAAGGAAAGCTGACCGTCAGTCTCGGATGCACGAGGCGATTTAAATGCCATATATTGACTTGCAGCATCGATACCAATTCCAAAAAGAGTCTGTCTGTTTCAAGAGTTGCCCAGTTTTCGAAGATTGTGCTGGAACAGTGTCTCATTTCGAGGAGCAGGGATTTCGACTTATGCTCGAGACTCTATGGCACATCTGTATGAACACAATCGCTTTAAGTGCATCGAGCTCAAAAGCAGCAGGTCGCCGCCTACCTGAAGACTGCGAGTTTCTCAACCCTGCAATCCATCATGTCGCCTAGCTACCACCGGGCAGCCTACTTTGGCCACCTCGGATTTCCAACCGATCCCGTCGCAGCCGTTGGCCTCCTCCAAGGCAAATCCAATTTCCAAGCGTGGCATGCCGCCATCCAACCCATCCTTCTGGCCACTTCCAGTTCTTACGAGCTCATCATCGGCGCGTGGACGGAACCTCGTTGTCCGACACCTTGCACAGTCGAACAACAGGCCAAATTCGACGAGCACCGCCGCCGCTGGCACACCGCAAACACGGGGACCTGTCGATTCATTCGGGCCACGTTGGCCGAGAACGTTATCCCCTTCGTCCGCCAGTACAACACGGCAAAGACCCTGTTCTTCAACCTCGTATGGCTGTACGGCGAGGACAGCGGGATTGACACCCAGGGTGGGCCACCTGTGCCAGTGAACGCCCATACCATGAGCGCGAAGAGAGGTCGAGGGAGTCTCCTGGCGGTGCTGGAAGCGAAACGGACGCTTGACTATCTGCCCCTTGTTGGCGTGACATTGACCCTCCCATCGCCTACCACTCCGACGAGCGACTGCACGGTGTCTTCACCTGCCTCGGGCACAGATGACCACCTCAACTCCTTGCCGTCGGGAATACGTGAAGACTCAACCCCAGAGCATGCCTTGACGTTGATCCGCAGTTTCGAACGGGCCGGCATCTCGGATTCGCACACACACTCGAACTCGCGGCCGAGCCCGCACTCGGAACCGAATCCGAATCTGGAGACCATCCACGAACAAGACCACGAACATGGCCATGAAGAGCCCCATCCAGGACGGAGAATTCGAATCTCCTCAGGCCATGCAACAGGTTCCAGCCTCACTGCCTGCAATAGGGACGTAGACATGCACACTCACACACACGTGCTCTCGGAACGCAGCATCAGCCCGTTGACCTTATCTGACTCGACCAGCGGATACGACGAGGTACGTGTGTCGATCTTCCGAACCTACGTCGCAGTACATGAAAGATAGCAATAGTGTACCATACCATTGAAGGACCCATGCTGACGGAAACGCACAAGCAGGATGCATATCAAAATCACTATCACAACCACCACCACTGCTATGACAGTCACCTTCGTCTACATCATCATCATGCCAGCCACAACCACAATCAAAGTCATCTCCATCTCGAAGATATCAGCACCAGCAGCACCAGCAGGAAGGACACCACTTCACACACCGCCCAAGCCTCACGGCATATGAAGCGTCAAGCCAGCGCTGAGCTCGGAGCCGGAGCCGGAGATGGAGATGAAGCCGAAGATGAAGGTGAAGCTGACGGCGAAGAAAGACCTCCAAAAGCGAGCATCACCTCGATCTTCAAAGCCGTCAAAGTCAAGCCCGGAAACGGAAAGGTCAGGAAGCGGGACAAGTTGTTTGCCTCGTCGTTCCCTCTTCGTCGGCTGGGTGCGAATACTGTAAAGGCGTAAAAGGTGAGGAACGGTAGCGACGAGGACAGGAGCAAGGCTGATACATACTTGTTGATTACGGCGTGTATCCGAACCGACGGACTGATTGGCGGGGTGATGAATGAGCAGTGACAGTGACCAGGACCATTTTATCACAGATGGACCGAATGTACGTAGGTAGTCCTTGTAGCAGTACGTGCGAGGTAAAAGCCAAACGTACCTCTATCATGTCTCCAGAGGGAAGAGAGAGGAGAATGTCGACGAGAGGAATATCCTCGCCCTCCCTATGTATCCGCCTTTCCCACTAGGTGCTCATTACAGGCGGTATCAGAGCCACGGATATCCTGACACATGTAGTGTAGGGCCAGATACTGTACATCCACCTGCCTGGATGTGTTGCGGGTGGTTATTGCCCATATGCATTGATGTAGATGTACGTGTTCACATATGCGTATTGTGTATGTGTACGGAGTACACCAAGGAAAAGGGGGTTGTACGTATATATAACGCTAGGTACGCACACTCACGTGGGCGTGTATTTCTGTGTATATCTCTAAGCGACGTCTTCAACACTACCACTACGCCCCCTCCCCAGCTTGAACCCCCTCTCTCCCTGCGGCTTAGTATCGGCTGGCAAGCACCGTGACCGTTTCTTCACAGCTTGGCCCCCATACCTCCTTGTGGTGAACTATCCGTTGACAAATAGATACTATACCGTGGCAGCCAGTTTCCCCTACCCATACACATTCGCAGCTTCTCGGGCATGTACGTCCTTCGTGCCTTATACTCCTTACTCGCTCATCCGACCCACTAACCACCCTGCGTGTGCCCTCCCTCACCAATCCATCCCACCACGTCCACGTCCGCCCTCCTCACCTGCCCTCTCCTTGCCAACAAACAACCCTACCAACCCGCCTCCGACGGCATTCCGGACGGTCTTCCAACCCCCGGCCTCCCCCTCATCCCGCTCTCTCATATAGTGGCTCAGATCCGGCGTGAGCATCTGCGGCGACACAAGCACATCGCGCGTATACCGGCCGCCGAACCAGGTCACGCCGTCGTCCTCGTCCTCGTGCCTCTTGTCCTTCTCACTCTGCGCGTCCTCATCCCTGTGCCTGTTGTTCTCCTCGCCCTGCGCGTCCGCCGTCCGTTTAGTCTTGATCTTGACCTCGTCCTTCTCAACAGCACTACCCACGCCCTCTCGCGCCGGCGGCCGCCGATCAACCCGCACGCCCTGCCTCCACGCCCGACTCACGTCCTCGTCAAAGTAATTGAACGGCATAAACACCACGCTGCTCGCGCTCGTGTGCATCAACGTATTCGGCACGTCCTGGCTAGTTGGCACATGATGGCCCCCCAAGTTGAAATACACGACCAGATCCTCGCCCTCGATGTCTTCACTGTCGACCATCTTTGTAAAATCGACAAGCGGCGCCAGTGGCTCGAGGTAATTGTTCTCGTGCGCGCTGCTGGGTTCCGTGTCCGGATGATTCCTCAACACCCAGAGGTCCGCGCTCGACCAGGCCGCCGAGTTGCCTAGAGTCGTCGAGTTGACGATCGTCAGGTGCGCCGGGTTGCCCATCCCCGTGCCGGGCAGGATGCGGTACGCGCGGGACTCGCCCCATTTGTTTGTGGCCGACGGGGATGTGACGAGGTACATCTCGCGGGCGTTCTTGGGCCAGTTGAGCCCCGTCTCGCGCGTGATGGGTTCGTGAACCATGTGCATGGTGTTCCGCGGCCCGTCGACCTCGGGCTCATCCCAATCGTATTCGCGCTTCAGGGGCTCGACGGTCGTGCGGACGAGCGTGTTGGCCGTGCCGCAGATGTCGAAATCCGCGCGGAAGTTCACGACGTGGTCGTGCATGGAGGTCTGCACGCCCGGGTGGATGCGGTAGCCGTATTCGTTCGTGGAGGAGTCGCGTGGCGGAACAGCAGAATGCCGTGGTTCCGCGTGGAAGGCGCCAAAGATGTAGCCTGACGCGCGGAGCTTGACTTCGATGGACCCGTCGAGGTAGAAGATGTAGTCGATCTGTGAGGGCACAACAGTAAGTACATGCGGTGATCAAGGGCAGCAGACTCACCGTGTAATCGTAATTCCCCACGGTGCTTACGCTCCTCACCACAAGATACGTGTTGCGGCTGACGGTCGCACTGAAGGCAGAGGTATGCCTCTGCAGGGGCGCGTCCGAGGTGTACTCAAAGACACAGATGGCGTTCTTGTTCGTGTACATCTTTCCTCCCCTGTGGTACGACATGTCGACGTACTCGGCATGCCCGGGACAGTCGAGCCCCGGCACGAGGCTGAACATCATCTTGCCCATGCCGAAGAACGTGTCCAAAAACTCGAGGCCCGACTGCATGGGTTCCACGCCGGCGTAGTGCGCCAGCGCCTCCTGCAGGCCGAGCTGGTAGATGATGCGCGTGTCGTTGTAGCGGATGTCAAACAGTGACACAGCCGTGGCCTGCGACGTGGCCACGTAGAACGAGAAGCCCATCCACGAAACGTAATTCTCGGCTCGGTCGAGGTGGTACCGTGGTCCGTACGGCTGGATCGACAGCGGCGGGGGCATGTCTCGCTCGGGCGCCACACTGGCAGGATCTTCCGTGTCGGTCCAGCCGCCGTCCTCGTTGACCACGAGCCGTTCGAAATCGGGGGACTTCATGGCCTCGCGCAGCATCGTGTCGTTGTCGTACAGGATGCCGTTGTAGAACCAGCCGCCGGTCGTCCACGTCTCTGGCCGCGCCGTGGGGATGTCCAGCTTGACGTACAGTCCCTGGGGCAGCAGACTCCGACCGTCCGATTTCATCCCGGGACGGAAGAACTCGAGCCAGTGCACCATGCGGCCCGAGTCGATGAGCGCGGGCCTCGAGCCAATGACCAGGCCATCGGGGTCGTCGAGGTCGTGGCGGTTCGTCTTCGCGCCCAGCAGGTCGAGCGTGATGTCCGATGCGTTCTCGCCGATGCCGAGGGCCCAGTCCAGGAGGGCGAAGACGTCTGAGATGGGACTCCGGACAGAGTTGCGCCCGGAGTTGTGGCAGTATGTCAAGGGGAGAATCTGGGTGTGGTTCGATGGAGGCAACGGGCCGACCATGTACTCTTTGACAAAGGCCTCGTCGCCCTTGCTTTCGAGATTGGAGAGCCTCGCCCACCGCTCTGGTGGCGGGCCTCCGTGGTCAAGGTAGTCGGCGACATCGGACTTGTTCGGCCGCAGGAGCTCGACCAGGTTCAGAGCGTTGGTATCCGACGCAGAATCGAACAGATTCGTGTTCTCATGGAGCCAGAGATAGAGTTGCGAGGCCTCTGCGTCATCGAGCTCGGCCCAAGGATTCTCTGCTGGAGCCTGAAAATGTCTGTGAGGATGTTTCAAAGGGCCGAGATCTTGTTGCCCGCCCAGGGCGGAAGTGGAGCTGGAGGCGGAGATGAGCAGATAAGCGAGGCTGACGACGAAGACGACGAGGGCAGAGATGGACACGCTCACCGACCGCCACGATGCCATGGCAGCGGTTGTTAGAAGGCCAAGGAGAACGAAGACGACGGCTGCCTCATCGCGACAAGGAACAGCCTTTCAATATGAGACTTGGGTATTGCTATCGTAGATGCCTGATATCACACGGAGATGAGAGTCGATCCAGGCTGCAGTATCCTTGTATGGAATAGTCGTGCTTTAGTCCTGTCAAACCTGCATATACAACAATCCTTATCGGATATGACTCTCTCGCGAGTATGTCTACTATAGACAAATGAATATGTCGCCTCGACGACATCTATTCTGTCGGTGGGACTCCATCTCAAGTCGCCGCAATCCCATCTGGCACTCGAAATTCCGTTGCGATCTCACCCTTCTTCAGCCCATCGTCTTCCCCCCGAGTCACAATCTTGTCCTCGCCGACGACCAGCTTTTCGCCCTTCTCTAAGGATTCGTGCAGGAAGCGTGTACCGTTCAGGTACCACGTCAAACCCTCAACGTCGCCTACTCGCTCTGCCACGGCCCAGCCGTCGCCGAACCATCCAAAGTCATTGCCGTCGCATGTGGTCATCTCGTAGTCGTCGAATCGAACCTTTTCAAATGCCCGCACGGCATGAATACTGCTGCCGGGCCATAATGCGGTCACCCGCCCTCTCTTTCGTTCTTCCGCCGTGGCATTGGGCGGCGCTGATTTGTACCAACTTCCACACTCTGCCGAGAAGACGGTACGCTTGAAGTAGGCGTCGCAGTAGTCCGTGAAGTTTTCAACGACTTTCCGTTTCGGCTCGATGGTCTTCACGTTCCCCTGGCCGAGCCTCTGCAGGATCTGCCCAACATATAACGAGATGGCCTCGATGAGAATCAGCAGATTGCCATTCCCTAGACCTTGGTTGGGACCTAGTGATTGGAAGAAGTTGGGGAACTGATCGGTGCAAACGCCCAGGTACGTCTCTGGCCGAGTCCTGTAACGGTCTTGTAGGTTCACTCCACCGCGGCCGTAGATGGGGAATCGGCCTTGGAATGAGGTGTCAAAGCCCGTTGCACAGACAATGACCTCCACGGGTCGGTGTTTACCATCACTCGTTATGATGCCAGTCTCGTCAATGCGCTCGATCTTGTCGGCAATAACATTGACATTGTCGGCCACCAAAGCCTCCAGGTAGCCGGGTCCAGGTGTAAGTCGTTTGCAAAGAGGCGGGAAGTCGGGAATGAGGTGTTCCGCGATGTGTGGCTTCTTCTCTAGTCGTTTGCGCATTTCCTGGTTGAATTGCGACCATGCGCCCTCGTGTTCTTTTGTCCCCCGGTGTGTCAAGGCGAAGCCACCTTGCATACCGATCTCGATGGCCTTGCGGTACTTGATGTAGGACGCGGGGTCTTTCTTCCAGGCCTCTATCTCTTCTTGGGTGTACTTGAAGTTGCCGTCTTGTCCATTGTTTCGTTCTCTGACCAGCTCGTTGCCAAAGGTGGCAGCAATCCATGTTCGGCCGCGGACATAATGATCCATAGACTTGACTTTGGGCAGCAGGGTTGGGACGATCTGAATTCCGCTGCTACCGGCACCGATCACCGCGATCTCCTTGCCCTGCAGAAGCGATTAGCGTGGGTTGTGGCGGGACAGCGAGAGGGGACTGACCGTCACGTCATATTCAGAATCCCAGTTCGCGCTGTGCAACAGCTTGCCCTTGAAGCTGTGTAGGCCTTCGATGTTGGGCCATTTCCATTCATTCAACGCGCCAATGCCGGTCATGAAGACGTCACCGACATCCTCCACAACCTCGTCGCTGTCTAACCTTTGGAATTTGACGTGCCATTTTGACGTCTCTTCGTTCCACCGAGCCTCGATAGCTTTGTGGTTGAACTTCATGTACTTCTTGACGTCGTACTTGTCTGCGACCTTTTTCCAGTATTGTAGGATCTCTGGGGCTCCAGCATAGAACTGGCTCCAGTGTACTTCAGACTCAAAACTTAATTGGTAAGAGTGAGCTGGGATATCTGGGGTTGTGTTAGATGCCGACTCGGAAAGGAGATCACCCTTTCCACGTACCACATGCGCAACCGGGGTATCGATTCTCAATCCATGTACCTCCCACATCGGGGTTCTTCTCGTAAATGGCAAGTTCTACTCCCGGCAGGAACTTGGGAAACTGGATAGCTGCACAGATACCAGAGACACCGGCTCCCACATAGATGACTTTGAGTGGCCGAGGCTCGTCAATGGCTCTTTCTGATATCAGAGGGTGCGCATAGATGCTGTCGGCAACCTTGTAGCCCAGAGAGCCCATCCTGATCGAAGCCGACGGGGGCGGCGCGGATGGCTTTGAGACACGGAACCAGTTCAGTGACGACGCATGCGTTGTTGATTCACGATGCTCTGGAATGCAACCTCTCCAGCGGGGATCGAGCGGGCGGCGAGTGGAAGACGAGCAAAGTAGAAAACCGGCGTCAATGGCAGGCACGGGAAACAGTCTCTCTTTAGTAGTACCTTACCGCGGGTCCCGATACACGAGCCGCTATCGTGGCGCATCACATTTCAGACAGGCCAGACCATTGGCACCTTCGATCTGCCGAAAAAAAGGCATCATCAGATAGGTGCACACGATCTAGCCCGGTCAATCGCACCATTTAGAGCATGGCCAAAGACTATGAAGGAAACCCCTCCACACTGGAGGTGATGGCGGAGTGAACGTGGGATAACTCCATGGAGGGATGTGGGAGGCTGCGGAGGCTCTAGCTGTGTTCGTTCCTATGCGTCGGTCGCCTGTTCCGAGCAGGCGACCGCCAGCCTTTCGGTGCACTATCCGACAGCCCTGTCAGGCTTTACCCCAACGCCGGTCGTGGCTGGTGGCTCTCTGCACCAAGGTGGATGGTGGGACTTCTCCGGGCGAACCCCCGGCAACAGACCTCGGCCTTCGAAATTGGAGTCGTCAGACTGAGGTTCACCACCTCGATATGCTTGTGTTTGCGAGCAGCGTGCTCGACAGACAGATGTTATTGTTGTCTCAGACCCAGTAGAGCTGATCTCGTGATCTCGCGAAGCATCGATACACAATCGCTTGAACAGTTCGCGGCTTCCATCCACATCCCCGCTAGGCTGTTTCTATGTAATAGTCCCATTGAATACGGAGCACGGAGTACGGGAATACTGTAATGAGGAGCGAGCTCTCCTTTTGCCAAAGCTCCTCGGCTCGATATCGAGGCTCCTATCGACTGTACCATTTACCACAACACGTCCCAAGGGGTGCAGGTGACAAGCAGCAGGGCAAGGACATAGATGTGGCGGGACATCCGCAAAAAAGCCAATGCAAAGAACAGTGGGCGAATCTAGACTTGTCCGTTGCTTGAATCGCAAGAAGGAACCGGTGCACGCAGTCATAATATTGAAGAAACCTTTTTTTCATTGCAAAGAACTCTATCGTCTATGCAGGACGTTCCACTCTATGCCTTCTATCATGGCCCTAGTTTTATCGTAGCGATTCTTTCATAATCGCCTCAAGTGAACATGGCTCGGGCATGCATGTTCCAAGATACACGCCAGCAATCCACAGTGATAGGACTTGTCGTAGAACGCGATGCAAGTTTTCAGGCCCACCTCCAAACGCCGGATCGGATATCAATGCCGTGTTCATTAATCATCCAAACTTCCACGAACAATAGCTTTCCATGCCTGAAAACGACCTGGGCAGCGAAATTATCTGCTCAGTGGCGCAAACAGTCGCGGTGTGGAAACCGTCGAAAAGGCGAGTAATCTAGTCGTCTTCGTCGCTGAAGACTTCTTCGCCACGCTTTCGTCGGGCCATACGTTCCTGTAGTCGAAGTCAGCAATTGCCCAGGAGAAACCCACTGGGTGTCATAGACTAACCTTCTTCTTCTTTCTCAGCTCGGAAGACGTGAGCTTCTTGGCTTTCTTGTTGCCTTCGATCTTGTTGCCCATAGCATCGAACTTCTCTTCCTCGTCGTCGTCTTTGGAAGTCAGTCGGGGTCCGGTACCTTGACCTTGTACCCAGTTGTGACCAGAAGGAACCATTCGTCCATTCTGTCATGATGCGTTAGCAAAAGATCTCATTATGGTAAGGAGGTCAAAAGCGTACGTTTACGGTCCAGACTTCTGAAGTCAGTGACTCTGTGAATTCAGCGTTGTGCGAAATGATGACAACACCACCCTCGAACGCCTTAAGAGCGTTCGAGAGGGCACCAAGGGAGTCGCGGTCGAGGTAGTTGGTAGGTTCGTCCAGAACGATCAAGTGAGGACGCTGCCAGGTGCAAGCAGCCAGGACAACCTTGACGCGTTGGCCGCCGGAAAGACCACGCATCCGAGAGTGAGAGATCAGCTCAGCGTCGAGACCGAAGTTGGCGCCGTGTGCTTCAATCTCCTTCCGAATGAGGGGACGGAATTGACCGCTAGCAAGAGCCTCCTTCTGGTCAACTTCAGCAACCATCTTCTGGTGGGACGCCAGAATCTCGGAGCGGGGAATCCATGCATTGTCGGCGGTCATCATGGGAGTCCACTTCTCGTTCTTCTGGCCAACGTTCTCACCAAGTGCGAACGAGCACTCGTATTCGTAGGAGTTCTTGAACTTCCTACGGGCGTGGATTCCAATGACACGTCGTTGGGTACCCTCAATCTTGTAGATCTTGTCCATGGCCTTCTCATCGTCCTCGGTGACGATTTTGTTGGCGCGATCCATGGTCTCGCGATCCTCACCTGTCTGGAATCGCCATTGGATGTACTCAGAGGGAGTCTTGTCAAGGAAGTTATCGATGTGAGCAAAGGCGTGCTGCTTGATGTAGGCGATACGGATGTTCTCGTGCTGGTAAATCTCACCGGTGGTGGGGATCAGCTCACCAGTGAGAACGTTGACGAGAGTAGACTTGCCGGCTCCGTTCGGTCCGATAACAGCGATACGGGAACCTAGGGATACCTGGAACGTGATATCCTGGATTTGGGGCTTGTCGGTACCGGGATACTGGAATGACATCTTGTTGACACGGACAATGGCCTTGGCCTTGGTCTTGACACCTTCCAGGAAACCAGGCTCGGGGAACTTGAAGGCCAGCTCGGAGGCACCGAGCTCGAAGTAGGAGCGAGCGGATGGCACTCTCTTGGCGAACTCGGTCAGGTTGCCACGGTATCTTCGAAGCTTGAAGCGTTCGTAGTGGATGACGTGTTGGATAACGTTGTTCAGGAATTTGGAATCGTGAGAGACGATAATGGAAGTACACGGTGAGTTGATGAGGTAGTTCTCGAGCCAGGCCACGTTCTTGACGTCCAAGTGGTTTGTAGGCTCGTCCAGGAGGAGAATATCTGGGTTCTCAAACACGGCGCGAGCAAGAGCCAGCTTCATCTTCCAGCCACCAGAGAGGGAGGTGATGGGACCATCCATCTGAGATTCGAGGAAGCCGAATTCGAGCAGCTTGGCCTTGATATCTTCGACCGGGGTTTCGATACCAACGGACCTCAGCTTCATCTCGGTCCAGCCGACGACGGTGAACTCGGTATCAGCAGCATCAAGATCGTGCTCAACGAAGACAGTCTTGACCTCTGACTGCTTGGGGAAACCCTCAACTTGTTCGTTGTTAATGGCACGCATAAGGGTGGACTTGCCGGAACCGTTTGGTCCGAGAAGACCATAGCGCTGACCGCGCTTGAGGCGGAGGGTGGTTTGGTTCAGCAGAATCTTAGCACCGTAGGCCAGATTGAATGTGCAGTTGCAGAGGTCCTCGCCTTCTTCTTCATCGGGCTCGGCCTCAGGCTCGTCTTCAATACCGGGAGAGGCGCGTTTGCGAAGAGTCTCAGCGACCGACTTAGCATCGGCCTCACCAACAATGGTTTTGAGATATTCGACGGTGTTGGAGACCCAGTCAGGCTCATCGGTGATCTTCTCGTCAATCAACTGACCGGCAATGGCGGAAACGTAGTCAATAACAGTGTCGGCTTTTTCAACTGCACCCTTGTGCTTCTGTGAGATGATTTCCTTGAGAATGGGCTTGACAGTGGCAATTTCACCAGCGTTAGAAATCTTGGGGAAGGAGCCATCCTCCTTGACCGCACCAACACGCTTCAGAGTGTCCAAACCTTGCTTGGTCTTCTCACGGGCCTCAGGGTCGGCCATATTTTCATAGTTCTTTGTGAGCGCAGGCATCAACTTCGGCAGGAAGGCTGCGACAATCTGCGGATCCTCGACAAGTTTGCACATGTTGTCAACGATGACTGCAGACTTTCGCTTGATGGCGGTTTCGCGCTCGGCCAGACCACGCTCAAGGAGAGGAACCATGATGGCCAGAGTTGGCTCGTGGACATCAGTGACGAAGGTAGTGGCACCAAGCAAGTGAACCGTCTCAGGGACGTTCTCTGGTTTAGCAATACACTTGATCAGCTCAGGAATAAACTTCTCGATATCCTTGTTTTCGATCAATTTGCAGATCTTCTCCATTGTGCCGTAGGCCTTCTTCTTGACTTCAGGCTTGGTATCCCACATCGACTCGGAAACGATCGGGATGAGGGTGGGGACAAGGAAGGAGAGCTGTGTAGGGGCTGTTTCAACGAGGGCTTCGATGCAGTCGAGGCCAGTCATCTTCTCAGGCCATTTTTGTGCGGTGATGATGGAATTTCGGATGTGAGGGAGAACAACCTTGACGGAGTTGGGGTTGATCTGTCGGACGATGGCCAGAGCCGCGGCCTGCGCAGCGTTCTTGACTGATACCATCTTGTCGCCAACAGCGGCGAGTGAGAGCGGTAGCAGGGAAACGAGGTAGGGCTCAACGCCAGGGGCAATAGTGCCGTGCGCGGCAATGGCTCGAATTCCGTCGAGAGCGCGCTCCCGAACGACGGCATCTTTCTTGTTGGCAAGTTGTTTCTTGAAAATTTCGACAGTCTTGAGAGGGACATCGTGCTCCTCGATGGGGCCGTTCAAGAAAGTGGCAACATTGCCTGCGGAAATGCTGGCCTCATCTTGAGATTTTGAGACTGACAATTTCTGCAATAATCCCTCGAGATCTGCGAGTGACTGCTTTGTCTCTTTTGCGGAGGTGGCTGGAGTGGATGTCATGGTGTCGACCGCGGGCATTTCGTGGAGGAGGTTCGACAAGGGATCAGGGGGTCGTAGGTGGTGTTTTTGTGTGTGGAAAATCGCAGGAATGTGGAAAAAGGCGGTCTAAGTCGGCTCAAAAGGGGTGCCCACGCAGACAGCGTTTCCACGCCGGTCTCGCTCTATGTGGCGTCTATTCGGTTGGAACAAGAAGGAGTGTGCAGACTCTATGATAAGAGAAATGCAAGAGGGGGGTGAGTCTAGAGGTGAAGGAGAGATGGTAAGAGAAGGAGAGGGTGAGCAGGAAGGCTGCAGGCTATTTAATCAAAGCGACTCTCCTCGCCATCATAAATTTTTTTTTCGCTAGTCAGTGCCGGTCCCCAGGCCGTTTCATCCACTCAGATCCGGCGCATTGCCCCATCCCGCATCCATTTGATCGATATCCATCCCATCAAAACGCTCCTTTGTCTGCCTCGCTTTGACCGCCTCTCCTAGCCCGGCCGCGCTGGCCGAAGAGATCAAACTTAGGCACTGTAACTACTCGCAAAGCCCTCGATACCAGAGCCAGGCCTGCTTGAGCGAATTATCCGGTCGAGATTTTCGTCGATCATTCAACCAGTACTGTGTACCTCGTACTGCAGCCAGAGAACTGGCCCGACCCACGTCCAATATTTTGGAGACGTAAGGGGACACGCTGGGGCAACAGCAGGACCCTATTTGATGCTTCTCGAAAGACCTATTTTTGTCGCCACTCAGCCCTGAAGTCCCAGACACAGGCCTTCCCGTATCATTTCGTGACTGCTGCACCACGAGCAGGGGTTCCCACCCGAATCAGCCAGTCCTCAGAACTGAATTTGCGCCTACCACGTCAGATGCAGGCCCTTGGATTAAAGTTCCTCCCCCAGCCTGAGGTCGCTTGCACCATCAGTGTGTAAGCATGCACCGACTTCGCCCCTTACAAAATCTACGACTTGTCTGATTGGTAAACTGCTTTCCCAGTGACGAACTGCCACGCTCTCTCCTCCGACCACATTTTCAGGCGCGACAGGCAGCTCGCAGTACCACGGTACGGGATTACAGTCTGAATTTGCGCTTTGGAGGGGTGAGGGGTTGGGGCACGTTTCAGGCTTATCTCATATCGAGGCGACGCGCTCGTATCGATAGGCGTTCGCTAAATGATAAGCAGAATTGCTCTTGTCCGCATGTCCCCAGGCCAAACTCCAGTCTCCCCAAACAGCGAGAGAACACGAGTATTACCCAAGGAATGGATAGGCCAGTCCCCATAATTGGTCATGCTGGTCAACTCCTTCATCCAACATCTGCCACGAGAAATGTGACCAAGCCTGCAGCAAAACGTTTCTTTTAGACCGTTGCCAATTGGCGGATGCAGGCGCCGGATCAGGGTCTTTTAGCGGGCGTCTCTCGGTGCTAGAAAACCCGAAGAATTTTCTCTCGTCAAAGATTTGTGACGCTTCTGTGGGTGACCCGCTATCCCGTACCTGGTTGCTCACTTGTTTTACAAGCCACAATACCCAAGTGCATCACAGCCTTGTGCTACGGGGGAGAGTTGATACTTTCCATTGAGACATTAATGGCTATCTACCAACCTCTCATAGGTACCTAGGTTTACCCATCCCCCAGCTTTTCAGCAGAAACTGCCGTCAGCCTCTTCCCGGAGAGTGTGCAATCTATCCCGACTCCACATGAAGAAATACCTGACGAGGATGGAAGTACGCAGTATGCATGATGTAGCATGGTTGCTGCAGGTCGTCCGGCTTCGCCACACTTTATTTCCCCAGATTACCAGGGACCGCTTTACGGATACCCTCCTTGCGGCCGACTGAGCATGCAGATGCTTGTTATATTGCGCCGTGAAGAGGTCACACTGCTTTCACTATTGAGAACACTTTGTTGTCGTCATCTCACCATTACTGCAACAGGGCCACATCAATCCTCGAGAGGTATGCTATCCTCGCCGTCGATAGGCCTCCACCTCCTTGGATCTGCCAGAAGTCACAGCAGAGGAATACGCTTCCTCCTAGTCGCGACGGTGACGGTGTCTGCGCCTGCTGCTATCGCTCTCATCACTGCTGCTGCTTTTGCTTCTCCGCCTGCTCCCAGACCTCTTCCGAGACCGCGAGATCGAGCGACTGCGCCGGCTGCCATAATCTCCGTCGTCGTAAGCACCGCTTTCCCGATGTCCCTTCTTCTTTTGTTTGTCCTTTTCATGTTTTGCTTCGAGCTTGTGGCCGGCATATGCTCCTGCCAATGCACCTGCGACGGCAATCAAATTGTTGTTATGGCCAAATTCGTGGCCGGCCCCTGCTCCGGTCAGTACGAGACGAGGCCAAAGCATCAGTCACTTACATCCACCAACTGCACCACCGAGCAGAGTCGCGCCCACAGCCTTCTCAGCATGATGCTCGCCATGGTGTTTCTCACCTCTGTCTCTCGACCTCTCCCGGTCTCTTTCCCTTTCCTTGCGCGAGCCTCGGGAGCTGGGGCGGTCGTAATACTGGTCGTCATATTCTCGTGGAGGAGGAGCATAGTAGGTGTTGGGTTCGGCTTCGCGATACTGACTAGCAGCATATGGGCCTGAATTGCGACGCTCCCGATTATATCCGGACTCGCCGCCATACTGGCCTACTTGCATTGCCGATGACCTCGGTGAATATCGATACTGATCCTCCCGTGCGGGCTGATATCCCCCGTACGAGGACTTATGAGTGGTCAGCCAATGTATGATGGCGCTGCAGAGCTTGAAAGAATGCCTTACCTGTGGCTCTGGGGAGTGGTAGCCCTCTGGTCTTGGAGGAGGAGGATATTGGTTATGGCCGGCCCCTGGTGGGGGAGGATACTGATTGGGGTTGTAGTAGTCTGACATGGTGAGCGTGTGACTGGGTTGCGACTACAGGTATTCGCTATCAACTTGTCGACCAAGAACCGTCAAGGTGTCTTCAAGGGCATCAGATACAAGATCTATCACGGCCTGCCCTTGCTGCTATGGCGAGCTGAAGACGGTGGGGTCATGCCTTAGTCATATCGCGCAACACGTGGTTGAACGCGAGGCTAACCGGAAAGGCAGAAGTGTGTGACGTCATCCGCTCGCCGTTCCAACGCAAGTGTTCATACCAGAATTTCTGTGCTCGAGTACGGAGTATCCTGCTAGAAATCAGTGTTGTGCCATACCAGCTGCAGCGTGACAAGCTCGTAAGTCCCTCGACAGCTTGTGTCATAGCTTTTGTTACAATATGCGCGGCTCTCCTTGAACTAAAACTGGAACTTTGCTATTCACATGATTTCAGGAACACCAGATCTGGCCGGTACACGCCATCCAGGGCGTGGACATGGCCACCATCTGCGACTCACTTACTCAGCTACCTGTTGACGTCCGTCCATGCACCACGCAGCCTTGTAACAACCGCAAGGCTACCAACGAGTGGCAGTCGCACTTTCCCCTAAACAAGCCAAGCCCTTCTGACCCCTGGTTTCGGTGGACTCTCGGTCATTGTCAAGGCGCCAGTCAAGCCGCACGGCTGTTCGCAACGGTATCTCTGACCTCTTTGAACCAGTCCTACGCTGTCTCATCGATCTCGCCTCGCTGTTAACTCAACCATGCCTGTGCCGACTTTCCATATGCTCTGGTTTGAGCTTAACACAATATACAGTCCCATTGGCAGCACAATGACCAGGTGCTCTAGTATTCCGCACCTTGTCTCCACATCGTCGGTATGTCGCCGTCGCTCGCGCTTGCACACTGCCGAGCAGAGATTATGGATATCAAGATACCTGCATATACGAATAACGGCGTTGCATGTTTGACGCTAAATACTCATCTACGTGCATATGATCCGGCAAGAGGATGGTCTTGTTGGATGCCGACATTCCCAGATCTGTTTTGCAAGATGAAGGCCGAGCTCCAGGATCGCACGGTATATAACGCCCATCCTCCCGGCTGTTTACCACCCTGTCTCGCATTTCAACATCCAGGTTATCTCTCTACACTCAGCTAGAAGGTAGTTGTTGTTCCCTTGTTGCTCAGGACTATTTTCCTTTCGTTGCTATCAATCTAGCAGCTCACAATGACCAGTCCCGACATGAATCACATGTCTTCGCTAAGCACAACACCAACTGCTACTTCGCAGGGCAGCATCCCTCGCAATAGCGTCGACAAGTCGGAATCGCGCCTCACACGAGCATCTACGCGTCGTACGCTCGAAAGATATGAGACCATGCCAACACAAGATACCTCGGACGTGCTGGACCTTCCGTACGATATCCTCAGCGACGAGGCAGATATGTCAGAGTATATCCAAGAGACTGCAGCGGGTGTCATTCCAAAGAGGACCATTTCTAGAGCAACTGGCAAGCCGGAGGACCATGAGCTGGTCACTTTCAAGATCAACGACCCGGAGAACCCGAAGAATTGGTCAAAGCCTTACAGTATGTCTCCATTCCTCTGACACTTGTCTCGGTCCTTGTTGCTAACGCCGGCTCCAGAATGGTGGTGTACGATGGTTGTCGCTTTTACCTGCTTCACCGTGGCATTCAACAGCGCTGTGATCACTGCCGACCTTGAAGGCGTCTCTGAAGAGTTCCACGTTTCAGCAGAAGTCTCCCTCCTGACTGTTACAACGTTCGTTATCGGCTTCGGCGTTGGCCCCCTTGCGTTCGCGCCCTTGTCGGAACTTTACGGGCGGAAGCCTGTCTATGTCATCACCATCGCCCTTGCAGTGATCTTCGAGATACCATGCGCGGTTGCACAGAACATCGGTACACTGTTGGTGTGCCGTCTCATTGATGGCGTCGCTTTCTCGGCGCCTATGACCCTCGTGGGCGGCACGCTCGCCGATTTGTGGGCGAACGAGGATCGTGGAGTTCCGATGGCCGTGTTCTCAGCCGCGCCTTTCGCAGGTCCCGCGATTGGACCGCTTGCGGGAGGCTTTCTCGGCGACGCCTCTGGTTGGCGCTGGCTCTACTGGATTCAACTGATCATGTCGGGAATCTGCTGGATTATTCTCACATTCACCATACCGGAGACCTACGCCCCCATTATTCTGGATAAACGGGCGAAAAAACTGCGCAGGGAAACTGGTGATGCCAAATACGTGACCGAAAAAGACCTCGACCTGCGCCCGATGAGCGAACAAATCCGCATATTCCTGGTGCGTCCTCTTCAGCTGTTATGTCTGGAACCGATCGTTTTGCTCATCAGCTTGTACATGGCTGTCCTGTACGGTCTTTTGTACATGTTCTTCGTCGCCTACCCGATCGTCTACGTTGAGGGCAAAGGCTACTCCGAGGGTATCACTGGCCTTATGTTCATTCCCTTGGCTATTGGCGTGGTCCTGTCAGCCATTCTTTCACCCCTTGTCAACAAGCACTACATCTCCCTGTGCCGAAAGGCTCCTAACGGAAAGCCTCCAGCGGAAGCGCGTCTCATCCCAATGATGTTCTCCTGCTGGCTCATTCCCATGGGGTTGTTCATCTTCGGCTGGACAAGTTACCCGTATCTTAGCTATTGGGGTCCAATGATGGGTGGCTTTCCTGTCGGCTTCGGCTTCATATTCCTATACAACTCGGCGAACAACTATCTCGTCGACACTTATCAACATCAAGCTGCATCGGCACTCGCTGCGAAGACGTGCATCAGGTCATTTTGGGGCGCCAGTGTGGTGCTCTTCACCGAGCAGATGTATCACACGTTGGGGTACCGGTGGGCGAGTTTCCTCCTGGCGTTCCTGGCATTGGCCTGTTGTGCCATCCCTTATGTTTTCTACTTTTATGGTGCGAGAATCAGGAGGTTTTCCAAGTTTGCGTTTCATGACGAGGATGACGATGTCAGAGGGGTTAGTCAGGAGAAGGTGTGATGGGACCGCATGTCTACGTTTCGGAGGGAAGCCAGAGAAGGTTTGTGTGCTTCTGCCGCTTATCCGCCACATCTGACGGAAAAGTAAGCCTCAGACCAGAGACTCTGAGAAATGTCTAAAGGATTTGGAGTTGAGGGCTAGGCTTCTTGGTGCAGTTCTGGGCTTGAAGAGGTACGGTGTTGCAGCGGAGATTGATCCAGGCCACTTTTCTGTAATTACGGAGTACGGCGTCCTGTGTAGGCTATTGGGGCACGTAGATGTGATCGCATTCTTTTCAACCTTTTGGATGGCTGAACTCCAGGGAAGCAGAAACTGACAATATGAGGCGAACGGTAGCAGAAGCTTCTAGAATAATAGCACTGTACATATTACTTAGTACTCCATAAGCATCCGTCAGAACGCAGAGTAGTAGCTTGTGAGGACATATCGTCGAGACATCCTTGAAGGTCTTGGGTACGGCTGAGTATGTCAGAGGAAGACGCAGAAAGATACGGTCAAGTACAGTGGCCGAACCTGGCGAACACAATCGACAAACAGCAGGGAGGGATGGACACATGGCACTGTCATGTTTGGGCGACCATCTTCTGAGACGACGCGAACCCTGCCCACTGAAGCAATGACCATCTCTAAGAGGTGAGACACGTCAGATGCGAGCTGCTCACTCGGCTTCACCGCAGACCTCTCTACTACAGTACTCGCGCCGTACCATGTCACCCGTCGTACGCACTGTTCACAGTAGGTGTTTGTCGCCGTCGGGCAAAGATCTCTCGATTTGCCTTGACAACCCTCGCTGGCCTCGAGCTCGAAAGCTACCATGTGACTGTCCCATATTTGACGGGAAAATCAGGCAGATGGGCACGGTCGGTGCTGGCACTCGTACTGTACTGTAGCAGTCGGACTGGTCCAATCCATAGCCGGCATCCTGCCTCGGCAACGCAACCTCGACCTCACTGTGTCTTGAAGCCCGTATCCCGGCACCTTATGATGCCACCCGACAAACCCTCTCAACTAACCCAGGACCACTCACGAAGACCAGGATCTGTGTAGGAATCAACCATGTCTACCGCCATCAATTCAGTCCCCTTCGCGGAGCCGGCCTACCTCAGGGGCCTCCCGTCGCCGTACTTCCGCCAGACGCACCTGGACTTCCAGAAGCGATGTCGCGCGTTCATGAACGAGCACTTCATCCCGTACGCGCTCGAGTGGGAAACCCAAGGCACGGTGCCCGAGCACGTGTGGCACACGTTCAACAAGCACAACATGCTGATCCCGAACCTGAAGTCCCCCTTGCCGGTCTCCTGGCTGAAGAAGCTGGGTATCAATGACATCCTTGGCGTTCCCGTCGAGGAGTGGGATTACCTACACACGGCCATCTGGGTGGATGAGCGGGCAAGGACGGGTAGGTTTTAACTTTCCCCTGACTTCATTACGATTTGTAGAAGTTGCATTGCAACGCCCTGCATTGAATTATACGCTCTAACAGCCTCACTCACTTACACACACACACGCAGGCATCTCCGGCCCCGGCTCCAGCCTCTCGCCCGGCTTCGCCTACGGCATCCCGCCGATCCTCAGCTTCGGGTCCGTGGCCCTACAGGAGAAATTCCTCCCCTCGATGCTGACGGGCCAAGTCCGCGCCTGCATCGCCATCACGGAACCGCACGCCGGATCCGACGTGGCGAACATTCAGACCACGGCCACCAAAACCGCCGACAAAGCGTACTACCTCGTCAACGGCACCAAGAAATGGATCACCAACGCCATCTGGGCCGACTACGCGACCATGGCGGTGCGGACAGGCGGCCCCGGGTCCGGCCCCGGCGGGATAAGTCTCCTCGTGGTCCCGCTCAAGAACCACCCGGGCGTCACGATGCGGCGCCTACAGGTAAGCGGCCAAATGGCCGGCGGGACGACGTACATTGAACTGGACGACGCGAGGGTCCCCGCGGAGAACCTCGTCGGCGAGGAAGGCCAGGGGATGAAATATATCATGACGAACTTCAACCACGAACGGTTGCTCATCGCCATGGGCGTCACGCGGCAGGCGAGGGTCGCGCTGTCCACGGCGGTCGAGTACGCCATGAAGCGCGAGGCGTTTGGCAAGACGCTGATGGACCAGCCCGTCGTGCGGCACCGGTTGGCCAAATGCGGCGCCGACCTCGAGAGCCTGCAGGCCTGGCTGTACGAGTTTGTGTACCAGCTGAACAATATGACCAAGGCCGAGGCGGACGACAAGTTGGGCGGGCCGACGGCCGCGCTGAAGGCAAAAGCAGGCATGGTGTTTAGGGACTGTGCCGAGACGGCCGTCTTGGTGTTTGGCGGCAATGGATACACGCGCACGGGCCAGGGCGAGCTGGTCGAGAAGATCTACCGCGACGTCATGGGCGCTAGGATCCCGGGTGGGAGCGAGGACGTCATGCTCGATCTGTCGATTCGGCAGCTGGTCAAGGGCTTCAAGAAGCAGGCTGCTCGGAGCAGGCTGTAAGCACTGTAACCAATCTAGTAACAGCCAATTAGCATCGTGTTGTTTTGTCCCGGACACGTTTACAGTAGAACTCCAGTGCTATGCCAACGAAAAAAAAACCACTTCTCAACTGGCGCCCAAAATCCTCGTATAAGCATCCTCCACCTCTCTCGCGACCTCCAACAGCGACACAATGGCAATGCTGTGCGTCGCCTCCGGCAATTTATCCCTGTGCAGTCCGATCCATTCCAGCGGGGGTGTCGCCTCGCCCATATCCCTCAGTTGCGGCGTGTCAATGATGGGAGGTTCCAGCGCGACGTACGTGAACTTGCTCTGAGGCACGTTCACCACGGCCGTGATTTTCTCGCCCCCAGCGCCACCTGCGTCGCCGCCCCCGCCGGAGGCAGACGACGCCGTTGGCGGCTCGGCCGTGACTTTGATAGCTGAAGGTGGCAGCGGTTTTCCGAGCCGTTGGGCCAACGCGCGAGAATGAGTCTGCCACATGCCGCGGATGAAGGAGATGCGGGCGTAGTTCCAGCCCACATCGACTTTGCCCTCAAACGTGCTGCGGAAGGTATATTCGATGACGTTTGAATCTGCGACTTGCCATGTCTGCATCGACGAGACCAGGCGAGGCACTTTGACGATCGTGCCGCCCCGGGAGCTGGTTGCGCGGTCAACAACATCTGGCACCGAGACTTCGCTGAGGGCTTTGGTTGTGGCTCGATTGACGCTGGAGAGAGCGACGCGGAGCTGTCCAAGGGTCATGCCTAGGCCGCTGTGCGTTTTGCCTTGCGTTGTCGCAACGGCGAAGCGAGCTTGCACGTCTGTGGCTTCGACTTTGAGGATCTGATTGTCGAAGAACGTGTTCGGGAAGACACCGGCGTCCAAGGCCCCCAGAGTGACGATCACATCGGTATGCAGGGTGAAGGTTCCCTTCTTGCTCACTCCCTCTTCTCTGTGCTGCCGAGCCGGAACGGGCGCAGTCCAGCTGTTGGAGGGGAACACTGACTTCCTCCGCAGGAACTTATCCAGATCTCGGAGCGAAGTCTTATATGCCTCCTGTTTCTCTTGGACCAGTCTCTCAAATGCCTGTACGAGAGCGAGACCCTGGGCTGCCGTGCCTGTGGTGCAGAACACCTGAACCTTGCCTCCGTTGACGATCCCGACCAGCCGGTCGCTGTCGTGCTTTTGCCCGTGCCTGACATTGTACATGAGGAAGTCGAAGAAGGAAATGTCCGCAACAGCGAATGGTTGATAATCGAAGGCTGCCTTGACACGGAAATGCTCGAAACCGATCGATGCTTGGACCAGCGGAGCACGAGCCTTGGCTGCGGCATCCTCAGGCCAGTGAATGGACGTCCGGAGGCGCATGTTCTCCAGCTCAACGAAGCCACTCATACGGCCAGTGCTATCGATACCGACTCTGTCAAACCCGATGCACAGGTTCTGCTCAGAGTCACTGTTCTTCCGCGAAGAGGCCCAGAGTTTGGAGACTGTAAAAACGGATTTGCCGAGACCTTGTCCCAGATCGACCACGAGCTGTAGCTCCTGCACAGACACTATGGCGTGCCACGGTAGTGTACCTTTTCCAGAGAGCTCCTGATAGCGCTGCATTGCATATGCCTGTTGATCGAGTGGCGAGGCGGCAGATGTCGAGGGTTTTGATCGGCTTCGTAGCTCTGGAGGATACCAGATCTCTCGGAACAGAAGGAAGTCCTGTAGCTGCTTTGCGTTGATGTCCGTCTTCATGGGGCTGATGTTGAGGATCGCGGAAATGCCTGGTGTGGCGCTCACATGTTTGCTGTTCATCAGGGACATGACGATAGAATCAACCTCGAAGCTTGCGGTCGACTCTCGAGAGTATACATGCTGGACTGAAGCTTCGAGTTTGTTGAATGTCGTGATTATGGCAAAGAAACGCTCCTGATCAGGGGCCGACACCGTATTGATCCTAACAAAGATGTCGGCAAATTTCGCAGTGGCTGCCACCCTGGCAATTGGTTGACAGCTCAAGCTGAACTCCTGCGGTTGGATGTATAGGCCGGCATTCAATTTGCAGCGGCCGAAGATGGCATCTGGATTAGGATTCGTGAGGGCTGTGTCTGACAAGTAGCTGCGGGCCTCTGTTGGTGCAGGAGAGCCGGCAGTGTTCACTTGATCGTCACCTAGAATTTCCTTCACGCTGGCTGATATCTCCAAGATCAAAGGTACGACTGTGGGATACAGTGTGTTCGAGGAGGCTGCAACTCTGACTTCAGTGCTGAGCGACGGATCTCCTTTGTTATCGTCTTTGTATTCGACTTTGAGGGCAACCCCAGGAGCCTGAAGTACTGCGGAAGAAACATCTTCTCCTTGGACTGCTTGACCATAACGGCCAGCGCGAGATCGTTTAGGACCTTTTAGAAATCCGAAAGCGGAACTTTTGTGTTCGACTTCAGCGCGAGGACTGATATGGACGACGGCACCGGCGAAATCCGCATCGACCAGGAGCGAAGCCAGGCGTTTTCCACCCAGAAGATCATTCGGTGCAGCCAGTGGAGCCGCTGGGCCGGTCTCGTAGATTGCTCTGGCATTACGCAACTCTCCACTAGCATTGCCGAACGACTTTTGCAGGGAATGCCCAGGGATGATGAAGTCGGATGCTAACCGAAGATCGAGAGCTTTACCTTTGGCCTGGAATGCGATTCTGCGCTCATGCTTTGTCGAGAGATAGCCGGTCCCGAAGACCACCTCTGGCAGTAGCGCAGAGTTCGCTGTGCGAGCAGTAGGAGTCTCGGCTTGGGACTTGGGAACCATCTGCAGTTGCGTGTCTGAGATTGCAAGACGAGCAGTGCCTTCCTGCCGAGTCTTCAGGTCGACTTTGCGTATGGAAAACACCAGATCTTCCGTCTCGTGGCTAGATGAAGGCCCAGAACCACTGGTCAAATTCCATCGTAACAAGATATTTCCGAGGTCAAGGGCGTAGGTCGAGTCATACAATACCGTGGAAGAGCCGTCGATACTCTCACCACCGTCACTGCCCGTCTCGGAGAGCTGTTCCTTCGGCTTCAGGCGGTCTGTCAGACCGGCTGTCGTCAATCTCCGTATGTGATGGATATTACTTTCGCGGTCGGCCAGTTTCATCAGCTTGATGCGGTCCTGTAAGAAGGCAATGATATCGACGGCAAGCGTCGCGGTTTCCTCGTATAGCTCAACGGTCAATCCGTCACTCCAGGCTCTATAGACCTGGACTTTACCCGCATTCCCCAGAGTCTCTGTTTTGCCTGAGGCCTTCATGCCCACAGATATCGTCCCGAAACTCTCTCGGGTGTGACTCGTAATCCGGTAAAGCCCAAGACCGAGGCCTTGAGTACTGAGGGTAAATTGTGGGCGCTCCTGGATCGAGGCTGGGTTGTCCATCTCATTGTGCAATAACAAGGTCGTGCCCCGAAGCTTAAGTTCCATGTCTGCCCGGTAATCCTGGTCCTCTCGGATTGAAGGAGCGCTGAAGTGGATCTTGACACCCGCCAGAGTGCCATGTATTGCGTAGCGAAGCAACAGAGCTGCGTCTTCCTTCTTTAGCTGTCTGGGCTTCGATCTCGATCCTAGCGCGCGGTCCACCGAGCTTTGAATCTGCTGGATTGCATGTTTGGCATCGGGTATCAGTTGGACCACGCCAGGTTGGTTCAGTGCGTCGAAGCAAGCCCGGACTCCGGATGCCTCGAGATTGATCTGCTCGACAGTCATACGAGCCCGTAAGGATATCAAAGAGGCCGCCGGTACCACAGAAATATGACCGTTTATCGGTGGCATCGTCAGGAGAGGCAAGTTATCCATAGACCTGCCTTGGGATACCTCGAACAAATGCTCATGCTCCTTGATGTCAAGATTGATATCCAGGCCCCCGTCTCGTCGAGGAACAATGGATGTTCTTGCTGCATTCCCTGCAATCGCGTATTGCAGTGATGGAAGGATGGCAAAATTCAAGCGGTAGTCGTCCAAAAACATGGCCACTCGTAGGTCAACGTTCAGGTCCAGGCCTGGTGGATTAGTCGACTTTACTGTCTCATGATTATTTTGGCTCTTTGGAATCTCGTCGATGAGGCGGATGATCGTAGCAACTTCGTCCCGTACGACTGAGTCCGCGACCACAAGCATCTTCACAAGTTCTTCCTTCATCTGAAACCTGAGTCTGTTCGAAGCGGCGCAGATCTGAACAATCACCTTCTGGTTCTCAAAGTGATTTTCCGCTTGTGGCCAGATTGAGCCGTACAGCTTGGGCATGCGGATGCGCCACAACATTAACGTACGGGTCGGGCCTCTGAATTTGGCCATTGCGGTGTTTGCAGCGATAGTGAATGAGGATACTGCTGGCCCAGAGCTTCCTTCGGAGAAAGAAAACGCACTTCGAAAGCTTTCAGCCGCCCACTTGAGTTTGAGATTGATGGTGGTAAGGTGAATCGACGCTGCATCAGTGCCTACCACGACAGTAAAGTGATTTCTTGTCGCACTCAAAGGCTCTTTACTATGTGCAACGGGCGCATCGTTCCTGGGAGGACTCAGAGCGAGAGGGTCGCCCAGCTCGATCAACTGACGAGCCAGTTCCACGAGAGCCCAGTTGAGGTGAAGTGATGTGTCTGCAGTGTACGCTTGAAGAATAACCCTCTGCGTATTGCTGCTAACACCAGAGTCTTGTCCTCGCTGCAAGATGATATTGAAGTCGAGACCTAGGATAGCAAAATCGCTTTGCCGTGGACCTGGATCCAAAATGACTCCTAGCTTCCCAACTACAATCTCGGAGTGTACAACAAGGCTATTGTGTGAAGCTTCAGGCGTTCGACTGCCCGGGGTTTCGAACAAGGTGATCATGAACGGCACCTTATCACGGGCGTGGTCCCATCCTCGCCATTGTTCGAAGGAAGACAAAACTTGACGCTTGTCCAGGTCTTTCAGCTCAAGATCTGGGCAGCCACACTTCTCGACAAACTCTCTGCCCTTGTCTTTCTCGACGGTAGCGAAAATATACCTGAGACGAGAAA